TGACTGACTCTACTATTTTTTGAGAGAATTTGAAGCTACATAAATTTTTAAAAATAATTTTTTTATTTTTACTTATCAGTTTAATTTAATTCAAAAACATATTAAATATTTATTGAGCAAGTAATCTACCTAAATTTACAAAAGATAATTAAAAACACAGTTTTTTATTTTTATTTTTGCTTACAAAAAAAATATTTAAAATTAATACTTCATATAAAATAATGTAAAGATATTTAAAAAAATAATGTTATTTTTAATATTTGTTTATTAATAAGATTATTAATTTAGTGATAACAATACATAAAAAAATAACAATTAAAAAAAGAATCTCAGATTTCTTAAATTAATTGTATCACCTAATTTTAAAAAATATTGCGAGCTGCAACATTCTTTTAAAACAAAAATTATTTGTATAAGATAGATTTAAAATATTTTAGAGTTAATGAAAATGATAAATAATGTTATTTAAAGCATTAACTACTTTCTAACAATTAAATTTATGTGAAAATAAATAAATATTGTTTATAATAGTTTACTTTCTATTTAGGTAGATAATATTTATTGATTCGAATATTAGTAAATTTATTATCTACTTTATTAGGTATTTTAACATATTTTATTATTTTTTTATATATTTTATTTGAATTACTCAATTATTTCAGAATTTATTTCTAATCAAAAATCATTCTATCATTCTAAAATGTTAATTAAGTGCAATTTTGAATATGAATTTTTATTCAGTATTTATTTTCTCATCAAAGATCATTCTAAAATTTTAATTACATGAAATTTTGAATATGCATTTTTATTCAGTTTTTATTTTCTCATCAAAGATTATTCTAAAATATTAATCAAGTGCAATTTTGAATATGAATTTTATTCAGTATTTATTTTCTCAGTAAAAATTATTCTAAAATGTCAATTATGTGCAATTTTGAATATGAATTTTTATTCAGTATTTATTTTCTCATCAAAAACCATTCTAAAATGTTAAGTGCAATTTTGAAAATGAATTTTTATTCAGTATTTATTTTCTCAGTAAAAATATTCTAAATTATTATTATATAAATGTGTTAAAAAAAGCTAGTCTAAAAAAATGTTGCCCCAGACCTCACTTTTCCTCTTATATCAGAACCTAAATCTGATGCACCAATTGCACAAATTTAATTGTAACTTTTTAAATATCGAAGATAGAAATATAGTAAAAAAAATAATTAGAAGGAAAAAAAAAATGGAGAAAAAATATGAAATATATTAATAAGCAAAAAAAACAAAAATTAATTAGTTAAATTAACAAAAAAAGAAAAAATAAATACAGCTAAAATAAAAAAAAGAAAAAGACTGAAATTTAAATTAAAAGTATTGTTTTGTTTTAAATTCATTTTTATATTAATCACAATCCAAAACAAAAAAACTATTTTTACGGAAGAATAAGTGCCAAATTTGAGAGATTAGTGCAATTTACTAAACCTTAGCCTAAGCCTGATACACCAATTGCATCAATTTTATTTTTACTTTATAAAATTAGTAGAAAAAATAAAAATTAATTACTTAGTGTAAAGGAAAATGAAGAAAAAATATTAATTAATAAGAACTAAATTAATAAATAATATAAGAAATATTTGAAAATGAAAAAATTAGTTAGATTAACAAAGAAAGTAAAAAAATAATGGGAAAAATTATTAAAATAATACTAATAAATTAAAAGAAGAATATTGTTTTAAATTCATTTTTATATTAAAAATATTGCAATTCAAAACAAAAAAAATATATTTACCGAAGATTAACTATCAAATTTGAGAGGTTAGAACAATTTAATAAACCAGAACCTAATCCTTATGCACCAATTGCACCAATTTAATTGTTACTTTTTAAATATTGAAGAAGATTAAAATTAATCAGTTAGTTATAAGGAAAATTTGAAGACAAATTATAAAATAATAAGAAATATATTAATAAAAAATAAAAGAAAAAACTTTAAAATAAAAAAATGAGTTAAATCAACAAAGAAAAAACAAAACAAAAGAAAAATAGATGTAAAGTAAATAAATAAATTAAAAGAGTTGCAATATTTTAAATTTATTATTATATTACAATCCAAAACAAATAAACTATTTTTACTAAAGATTAAGTGTTAAATTTGAGAGATTAGTGCACTTTCCTAAAGCAAAACTTAAGCCTAATACACCATCATCACCAATTTAATTGCTACTTTTTCAATATTGAAGAAAAATTATAATTAATAAGTTAATTAGAACGAAAAAATATTAAATAATAAGAATTTATTTAATTCATAATAATAAAAATAATTAAAAATGAAAAAATTAGCTATTAACAAAAAAACAAAATAGCACACTGTACAAAGGAAAAGATAAAAATAAATAAATAAAATAGAATTCTGATAAATAAATTAAAAGAGTTAGTTATATTTGATATGAAAAAATATCATAATCCAAAACAAATAAACTATTTTTACTGAAAGATCAGTATCATATTTATGAGATTAGTGCACTTTACTAAACCAGAACCTAAACCTGATACGCCAAATGCACCAATTTTATTGTGACTATTTAAATATTAAAGAAAAATATATATTAATAATTAGTTACTTGAAATGAATTAATTCATATAAAAGAAAAAGCTTAAAATGTAAAAAGTAGTTAAATTAACAAAGAAAGAAAAAAAGCAAAATTAACAATAAAAAACAAAAATAAAAATAAATCAAATTAAAATGAATAAATAAATTTATTTTTATATTAAAAATACCACATTCCAAAACAAATAAAGTATTTTTACTCAAGATCAAGTCTCAAATTTGAGATATTAGTGCAATTTGCTAAACTAGAACCTAAGCCTGATGCACCTTCCTCGCCAATTTAATTCCACCTTTTTAAATATTGAAGAAAAATGTATATTTTAATTAGTTAGAATAAGGAAAAAACGAAGAAATAATATTAAATAAGCTAAAAATATAAAAGTAAAAGTTTAAAATGAAAAAATAAATTAAATTAAAAAAGAAAGAAAGAAAGAAAGAAAAATACAGAGTTTTATAAAAACAATAAAGAAAAATAAATCAAATAAAATTATTAAATTAAAAGAATTAGTTATATTACTTTAAATTCATTTAATATTAAAAAATTTAAACTGTTTTTACCCAAGAAAAAGTGATAAATTTGAGAGATTAGTGCAATTTGCTAAACCACAACCTAAGCCTGATGCACCAATTGCACCAATTTTATTATCACTATTTAAATATTGAAGAGAAAAATATAATTAATTAGTTAGTTAGTAAGAAGGAAAAAATGAAGAAAAATATGAAATAGTTAAAAATGAATTAATAAATAATCATAGCTCGAAGAAAAAGAAAAAATTAGTTAAATTATGAAAGAAAAAAAAAAAAGCAAAATAATTCAAATAAAAAACTAAAAAATTAAAAAAATGATATCATTTTAAGCTCATTTTTCTATTAAAAAATATCACAATTCAGAATAAACAAACTGTTTTTTTACATAAAATTAAGTATCAAATTTGAGAGATTGGTGCACTTTCCTAAACTGAAACCTAAGCTTGATGCACCTTCATCACCAATTTAATTGTTACTTTTTAAGTATTGAAAAAGAAATTAATTAGTTAGTTAACTAGTTAGAGTGAAAAAATAAAGAAAAAATATGAAATAATAAGTAATCGATTAATTCATAATAAAATTAAAGGTTAAAAATCAAAAAAATAGCTAAATTAACAAAAGAAAAATTACACAAACATAAAATATATCAGATAAAAATAGTTACTTTGCTTTAAATTAATTTTAAAATTAAAAAATATCGCAATCCAAAATAAATAAACTGTTTTTACGAAAGATTAAATTCCAAATTTGAAAGATAAATGCAATTTTCTAAACCAGAACCTAAGCTTGATACACCTACATCACCAATTTAATAGGAACTTTTAAATATTTAAGAAAAAAATATAATTAATTAGTTATTTAGAAGGAAAAAATATGAAATAAAAAGAAATAAATACATAATAGAAGCAAAAGTTGAAATTAAAATAACGAGTTAAATTAATCAAAAAAAAAAAAATACAATGAGAAAAAGAAAAGAAAAATAAATTATTTTTATATGAAAAAATAACAATCCAAAGAAAAATAAACTCTATTTACAGAAGAGTAAGTGTTAAAATTGAGAGATTAGTACACTTCGCTAAAGCAATACCTAAGCTTGTTGTTCCTTCATCACCAAAAAAATTTTCACTTTTTAGATATTGAAGAAAAAAATATAATAATTAGTTAGTTTGTTAGTTAGTTAGTTAGTTACAATGAAATTTAAAATATGAAACATTAAAAATAAATAATTAAAAATCAAATTAAATAAAATGAAAGCAAAGTTTAAAGTAATTAAAAAATATTATTATAAATTAAATTGAATGAATATTGATGAGAATTTCCATTAGGAAAATAATATTATTAATAAATTTAAATAAAATTATATGTTAAAAAAAAAACATTAATAATATTATTAAATTAAATTTACCTCAAATAAATATGGAGAAACTAATGAGATTAAAGTGAAGAGTTTAAAAACTTTTTTAATAATAAAAATAATTTTAAAGGATATTGATTTAAAATAAATAATTACGTTTTCTAGATTGTCGAAATATTTTTTTTAATTTATCATTTATTTTATATTTTTCAAAAATATTGAATAAAAAAATATGTAATGCAATTTAATAAATAATAAATATTTTTAAAAATTAATTCACTTTTATTTCAAACTCTTTTTGATACTTCTAATTTAAAGAAAAACTGGTGTATAATTATAATTAAAAATCCAAAATTAAGGTATATTTTTCCTAATATCACAAATAAAAATACAATTAATATAAATTAAAAAATATCATTAAATCAAAATAAAAAAAATAATATATAAATAGATTCTGTCTGAATTATAAGAATAATAATTTCTTAGCATTACGATATGAGTTCTAATTTGAATCTACATTTGAGTAAAGTTCAGATTTATTAATAGATAATAAATGGATGTTAAAGATATTGAAGAACCAATAATAACTCCTTGAACATTGAACACTTCATGAAATGAATAGAAATTAATAAAGCTAAAAGAATAACTAAAAACCTGAGAATTGAACAGGAAGTAAGTTGTTTGTAATAGGTGAAATAGTATAATTATAGAACTAAATTAAATTATAAAAAAACTATTGGATAGAATTGCTAAATATTAAAAACAAAAAATAAAAGGAATATCACCTTTCCTTTTAATGAGAAATTGTTTTCTTCAAAGTAGAGAGTTTTAAGTCATTAATTGCTCTCTAGGTAAAACACTTTTTATTATTCTTTTAATTAAGTGATCTAATAATTATAATAGAATGTTTCTCTTATATTACTTATAAATATTATTTATTAAATTCTATTAAAAAATTATTTATTTTTATATAAATTTTATTCAAATATTTCAGCCATTCAAAAAAATAGTGATCTCAAATTATTAAATTTTTGAATGGCATTTGGCAATATTATTTGAAAAAGTAAAAAATTTATCTAAAAATGATCTTAAATAAAGGAGAGATCTTAAATTAGGATTAGTACTTATATTAAAAAATATACACTAATAGTAATAGTTATTGATGTAAAAAGTAAAGTTATTTCAATGATATAAATAAATATTAATAATTATACTATAAAAAAGAGTGTTTACAAAAATTGGATACCTTTTTTCTTTGGGTTTTAAATTTTTAAAAATACAATAAATACTAAAAAATGGTAATATTAATTCAAAAAGTATTTAGGTTGTGATATTTAAACCACTAATACCCTTTATTGATAGATAGATAGATAGCATACCATAAAATATTCCAATGAAAATTTAGTAATTAAATAATTTCCATTGGATATTTTTGTCATTTAAAATCAAGTTAATAAAGACCATCAGTAAATAATGTGTTTAAAAGAAAATTAGATAGAAAAGATAGAACTTCTGTTCTATATATACAAATTATTTAATTTTAGTTAAATTCCTTTCAAAAAATAATTAAGTTAATTCAAAAAATAAGATATTCCTTGTTTATTTTTAGCAGACAAATTTGAACGTTATTTGACACGACTAGGTTAGAAACATTATTCATCCGTTAAAGCAAGCAGAAAGTATAAAATATACATTTGAAATGGGCAAACCACTCACAGAAGAGCTTATCATTTAAAAAACTAAATGCTCATCTTTATCATAAATTAAAAATTTGAATTTATGGGGAAGCGATATTGATGATATTTCCATCCTTAAATAGATTCCTAACGCAGAGGTGCTTTCACTCTCTGTAAATAAGATTAATTCTTTGAAAGATTTTTAGTATTGCAAAAACTTATAAGAACTTTATCTAAGAAAAAATAACATTTCAGATTTAAAGGAATTGAAATATTTAAGTGGTTTACAAAATTTGAAAGTTTTATGGCTACAAGATAATCCATGCGCAGAAAATCCTGATTATCGTAAAATCGTTATCAGTTATTTACCAAATTTAAGCAAACTGGATAATTCATAAATAACTCCTTAAGAAAAGCAAGAAGCCCAGGTAATTTATTTTAGTAAAAGAACATTTTTATTGATAATTTTAATCTTTTTGACATTTTGATTTTTAATGAATTTATTATAAGAAAATTTAGGGTTCTAACAATAACTTTAGTCAAGTATATTTAAATGATAACGAAAAACAAAAGAATGGCTTGAATGAAATTCAAGAGAATTAATCCTAGATGATAGAAAACGAAATGACAAATAATAGTTAATAGTTTGAAAAGCAAAATCAAAATATAGTATGTGCAATATTGAGTTTAATTAAAGATTTAGATATAAATTCGTTAGAAATTGTTAGAAGAGATGTCTTAAAGAAAATGGAAAAGTTCAAAAATTGAAATTTACATAATCAAAATATAACTTTAAGTACTAATTAATGCACATACTTTTTACAAATTAATAGTAATTAAGATATCCTAATTAAAATCTGTAAACTTGTTTTAAGTTTTAAATGCAAATAGATAGAGATGATTAGCTAGGCTTGTAGTAAATAAAATAAATAGCCTTTTTAAATTGAAATTAATTAAATAATAAAATCTTTCATGCAATTAAAATTATTTGCCTTGAACGAACAATAAATAATTCATAAAAATATATAAAACTTTAGAAATAAAATCTCATCAAATATTAGTTAAATTAAATATTAATATTCTTCTATATGTTTATATTTTATTTTCTGGATAGCTTATCTTCTCATTATATCTTATTTTAAATTTATATATATTAATTAATTAATACATAATTATAATGTGATTCCTTATATTTTAAAATCAAATTTTATTTTATAACAACATGTCTTTCTTCAATAATTTTGATTTTAAATGGTATTAATTAACTCACTTTTTAAATATTTAACTATGGAGCAAATAGATTGTATTAAATTTATATGAAGATATATTATCTATAATATTAATTTATCTGCTTCCCTAAATTTATAAATATTTATTTTAATATTACATATAAATATTTATTTTAATATTACATATAAATATAAAATATCTATCTGGCTTTAAATAATATATATATTATTTCCTTTAAATTTATTGAATTTTTAACATTTTCTTACAAATTAAATTCTAAAAAAATAGAAAAATAAAATATTATTTATTTTTTGTAATTTTTTTTATTGAAGAATGACGAAAAATAATGCAAATATAAAAAAGATATTTCATGTTAAAAAAAATAAAAAAATATTGCTCATTAAAAATTCAAATCAATCAATTATCACAATTTATATTTTAATCAAAAATTTTTAGCTCAACCCAGCGAAAATAATATATTTATTTTGCTGATTTATTGCTTTTTATTCAAAAGATTTTATTTGATGATCTTTAAATTTCTTAATAAATGAGATGAAACAGTTCTGTTTGCATCGAATTAGAGTGTTCATTGTGAAGCGTGGCAAATATCCTTGGGCGTAAAATGAGAAAGATCCAATAGAATGAATGTAAAATTATATAGATAAGTAAAAATATTAAATTATAAAGAAATTGAAAGAGGTTCTTAATATTTTTTTTGATTGCTTGCTTAATTGATTGTATTTTATATAAGGAGGTTTTTAAAGCAGAGAATAAATGAATGAGTGGATGGATAATGCATTTTGGCAAGTAGAAAATGATACAAAAACACAAATGATAGATAAATGGATAATAGGGTTAATACATTTAATCTAATCTATATAATTGCATTTTCCATAATGATTTTAAATCACATTATAACGCGATATTCAACCTCAAGAGCCAATTAATTATCAATTGATTTTTTTAGCTATTGAGGAAGAAATTTCCTTCGCTATTGTCGAAACAAAGAACAAATCAATGATGTTCTTCCTCTTCTTCAGAACCTTGGGCGTTAATTTAAGCCTATCTAATTAAATAGCAGACGTAAAGGGGGTAAGAATAAATAACGTATCTTAAAGCCTTAAGGAAGACGGGAGCCATTTTAACCTATAAATATTTTTAATTTATTTTTCTTCTTTCTATCTTTTGATATAATTAATTATTATCTCTTTAGTTTTTTATTTAACTTTCTTTCTCACTTTTTCTTTAAGTATTTCTCGCTTTCTCTATCAATTAATCTTCTTATCAATCTTCTTCTATCCAAAGAAGGCTCTTGTCTTATAATTCAAAATAACTAAATAAAATCCAATATATTTATGAATTATCTTTTAATAAACAAAATAAAGCGAAGCAAATTTAAAATAAAACAATACAAAATTTATTCAAAGTGCCATTTTTATGTCCATCAGACATTCCTGCTAATCTAAAATAAAATTAATTCATCAAATAGTTTTAATTCTGGTTATATTTTATGGTTGCCTAGATTTTTAGAAAATTATTTTAGGTTGTAAGCAAATAAGCGAGATTTAGGGAGAATCATTCAAAATAAAACAAAGGCTTATTAAGAAAGGTAATGAAAAATATGAAAATTAGAACATTTTGTATTTACAAAGGCAAAATACAACTCATTAGAAATATATTTATATTGATTAATAATATTGAATATATACAAAATAATTTTAAATATTTAAAATTATGAATTCTCATTTGTTAAAAGGGTTTCGAGATTTATTTATATATTATTTTTGTCAATAAGAAGTGGAATGAGAAGACTTTTCTTCTCCTATTATTGAATCCAAGAAATCAACAGAGTATTTTTGTTTGTTAGCCAGCTTAATTTCGTCATTTTCAATGCTTGGAAAGTGGATCCAAAGAAATCTTGCCTCAATGTTTTTAATCTTTAAACGTACATAAAAAAATAAAAAAATTTATTAACTTAAAGACAGAGATTGTATATTGAGTTAATTAACTAACTAATAAAGATATATCATTCAAAATAAATAGTATTTTGACTTACTAAATTTTAGATGCTTTAATTTTATGTGAAATTTCTTTGCCCTTCGAAATTGAAGTGATTGTTTTCCATTTTCATTAAAATTTTGTAGCATTGTGATTGGTAGTAATACATTTGGTCGACTTATTTCGCTCCACCTTCTGATTGATAAAGCTTTTTAAAATTAAAACAATTAAAATTTAAGAGAATTTTCTTGAAAAATTTAATTAAAATTGTTTAAAATTTCATTGATTTTTTACATGGTAAATATTATTTAAGGATTTTATGTAGTTATTTCTTTTTGTATTATCGTTAATTCTGGTTGCTAAATAAAGTGACGTTCTTAGCAAATCATAGAATTCTGTTTTGATTTCAAGCAATTTTATCGGAGTTGTAGAAATTGGTTTTAGCATATTGAATTTAATGAATGTTCCTGGTTGGATATATATATTCCTTAATTTATTGCAAATTTTTGTATAATATAAATTTTTTTTATTATAATTGATTATTGAATATAGATTTTTTGTTAAAATATATCAGATAAACAATATCCCTTATCTATTCTATTAGATTAAATAGTTTGTTTAATATGTTTAAAATATTATGCAGAAATAACAATAAATTTAATTCAATTTTGTTTGAATATTTCTATTTTGAAATAATAAAATATATTTTTATATTTTTGGTTAACATTTTTGATGTAAAATTGATTGATTGAATTACTTAATAATAAGTAAATAAATAAATGAATGAAAATCAAAGAATTTATAATATCATATGATTTGGGTAAGAGTGTGGGTAGATTTGTTTTGATATTTATACTATTTAGATTAATATTGAAAATATACCTGTCAAATAAATTATAGTCGTTAAAAAGTTAAATAAATAAATGACTTCAAGAAACCCTTTATTTATATCCAAAAGTTTTTTCGAAATTATCCCGCCTGAGCAAGGTAAAATGCAATTAAAATGAATTCAACGAGTTATCATTTAGAAACTTGTTCATATCTAAGAAAAGACATGATGAAAAAACTTATTTTATTTTAAAATTGAAAATAATTAGATGTGATTTACACAGAAGTGAGAAATGGAATTTATGAGGGATAATTAGTTCAAAATAAAAGATAAGGAAAAGGGATTTTTATTTGGGATGACTCTTCAGTATATGTAGGTATTTACTAACAGTTTTAATTTATATTTTAGAAGAATTCATAATTTTTATTCTCACATTTAACATCAAACATATTTATATTAATTAGGTGATTGGCTTAACGATCAGCCTCACGGAGAAGGTATTCTGTTTTTGAACCATGGCTGCTATGCATTCGGTTCTTTTGAAGGTGGAAAATTGAATGGTAAGGCTATGGTAAAATTTGCAAATGAAAGCAGGATTTTTGGACAATGGAGATAGAACCAGTTAAGAGGAATTTGTTTCTTTTACGACCACGAAAAAAGAGAGTGGAAAATGTGTGAATTTAAGTAAGGAGTTCTTTTTAGAATACTTGAAATACAAGAAAATTCACCAATGGGTTAATAGTCTTAGTTTTTTTCTGCAAGTAGTCCTTATAATTATATTCTGAATACAGATATTCCAATTCCTCTTTTCCCTCAATTTTCAAGAAGAGATTTTGAGTTATTTTCATTGAGCAGCATTCTCTAGAGAATCACTAATATTTCTTAAAACACTATCATAGTAAATTAATATTTTCGCTTTCTAAACATTTCTAACTTCTTTCTGTATTTATTTATCTATTAATTTTGTTATTACACAGGGACAAAAATAATTAGCTTTCATAAATCTTGGAGAAGAGCTGAATTATTTTGGTTTAATTTAAAATGGAATACCTGAAGGGCTAGGTGTGACTTTATCAGGAGATATTCTGAAAAACATTGGAACTTTCAAAGTAATGTTTAAAAAAAATATTTTAATATTATTTAAAATAATGAATTCTTTTTGAAGTAATCAATAATGCAAGGTATCGGGAGAATTTACAGTGAAAATGGATTAATTTTTGATGGAAACTTTGAAAAAGGACATTTAAGTGGATTAGGGTATTTGTATAACAGTGAAACAAATATATTTTATGAAGGACTTTTCTATGAAAACGAGTGCAATAAATTGTTTAAAAAATCAAAAGGCTTTCAAATAGAAACTATTATAAAGCAAAGGTAAAATTAGCATAAATAAGGTTGCTGCTTTAGAAATTAAATACTTGTTTTGGAGATATGTCAAATATTAAATGGTTAAATGCCATTATTAAATCTTTTTAGAAACAGCAAATCCTTTAACACTGAGGAAGTTTAATCTATAGTGTAAGCAGATAATAACCCTATTTACAGTTTTATTTAAGCTAACAAAGAATACATAGAAAATAAAAGACACAATTGCTTTTTTTATCCAAATTAAATAGTTAATAGATAGTTATTTAATACTTCTTCTCTTTCTTCTCATCAAGGTTTATAAATAAATTCTTATCCGTATGAAGAATATGAGTTTTCTCTTCATGAATTTCAAAGATAATTGGAAAAACCTAGATTGAGCACAATAATGGCAGAAAACTAAAAATTTGAAGAAAAAATTAATAATCCTCAAAATAATTTTAGCAATACTAGCACAAATAGCATCCTAAACCTTCGTAGCAATATATATCTTAGATAATAAAAGAATTACTCTTCCCCTGGATAGAATAGGAACCTCTAATCTGCAATAAATTCTAATCAAATGAATACAAAGACTTCTTCTCCCTTAGAAAAAACTCCAGAAAGCTACGTCTCTTACTTCAATGATTTACAAGCCTAAACTCCTTAAAGAAAAACCCCTCTATAAAAAAAATATTCAATTGAAAATAGCTCTCTAGAAAAAAAACAAATGTTTTCAAACACTCAAGGATCAAATCACAATTCAGTTTCGCAGTTTTCATAAAAAAATCCATATTTTCAAATAATACCACAAAACCAAGAAAATATAGAAAGCTAGAGAAATTCATCATTAAAAAAAAATTAAAACCAAAATTCTTCAGATAAAAATTATGTAAAATTTTTTTATTTTCTTTTTCAAAAGTCATTCTTTTCTTTTTAAAAATCAATTTACTTAGAAAATAAAAATAGTTTTTAATAAAAAATGAGTATTTTGTGATTTAAATTAATTAAAGAAGCTAGGATTTTATTTAAAAATATTTAATTGATAGCTATGATGGATATGATTTAGAAATTAAATTTATTGATAAGTTTCTATTGATTTTCAGAATAACTTTTCAAACTAAAAAATTAATACAAAACAAATTCAATTTTTAAATGAAAATAAAAAAAGAAATAATTAATTTTTTTAATTTAATTAATAAATTTTAAATGGGAATTTTGATATTTTGATATTTAATTTTAATTATTTGAATGAATTTTATTAATAAATTATAAAAAATCATAGGAAAATCCAATGAAGCTTTAAAATCCTTTTTATAATACAAAGACGACAAAAAAATAAGGGAATTGGCTCTATGAGCAAATAAGAGCTCGAAGTAATACTCCTAATTTGAGATACAACGATGACAGAAATAATATTAGTAATAATAACACAATCAATATTCATTCTATTGATACAGTAGTTGAAAGAAACATGTCGAATAATTAAAGTCAAAATTTAAGTTAAAGCTATATTTAAAATAACTCTTTGAATAGTTTTAATAATTAAAAAAATGGTTTTTATCAAAAAAATAATCATCAACCCAACATTCAAATGAAGAATTAATAATATTCTTCTATTTAAAATCCATTTAAAAGCTAAATTAATGTGACTCATAATACAAGTTATTCTTCAATTAATTAAAACAACAATTTGAATGAGACAAAAAACCAAATGAGCAACCAATATATTCCTAAGAGCAAAATTTTCAATAGACCTAAAAGCAGTTTAAATCAGATGACATAAAATATGCAACAATAGTAGATTTCTTAAAGAGAACTTGCCTAACCTATTAGATTTTAGACCACAAATGAAAGTATCAGTAAAAGAAGCATTTCTCCTTTTTAGAGCTACAACACTTCTTATAATTAATAATAAAACAACAGGAGTAGGAGTACTTCAAAACAGGTCTCACCACTTAGAACTAAGCAAAAATCTAATAACAATTTTTCTCCAATAGTATAAAATATTTATAGAAAAAATAGCTCCTCATAAAATAAATTGTTTTAATAATAAACAACTCAGCAAAGAGATTCAAAAGATTTGACTAATTAAAATAGTTTCATTTAAAAAAACAAAAAAATGTAACAAAAGAAACAAAAAGAAAATATAAAATAAGTTCATCTTCGACTCCCAAGCTCTTTTTTTAAGTGACTTGATGATTGATGATACTAAAAATTATGAATATAAATAAATTAAAATATTAATTGCCTTTGTACATATTACCATAAATAAAAACCTAATTTTAAATTAAAATTTATATAATAAATTTCATTGAGCAAATATTCTTTCATTCATTTTGGATATTTTTTAGCATTTGTTTAATCTGTGGAATTTAATTTATACTAAACAATTTTTTTTTTTGAATTAATGATAGACACCATAACTAAAATTTTTATAAGTCTTTTAATTTGATGTATTTATTTATTTGATAGAGAAATTGTGAAAATTGTTAGTTAATAATTAATTAATTATTTGATAACTAAATTATATCAATAAGAAGAATTTAAAATAGGTAATAAGCATTTTAAAATGCCTAGAATTTAGAATAATAAAACAAAGAAAACTCCACCTGGATGGGATAGAATAGAATAAAAGTTATTAGAGTTAACAAATAAGATGAGAGACGTTGAAAACGAACCTCATGAAGGCAAAAGAAAAGTAGAAGCTTTATGGCCAATATATTAAATTCATCATGAAAGATCAAGATATGTTTACGAAATGTTCTATAAAGCGAAGCCTGAAGATAAGATTTCTAGAGAATTATATGAATATTGCTTACGTGAAAAGTGGGCTGACGCAGATTTAATTGCCAAATGGAAGAAGAAAGGTTATGAGAAATTATGTTGTCTATAATGCATCCAACCCAAAGATCATAATTATGGAGGAACTTGCATTTGCAGAGTTCCCAAGGGTTCGTTAGAAGAAGGCAAGGTCGTATAATGTTAAGCATGTGGATGCAGAGGATGTGCATCATGTGACTGATAAAATAATTCATACTTAAATAGCAATAAATAAAAAAAAGAATTAAAGCTTATAAAAATTGATTATAATTTAATAAAATGGCAGCTTCGTAAAATATTGATTGAAATAGACTTGATATATAATTCTTTAAATTTTTCACTCAAATATCTATCTACTTTATATAATGAGCATCACTCACTAAGATAATTTCTAAAGCTTTCAGATATATATTATTACAGATAACTTTGTTTTGTTTTATGTCATTAATTATTTTATGTGTTAAAACATATAAAATTAATAAATAATTCATATATATCAAAAAAATTCAATTTTTATAAACATAGCATGGCTAATTCAAAAAACTATTTAATAAGATAAATATAATGATTTTGTACATAATTCCATTCAGTAAGTTAAATAATGAACGAAGGATTTTATCTATCTTTCTTATTCATAAACAATGTGAATATTTATTTTATGTGCCTTATTAAATCCCTTTATTAGTATAGACTAATATCATCTAAATTTGATTTTTTATAATATATTTTTTAATTTTTAGAAAAAACATTTTATTCTGTAAAACTTTTAAAATAACATAATAAATTGAGAAAATCAATTATAATTTATTTTGAGTAACAAATAAATATAATAACTCAAAAATATAATCAGATAATTGTTAATCTGTAATAAATATATCTAAACTATCATTAAATCTATTCTATGTTTAATAATTAATAAAATTAATAATTAATGTTAAAAAACTTGATTGAAAAAACTAATTTATGCTTTTTTTTATAATTGAATATTTTACTTTTGCAAGATAATTTAATTTAATTTAATAAGTTCAATAAATAATCATTTTCAATAAGCAGCTTCATACTGTAAAAATAAGTTCATCATTTTTCTTTATTCTTTATTAAACTGATAAGAATCAACTTCCATATTTGTAATAATTAATTTTGTTTATTTTAAATTTGTAAAAAAACCTTTCACATAAAATATTAATTTGCAATCTTAAATGATAAAATAATTAACTCACTGAGAAAGTTAAAGAAGCTTATTTCTTTTACAATTTTTCTTGAAAATTTATAAGTTAGCAATCTAACTAATTATCTATATAACATATTTGATACATTTCACTTAGATTATATATATTCTAATTTATAAAAAAGGGTACTATTATTTTTAAAAATTATTGCACTACTCATCAGTTCATCGTTAAATTTTATTTTTCAATTAAAATACATATTTTCATATTGTTTATTATTACTAAGGAAATATAGTTTATAAATAATTCATGCAATTTATATTAGTCATAAGTTACAAATTTAATAGATTATCTGTATCAGAGATATGATAAGTTGCTAAAAAGTTTTAAATGACTAACTTTGTAGAGCTTCTTTCTAGTTTTCATTCAAAATCAGTTTATATTTTTTGAAGTAATTTATTAAATACAAATAGAAAAATTACTTTTAATAAGGTTACATTTATAAATTTATTGACTTAAGTTATTAATTTTAATCATGAGATAAAATGTAATGATATCTCTCAAAATAAAAACTGTTTAAGTATTTAGTAATATTTTTAACACATAAATTGTCATATTAAACTAATTTATTAAATAAGAAAAAAAATTAACCCAAATTTCTAACTTTTAACAATTTATAAAATTGTAAACGAAATTTCTAGTGAGTCGCCCAGTATGTTTAATGTTAAATATTTTATTTAACTTTTGTTACAAAAGATATTTAATCCTGCAAATGAATGTTACAGATATTTAGAATACTGATTCTTTTTTAAAAGCTCTTCAGTAAATTAAAAGGAAATTATTATCTATTAATTGGAAAAGAAAAAGAAAAATTTAGATAATTCAATTAGCAATTACTCAATATCAAAGAAAATTTTTACATGAAAATATTTTAAAAAATATAAGAAGTAATTATTTAAGAAGTATTCAAAATACCATAAAAATAATAATCAACAATATTTAAATAATTTAATTAATAAATATTTTATAATAAGCGAGATTTATAAATTATTTTAAAGGAAGTATTTTATGTTATAATTGTTGAGGGAAGTATTTCTACTTAAGCTTACAATTGACGCAAATATGATTTAATTTAATAGAAATACTTTATTTAGATATAAAATTTGAGGTTTAATCTTGCTTAACTGTTGTTATTAAAAACTATTACTGGTAACAAAATAAGTTAGTTCAAATAAATTAACATATCTGATTTTATAATTCAGGTGTGGTTTATTAGATTTTCCAAATGACAGATATTTATGAGAATAGATTTATTTTAATTAAAAATTTTTTAATTTATAATGAAAAAAAATTATAATTTAATTGTACCCAGTAGAAAAAATATTCAAAATTCGTTTAGTTAAATATTTGCCAGATTTAAGTGCTTTATCGATGGCGAGTTAATTTATGTAAACTAAAACCAAAATACAAAGGATTTAAAACCGAAAAATACAATAAAGAATAAATTTCATTTTTAAAATTTCTAAATAAAAAAGTTTTTTCAACAATAATAAAAAAATATTAGAATTTTTTTAAATATTTTAAAATAACCTGCTGGATTAAATTATTAAGTAAGGAGATAATCTAGGTTGATTTAAATACCAAAATATAATGGGTTCTAGTAGAATTACATTAAATATCTAATTATTTTAATGATGTAATTAAAATAAGTAAATTAGTTTACTGTTTAATTTTTAATAAATTTTTTTGGATAATTTTAATCTTGAACTTTGTAAACAAGTATTTTCTAACTATTATTTGCTAAGTCATAGAAATTTATTTAAGAATAGTCTGCTTGCAGTCTTAGGAAAATTAAAAAATGTAATTAGAGAGCGCATTAAATTATTAGTAGAATTCGGATTATAATATTTAATGTACTTATTGTAAATATGGAAAGAATACCATGAAAATTGATGGCAAAAAAAATACTTACTTGAATTAGAGATATGTTATAATAAATTACTCGAATCAAATAATCAAAAATTAATAAATTAATGGGAAAATAGTTGAGAAAAAGGTTTATTGCAGAGTGATAGCAATGAATTGATTATATGCAAGATAAATAAATGAAAGGTAAATTATAGAAGAAAATGCTTTCGAGCTCTCTTAGTAAAACTTGCAAATTTAATATCAATTAGCCAGTCAGTCAGTACAACTAGTTATTTAGTATTAAGAAAATTTATTTTGTAAATAGATAGATCAACTTTAGGGCATTTGAAATACAATCCATGCAGAGTAAACCCATAAATGAAGTGATTAAAATATTCATATAGAATTTTTTTGTTTTAATAAAATAAAGCAAAATAGTTAGAAATATAGTTAGTTAGTTAATTTATTTACTTTTATTAACAAAAAAATTAATTAAGGTGCAAAAACAATATTTAATTAGGACAGGTAAGTTCTAATTCTCTCAAAAAAATGAAAGAAAGACTGCTGCCCATAAATAATTAAATAACCCCCACTTTTTTGTTTGTTTGTTTGCTTGTTTTATTTAGTTCATTATAAAATAAATAGTAATCAAGAACAAAAACTAAAATTTTGATATGATGAATAAAACAATCAAACAAAAAAAAGTAAAATCGATTGATTAAATGGAAATTAAAAATCAGGTAACTCGCTATAAAGTTTCTTAAGTGCTGATTAAAGAATTAGATTGGTTTTTGATATTTGTTTGTTTGTATGTAATGATCAATTATTTAATAAATACATGAATTAGTGAATAAGAGAATATATACATATGTATATATACTTATAAGCTTGTTTGTTTTTATGCTTATCTATCTATCATTTGAATTAATAGTATATTTTTAATTTAAACATTAAGAGAGATAATAAATAAATAAATTAATTGATTGGAGTGTCAGTCAAAACAATTTTAAAGAAGGTAAAAGGCCATATTGAAAATTATCGGCGCTAAAGTAGAAGTCGATTTAACGGAAGTCTAAAATCAAAAAGGAAATTACATTTAATAAGGGAGTATCTATACATTTATAATTGGCTACTTTGACAAAGCTCTAAAAAAAATATATCTAATTAGAATAATTAAGCAAAAAAAAATATTTATTAAATTTAAATGAATAACTTAGAAGGATTCCGCAATCATACTAATCTGAAAGATATACTTCAGGTGAAAATAAAACCTATGCATAGTTATATCTAAATTAATCAGCAAAGTGATATCGTTATGCCGGTCATGATTGATATCCGTACTCAAACTGAAAAGCCCCTTTCTAATTAACATATTTAGAATGATGATGACTTGACTAAAAGTTGTACACCTACTTCATCTCAAGCTTCTTGTAATATCGATATTGATAGGTAACCACTCGATTTGATTTTTGTTATTGATTTGTCCATATCGATGAGGGGCAAAAAGATGAATCAGTTGAAGAAAACTATCTGCAATCTTATAAATTTTCTTAACGAGAACGACAGAATGGCTCTCATCGGGTTTAACAACAGTGCTTAAAATTTATTTCCTCTTTCCCATCTTACTCAGCAAAACAAAAAGAAAGTTACTCAAATTTTAAATAGCATCCTCCCCATGGGTCTAACAAATATCACAGCGGGAATGATGGAGGCTATTAAGTAGTTAGAATCGTCTTTGATTAACATAAGTACAGTTGCTGAAACAGGTGAAGGTGAAGAAGATGAAAAAGATACTCATGCTCAAAAGGAAAAGCGCATGCAGTAAGAAATGTAAACTGAAGAGAATAAAGAAAAATACAAAGATCTACTCTCAAGAAGTGAGGTTATTAAACCTCAAAACGCTATCGATTATGATTTAAGTAATTCGTGTATAAACTTTGGTTAGAAAAAAGAAGAGCGTGTGAAGAGCATCTTTCTACTGAGCGATGGATTGGATGACAGATGCGATAAGAGTCTTGAAATGCTCAAAGTCAGAATTCAATCAGTTCCTATATAATTTAGCTTGAATACATTTGGTTATGGTGAGTAGCACGATGCTTATCTCATGAACGAAATTGCAAGTTACAAAGAAGGTAATTTCTACTACATAGAGGATATTGACAAAACTGATTTATATTTCGCTGACGCACTAGGCGGACTTTTCTCTGTAGTAGGTAATTAGCTCGAATTCGATTTTTCTTTGTGCAGCCAAGCTCTTCTTGAAAACATTACAATTTCTAAAGTGTATGGAGATATGTGGAACTAGACCAGTGGTGGTTTTAATAATGCTAATGAGCAATCATTTAGCAAATATAGTTCTAACTAAAGCAATAAGTATAGTTTTAGAAGTGAATCGCCTTCAAAAATCGCTAAAAGTATCTTAGATTAGGTAAATCACCGCAGTGAACAGCATTCTGCAGATTAGTTTATAACTAATATTAATAATAATCAAAATATTATTAATTAAAACTGTAATAGATTACAATCTGATAGTAATAACTCCTAAACATCCCACTTTGCTAATTAAAGCAGCTTTAATAAAAAATCAGTCAATTTAACAGCTGATTTCACTCCTGTTAACGCAATCGTTAAGAATCGCTCATTTAATCTAAATTAAATTTATTTCGGAGTATCTAAACAAATTTTGCTTGAAATAACTATTCCCTCCTAGTTGAATTTCCCTAACAATCTTTAATAAAGCGATTCTATAAACAATAATTTCGAAAATGATTCGCAAGGCACAAAAGAACAGTATGGATAATTTAAGAAATTTAGTGAATGCTTTAAAAATTAAGTTTTAGCAACAGGAAAACTAAAAGTTAAGGATTTACATGGATAAAATGTTGAGAAAACTGCTCACTTGGAAGTTATAATTTTGGAAGAAAATGAAGAATTAAATGAAGAAATCCACATGAGCAACGAAGATGTTGAAATTAATTACCTTAGAGTGCAATGCGCTCAGGCCTTGTAAGAGGCAATGAATTCCGCCCTAAAAAATGAATTTAATGAAAGTTAATCGATTATTAATAAAGCATTAGAATAGTTGTAGAAATCAAAGGTTTCAATCCAAAAAGCTCTTGCTAATCTCTAAAAAGATTTAGAAGAATGCTTAGAAGCTTTGAAGCAAAAAATATCTCTCCAGTAATCGTCAAATCCTAACTCTCAGTCCTAATTATCCTACAGCTCCTCCCACAGTACATAAGATTAAAAAGAATGCGAGTAAGAAAAAGCCCATAACATCCGCAGAGCTTTTCTCTGTAAAAGTAGAGCCTACATGGAATAAAAGAGTGTTATGATTAATCTTGACGAATATTAAAACAGCATTCAAAAGAACATCAAAAAATAAATAGAAATTCAAAACCAAAAGAAAGTCTTTTCTGCCGAAGAAGAGGAGAAAGAAAAAGAAACAGAAAAGCCCGTCAAAGCCAAAAAAATATTGATTCCTCTTCAAAGAAAAAAGTTCTCCAGCATGAACGTTGCTATGAACGAAATTTCATCAATTGATGAATAAAAATGATTTTATAATAAAAATAGTAAATACATAAATAAATAAACAAACAAATAAACTTCTTTCCATCTTTCTCTTACTTTCTTACATAAATAATTAAAACAATAACTTCTTCAAATTTACATTACTTTAATAATACCCAACTAATTAAATCAATCAATAAATAAATAACTTATTAAAAGAGACATAGAATATTTAACTGCTAGCTCAAGAAAAGTGAACTATTCTCTGCAAAATAATAAACTTACTTACATATATACCAACCTACCTACCTACATACCTACAAGCAAACAATCAATCAAACAAATAAATAAATAAATTTATATAAATATAACTTATAAATATATTTTTGCTTTTAGCATTTTATTAAGTAAATCATTTGATTACCAAAAACCAATAAATAAGTAAATAAATAAATAAATAAAATAAACCTTAAATAAATAACATTATGCTATTTATTTCTTTTGTTAATTAAAAACTAAATAACTAGTAAAACAATAGGAATATTGGACTTCTTTTTGGCAAAAATTTTAATTTATTGACCAAAAATAATTTAATTTTACAATAACTATGTCAAAAATGAAAGTTAAACGCAAATTATAAATTAAATTCAATAAACAAACAAATAAATAAATAAATATAATATATCTTTAAAGTATGTGTTATTAATTTAATTCTATTTTGAATATTTTATATTATTCCATATATACATACATATATTAATTAAATATTTAGACATTTTTAAACATTTGCTACCTTTTCTTTTAATTAAATTCATATCTATTTCATCGTAGCTAATAAAATACTTTTTAATCAGTCAAATTTGCAAAAATTACAAACCATCGAAAAATTAACATAATCAAATGACAAAAAATAGGTTCAAAGATTGAAATAATAGTTGATTTTCTAAAGATTTTTATAGGGTTTAAGCTGATTTAAAAAATAATATAGATTATTTAAATAAATTTAGAATAATATTTATCATTTAAATTTATTTATCTTTTGAAAAAGAAATAAATATTTTAGAGTATTAATTTGGTTATATTAAAATAAAAGGGAAAAGTGTTACTTTTTTATTTTGGTTTTCTATTTTGTGTAAAATCTAATGAGTGAGTTCTTGATTTAACTAATTTTTTTTTGATTTCTTATGAGATTTGTTAGTTTATTAAAAGATTCATTCCAAGTTAACCTAAATTTTTATCATTTTTCACAAATAAATTAATCATTTATTTATTCTCAAAAAATAGACTTTCTTAGATAAATTTATAATTTTGCTAATAACACGAAGATTAAATTCATATAAAATTAATCAAATTTCAATTTTATTAAAAATTTCAATTTTTTTAATGCAGTCACTCTATTTTCCTTTCCAAACATATTTTTTTTTTTGAATGATTAAGAAAACAAATTAAGTTTTAAGTGTTTTCTTAAATATCTTATGACTATTTTTGGTATTAATAGTTTTGATTAAAACTTTATTTCCGTATTTATTGTAAGGTTGATCTGTATTTAATAAAATTTTTTTGGAGATGTAAAAATATAATTCTCAAGTACTTGTTATTTATTAATGTAATCTGAATAAATTATCACGTAAAAAGATAATCTGATTAATTTGGAAATCATAAAAGGATGAAGGAAGTAAGGAGTGAATGATTGAAATAAATTTCTTTAGTAGAAAATATACACTAAAGATTAAGCGTTTTAATAAACATTTTGAATTACTCTCTTTTTATATAAATTATGCACAAAAATTGACTAGTTAATCCAAAAATTGTGGTTATGATTTATTTTTAATTAAAAACAATTTTTTCTAATATTTCTTTATCCTATTTTCTTTAAAGATCTTCTAGGATTTGAAAAATTTATCTATTAAAATTTTGAATTAAGTTAAAGAATAAAATTCGGATATATTTTTTTTATGCCTCCTTGAATCAAACAACTTTTTGTCTCTTTTTGCTATTTATTATGATGGTTTTATAAAGTAGATACATAAAAATAGAAAAAAAGTAAATTTAGCTTGAAATAAGATTATTTTTATTTAGACTTTATGCTTATTTTTTTTAACAAATGATTGTATTCTTTGTAATAAATGATAAGTCAGTAATATAGATTTATAAACACCAAAATAGCTATTTAATATAAATGGGAATTTGTATGAAAATCAAAAATTTTGTTAAATAAGCGATGAAAAAAACACCGTAAGATAGATAGATAGAATAATAAGGATAATTAATTAATTATTCAATGAAGATTTGTGAATTATTTTTTAATTTAATTTATTAAAAAAATATAATTCATTTTTCAATAAAAAAAAATTCAAACAAAAAAATAATAATCACAAAAACTTAATTAAGACTACATACATACTATTTAGTATTAAAAAAATTGTTTAGCTTTTTACAGTTGTTCTAAATAAATAAGCAAAAAAGCATTAATATAGCCAAATAGCAAAATAGTAGACTTAAGTAATTATTTTTAAAGCTCTCTCTAAAGCATAAAATACATTATATACTAAGACACTACTCATAATAAGGAATACTTTTGAATCTCATTTATAGCAGCCTGACGACTATTTTCTTATAAATTTATAAACAGCGAAGATGAATAAAAAATTTTCAATATTTGCATAACTTCTAGTTTTGGTTGGTCTATACTTCTTCGTTAATGAAGTCAAAAACAACTTTTAAAATGACATTAGCTACATATTGACTCGTGCTTTTATGCTAAATACATTGATAAGTGCTTTCTTATTCTTTTAAAAAAAATAAAGAGATTTTTTTTTCGATGATGATGACATTCTATTTTACAATATCCAAGGTTATAATTACTTTCATTTGTTTTGGCTTTTAAACATATTGCTTAACATCGCGATGATAGTCAACAACTTTTCTAGAAAACTGTTTGTTTTAACAGACTCTACTGAAGACTGGATTTATGTTTTCTCTATGTTCTTCTCTACTTACATACACTACAGCTTACACTACTAAGTTGTCAGCTTTACTTAAATGTTTTCACAAACTTCTACAGCCTGCATATTCCATTTCCTACATTACTCTAACTCATTTATCAGCTTTTTATCCTACTTAGTCATAAATTAGCTCTCTTACTCAGACAACTAATACAAATTACTTTAAAAGTTGCTCTTCTAGCTTGTTTTTTGTAAATTTTTCATTATTTTGAGTATGCCTCTGGCCGGCGACATTGGAAAAGTCTGCTACTCTGTAATGCTTTTACTAGAAATAAAAAGTTCACTCTAAGACATTGATAATAATTTAATTGATTAATCAAAGTAAAGCTAATAAAATAACTCGACTAATAACTCTCTATATAATAATAATAACACTTAAAAAACTTAATTTTTACTAATTTTGGCTGCAATTACCTTCTCAATCTTATGCTTCTCCATGTATAAAGTTTATAAAGCTTGGAAGTATCTTGAATTATACAACATTTTTTCTGACAGAAATTTAGGTCATAATCCTTAAAGACGAGCTGTTGATATTTCCAGTAACAATATTAGATAAAGAGCAAAATCTACAGATGGCTTGAACGAAGTTGAGCTACAAACTCTAAAAAAGACATAGTTTGAAGCCATCTAATTAGAGCCTAAGCAGAGTTAACCAAGCCAAACATGCTCTATCTGCTTTTTAGAAATCGAAAATAAAAGTTCTATATATGAATTGGAGTGTAAACACATGTTTCATTCTGAGTGTTTAGATACTTGGCTAAAAAATAAAAATAGCTGTCCAAACTGTAGGTCAAAAGTCATTTAAAGGAGTTAGCTAGTAATTTAAAGCTTGGAAGATTCTGATATTTCCATTTCAACCAATAGCAATACTAATAATAATGATTAGCTTTTCTAGCAAATTATGAGGTAAAACGGTGATTTGATTGACTAGCAAATTATCTAAATTGGCCACTCTGATATCCATAATCAAAACGAAAATTAAGAAGAAGGATAAATATACAACCCTTAACCCAGCATAGGTAACATAGTAGATGCAGATGAAGAAAATCATATTCATCACATTCCAAGAACATCAGATAATTTACAGTACTCTAGTTAGCAATATTTATAGGCCGCTCATTATTGATTAATTTATTTAATAATAAAGCATAATAATCAATGAATTTAATATAAACTTAAAACTAAAACCATGTATATCAATCGATCATTTAACAATCTTATAAAAAAAATATTTTCTTATTTTATCTATTTATTATTTAATATATTTTTGTATTTATTTTATTAATTTATATCTAAATTCATAAAATCATTCTTTCGTTACTCATTCTTTATTTTTGTTAAAATTGAATAAGAATATCTCATAAAAAAGAAAGATAAGATTGAAATAATTTGAATTTATTATTTTGCTTAAATATATCTTTAAAATTAAATGTATTAAGTAAGCATATAAATATTTTTGATTATTTTTATTAATGCTTTTTAATTTTGTTAGTGTAAACTGTAATTATGATTTGTAAAGCAATTAAATTCCAATTTATTAATAAAATAGTAGAAATATAGCTATTTCTCACTAGAAATCAATCGTTAAATTAAAATAAATGCACTCAGATCTAAGTAATGATTAGCTGTGAAAAGCTATTCAATTTTTAAAAGTCGTTTAATAAAATAATTTGAAAATGTTTTGCTCAATTAAGTAGCAAAAATATCTTTTTTCTGATAAAAGATATTTCGAAATATGTATTTTAGAACAAATAATTCAAATTTAATTTTAACATCAGAAATTATCAAAACATTACTTTGAGTTTAATTTTTAAATTTCATACTTGAATAGATAATATTTTGAAGTGTTTGTCACTTTTATTTATATTCTTTTATAAACAATTTTTGTTAACTTATTTTTTTATTCAAGAAATAGGTTAATAGTAAAACATATTAAAATATTGCTTTGTTTATTTATTTTTTATTTTTCTATCAATCTATTTATAAATTAATTTATAAATATAAATACTAATTTATCAAAATTGTTAAGAATTTAAAAATAAATCTAAAATTAAGTTTTAAATGTATTATTTTAACAATCCTAGTTTTTGTTAAATAAATTATATGCTTTTTTAAATTAATTTCACAAAAAATTAAATAGAATTATAAACATTTGTCTCAAAAATAATTATTTTATTTCAAAAAATGTTTAATTAAAAATTAAAATATTTGAAAATAAAATTGTTCAAAATAAATAATTGATTCAAATACATGTTAATTAAATACTGAAAAAAAATAGATTTAGCAGAATTTTTATAAAGTTAGATTAATAACTGATATTAAAAGATTAAACAATTAATTAATCCCTTATTTTAAGGATAAAATGTGTGATTTTCTAAAAAACTATTTTTCTTGATGATATCTTTTTATTTAAAAGTATCTTTTTGTTTGTTTTAAACAAACTCAAGCTCATAAACATCATTTTTTTTTGATAATTTTAACGAAATTATAATTTACATAAAAGTAATAGAAAAAATTTGGCATCAGTAGTTTAAAAGCGTTAGGAAACCTCATAAATAACTTAATTAATTTTTTACTATTAATTTTTCATATATATCGTTAATTGAAAGCAATTGAAAGCTCAAGATAAGATAAATACATAAACAAATATTTTAGTGTAATAAAAACATTAATAAATATTATTTATTGTACTGATACATCAATTTAATTACTAAAAATAGCTATATAAGAAATATAAACAAATATAAAAAATTTAAATAAAATAATGTAAATATAAGACAAAAAATAAAGTCCATCAAAATATTTATTAAAAATTTTTTTGAAAAAAAGTTTTGTTCCAGAATTAATTTTTTAAGGAATCAGATTGGTAAATCCCTCCTTATTTTAAGCACTACTTATTTCACTTTATATCCTTTTTCTATTACTAAAATATCCTAAATAAAATACTTTGATTCATTATAAAAATTTTAAAAAAGAAATAGGCATCTTTTTTTTAGCCTAAATATTTTTAGATGAAATTTCTTAACTAGATTTCTTGCTAAAGAGAATAATAAATTTCATAAGAATCTAAAGTAATTTATGACGAAATTTAACTTATAATAAGAAACTGTGATTAATTAAATGGTTCTACTTCTTAATCGAAACTTTTTTTAGGCAAATTAATCAACAATAACTAATTATAAGACATTATATATCAGTTTTTATATTAGATAGAGTTAAATTTACAACTAAAAAATGCAAACAAATGCTTTTAATTTAAAAAGCATATTTTGATAATTTTAAACTTATTAATTATCATAAAAAACTTACTTAACCATCACTAGAAAAGTAAAGAAAAGAAAATATACTTTTGTTTTATTGAAAACTAACAAAAATAAGCAAAAAACTTTTGTTATTTATTAAATAAAAAAATTAAGCATCAATCAATCAATAAACAGACAAACAAACAAACAAACATCTACTTATTTATACATAATAACAGCAGATAAGCACTTAGAAATAAACGAACAAAAACAAATAAAACAAAATGATGATTTGCTCAAAACTAGATTTATTTTCGTCTTAATTCACTTTTAACGTAGGAGGATAACACCATAAAAAGGGAACCCTTTTTGGATCATTTACTTCCATTTTAATTGTTATAGCAATGGTTTCTTACTCAATCTATTTATTTAGGTAATATGATCTGAATTAAATATAACCTAACTACAAATCCCAAAATTTTATTACAGAAGAAACAATAACAATTGATTTGAATTCAGACTTAATTGGATTTAGATTTGAACACAGTTTGAACAAGAGTATTGATATATTAGAAAAGGAGAATGGTAAAACTTATGTTGTATTTCTTGCTTATTTCTTAAATTAAGATGAGAATGAGAATACAATGATTCCGCTTGATATTATAAAGTGCTCAAGTAAAAATCTGAAAGGATATTATTGCTTAGATTTTACCAAAGTATCAGATATTGCACTCACTCTTAATTCTAATCAAGGTGTATTATCTTAAATCAAGATCTTTACTTATGGTTGTTTAGATATTGATGCATAAAAAAAATATGTTCCAGATAATTGCGCAAGCTAAGCAGAAATAGATTATATAATAAATGCAGTAGATGGAGGTATAAAATTTAGATTGTACACTTCTTAATTTAACACATAAACCAGAAAAATTTAAACTAATTATAGAACTTTCTTTATTTACACAATGTATAGTGCTTAAATACTTTCAACTTTTAAAGCCTAAAAGTAGGTTACTTCTGTGACCTAAGGAATGTTAATTCAAGATGTAGAGGCTTTTTCTTCTCCTTTAGAGTATGATTTGCAAAATCAGACTTTAAGCAGAAGCGATTGTATAGCATATGCAGGTGTTAGCTATTACAGCTAGGTAGCCTTCTTAGTTGATGAAATGTATTAAGAAATTTAAATTTAATATCCAACCCTGCCCTAAGTTCTAGCTCTTGTTAACGGTGTTTTTACTCTTTTAATGATTTCTGGAGTTCTGTGCAGAGCTATTTCAAAAAGATCAATAAAAAAAGATTTTATGATGCTTTTTTTGTAAAGTATTTATCCAGGCTCTTACCTAAAAATGCTAAAATCAATGAATTTACATCAAGGTATTAGCTAAACATTATAAAATAAAAATGTAGATTAAATAGAAGCTAGAAAAAAAGAAGTTAAAAAAGTAGAAAAAAAGTCTAGCTTGGATGAAATTGAAGAGAAAATAGAAGGCGAAACAAACAAAATACCATCTTTCTTTCAAAAATAAAAATTATTTGGATTTATGAGATAAGCTTCTAATTAAAAAGTAAATCATCATGGATCCTGCCAAAATTTGAACAATGTTTCTAATACGATGAGTAGTTCTCCTATAAAATAGAATGCAAAAAACAGTTTAATTGTTATGCAGCAAGAATAATTTTTGTTTGAGAAATCTAATAGAAAATCTTAAACTAATTTATTGGTGGAAAATTAATCCTTGCCAAATCAATTTTAAGATAATTAAGAATGTTTAAAGAAATCAGAGTCTAATATTTTATCTTTCTCTGATAAAGCACTTTCAGTTAATTCAATCTAAAAAATGTTCTCTAATATTAAACCTAATTAGACTAAAGAAATTAATACAGAAACTAATTAAAATAATTCCAATTAGTTATAAAAATTCAATTTAGTGAATAATTTTAATTTTTCAGAAAAAATTCGAAGAATAATTTTTGGATACAAGTAATTAAATTATTTTTTTATTAATTAAAAAATGAATGACTATTTTTGAATACTAAAAAGGTGTTGCAATAAAAAAGAATATTTAAAGTCAAAGGGAATCAATTAGTAAATGGTAAAACTAGTCGAAAATCAAGTGAATAAAGGACTTGACATATTATAGGTATATCAAGACATCATTTTATTGAAAAAAGCAATAATGATGATTTTAACAAAAGACTAGTTGGCTTCTTTGCAACTTATTGGTTGTTCATCTGATTATTTAAACTCCAATTTAAGTCATTGTGGCTGTTTATCTGTTGAAGGTATTTATTTAATTTGAATGTTATTTTAATTTTACTTTAAAAATTATTTTTATTCTTATAAAGATTAACAAAATTTAAGCTACTACGAGTAGCAGTTTTCTATATCCTAATCATCACAGCTACAGAATCAGCATATTTAGTAATTTTTATCAAGATGCTAAAATAATTAAAGTCTAAGTGAAATAGATTATAGAATATTTACATCTATATGTAAAGATTTTAATGAATGATTTAAAAATTAAAAGTAGTTATTAAATAAAAATACAAGTAAATAATAACAAATTATCAAAAATAATTTTACTAAAAATAATAAAAATTATTTTTTATTTCAAAGCACATTTTCACATTTGTCTATTTATGTATGTATGAATGAATGCATGTGTTGCTGAAAATAATTAAAAATTTACAAAAAAGAAAGTGAATATAAAGTATACATAAAATAATAAAATGTTAATAACCCTTATTTGCTAATAAATATACAGATTTAAATAGAATTTAGGGAAATGAAAAAAATTGAATTTTTTCTATTTAATAAAAGTAAATCATTTGTTTATTTTATGAATAATTAAATCTTTAAATATAAAGTATCTTTTACTAAAAAATATCTTCACATATTTAATTAATCTGATAATATATTTTATCTTTACATAAAATTTTGTTAAATTAAAAATATATACATACTAACAATAATAATAAAAAGAGAAAAGAATTAAATTTTAATACAGTAAGGAGTAAAACCTGATTTAAAATTTTGAAAAATGAGTGTCAAAAATACCCCTATGGGATAGACTTCTTATTTTACCATATATATTTTAATGATCCACTAATTCGGTTATAACTTTTATTATAAATTAATGTAAATTTCAAATAAATATTAAGTAAAATAACTTTTAAAATTAATTAAAAATTATTTCTTAAATTAATAAATAAAATGAACTTAGAAAAATAAAAAGATAAAGAAAAGTAAATCAAGTAAATTAAAAATAAGATCTTTATTATTTTAAATTAGTTTCTATAATTTAAAATATCACAATCCAAAACAAATGAATTCTTTTTACCGAAGGTTAAGTGTCAAATTTAAGAGATTAATACAATTTGCTAAACTAGAACCTAAGCTTGATGGCCCTATATCATTAGAACTTTTTTTATTTAAATATTGAAGAAAAATTTATCAATAAATAGTTAATTAGAAAGAAAAAATGAAGAAAAAATAATTAGATTAAAAATAATAAAAGTAAATATTAAAAATAAAATAATAATTTAAATTAGCTTAGAAAAAATAGAAAAAGTAAATTACACAATAAAAATAAAAAAACAAATAAATAAAATAAGTTAAGGAATTTTTATTATTTTAAATTAATTTTTATAATTAAAAATATCACAATCCAAAATAAATAAACTCTATTTACCTAAGGTCAAGTGTCAAATTTGAGAGATTAATGCAATTAGTCAAAGCAGAACCTAAGCCTGATGCACCTTGATAACCAATTTTGTTGTCACTTTTTAAATATTGAATAAAAAATATATCATTAATTAGAAGGACAAATATGAAATAATAAGATTAATTAATTCATAATAAAAGTAAAAATTAAAAATAAAATAAAATAAAATAAAGATTTAAATTAGCAAAGAAAAATAAAAGCAACCAAGCATAATAAAAAGAAAATGAAATTTAAAGAAATTAAATTAAATTAAAAGATCTTTATTGTTTTAAATTAATTTTTATAATCAAGTATATCATAATCCAAAATAAATAAGCTGTTTTTACCAAAGGTTTAGAGTTAAATTTGTGAGATTAGTGCAATTTCCTAAAGCAGAACCTAAGAGTAATGTACCTTGATCGCCAATTTTATTGCTGCTTTTTAAATATTTATAAAAAATATATAATTAATTAGTTAATTAGAAGGAAAAAATGAAGAGAAAATACTAAATAATAAGATGAATTAATAATAAAAACAAAAGTTGAAAGTAAATAATGAGTTAAAGTAATAAAGATTGAAGAAAAAGCAAGTAAGCACAATCAAATTAGTTTTTATAATTAAAAATATCACAATCCAAAACAAATAAACTGTTTTTACCTAAGATTAAGTGTCAAATTTGAGAGATTAGTGCATTTTACTAAACCAGAACCTAAGCCTGATGCACCAATTTCACCAATGTAATTAGAACTTTTTAATTGAAGAATAAAAATAATATGAAATAGTAAGATTAATAAATAATAAAAGTAAAAATTGTAAAGAAAATAAAATAAAATAAAGAGTTAAATTAATAAAGAAAAAAGAACAAGCAATCAAGTATAATTAAAGAAAAAGAAAACTAAATCAAATAAATTAAAAATCTTTATTGTTTTAAATTAGATTTTATAATAAAAATATTGCAATCTAAAAGAAATAAACTCTTTTTACCAAAGTTTAAGTTCCAATTTTGAGAGATTAATGCAATTTGCTAAAGCAGAACATAAGCCTGATGCGCCTTGATTACCAATTCTATTCTCACTTTTTAATTTTGAAGATAAAATATAAAATTAATAAGTTTATTAGAAGAAAAAAATAAAGAAAAAATATAAAATAATAAGATTAATTAATTAATAATAAAAGTAAATATTTAAAATTAAATAAAAATTTAAATTAGTAAAAAAAGAAAAAACAAACAAGCAAAATAAAAAGATAAAGAAAAATAAATCAAATAAATCAAAAAGAATTTATTGTTTTAAATTATTTTTTATAATTAAATATATCACAATCCAAAACAAATAAATTCTTTTTACCTAAGGTTAAGTGTCAAATTTGAAAGATTAATGCTATTTGCTAAAGCAGAACCTAAGCCTGATGCACCAATTTCGCCAATTTTATTGTAACTTTTTAAATATTGAAGAAAAAATATAAATTTAATTAGTTAATTAGAAGGAAAAAATGAAGAAAAAATATGAAATAATAAGAAATAAATAATAAAAGCAAAAGTTGAAAATAAAATAATTAGTTAAAGTAATAAAGAAATAAGATTATCAATCAAGCACAATAAAAACAAAAAGAAAAATAATTCAAATAAATTAAAAGAACTCTATTGTTTTAAATAAGTTTTTATTATTAAAAATATCACAATCCCAAATAAATAAACTCTTCTTACCTAAGGTCAAGTGTCAAATTTGAGAGATTAACGCAGTTTATCAAAGCAGAACCTAAGCCTGTTGCACCTTGATAACTAATTTTAGAGTCACTTTTTAAATGTTGAATAAAAAATATACAATTAATTAGCTAATTAGAAGAATAAATATTAAATAATAAGATTAATTAATTATAAAAGTAAAAATTGAAAATAAAATTGAATTTAAATTAGTAAATAAAAAAGGAAAGAAAAGCAAACAAGCTCAATAAAAATAAATCAAATAAATTAAAAGATCTTTATTTTTTAATATTAGTTTTTATAATTAAAAATATCATAACTCAAAATAAATAAACTCTTTTTACCTAAGGTCAAGTGCCAAATTTGAGAGATTAGTGCAATTTGCTAAAACAGAACCTAAGCCTGATGCACCATCATCACCAATTTAAATGTTACTTTTTAAATATTGAAGAAAAAATATTTCATTAATAAAAGCTAAATTTTAAGCAATGTTAAAATTTTTAAAATTTAAAAAAAAATATTCGTACCCCTCCCCCCCTCCCTTAAATTAGTAAATAAAAAAGCAAAAAAGCATAATTAAAAGAAAATGAAAATAAATCATATAAATTAAAATATTTTGATTGTTTTAAATTAGTTTTTAAAAATAAAAATATCATAATCAAAAACAAATAAAATCTATTTACCTAAGGTTAAGTGTTAAATTTGAGAGATTAAGGCAATTTGCCAAAGTAGAACCCAAGCCTGATGCACCAGTTGCACCAATTGAATTAGAACTTTTTAAATTGAAGAAAAAATATGAAATAATAAGATTAATTAATAATAAAAGTAAAAATTGAAAATAAAATAAAGATTTAAATTAGCAAAGAAAAAATAAAAACAACAAAGCATGATAAAAACAAAAAAGAAATATAAATAAATTAAATTAAAAGATCTTTATTGTTTTAAATTAATATTTATAATTAAAAATATTGCAATCAAAAACAAATAAACTCTTTTTACCTAAGGTTAAGTGTTAAATTTGAGAGATTAATGCATTTTGCTAAACCAGAACCTAAGCCTTATGCACCGTCGTCACCGATTTCATTCCTACTTTTTAATTGAAGAAAAAATAAATAATTAATTAGAAGGATAAAATGAAGAAAAAATTTTAAACAATAAAAAATCTTTTTTGTTTTAAATTAATTTTTATATTTTTGAATATCACAATTAAAAAAAAATAAACTCTTTTTACTTAAAGTTAAGTGCCAAATTTGAGAGAGTAGTGCTATTTGCTAAAGCAGAACATAAGCCTGACGAACCTGCATCACCAATTTCATTCCAGCTTTTTAATTGAAGAAAAAATATATTGTTAAGTTTTTAATAAGAAAGATATAATTAAGAGAAAATATGAAATGATAAGATTAATTATTAACAAAAGTAAAAGTTGAAAATAATATAATGAGTTAAATTAACAAAGATTGAATAAAAGGAAAGCAAGCAAGATAAAAAGAAAAATAATTCATATAATTAAAAGATCTTTATTGTTTTAAATTAGTTTTTATAATTAAAAATATTGTAATCCAAAACATATAAATTCTTTTACCTAAGGTCAAGTGTCAAACTTGAAAGATTAGTGCAATTTGCTAAACCAAAACCTAAGCCTGATCCACCATCATCACGAATTTAATTTCTACTATTTAAATGAAGAAAAAATATATAATTAAAATAATTAATTAGAGGTAAAAAATTAAGAAAAAATATGAAATAATAAGATTAATTAATTAATAATAAAAGCTAACATTTAAAAAAAATTAAATAGTAAATAAAAAAATAAAGCAAGTAAGCACAATAAAAAGAAAGATAATTCAAATAAATTAAAAGATCTTTATTGTTTTAAATTAGTATTTCTAATTAAAAATATTGCTATCCAAAACTTATAAATTCTTTTTACTTAATGTCAAGTGTCAAATTTGAGAGATTATTGCAATTTGCTAAAGCAGTACCTAAGCCTGATGCACCTATTGCACCAATTTAATTGCTACTTTTTAAATATTGAAGAAAAAAAATATAATTAATTTGTTAATTAGAAGGAGAAAATGAAGTAAAAGTTGTATATTAATTAATAATTTAAATTAAAAAAGATTGAAATAAAAGCAAGTAAGCACAATAAAAAGAAAAGAAAAATAAATCAATTAAATTAAAAAATCTTTATTGTTTAAAATTAGTTTTAATAATTAAAAATATCACAATCCAAAACAAATAAATCTTTTTACCTAAGATCAACTATTAAATTTGAGAGATTAGTGCAATTTGCTAAACCAGAACCAAAGCCTGATCCACCTTGATCACCAATTTAATTGTTACTTTTAAATATAGAAAAAAAATATATTGAAATTTATAATTAATTAGTTAATTAGATGAAGTAATAAAGAAAAAATATGAAATAATTAGATTAATTAATTATAAAAGTAAAAATTGAAAATAAAATAAAGAGTTAAATTATCAAAGAAAAAATAAAAAGCAATCAAGCAGAATATAAATAAATAGAAAATAAATCAAATAAATTAAAGGATCTTTATTGTTAAATTAGTTTTTATTTAAAATTAAAAATATCACTACCCAAAACAAATAAGCTCTTTTTACCTAATGTTAATTGCCAAATTTGAGAGATTAGTACAATTTGCTAAAGTAGAACTTAAGCCTGATGCACCTTGATCACCAATTTAAAGAAGGGCTAAGCGACTCGAGTGGGCGAGTCGGAGGGTCTTAGCAGTGATATCGGGGGTTCGAATCCTATACCGCCCCCTTTATTTCGAAAAATTCCATGTAAAAATGTGAATGTTACCAGCGGTCTCCTTGGTAGGAGGGAAGGGCCAAATCTGATAGGTGGTAAAGAGGAGGCCCCATTCTGAACAGAAGATCTGGAATACAAATGGGAAGCGAGCATAATGCGTAGTCAAATCATGGAAGATTAGTAGAAATGCCATTAGGGTGTAGGTGACCCTTCCCTTCTAATATATTACCCACAATTATATATAAATAAATTGGTATACGTATAATAATAATGTATAAGTAATTATATATAGGGCCCCTATCCCGAGTGCATGTCACCATGTGCGAGTATGTATGTATGTATCACCAATTTAATTGTCACTTTTTAAAAATTGAAGAAAAAATATATCATTAATTAGTTTTTTAGAAGAAAAAAATGAAGAAAATAAATAATAAATAAAAATAAAGTAAAAATTGAAAATAAAACAAAAATTTAAGTTAGTAAATTAAAAATAAAAATTATAATAGTAAATTAAATAAATTAAAAGATATTTATTGTTTTAAATTAGCTTTTATAATTAAAAATATCACAATCAAAAGCAAATAAACTCTTTTTACCTTAAACTAAGTGTCAAATTTGAGAGATTAGTGCAATTTGCTAAAGCAGAACCTAAACCTGATGCCCCAGTCGCAGAAATTTAATTCTTACTTTTTAATTGAAGAACAAATATATTATTAATTAGTTAATTATAAGGATAAAATGAAGAAATAAATAAAAATGAATTAATAATAAAAGGAAAATTGAAAATAAAATAAAGAGGTAAATTAATAAAAAAAGGAGATAAAGCAATCAAGTGCAATCAATATAAAGAAAAAGAAAAATAAATCAAATAAATTAAAAGATATTTATTTTTTTAAATTAATATTTAAATTAAAAAATCACAATCCAAAACAAATAAACTCTTTTTACTTAAGATTAAGTGTCAAATTTGAGAGATTAGTGCAATTTGCTAAACCAGAACCTAAGCCTGATGTACCCTAATCGCCAATTTAATTAGTCCTTTTTATTTGAAGTAAAAATGTAAAATAAATTAGTTAATTAGAGGAAAAAAATGAAGAAAAAAAGAAATAACAAGATTAATTTATAATAAAGTAAACATTTAAAATAAAATTTAAATTTGTAAATAAAAAGAAAAAGCAATCAATCAATCATTATAAAAAGAAAAAGAAAAATAAACCAAATAAATTAAAAGATCTTTTTTGTTTAAAATTAATTTTTATAATTAAAAATATCACAATCCAATGCAAATAAACTATTTTTACCTAATGTTAATTGTCAAATTTGAAAGATTAGTGCAATTTGCTAAAGCAGAACCTAAGCCTGATGCACCAATTGCGCCAATTTAATTGTTACTTTTTAAATATTGAAGAAAAAACAAATAAATAATTGTTAATTAGAAGAAAAAAATGAAGAAGTAATAAATAAAATAAAATAAAGATTTAAATTAGTAAATAAAAAAAGAAAGCAAACACAATAAAAAGAAAAATAAAAATAAATGAAATAAATTAAAAGATCTTAATTGTTTGTTTAAAATTAGTTTTTAAAATTAAAAATACACAATTAAAATTAAATAAACTCTTTTTACAAAAGGTTAAGTGTCAAATTTGAGAGATTAACACAATTTGCTAAAGCAGAACTTAAGAATGATACATCTTCGTCATACATATAACTGGAACTTTATAAATATTGAAGAAAAATATTCATTAATAATTAAAAATAATAGTAAAAGTTAAAATTGAAAATAAATAATGAATGAATGAGTTAAAATAACAAAAAATGAAGGAAAAAAATCAAATAAAAATAAAAGAAATAAATTAAAAGAAGTTTATTGTTTTAAATAAGTTTTTATAATTTAAAATATGATAATCAAAAATAAAATAACTCCTTTGATAAAATATTGACTGACATAAAGAGCAAAAAATCAAGAAAAAATATCAAATAATAAATAATTAAAAATTGAAATTAACATTAAGTTAAAATTGATAAAAAATATTTGATAAATATTGATGAGAATTTCAATTAGAAAATTATTTTTTTAATAAATTGAAAATTAAATATATAAAAAACATTAAATAATATTTTAAATAAACTGAATGTTAAATAAAAAGAGAATGATAATAATAATAATAATTATAAATTAAATATACTTTAGATCAATATGGAGAACCTAATGAGATTAAAGTGAAGAGTTAAAAAACTTTTTATGTTAGAAAAAATTAATTTAAAGTATGTTGATAAAAAAATAAATAATTACATCACTTAATTGGTAATAGTATTTAATCTATTATATCATTTATATTTTTCTTTCAAAAATATACAATAGCAATTTATCCAAATTAAATAAATTTTTTATAAGTAGATAAAAAGAAAAATTAATTATATCAATTTATAAACTCACTTCTAGAAAGAGATATCATAAAAAAGAAAGTTAGTTTAAAATTCATTTTTAAATGTTAATATTTCTATTTAAAATGCGTACTTATAAATACAATATTAACTATCTAGAATTTGATATAAGGGATAATGAGAATATGAACTCAATAATATAAAAAATTTTAGAGGTATTTACACTTAATTAATTCTAATTATTTTTAATAAAAAATTTAAAAAACATAAAATTATCAGTTAATTTAACATGCTATATAAAATTAAAACCATTATAAATTAATAAAATATTAAATACAAATTTTCATTTAAACAATTTATTTGAATACATTTTAGAATTAACTTAATTAATTAGATTAAGCTATTAAAATAATTATTAATTTTTATTTTCCATATGAGGAAATAGGTAATTCATTTTTTTAATTATTTATTGTAAAGAAATAAATGATTTAGATATTTATTATTACATTTATAGAATAAATTAATTAAATTTGATTATAAATATCTAAAACATATTTATAAGAAAATTTCATTAAAATGATATTTAATTAATATGACATTTATCTATTATTTAGAAAATAAAATATGATTAATTATTATTCAAAATATAGAACATTTCTGATTTTTTTCTTTTTCATAAGTAACGTCGTTTACTTAATTTTCAAGATTTGTATCTGAGTCTTGAGAATCTTTTATTTTTTAAACTTTTAAACTCTATTGCTATAACTGCTGAATTACAATATTAAACTCACTTTTTGTTTGGGATTCCTAGATAAAATATGATAAGACAGCATTTTAGCTTTTTTCAATGTTGATTTTGAGGTATATTTTAGTAAAACCTAGATTGTAGTTAAGTTCACTAGGGACTAACGGTTTGTATTGTGAGTTATGTACAAAATTCATTAGGAAATTTATCTGTAAAATATTTATTTGTTCTATAATAGTCATTACAAGTTAGTTTTTACTTAGTAGTTGAAGGAGAGGCTGTTTGCCATTCTCAGAAATATCTTTAATGAGATTTTTATCATAAATTGGATTTTAAATAGAGAATATATCCCCATTTAGTTAAGATTTATTTTCATTATTGATTACTTTACTACTGCCACAATCTTAGCTGCTGTTTTCGTGTGTTTTACTTTGGGAAAAATATTTTTAACTGCTTTACTAGTGAAAATAGTCATTCAAGAGCAAAATAAACAACACATTACCCTTAGTGTTTTTAAAGCATTCTCTGTAAACATGATTGTAAATTCCATTTTCATCAAAAAGAAGTAGTCTGCCTTCTTCTTTATGAATGATTATGCAAATATCGTAATTAAATTATAATTTAAAATTTTAGAGTTGAGATTTTTACAAGTGAAAGTGATGAATAGTTATTTATAAATTAAGCTACTAATTAATGATATTCAAAAGCTTTTCGAATTCATCATTTAAATCTTTCTTAAGGGAGATAATGGCAGCAGTCATAATTCTATTTTTTTCACAAATCATTGCATTGTATATGAAGAAATTGTTGTTTATTTTGATTCCTAACTACTCATTACAACTCATGCAGAACACATAAAGAAAGTGATCATCTTCAGCTTCAGGATCTATTTTATAATTGAGTAAACCACTCAAAATCATGAAATGTTTTTCCTTTTTTTAAATAAATGTTTTATATCCCAAAAGTAGCTAGCATCCCCTACAAATTAGTATGTTGCATTTGAATGAAGGGTTTATTTCTTTAGTAAATGAGCTATTTTTTTCATCAATAGTAAAATAAGAAGGTCTTGTAGGAAAATTATCTTTTTCAATTTAATTTGAAGAGCATTTAATGTCTGCATCTATATTTTTTTAAGAAGAGAATAAGTAAACATCATTGATATTCATATTTGATGTTAAAAACTGCTTTTATTAGCTAGGAAAAGACTAAGGTAAACCGCTTTTATCGCTACTATTTAATTCCATTCTTGTTTTACTCTTTGATTAAAATACATTCAAAATATTTGATTTATAAATCTTTTTATAGTATCATAACGATTAATCTCCTTATTTTTAATTTAATTTTTTTAAAGTCAAGCAATTTAACAAAAAATTTTATATAAAAAGCAAATTTTCAAAACATTTCATAAAAAATGTCTGAGTTTTGTAAATTCAAAATTTAATAATTTAAGTAGAACAAAACAATTTTTACAGAAAACAAATTTAATCAAATAAAAAATAATAATGTTGTTTTTCTGAATTATTTTTGAAATAATTAAATTTTTGCATTTTTATAATTTTTGAATTTTTTGTAATAGTTTAAATTAAAATTGATTTACATGAATAAAAACTTTATTATATAAAACAATTAAAATTATTTAATTAATTTATGTATGTAAATATGCATGTATGTATATTCAAGTCTGTTTCACATATCTAAATCAGAATCCCACATTCTATTTACAAAAATTTAAAATTAATTTGTTAATTTCAATTAAATATAAAATTACCTAGGATCTAAATCGTTGTCATCCTTATCATAAAATCCAAAGTATTCGCCACTTTTTATAATAAAATTATTAATTTTAAATTTAAAAATTTTTTTTAGTTTCAAATTGCCAATTTTAGTAAATAAAATAGCATCAATTTACAAATTATTTATTTTTTTAAAACTATATTGCTTATTAAATCAATTTTTGCTTTATCTAACTTATAATCCTGATATTATTTTAGTTTGTATGCATAATTCCCATATTAAATATACACGCTTAGTTATTTATTTAGTTAAATTTAATTTCTTATTTTGATGAATTTTTGCTTTATTGAATTTGCAATAATATCTATCTTAATTTGCTTGTAAAATTACCTATTCTTTTACTTTTTTTGGTTATTTATTTATTTATTTATTTATTTATTTATTTATTTATTTATTTATTTATTAGTTGATGCAATATTTGTTTAAGTTTTGATAATTTTTGAGAATTTTGTATAAATTGTTTACTTAATGTCATCTCCAAAATCGTAACGGTCTTGTCCTAAAACATTCTTGTCATATTCCTCAACACTCTCTATCCATTCTCTGTTATATTCATAATATTTTCTCTCTTTGATGTTCTCTGATAGATCTGGATGGTATTCCTAAACATTTTAAACAATTTAAAGGTATAAAAAATACACTAAAATAATAAAATAAATAATTACTCTTAAGATATCAAGAACATCATCATTAACTTATTTTAAAACTTAATTAGTTGAGCCGATTATATTGAGAAGTACCATTAGAATTTCTTGCTATTCTAATATGAACTAGATACCAATTTTATGATGCAAAAACTAATACAAAGCATATATATTTTATGACAAAAACTCTTCGTCTTCATGCTTAGAAATTAGTAGCTCGGCAATGAAAATCATAAACTTATTTTCTTAATTTGAAAATTTTAATTTTAATAAAAGAATTAATTAATTCATTTTACTTGCTAAGGTTTCTGCACTCTTAGGTGAATTGCAAATAGATTATATGAGCTAAACAGTTTCCAAAATAATATCATCTTCAACTATCTATTGAGAGATATTTGCATGTAAAAACTCCATAAATGTATTATTTAAATAGTTTTCCCATTTATCTCCCATATATTTAACATTAGCTAGTATTCCAATTACTTCAAATTTCAAATCTTCAATTTTAGGATCTTGAATCTTACTTTTACTTATAATCAACTTCAAGAATTTGCCTAAATTATTCTTTAAACAACAATTTAAATATTAAAAAGCACTATAAATAAATGAATGAATTTAATTTATAAATGAAATAACATAATTTTAGAATTAAATTTTTGTCTTTTTAATTCAAAATTTTAAATAAGGCTCATAAATATTTTTTTTTTTGAGAAAGATTAGAAGAATTAAATAAAGAAAGAAGAGTGTTTGATATTTATTGAATTTGAATTATTATTTTAAGAATTTACTTGTAAGCAGTCATGGGTTTCTTAGTCTTAGGAATAGATTGCAATATTTTTTATAAACTTAAATAAATTAATGTCTACGTTTTTTAAAGCTCTATCAATAACAACCTATAATTCTTCTTCAGAAACAAGCTCTGCATTCTTTTAATTAGCTGCCAAGTTGATAGCCAAAGCAACGAGCTCTTTACCTACTAGTTATTCAGGGAAATGAGCAATTAACTTAATTACCTATAATGTTTTTATATATATTTAATTTATATTTGGCATAACAATTTATTTTTAAAGTAATAAGATGAACATCAAAATGAAAAATATTGTGTTTAATTGTTTACAAGTGACATGCAATCTGTGTATGCAAAAGTGTTCCTAATTTTATCATCAAAAGAAAGAATATACAACAAAACTAATGAGTCAAAACGGAAGTTTGGCACTTTGAGTAGATCAATAATTTTAGGGATGTAATTTTCTTTTTCAATTTGCTCTCTTGCTGACTTGTCGAATGCAACGTTTTTCAAGAGACCTGAAGATAATTTGAGCAACAAGTTATTCTAGCAACTGAAAAATCTACCTAGCTTTTCTACAATACCTTCTTCTAACTTTGAGAGTTTTATTTTTTAAAAATAAAATTTTTAACTTCAAAGTAAATAGAACGACAATAAATAATTAAGTTTTACCATCTAGTTTTTGTTTTCGGTGATAATTGAGAGCTTTCTGAGGAAGAGTAAAACGACAATTAACAAATGAAAATCATTTCTTTCAAGCATACGGACAAGAATAGAAACAATCTTTCTGTTTTTCATCTTTTTTTCGATTTAGTAATCTTCTGCCAAATTCAACAAAATAGTAAACGAAATGTAGAATAATTTGTCTTGCTTTGCTATCATTAAATTTAATTTTCTAAGCTCTCTTTCTTATTGAGCTTTGTTAGATGGATCAATTTCCATATATGCGGCATAACTGAAGTCAAAACGACGAATCTGATATTCAATAACTTTAAATGTGGCATCACCAACCTTATGCTGGGTAAGGTAACTATGGAATTCCTAATAATTAGATAGAACGAAGAAAATGCACAATATATTTATGCAAAGCTCAGTGCTTTTAGAACTTTTTTCGTATTCTTCTTGCAATGTACGACTCAGTAAACTTAATAAAGAATCTACAAATTATTTAAAAATGAGTTAAAATTCTATTCAAATTTCTTAAATTATCATCAATCTAAGTAAAGCAAATATGTAATCATTATCATGAAGACTACAAAATAATTTATTATTTATTAATCAACTAATTTTTATTACCATTGGTGACAATATGTTCCATATTCTTCATATCTAACGTTAAAAGAAGAATCTTCTTAGCTGTGCTAATCTTAAGATCGATATCATCTTCATAATATGATGAAATGTAATCGTCCAACTCTTCAATACTTGCACTTAAATCTCCCATTATCGCTTCCTAAATCGTATCCTTTATATATGCTTTTGCCTTTTTGTATATTTATTGTGTTTAGTATATGTATCTAATGCTGTTTGATTTTTTTGATGGTTGTCAAACTTCTTAATTAAGTAATTTATTAATTTATTTTTTTTTTTGAAATAATTAAAATTTTAACAAATTATATTTGAATATTTTAATTAAAACTTTAAGTTTCGAATACAGCAAAAACAAACAAAGATAAAACATCAAGTCAAGTTAGCTGCTAATATATCATCAAATAGATATTTTCATTGTAACAAACAATAATCTTAAATTAATACATTGAATAAACAAATTAAGATTGTCAAATAAATAATAAAGGATTTAATAGATTCAATTCATCCATCAAAGTACAAATAAATATATATAAAAATTTTCAATTAATTATTTCTTAAAAAAAAGGGTTTTGATTAAATCCATTTAAAATATTAATTGAAATTGATGTTGTTTCTATATGGGTTGTTTTAAGGAATAATTATTGTAAAATGAATTAGCTGTTTTGAACAATTTACAATAATTTTAAAATGTATTTTTTAATTACATTTAAAAGATATTTCGGATATGAACAAGACAATAAATAAATTACTACTTCGTTTGTTGTTTGTTAGGTTGGTTGAATTTTATTTAATTGATCTAGCAATTAAAATAATTATATTATATATAAGTTTTTATTTCATTAAAATTGGGTGATATTTATTCACAATTTTACTAAATTTTAAACAAATTTTAATTAACATTTATTTTTAAAAAAGCTCTCATTCAGTTTAGTCAGAGTTTGAATTGTTGCATTTTTAGATAGTAGAAGATTCCATTTTATTTTCTACTTCAACATTTTAATCGTTCTACATTTATTGGTTTATAGATGAATCTGGAGAATTTTTATTGTTGCTTTCGTCAGATTTTTAATTAGCTTGTTGCTAATTTGTGAGGGAAGTGCTATTATTATATTTTCTTACCACTGAAACACTTTTGACAAGAACATTTTTATTAGGTTAAGCTTCGTTGTTTTGCTATTTACTGTTATTTGTTTACACATCTTTCACTTAATTAATAAATTGTTGAGCACCCTACACTTAATTTTTCTTTAATCCTACTAATTCGACTAGATTCTCTAGAAATTATAGATCTGTACGAACAACTCCTTGTTATTAATTTTATTGTTATTATTAATTTTAGGATAAATTTATAGCTGCTTGCTTTGATGAATCTTTTGATTAATCATTAGATTAATTATTGTTATTATTGCTTTCGCTCAAGTTGCTCTAATAATTTGGTGATATTATTTTTGGTGCAGTCTTTACTTGTATTATTTACTTGATACTTTCCATTTGGTTTGAAGAAGCTCCTAAACTTTTTTACTTTTCTATATTGTTAAGAGAATTTTGTAACGTGTTATTGTTTTCTTCTAACTTCTATGTTGACGATAATCCTGTTTAAGAAGTTTACTGAGTTTACTTAAGTTATTATGATGCAATAACATTTTCTAAAATAGCTGAGACAGCTTTTGTTGAATCGATTCTCATCAACTAAGCTTTAAGAGCCTGTTATGTGCTGTTTGATTATAAAGAGCTGTTTATTTTTTAATCTTCAGTTTTGCAAAGGTTTTCACTGTAATATTTAGCAAATTCATTCTAAAATTTAAGGAATTTATAGTTTTCTTTAATTTCTGTGTTTGAGTGGTTATTAGAATTTAAACTTTCTTTTGACAATTCACTGTTATTTGTATTAATTGGATTTACAGAAGATGTAAGACTTTAGTTGTTTAGTAAATTTGTTATGGCATTATGTACTTCTTAAACATTTTTACTAAAATTACTATTAGAGTTGTTATTTGTTGGCTTGGCTACTTGGTTCAAAGAATTTTAGTTCTATATTTAATTAGCTGAAAGTTTCCTCACTTTGAAAATATTGCTTGAATTATTATTGTTGCTTGTATTCTTACCCAATATGTCTTGATTACTTTCATTCATTTATAAGTACTTCAGTGAATCTTGCTATGACTAGCTATCATTTTGATTCTTATTATTATTGTCTTAAACACTATCTTAATTTTACTAGTTTCCGACAATTTGTTTTACAAGGTTTTCTATTTTTTCTGTATTTAAAACAGATAATGGAATTTGATTATCACTGCTGCCTTGATCTTATTTTGATGAACTTTTGATTTCTCCCTACTCAGAGAGGAATCTTTTTCCAAGAAGACTGCCACCTGCTGATGAAGCATCTTCCTTTTTTATTACATTTATCTTCCTGAATCCCATAACTTCACTTTTGTTTGCTTCGTTTTAAGTTATCTATTAAGATTAGTTTTACTGCTTTTAGTCTGAAAATTACTTCTCAGTAGCATCTATTTTAATAATTTTCTAGTCTTACTCGTTTTTTAATCCTAAAGAAGGAGTGCTTTCTGATTTTATGATATTTATTTGTGGGAAATTTTTATCCTCATTTTTATTTTATAATTCTTCATTAATAGCCTTTTCAGTATTTTACAAATTATCTTTATCCATTTCAGAACTAAGAGTTTTATCTGCAAAAATATCCCTTCTAGAGTTAAAGGGATGATTAAATTGATGATGAGCAAAGTTCAATTAATTGCTATGCTGGTAATTTTTATATAAAGGAATAGAATTCAAGTTAGAATTCTAATTAAATTTAGACATTGTGAATGTGTTAGTATATTTATCATTCAAAAATGGTCTAGAATTACTAGCATAGTTCATATTTGAAAAAGGAAAATCAAAATGCTTAAAATTGGAAGAAGGATCCTCAAATCGCATAGCCATGCTATTAATATTCATAATGCTGTTATCATTTTGGAAATTATTTGAATTAAAATTTTTATCTCCAAAAATATTTTGTTTAAAAGTATAACCTTTCTTTTGAGAAGGGTTGATGGGACTTTTAAGAAGAGATTTATTTATTAAATTTGAATTAGTGCTATGCAACTGCTAGTTGAATAAAGTATTCTAAATGTTAGCATTTGAAGTTGTGTTGAATATGTTATTTAATGAGTTGAAGTTATAGCTTTAATTGTTATGGAATTGATAGCTGTCTTAATTAAATAAATTGAAATTGCTAAAATTATGTTTATATTGCAATGGCGAAGTATTTTTAATAAGATTTTAGCTTTGTTCGTTGTATTAATTTTAATTATTTTGTTTATCAGTTTAATCTTTTTTCTCATTTTATTAATTGTTTTCGTCTTGGTTATTATTAGAGTATTATTCATCAAATTCTTCTTCATCCTCCTCTTCGTCTTCTTCTTCTTCATCATCATCTTCATTATCTTCATCAAACTCTTCTTCTTCCTCTTCTCGTTCTCCTTAATCTTTATTATCATTATAACAGTTACTTAGCTGTTGCTATTCCTGGAGATTGATTAATTGCTGCTGTTGAGCCTTTTCATTTTATTTATTTAATATATTCTCTGTATTTATTTATTGGTTGTTATTTTAGTTTATTTATCCTTTTTAATTTGATTATCCTTATTAATCATCATTGATATCTCCAGTGCTATTCTACTTAACAAATTTTTGCAGCTTTGGCTCTTTTTCACTTTCATCCCTCTACTTTTAAGTTTGATTCAGTTAGAAACTAGGAGGGCGAATATTGTTCTTTAGTAAATTAAGTTGTTGTTTTTTTTATTCGCTTTCATTTTCTTAGTCAAGACTATTTAATTTTCCATCCTCTATTTAGTACTCTAATTATTCAGATTAGTTTTGGTTGGGATTGCCTTTAGATTTCATCTTTTAAAACATTTCTACATCTTTGTAAGGATTTGGTTTAATCAAAGATATAATTTATTCATCAGGATTCTGATCTACAGTAGAAGATTGCTTTTATCTCTTTATTTTTTCAGCTTGTTTATCTTACAATTTATTTTTTTTTTTATCTCTATTTGTTTAAGGGGATTTTAATAACAGATTAGCATTCTAATTATCTAAGCTACTTTAAATCTATTGTTATTGCATTTAGTTTTATAAGCTTTACTACTAATTAATCATCAAACTAATTGAATTGTTATCATTGTTTTCATTTTCCAACTGATGGTCTTGAGCATTTCTTATGTTATTGCTCTCTTGATTCATCTAATTCATTATGTTGGAGAAGCTGTTAAATCCGTCGTTTGTATTATTACTTTAAATGTTCAAATTATTATTGTTGTTTTTACCATTATTGCTATCAGCTAAATTATTGCTCATATTATTATTGTTCAAATTATTGCTCGTATCATTGTTAAAGTCAATGAAACCATCATAGCAATTTGTCTAACTTATTTATTTTTGGAAATTTTAAGACTCTAGATTACCCAAACCTATCATGTTGCTCATGTTATTTCCCATGTTATTGAGGTTTTCACTAGTCATCAAATTATTACCTCTAATACTGCTTTACTTAAGCATGCTGTTATCTATATTAATTGATGAGTTATGAAGATGATGTTACTCTTATAAATCGTTTTGATTAATATTGTCTACATCTTCTTAGCTTCTGTACCGATTATTCATTTATACTTTGTATTAATTACTATAAAAATCATTTAGCTGGTTTACATTTTCGAAATTATTTATTTCAAAATTAGACATTAATTGAGCATCTTTACAATCATCCATCAAGTTCTATTGATATTCATTATAATTTAAATCATTATTACCACCATAATTACCATATTGATTATTGTTTAAATCTTAATTTTCTTAGAGCATTTTTTGCTAATTTTAATAAAATAAATTGCTATTGCTCTATTTTTATTTTTTTTCGTTGCTTTTTCTATTACTTTGTTATTAGTTCTAAGATTTTTATCTTTGATCGTGTCCATCTTCTTTATTATTTTTATTGCTTTTCTTTTTTTAATTCCCATTTTAATTTTCTGCTTATCCTAATTTATTATTTTGAACTTCTCCTTCAGTCTAAATTTTATTATTTTGTTTTGTTTAATTTTATTAATACTCTTATGTTTTTTCATTTAAATCATTTTTATTTTAATTTTGAAAATCATCTTTTTAGGTATTTGTTCCTTATTCTTATTTATCTTAATCTTCTTCTATAGCTTCCTCTTCTTCTTCAAAATCTTCTTCATCGTCTTCATCATCCTCTTCTTCCTCCTCCTCTTCTTCTTCGTCTTCATTCACAACATAGTCTTCATCATCGTCTTCATTAAACAGATTTTCGTAGTAGTTAAAGAACTTAAAATCAGAATCTTAGCTGAATTGCTACAAAAAGTGGTAATTATCTTCATGATCAACACCTAATCGTGACGGACTTAGCGGGATATGTAATCTTGGGGAAGGCATAGTATTTTAAATATGATTTTCCCATTCTGAAGCTTACAGCATAGAAGGAGCTGGCTAAGGTGGTTGGTCTTTTGTTATTTCGTAAAGTAGATTGACTACCTGATCTTTAGGATAGTTGAAACCTTAATAAATATCATTAATCATCAATTATTCACTTAGTTTAGGCTTTTCTTGGCCTTTAAATTCGATGAGCCAGCTTTCGCTATCAGGATATAAAAAGATTCCAAAAATACAATTATTATTCTGCATTCCATTATTCTGTTGCTTCTAAAGCCACTTACGATGCAAATACTCAAGGAGATAACTAAGACACTAGTTGGTACCTATCCTTTGTGCAGTTTTATATTTAATTACAACAATTAATTTCAATCAAAAATTATCTTAATAAATAATTACATCAACATTTTAAAAAGTAAAATTAGACATAAAAAAAATAATGAATTTAATTTTAAATATTTTAAATATTATTTTTGCTTATTATTACTTAACTTCAAGTCGAGGAAAGTTCTGCAAATAAAGCTAAATTTAATGAGTTTGCACATTCAAGGGATTCAATCTAACAAAGATCTTTTATTCACCTTATATGGTGTTTCTGAAATCTCCTCCTAATAAATTGTTTCCTTTCACACCTAAACTCTCATTACTGCAAAAAGATTGCTATAAACCAAAAGACTATGGAGGATTTTTTTACTTTGTTTCTCCTCTTTTAGATGTAGTTCTACTGCTACTGCTTATTGAAGCTGATGCTGCTTTATTTTCGCTAAAATTTACAATATTATCCTTTTGCTTTTATCTATCTCCTATTTACTTACCTTCATAATTCCCATTTGCCACTGAAGAATTAGGTGTAGCTGCCGCACTCTTTCTTTATCGGAGATTAATAGACTCGGTAGGATTTTCTTTTTCTGATGAATTCTACATTGAAGAGTTTTCTTTATTCTTTATTTTATAATAAATTTAAAAAAAAGAAAGAAAGATCTAATATTTATTTCTACATTCTGCTATTTGTTTCCTATCATTAACTGCTTTTATAATTGCTCAAGATATACTATAAGATTTGATACTGTATGGAAAAAATCAAAGCTTTCATTTAGTTTATCATCAATGAATTCTATCTTTTGGTATTCTGATACATTTTGTGTATTTTTATCTTGCCAAATTTGTTTTGAAAATGAGTCATACAATTTAACTTTTAATTGCTTAAAACACTCATCTGCAAGCTCATCCAAATCAATATCTTCATATGATTCTGTATCTTACAAACTCTCATCTATTTTAGACTAATATTAAGTTATTTTAGAAATCTTATTGCAAAAAAAATTATTAATTGTTAAAATTAATACCAACACTATATCATACAAATCAGCTAAATTTTATATCTTGTTGTGCTCATCTATAATAGCTATTATTATGTTATCGTACAATTCTGAGTAGCTGCTTTCTTGCATTTTTTGTTCATCCTGTTAGGAGGTTTAATAATACAATTAAATTTCATTCTCTTCCCCAAATTCATAATTATAATTTAGACAATTATATTCTTAAAATACCCCTTAATTGCGAGATTAACTTTCTCTGCCATCCAAATAACCGCTTTAACTAGTATCCTCTTCCATTTCCATAACTCTAAACTACTTTTGCTTAAAACCTGATTGCCAAACTACCTTACTCGCTACTTGCTGCTTAAATAACTAACTTACTATTTGATAAATAATCTACTTAAGTTTTGTTTTGAAATGGTATTTGTTAAAATTGAATAATAGTCTGAATTTTTTGATCTTTATCGATCAATCAATATTTTATAATAAATTTTTTAATCTTTCCTCTATTGTCTTTTAATCTTAATATTACTTACTATTTTTGATTATTTGCAATTGGAGGGATCTAACAAAAATTATAAATACTTCACTCAAATAATTTATTAACAATTAACTATTTCGCTTTGAAATTTTAACATTCAATAATTGCAAAGAATCTTTCTGAAATTTATCCTCCAAATGCCTCTTTTAATTATTATTATATTTTGAATTCGTTGTATAAAAAATAACAACTAAATAATCATAATTATTATTAATGTTACTGGGAAAGTATTAACTAATTATTAAGATATTATTAAAAATAACCTTGAAAAACTATTTTAAAATTTAAGTGATAATTTCTCGAATATTTTGTTTGAGTAATTTAAATATTTTGGTAAGAAGAGTATTTATTTATTATTAGATCAAAAATTTAATTCATAAAACTATTAATTTGCTAATGTCTTCATAAGTTATATTTGAATAAGATATTAAATTAATTTTAGATGTATTTGATAAAATATATTCTTAAAAAGTATTTTTAAATTTGCATATGTATCAAAAATAGAAAGTCATACTTTGGCGGTTTTTTTTCTATCAGATTTAATTAAGAAAAAAAAATAAATTTCTTATTTGATCATAAAAATAAATAACTAAAAATAGTTTATTACCTTAGAAATAACAATTTAAAATAATTATATATATATTATCTAGGAGGCTACATACACGAATAATAACAAGATAGTTTATTTAGTAGTTTTATTTATAATCACCCCTTTCCCAAATAATTTAAAATAAAAAATCAACTCTATAAATTATCTCAATACAGTAAGACTACTTTTTTTGGAAAGATAATATATTTCCTTCCGTTTATTACTGGAATAAAACAGAACAATTTATGAAATAAAAATTATTTTATTAAAATTTAGGTACTTTAACTATTAGAATTTTATTAACATATGACTGACTACCTTTCTTAGATTCTTACTATATTTTTAAGTATATGTTTTAAATAGAAATATAAATTTTTAATAATTAATTTTAGATTAACTATTTTGTGAAATTCTTTTACTAAAAACAAATTTAAAAATTTTATTTGATAATTATTATAATTTATTGGTTCTTTTTATCCTAATTCATTTGACATTAAAATCAATAAATTTATTAAAAAACTTTTAATTAATTAAATTTCCTTAAATTGCTATAAAATAAAGAAAGAAATAAATAAATGATACAATAGATTAATTATTTCAAAGATCTAGAAAAAGTAAATATTTATTTTTTTATTAATAAATATTCTATAAATTTATTCCTATTAATAAAACAAGTTTTTAAACTCTTCACTTTAATCACATTAGGCTCTTCATATAACTCTGAGGTATATTAAATTTATAAATATTTTTTTATATTTAATTTTCAAGTTAATTAAAATATTATTTTTCTAATAGAAATGTTCATCTTTTTTCACTTATTTTTATAAATGCAAATATTTTTTTAATTATTTAAGTTAATTTTAACTCAATTTTTATTTTATTATTTATTATTCATTTTTTTTATTTGATATTTTTTCATCATTCTTTGATTCTAGTTTACAAATTAACTATATATTTTTTCTTCATTTTTTTCTTATTACTTTTAATTAATTTTATATTTTTTCTTCAATTTATAAAAAGTTTAAATTAAATTGGTGCAGAAGGTGCATCAGTTTTAGGTCTCGGTTTAGGAAAGTGCATTGATCTCTCAAATTTGTAACTTTATCTTGGGTAAAAAATTTTATTTGTTTTGGATTGATATTTTTTTTTTCCTTTTAATTAACTAATTAAAATTATTATTTCTTTAATATTTAAAAAGTTAGAATTAAATTAGTGATTAAAGTTCATTAGACTTAGGTTCTGGTTTAGAAAAGTGCACTAATTTCTCAAATTTGAAACTTTATTTTAGGTAAAAATCGTTTTTTTGTTTTGGATTGTCATATATTTTAATTAAGTAAATTTAAAACAATATAACTTACTAACTCTTTAAATTTATTTATTATCTTATTATATGATTTATTTTTCTTTTTTTCATTCTATCTTTCTTTGTTAACTTAACTCGTTTATTTCAACTTCAGCTTTTATTATAAATTAATTAATTTAATATTTTTATTTATTTTTTTCTACTCACTAACTAGCTAACTTTATATTTTTCTTCAATATTTTAAAAGTAAAAATTAAATTAGTGCATTTAATAATTTACTCATACATAATTACATGTATTTATACACTCAGAAAGTATTCTTAAAATTAAAAATATAGATTTAATTTTTACTGTTCTATTTATCATTTGTTTATTCCTTTATAAATTTTTGAAGTTTATATTACTTTTTTCTTAAAATCTTTTTTTTGGCAAAAAAATTAAAAAAAAAGTATCAGACTTTATGAACTTCTTGGTGCTTTCAAAGATATTTGCGGCAAGAAAAAAAGCAGATCTATATAGGAGTCCAAAATGCTTATATATAAAGGAGATACCTAAATAGGCAAAAACTAAATTGGTGCAGAAGGTGCATTAGGATTATTTTCTGGTTTAGGAAAGTGCACTAATCTCTCAAATTTAACACTTGATCTTCAGTAAAAGCACTTTATTTGTTTTTGGTTGTAATATTTTTGAAAATAAAAATGAATTTAAAACTAAACATCTAACAAACTCTTTTAATTCATTTATTAGCTTTTCATTTGATTTATTTTTCTTTATTTTTTATTATCCTTGTGTTATTTCTTTTTTTGTTAATAAAACCCATTTTTTCATTTTAAACACTTGCTTTTACTATATTTCATAATTTTTCCTTATTTTTTCTTTCTTACTAACTAATTTTCTTGATATTTTTTCTTAAATATTTAAAAAGTTAAAATTAAATTGGTGCAGAAGGCGCATCAGCCTTAGGTTTTGGTTTAGGAAATTGCACTAATCTCTAAAATTTAAAACTTTATCTTGGGTAAAAATAACTTATTTGTTTTGGATTGATATTTTTAATATAAAAATTAATTTAAAATAATATAAATATCTCTTTATTTATTTACTTACTTATTTTTTCTTTGATTTATTATTGTTTTTTTATTCTGAATGTGTTTTTTCTTTATTTGTTAATTAAACTCATTTTTTCAACTTTTGTTATTATTATTTAATTAATTAACTCATTTCTTATTATTTCATATTTTTACTTAATTTTTTCTTTTGTAATTAACTAATTAATTTAATATTTATTTTCAATATTTAAAAAGGTCTAATTAAATTGGTGATGAAGGTATATAAGGTTTAGGTTCTGGTTTAGCAAAGTGCACTAACCTCTCTAATTTGACATTTAATTTTAGGTAAAAATAGTTTACTTGTTTTGGATTGTGATATTTTTTAATAAAAAAATGAATTTAATATAAAAAAACTAACTTATTAGCCTTTTATTTGGTTTATTTTTTATTCTGCTTGTATTTTTTCTTTCTTTTTATATTAATTTAACGCATTTTTTATTTTCAAATTTTGCTATTATTATTATTATTTAATTAATTCTTCATTTTATTTTTTTTCTTTCTTTCTTTCTAACTAACTAACTACTTCTAACTAATTAACTTTATATTTTTTCTACAATATTTAAAAAGTGAAAATTAAATTGGTGACAAAGGTGCATTAGGCTTAGGTTTTGTTTTTAATAAGTGGACTAATCTCTCAATTTTAACACTTTATCTTCAGTAAAAACAGTTTATTTGTTTTAGATTGTGATATTTTTAATGTAAAAATTAATTAAAAGCAATAAATAAAACTAATTTCTTCAATTTATTTATTTATAATCTTTTTATTTTATTTTTTATTCTGCTTGTATTTTTTCTTTCTTTATTAATTTAATTCATTTTTTAATTTTAAAATTTTATTTTTCTTTTTGATTAATTAATTCATTTCTTAATTTAATCAAAGCAAAATGCTTAAAATGATTTAAACAGGTATAAGCACATACTCATTTTCTGTTCGTTATTTGCTATATATTTACATTTTTTCCTTCTCATTAACTATATATTCTTTCTTTAATATTTAAAAGTTAAAATTAAATTGGCACAGAAGGTGCATCAGGATTATGCTCTGGTTTAGGAAAGTGCACTAATCTCTCAGATTTGACTCTTGATCTTAAGTAAAAACAGTTTATTTCCTTTGGATTGTGATATTTTTAATATTAAAATGAATTTAAAACAATTTAATTAACTCATTTAATTTATTTATTTATTTAATATTTTTTTTTATATACTGCGTGTTTTTTTTCTTTTTGTTAATTTAATGTATTTTTTCATTTCAAATTTTGCTTTTATTATTAATTAATTTCATTCTTTTTCTTTATTTTCTCCTACTAATTAACTAAATAATCATATAATTTTTATTCAATATTTAAAAAGTAACAATTAAACTGGTGCATTAGGTTCATTTGGTTTAGAAAAATGCACTAATCTCTAAAATTTGACACTTTTACTTGGGTAAATTTATTTTTTTGGATTGTTATATTTTCTAATATAAAAATGAATTAAAAGCAATATAACTAACTCTTTTAATTTATTTATTAGCCTTTAATTTAATATATTTTTCTTTTTTTTAATATTTTTCTGTTTATTTTTTGTTTGTTAATTTAATTTTCCAACCTTTGTTTTTATTATTAACTAATTTATTAACTTCATGTTAGTAATATTTTTTCATCATTTTTTCCATTTAAGTAATTAATTAACTCTTTAATTTTTCTTCAATAATTAAAAAGTAACAATTAAATTGATGATGAAGGTACATCAGTAATAGGTTTTGTTTTAGTAAAGTGCACTAATATCTAAAATTTGACACTTCATCTTCAGTAAAAAAAATTTACTTGTTTTAGATTGTTATATTTTTTATATTTTTTTTCATTTTTTACATCTAACTAACTAATTAACTATATATTTTATCTTCGATATTTAAAAAGTTATAATTAAATTAATGATGAAGGTTCATCAAACTTAGGTTGTAGTTTATTAAAGTGCACTAACATGCTAAATTTGACACTTAATCTTTAGTAAAACAGTTTTTTTATTTTGGATTGTGATATTTTTTATTATATAAATGAATGTTAACAGTATAATTTTTTTATTAATTATTTTTTTTATTATTTGATATTAAATATAAAATTTATTTAAGAATTAATTTTATTCTATTTATTTTTTTAGTAATTTCACTTATTTTTATTAAAAGTCAAAACGAAATCAATAAAAAATAATAATTGAAAGTTAAAAACAAGATTCTCAAATCATAAAGATTAGTTGCCTTTAAATTTAATTAGTGGTGATAAAAAGTGGAGAAAAAAGGAAGAATAAAAATAAAAATATTTGAATAATTTAATATAATCTGTTTTATTTTATAATATTTTGTAATACTTAAACCTAAAAAATAGATAGATTTATTATTTTTTTTTATTTATAAATACCCTCAATTCTATAATGTAAGGAAATTTTAGCTGAGGGATTATTTTTTTATAAGGATGTTTCTTAAAATAGTATTTTCATAAATTTAAAACAAATAATTTTACAATTTAATTCATGCAAAAATACATTATATTTTTATATACAAAATTGTTTATTTACTTATCTCAAGAATTAAAGATTAAATTTATTTTAGCTATATTTAATAAAATATATTCTTAAAAAGCATTTTTAACTTCGTACGCATAAAAAAAAGAAATTTATTCTTTAGCGGTTTATTTCCATCTCATCAGATTTGATTAAGAAAAGTAATTTATTTTTTATTTGATCTCAAATATAATTTTAAAAAGGGTATAAATCTTCATAAAGGAAATATTGAAATTAATTTTTTTTAAATAAAGAAAAATACAATTCAAATTAAAAATTAAATAACAAGAAAAATAAGAAATGAAAGAAAAATATTTTGATGATTGTGAAAAAGTATTTGATTAAATTAATTAACTCATCCAATCAAATATTTAATTTTTTCAAAATAAAAGTTTTGTGAATCTGATTTAGAGTAAAAATTAAAATGATTGGATAATTTGCTCATATTAAATTAGATAATTTATAATTTTTTTGTTTATATGTTGATTAATATTAATTTATTTATTTACTAAAATTTTAAAATAAAACTTTTAAAGTAAATAAAACGAAAGAAAATAAATTCTTTCATTTTTAAAATGTTTAATGAAATTAAAAATTCTAAAATATTAATATGCATTTTATTCTTAAAAAAGAAATTATGAACTTGATAAAGAAGATGCCGAAGAAATAAGCCTTGATTTGCAGAAGTGTTTCAATCTTTCATCTCTAAGGCTTTTGCTTGAGTAAAAAATATATTTATTATTTATTTTATGTTTAATTAAATAGATAGATTTAAAATAATATGTTTAAAAGTATTTAATTTACATTTTATCAACATATTTGATAAAAATATTAAATTTATATTTTAGTATTGAAGCACTGATTCAAAGATAAGTTGGATATTACATAAGCTCTGGTTTCAAGAATATTAAAAATCTGCAAAATGTAGAAATATAAGTAATAGGAGTGTAAAAAATATTTTTTAAAATAATCTGATATTTTCTTCAAGTAAAATTTATTTCTAGAATTCCAGATGACACCATTATTGAGCCTGGATTAAGCGTTTTTTTAGAAAATTGTTCTCATCTTTCAAGACTTAAAATAGATGCAAAGTAAAAGATTTTTCATTTTTTAAAAATCTATAATTTATCATTAACACTCCCTTTAAAAAATATTTTTTTGGGACTTTCATGCTTGAAATTTGATTCCTATTTTGAGGAGGGTCTTTGTAATTTTTATAAATTGAATACTGGATAACACTTTAACTAATTCAGTATTTTTAATTAATAAATAATTCTAATAAGAATAATTACAAATTTCTAATTTTATTACAATTTTTCTTTGTAAACAAATTTTTTAATTGATTACTTTCTTTTATTATTTTGTTAGTCATCAAGTATGATTAAAATGATAAGCTTTTTATAATAATTTTGTAAAATATAATAGAAAGGGAAGATTTGGTTAAGAAAGTGCTTTTGATTTTTTTTCTGGCCTAGGAAAATGTGTAAATCTATAGGTTTTAGAAATCCATCTTGATTAGTAAAAATAGCTTTAATAAAATTAAATACTTAATTCAATAATGGAACAACGAAATTTAAAATTTATAACATTAAGAGGTGATAAACTTGCTGATAAAGGATGCTAAAAACTATCCTTGGCTATAGAAAATATGTAAAATCTTACATCTTTATAACTATGTTTGAGGTAATTAATATTTTTTGGAAATTATTTATTAAAAATTAACTTTTAATGTGTTTTTTTTGCATTAATTAATATATCTGAAATTTATAACAAAAAGTAATAATTAAGTTGGCGATGAAGGATGCTCAAGAATAGCCTAAGCAATACAAAATTTATAAAATCTTAAATCATTAGAATTTAATTTGAGGTAATTATGTTTGTGTCTGTATTTATACTTTTTATAAAAGAAAAAATAGAAAAATAATTTAATTTGAATGAAAATATCAGCAAATTACATTGATAACTTTTACTATTTCTTCTTTTAAATAAAATATATGATAGAAAACAAGATAACTTTTATTTATTTTCTAATTAAAACTAAGTCTTAACGAAATTGGTAATGAAGGGTGTACAAAATTAGGCTAAGCAATAGGAAAATGTCAAAATCTTACATCTTTGAATTTGGATTTATGGTAAAAATATTTTGAATTTGCCTTTCAAAAATAATTATTTTTATTAAATTTTTTATTTCATTCATTAATAAATTAAAAAATAAATTCTTTTATTTAAAAATTAATTATCTTATAAAACTTAAGTTTTAATAATATTGGTAACATTTGGCAATCAATTGATGCAATTAGATAGTGCGAAAATTTATACACTGTGAGTATAAATGTTAGGTATTTATTTTATTCAGATATATTTTTGAGAAAAATAAATAGCTTTTAAATCAACATATTTCAATTTAATATTTATTGAATAATCTAAGTAATTGTGGATAGTTTAGAGATATAATACAATAATTGATGTCTTTTAGTAATTTTTGCTAAGAATTGAAAATTAACGTAAGGTAAAAATAATCTTACTTTAGTTTTATTAATTATTTTTATTTTGCTTAATACGAATTATTTTTTATTTTTTTAAATTTACTATTTAACTTTTAAATATTTTTTCAAAAAATAATTTATGACTAAAAATATAATAAAAGTGACAACTATAATATCTTAAATGAAGAACCAGAGTTAATAGAATTAGTAGAATCCGCGAACTTAAAAAAATTGGACATAGATTTGAGGTAAAAATGTTTAAAATTTATTAATTTTGTGAAATATAATTTATTTTGTTTAATAATTCAACTTTTTTATATTTGCTACATTGATTTATTAAATAAGAATATATTATATATAAGATTATTTATAAAATATTTTATCAAAGTAGAAACAAATGTTGAGTAATATTTTTTAATAAATTAAAAATTATTAATTTTATTCTTAAAAAATCTATTTATATTTTTTATGTTTAAAGCCGTAATACAGAGCTAAATAGTTTTGATTTAGAAAGTTTAAGTAGGAAAATATCAGAGAAATGTATTAATCTTTCACATTTGCGTCTTTGTATTAAGTAAAAAAGATTTTATAGAGAATATTTATTGATTATTAATTTATCTTACTAAAATTTAGAATTTATTATTTATTTCTCTTTTTTTATGAATTATTTTTTTAATTAGCGACATAATAATTAGCAGAGCTTGTGCATAAGATTTTGAATCTATTTGTAATGCCTTTGCAAAATTTTCAAATCTTCAAAGTTTTGAATTCGAATCAACGTAAGATATTTGAGCCAATTTAAATAATAAATATAATATTATTTGTTTTAAAAAGGGACTCTTGTTTAGGTCATGATTGTCTCTAATATTTAAGATCTTTTTTTACCATGTGCACGAAACTTGATAATATATCTCTAAATCTCTCGTAAATGCAGTTTAAATTAAAATATTAATTTTCTTAAAAATAATTTTTAACAATAACAATAAAATGTATGTATTATATGTTAGCAATCAAAAGTTTTATTATATTAATTTTTTTAAAAGTAAAAATTAAATCGAAGAAAAAGGAGCATAAGATTTAGGAAGTGCTTTATCTCAATGCGCAAATGTTTCCAAACTAAAACTAATTTTTGAGTAAATATATTATTCTTCATAAAAATAATTTTACTTTAAACAAATAATAAAATCAAAAATACTAAATTGTCTTCAGTAATAATTAGATCAATGATTTAGGTGTTCAAAATTTAGGAATAACTATTAAGAATCTTACTAATTTGTAAAGTTTGGAACTTGATTTTTAGTAAAAATTTCTTTTAAAATGATAAATCAATACATTAATTTCAATTTTAATTCAAAGAAATAACCAAATGAGCTTTGATGGAGAATGTGATTTCCTTTCTTCAGTAAGGAAAAATAAAAATATCATCTTTTTCTATTATACTTCGTGGTAATATTTTTTAGTATTTTTATTTAGTTTATAAGGATGAAACTAGTTGATTAAATAATTTCTTTCTTGAAATAATTAATATATAACAAGGCTTTAATTTTAGCCAATTTCAAACATAAAATATTTAATATTAACTCTTATGGCATTATTTTACCACAATTAATTCGTTTGATCAAACATTCAAAATAATTTTCCCTAATAATCTATTTTCTAATTTAATAAGTTAATTTGATGAATATAAGCAAATGCTTTACAAAAGAAATATTCTAAAGATGAAAAGATTAATCATTTTAGATGTTATTTGATATTTATTATATGATTAAATAATAAATGTATGCTAATTTATATGAAAATCCAGTTTTTGTAGTATTTTATAAGGTTAGACATACATATATAAACTCTGCCATTTTCAAAAAAAATCTATTCGATCTAACCTTAGTATTTAAGAAAATACTCTATTGAATAATTGTATTTTATTTTCTATTTTATTGGTTTTTTTTTAATTTTTTAAATTATATTGTTAATATCAAAAAGCTTAAAATAAAATAATTTTAATTTCTCTCTATTTTTAATTAAAAAGTCTGTGTCTACTCATTTATTTAATTCGTGATAATTAAATTATTTTTACTGAATTAATTTAAATTGTTTATTTATTCTATTTAAAGTATGAAAACTCTTTAGTAAAGTTTTATTGTATGTCTATTTAGCTAGATAAAATTCAGTGCGAATTTTCCAAAGTAATTTTAATCGAATATGAATTTTGTCTGATTGAATGCTTTGATTTTATTATTTGTTTAAGATTTGGAGTAGAAATGTATTTTTTATTGTATCTAGATTTGGTAATTTAGAAAATGTTTTAGAATTTATTTCCGATAAATTCCAGTTTACTCTAATTCAAAAAAGAAAAGAAAAAGTTTTTGGTTTGAGGAAGGAATAGACATTTTTAAGATTTTTTATAAACGCATATAATACCTAAAAAAAGTATCATAATTTATTATTTGCTTTGCTTCTTACATAACAAAATTCAATCTATTAGCGAGTGAATGAATACAGTAGTGTATTTATCTATTGTATTGTTTGTATAATGTCTATTTTATTAAATTCTCTCCTCTGATTTAAATTCTCTCCTCTGATTTAAATTCTCTGTAAGACAGCTAAGTAAAAAATATATTATAAATTAAATCAGAAAACTCTGCTTAATCAACTCATAAAATTTTTTCATTAATAGATAGATTCTTTATCAGAAAACAAGAATATAAAACAATATAATTTAATAAGTCATAAATAAAATGCAAAGAAAGGAACAAACATTCGGTAAGTACCGTTTAGGAAAAACACTCGGAAAGGGATATCAAGCAAAGGTAGCAAGCATTTTTATTTATTTATTCATCATTAAGCAGTCAATCAATTATTTGCCAAACTTTGAATGGCGGCGCAAACTGATTTTTGTTATAAAAAAATAATTTATCAATTAATCTTAAATTTCAAATATTTAGGTCAAAATCTGCTACGCTCCCAACAATAAGGTTTACGCTGTAAAAATTTTTAAGAGAACCCACTCTGAAGAGAAGAACACCAAAGCTTTAATTCAAGAAGCTGGTCACTTAACTTAACTTAAGCACGAAAATTTGGTCAATCTTGTAGAAATTTTAAAGAAGGAATAATACATCAAAAAGAATGGTGAAACATACTACACTATGGGTATTGTGTTGGAATTGTGCACCAAGGGAGAACTTTTCGATTACTTACTTCATTCAGGAAAATTCACCGAAGAGCAAACTCGCTACTACTTCAAGCAATTGATCAGCGGTTTACAATATCTTCATACTAACAATGTTTGTCACAGAGATTTGAAGCCAGAAAACATTCTTCTTGATGAAAATTTCAACTTGAAAATTGCTGATTTTGGTTTTTCTGCTCGTTTAGACGGAAAGGATGGCTCTGGTTTCTTGAAATCTTCTTTGGGAACTGAAGGCTACATGGCTCCTGAAATCAATGAGAAAAAGGCTTACATAGGTTCAGCTGTCGATTTATTCTCTGCAGGTATCATTTTGTTCATTATGTTCACTGGACATCCTCCCTTCCACAAAGCTCTTGATAGCGATCCTTATTACAAATTACTTATTACTGATCGTAACTCAACCTTCTGGGAGGCTCATTCAAGAAACAAAGAAAAGGGTTTCTTCTCAAATGATTTCATGAACTTAATCAACTCCATCCTTGCCTATGAACCTTAAAATCGTATTACTTTGGCTGAGTTGATTTCTCATCCTTGGATGAAGGGAAAGTGCTCCAGCAATGCCGAAATCAAGGCTGCATTCGCCACCAGACACAAACAAGTTGTAGAAAAGATGGACGAAGAAAAGAAAAAGAAGCAAGCTGAAAAGTAAAATAAGGACAATTAAGAAATTTCAATTGAAACAAACGACAACGAAAACAAGGATAAGCGTAATTATTATTAATAAATCAATCTATTACTTTTTAATTATAAAATAAAACCTAAATAAATCACACAAATTAATCAATAATTTTTTACTATAAATAGTTAAATAAGGAGGTAACAACATAATTTATGCAGCCAAAAATAAATTCAGATCTGTTGAAGATAGCTCCCAAGCTGAAATAGACAACTTGATTGCCACTTATAACTTAAAGGTAGAGAGATTTGTTGCCCCATATAATGAGCAAGAAGACTTCAAGCAAAATGATATCTTCTTAAATTTACAACCTGACTAAATTCTTTTGACTTTGTTAAAACACCAAAACGAATTCAGTTAAAAAATAGCTCTTTCCAACGATACCTATAAGCTTAAGTGTTGCAAGACTGACTAAAACGGAGAGCTAGTTGAATTTAATATTGAAATTAAAAAGAATGAAGAATCTAACATTTCAGTAATTACATTCAACAAGAAATCAGGTGACTACTACCAATATCTTGAAATCGTCAAACAAATCCACACCTTCCTCGAAGCTTGATATTTATTTTTGCTTAAACCCAAATAAATTTTCTAATTGTTCAAAATAAAATAAATATATAAATAAATAAACAAATAAACAAATAGTATTGTACTAAATAATATTTTTATAATAATCAATTAATAAATACTCTATTTCTTTCTTTCCTTTGTAATCTTTTATCATCGTATTTCTTTCTGCATCAAAATATTTTTCTCTAAAATTAATATCTCATAAAATTTCTTTTATTTTTAAATCAAGAATTTTCATTTATTTTATTATTTGTTTGTTGATTTTTGAAAATTATTTTATCATAAAAAATTCATCTAATTTGAGTGGAATATTTAATTTTATTTTATTAGAATCTACTTTCTTTAAATAAAAGATTGAAATGTTTGTAATTTATAAATAAATATACAAGTTAATTAACAAAGGATATTTATTTACTTTTCTAGTAAATATTTATAAATTTTCTATCAATTATTATTATCATCATTCATTATGTTAAAAACAATCTCCATTCATAAATATTGAAAAATTAATCGATTTCAAAAACTTGAGAAAAAGCTAAAAAATCAAATATTGAATTGATTTACTTCCTTCCAATCATTTTCCCTTAAAAAAAACAAACAATTGTGAAAATTTTCAATTTATAGCAAAAAAATAAGACCAAAAACGTATTTATTTTTTATTGAATAGCTAGCTTATTCATTTATTATTTTTATCTTTTTATTATTTTAAGATAAAAGAAAAGATAAAAACAATTAATTAATTAAGGGAAATCATAAATATAACCAATAGAACAGAATTTGAAATCTTAAAAATCTAATTTGAAAAAAATAAAAAATAAAAATGTATTTCATAAACTCATACTTACCATATCCCTCGCTAATTGCAAATATGTTCATATTTTATTTAATAAGCAGTGCAAATTATGATGTTTTTACTAAGTATCTTAAAACTGGAAAGATTGATTGCAAGTAATAATCTTCAATGCTGCTTTCTTATTTAGTTTGCTCTTGGGCTTGTTTTACTATAGTTTTAAATTGTCCTCCTCTCTACATATACAATCATATATATCAGTTCATCACTTTTGCGCTCTGGTTCTTGGTTTATAATTTCTAACAAAATAAACTATCTGCAGTTATTTTTAATATATTCGGATTTGCTGCTTTGATATTTGTTCTCTTGTAATTTCATCATTTCTATGTAGGAGTATTTTCTAGCATTTTAAATGTCATCTATGTTTTAAGATCTTATTTGCAGTTTAAAAGAACTATTGAGGATTAGAAAACTAGACCACCACCTACATTTAACAGATTACTTGGAATTTTCCATATAGTTGGATTCTTCTTCAATGCTATTCAAAACATTGAAGGAGATATCTTACACTTTCCTTTCTTATAAGCATGTGTTTAATTTGGAGCAATAATTGCTTAAGAAATGTTAGTGTCTTAATATAATCTCTATTCTGATTCTAAATAAAAGGTTGATTAAGAGAAAAAAAAGAAAGAATAATGAATAAAAATATCTTAAATTGCTATCTTTTATTAAATAAAAGTTGTAAAAATATGTTTTGTGTAAGTATTTCGTTATTAATGGTTGTAAATTTACTATCTAAATTTGTATAAAAATTTCATTTTTTTTTCATAAATACTTATGATAAATTACAAATAACTATTTTTAGTTAATTATTTAAGCATTTATTTACAAAAGATTTACTTAATCTTATTTCAATGAGAACACTTAAAGATTTCTTAGAATATATTTAAGAGTTTTTTAATTATTTTTAAAAATTCAACTTTTATTAAATATAAATTTATTCACTCACATATTTTATTCGTTAATTTTATTAAAATATTTTTTTTATATAAAAAATAATAAGTTCAATGAATTAATGTCTCCACTATCTACTAATAATTTTATAATTTAAGTTTACATTAAGTAAAATAAATTACTAAATAAATTACTTTTAAGATTGCGATCATAAATATAAACTATTGGTTTTTCTATTAAATTATTATTAGCGCTTTATACAAATAAAATTGAATATTAAATTTTATAAAGATTATTAGGAAAATCTAAAAATTTTTAAAATAAAAATTCATAGATCCACTCATTCATCAATAAAATATAAAGCTAATTAATGAGTCAAGCATAGAAAAATTTAAAATTAAAAATATTACAAAAATCATTTTAGGTTAAAAATAGTGGCTATATAGCTTAGCAATACTGTAGAGCCGATGATAAAAGATTAGGAGCAGGAGGATTTGGAGAGATTTTTAGGATAGTTGAAAAAACATAAAATCAAGATTAATCTAAAATGTAATGTTTAAAAAAAGTTAGCTAGTAAGATAGGTCTTAAGCTTTAAACGAAATAAACTCTCTTAAGATATTATCACACCCAAATATCTTGAAATTTTATGAGTACTTTGAAAACCAAAAGAATATCTTTTTAGTTTTGGAGTATATTGAAGGACTTGATATGATTGATTTCATCCAAAAAGACAGCACATCTATTTCAGAAAAAGTTGCAGCTACGATTATGAAACAACTTTTAGAAGCTTTAGCTTACACTCATGATAAGAAAATAGTTCATCGCGATATTAAATGTGAAAATATTATGATAATCAAATAAGGTGAAACATAAAAATCTGAAAATTCAAGTTAAGAAAATAGCAATTAGAATGCTTAAAATGAGTAGAATTTTAAAGTTAAACTTATTGATTGGGGTTTTTCATATAATTTAGGACTGATGAATTAAGAATATATTGAAAGCAAATCTCTTATGGGCACTTACTACTATATATCTCCAGAGTAAATTTAAAAGTAAAAATATAATTCAAAATGCGATATATGGGCTGCAGGAGTAGTTATGTATTGCTTGCTAAATAAGCAATTCCCTTTTTTCAGTAACTTAAAGTTTTAAGATAGATTTATGGAATATTAGCAAGTTTCACTCTCTTAATTTCATAGGAATATGCAATTAGCAGATACACAGAGCTAAAATGAAAATGAATGTTCTGCTGCTATATAAATTAGTGCACAGACTATATCTGGTTCAACTTCAGAATAAAACTAAAATAATCAATAAAATTAGCATTCAAATTCATAGTCCACTGTTAATCAGACTTAAGCTGAATAAAAAGACTAGAAACCAAAATTGACTAAATCATAAATGCTAAATATTTTACATCAAGCGAAAATTAAATTTGAAAATGAAAAATCTGAGGATATTTTCGATAAAATTTTAAGTAAGTTTAATTTAAAATTTTATTAATTTTATATAGTTATTTTGATAATTTGCTAACTAAAAGAAAAGAATAAAATATGTTCTTTATTTTATCATTTTTTTCAACTTGTTGATTATAACAAATCAGTATGACTTAAGAGTTAAATTTTATATTAATTTATTTAATATTTATTTAAATAAATAATAAAGATGAGGAACCTAGCTATGATGACAACATATTAAGTGGAGAAGCAATTGATTTATTAAGGAAAATGCTCAATAAAAACTAATCATAAAGACCATCAGCTAAGGATCTGTTGAGACACCCATGGTTTTAGAATAGCTACAATATGAATGTGGAAAATGAAAAAATAAAAGAAAATCTGTAAAAGTTAAAAAATTTTACTTACGAAAATGAATTTTAAATGGCCGTTTGGATGTATATATCTTCTCATTTAGTAGAAGATAATGAAAAAAAGGAGTTGGAATTGATATTTAAAAAGTTAGATAAAGACAACAGTGGAACTCTTAGTAAAGAAGAGATCAAACAAGGATTCGAAGAAATGGAAGTTGAGCTAAACTAATAAGACTTGGATCAAATTTTTGATCAAATAGATACTGACAAAAATGGATTCATTGATTACAATGAATTTCTTGCCAGCACTATAAGTCATGAACTCATATCCAATTAAAATTACTTGAAAAAAGTATTCAAATTGATTGATCTCGATAAGAATGGAAGTATTTCACTTAATGAACTCAAAAATATATTAGGGTCTCCTGACTAAAGAGTAAATGCAGCATATCAAAGTGTATTCGAAGATATTTTTTCATAGATAGACATAAACAGTGATGGTGAAATATCGTTCGAAGAGTTTGAAAAACTAATTACCTCACATATATGCTAACAATCAAAATCTACATCAAGTTAACAGCAATAAACTGATAATTAATAAATATAAAAGAAAGATCCAAGTGATATAGAATTATAAAATAGTTAAAATTAAGAAGAAAAATCAAATTTGGCAATCTGAAAAATTAAAAACTTTTTATTTATAAAAGATTTTTAAACTTTGTAATAATATTTATTTACAATTTTTCTGTTAAATTTTGAATAATTCTTATTAATAAAATTAAATTTTTATTAAGTAATAATTAAAAATAGCTATTTTACTTCCTGAAAAATTTATTTAAAGATATTTCTATTTCGTTCAATCACCAGCCAGTTAGTCAAACAAATTTATTATTTATTATTGAAAATGTTAAAAATAATAAATTTAACTTTTTTTAGATGACTAAAAAATTTGCATAAATTTGGCTGGTTTTGTGTAAGAATTTAAAATTTGGTTTTTTTGGTGGTAAGCTTCAAAACATTTATTTATTTATTTATTTATTTATTATAGTTAATTTTGTTTAGTATAAAATTAAAAATTAAAAAAAGCTTGGTTCTATATAAATATTTAGTTTGTTTATTAGACTTAATTTTAGAAATTTATACTATTTCAAAGATTTGATGTATTAAAAAAAATTAGATTATTTAAATTCTATATTATTGTCAGTAAAAAAATTCTAATAAATTCTGAACTTTTTGATTCAGTTAATTCACATAGTTATTCAAGCATGATAATAATTGGCAACTATATAATAATTATAATTAAATTAGGTATAGGTATTTTCAATCAAAAGGAATTAAGTTAGTAATATTATAATTAAAATGATATAGATAGAATTTTAATGTGTGTTTATTTATTAGAAATGCATTATTAACATTTATACAATAGAAACAAATGTTTTCTAAAATATCCTTCTCGCAAAAGTAATTTGAATGATATATCTTATTTTAAATTAATTTATGAAACTTAGAAATTAAAGCTCATCTGGTAAATAAGAGAGAGAATTTTATTTGTATATCATCAAATCTTTGTTAATTAATAAACATTTATTTATCTATTTATGTTATTTCTTTTTTGGAACTTGAATGTAATACTTTTAACTAAATTTTAAAGGGGAAGAAGTAAATTTTATTTATTTAAGAATCAAATTTTCTCAAATAATATTAACATTGTTTAATCAATTTATCAATCAGTCAAATTATCAATCACTCAATCTATAGATCGATTGATTGATCAATATATTATTTTCTTGGGTTGTGCACATATTTAATTTTGATAAAATACATTTATTCTATTTCATGAGCTTGTTTAGCGGAATGAATATTATCTTGTTTTGTTGCTGAACCAAAATATTTAATAGACAATTATCGCTTTAATTTAAAATTAGCATAGATTAATTTTGAAATTGAATGGATTTAGGCTAAAATTTTATTAAGAAGTATTTAGAATATATAATTAAAAGAATTTGTTATTAAAAAGTGAAAGGAATGAAGAATTTATTATTTGAAATATGAGAAGAATTGTTAATATAGATAAAGTATAATATACTCTTTAGGTTATTAATTGAGACATGACTACATGCTTGCTTTGATAAATATTTAGGAAGAAATACGCTAAGAATTTAAACAATTATAAACGAATATATAAATGAGTGAATGGATGAGTAGAAAGAATGTGATTTATTGAGGAGAGAAGGATAGAAAAAAGGATTGAGGAATAAATAAAGGATTAATTGAAGGTTTGATTTAAAGATATGAATTATACAAGGAATAAGGAGAACAAAATATCAAAGAGAGAAAGAGAGGAGAATTGGGGAATGAAAAAATAATCAAAATAACAAAAGTGATTGAGAAGGAAGGAGAATGAAATAATATAAAAATTTATCAAAAAAATTGATTTAAAGAAAAATAAAGAATAATAATAATAACGAATGATTATTTCACATCATAACAATTATTATTTAAACTACAATAGTTTTTTGCGGTGTAAGAGCAGAAATGCTCCCAGCAGTGCTGCCTTTCTTTAATACTTGACTTCAGGTTAATAAAAGGGGCTGCACTTGCTTAAAAAACATTTGTTTTTATAAAATACAAATAATGTTAGCAGTAGTAACAGATGTGCAATGCAGATGGGGATTGCAAATAAACTCAAAGAGTCTAAGAAACTCATAAGAGTTGCTTTCCACATTCGCAACAACTGTAACTAAAAAATGAAGACAGAGCCATTGCTGGTGAGTTTTACTCATCTCTCATCCAATTCAAAATTTAAATTTACTCGCATTACATTAGGTGAGATCGTGAATAAATTTGTGAATACCGTTGCCAGTCAGCTTTGCGAGGGCGACAACAACCTGTTTGCTGAATAATTTTTTTCAAATATAGTAGACAGCAGCAGTAGCAGCAGCGGCAGCCAGCAAAATCACATGCAGCTATTATAATTTTGTTCTTAATGTATTACTTTATAAGTGTAAAAGTAAACTGTGACATCCATATCAACTTCTTCGTCATGTTCCACTTCACACCAAATCTGTTCTTGTTATAATTATAATAAAACCTGTAAATCAACCTATAACTACCCCAATACAAATAACATTATCAGTAAATAAAAATAAATGTGTTATTATTGTGACCCCCTTACAACATCTCCAAATAAAATTTCCTCCCATGAAGATGTCATTAATGAAATTTAAAAGAGAATTGTAATAACTTCTATGTCCTTTCCAAACAGTAAAACTGAAACAAATATAACTATTAAACGCTCAAATCTAAATAACATCATTTAGTTGCAAGACATGCAGCACGTCTACGTGCATCTAAAGCCTTTGCCGTCATGCTTCCGTTCGTTTGTAGCTGCGTTAGCTTCCTCTGTAGTTTATTCTAGCATACCTTCTGCTGCTTCCTCATAGCAATTTAACGAGCAGGAGCTTAATTTCTTTGCTATCGATGATAATACTATTGATTATGATATTGATAATAATAACCAATTTTATGAGGCACTCCCTGTGCAAAATCGCCTTTATTGCTCTTAGCCTATTCAAGATGAAGATATCTCCTTAGCAGATCACTACAGAAAGGGTGAGATCTTGGATTAGTAGCTCAATCCTTAGCAATTATCGACTCGCTCATCCTCGAAAAAAGAAAATAATCTCATGAAAGGCTATAATTCTCACCTTAGTAATTCTTCTAGCCTAATAAACAACGCCAGAGTTCACAACAACTAAGATTTTTCATCTCATGTAAGTTTCTGCCCTAACAGCACCGATGTGAGCCTCGTCTTCTCTAACACTGAATCAGCATCGGTTGAAGTAGAAGAAGCAGAAGAAATGATTCAAGAAGAGTACAAAAATTCAAAATAAAAATGCTCCAAAGAATAAAAATAATGCTTAAACTAATTTGAAGGTATGTTATAAAAAAGAGTCAAACTTAATTAAGATCCAATTTCAAATAGCAATAATATTCACAAAGAGCAAATACCTATCAACAATTTTAAAAAATCATCTAACACAAAAAATTAAGTTGAAAATAGAGCAAGGAATCACTCTTCATCATCCTCTTCGAATCCATCATACTTGCTATCTCCTCTCCTTAGCGCTGAAAAAATCGAAATCTCATACGAAAAATTTATTGAAGAAATAGATATTAGCAGCAAAGCTAAATGTCCAAGCTAAAATAACAAATTTAATTAACTGAAGGATTAGTAATAATAATTCTTATCAATGGATTAAGATTAGTCTGATTTGATTTTCGCTTAGAAAAACAAAAACCTTTTTACCCAAGAAATTGAAGAAAATTAAATGCTTGTCCAAAAAAATTCTAATTTACTCAAATTTGGTGGTGACAGCAATCGTAAATTAAAAGGTGAATGTATCTTTTAAAATTTTAATTTCAATTTCGCATTTAGTGACAATCCAGATTTCCTTGGAAGTGATTCCGAATTGATGAAAACAACTCTATCACAAATTGAAACCTCATATTTAAAACCTAATAAAAACTGCTTGCTTAACTTCAATCAACAGTCCCCCCTCTCTACTAATCAATCATAAGAATATAGATAACTCTAAACAGTGCAATAAGAAAAGGATCTTGAACAAGACTAAATGTCATTATCATAATAATAATAGAATAGATAACAAACCTCAGTTATTGACTAAACAGAGCAAAGCTATCCTATTGAACTTAAAAGAGAGCCATAACTATCCAACCTTGAATAGCTTAAGGTAGAACTTAGAGCTTAGATCTTCCTTGAAGGATCCGAAACTAATAATGACAAAAAGAAAAGATATCTTAAAAAAATATTCTAGGACAAGAAGGTGATCAAGAAGGAAAGAATGAGCAGAATAAATGAGTAAAATATGGATTTAATCAATAAACTTGACAATGAAATCTCCAAATTAGAAAAATTAAGACAAAGTGAATCTACTAGCTCTACTCCATATTTTGAAGACCAATCCACAAGACACACTTGTTCAACTTAGAACAAACCTTCAAGCAAATTATCCTAATATTTGAAATAACAAATTAAAATTAACAGAGTTCTTCGCTTTCTTGACGATTCCATTATAAGCAGCTCTGAAGAAATGAAAGACAGAGTTTCCAAAAATAAAGAAGAACTCGAGTGGCTCTGCAGAATTATCTACACAATCAGCAAGCATGAAAAAATTACTTGTAAATCTTATGAAATCTTCTTAGAATAAACGACTGAATAAATGAACAAAAAATACTTCATAAACAAATAATAAGTTGACCTTCTCTTTTAGGACTTGCTAAAAATTTTTACCAACTGGATTGCACTTGAATAAACAAATTACGGATTGGTATTCTAAATTAACTAAAACTTCAGATTTAAGTAAGTTAGAAATTTTTTTTCGCAAAACAAATGAAAAAAAATACAAAACTAAATGATTGTCTTTAGCTAGCAAAATAATAAAAAATATAGCTAAATTATTATCAAACCATTTTTTGCAATTTTAAAATAAATTAATAAATAAACAACAAAATAAATATGAAGGAAAGAAAAAAATAAGCTAATCATTGAAAATTTAAATTATTTAAATTCAAAAAATCTGATGAATGGTAAACCGAGGATTGATCAATCAATAAATTATTTGAATATTAAACATTAGCTTCAAAAAGAGCTTAAGTTATTAAGTAAGACCCCTCCTCCATAAGGAAGGAACAAAAGGAAAAGGAGGAAGGTTATTATCAATCAATCAATCTATCTATATGATACTCACAAGAATATATTATAATCAAATCAAAAAGCTAATTTATTCTGCTTTTCTACTCCAAAATAGCAAAGCTATAAATCGTAATAAGAATTATCATCCAAACATAAAAGAGTGCTCACAAAGAATATATAATATTAAGTAAAATAGTAATAAAACTAGCTAAATGATGTCATCCATAATATTGATATCAAATAATAAATACTAAAAATAAATAAATAAATAATATTTAAATCTAAACCAAATTAATCTATAACATTTAAAGAAATAAATAATAATAATAAACCATCTCATAATATTTAAACCATAATAATTAAATTAATCTAAACCTATATTTAAATACTCCATCTCACTTTAACTATTTAAACCTGTAATCTAGTATTATAAATATCATAAAAGAGGGTAATATTTTAATTCCACACAACAAATTTAAATTTTTCATTAAAATTAATAATAAAAAACTATTTAAAATATACTAATAACTATAAAAAAATTCCCTCTCATAATTTAATTATATAATTAATTTATTTACTGAAGTTAATTTTAATTTTTCTTTCCTGTAATTATATATAAATTGCATATATGTATTGCTAATTTAATATTTATTTCTCCTAAATTAAATTCAAATAAATTTATTTATCAGTTAAAAATTTGAGAAATTTCAAAGTTAATTAGCTAAAAATGTCTTTTAATTAAAAATTAGCTTAATTTAAATTTGATTTTTGAGAAGAAATAAATTTGTAGGTAGATTGGTTTGTAAATTTGTTTAATTAAATAAATAAAATCGAACTTTTCTACAATAAATTTTCATTAGAAATAAATATTAATAAAAAATATTTTATGAATATTTTTAAATTTTTTATTGATAAATAATTTTAATTAATTTAAATATGGCATTATAAATTCTATTTAAAAATTAAAATATAAAATATTTTCTTTGTCTTTCTTGATAAATTTTATGATAAATCAAAATTTTGAGGAGACTTTCAGTAATAAAATACGAAAAAACATTTCTTTTATTTATTTATTATTTACTTTGTCTTGAATAATTAGAAGATCATATTGATTTATTTAAAAAAATTAGATATGAGCTAGTAAATATTACTAACAAATTTAAAATTGTTCTTTGAGTTTAGTAAGTGTAAATTAAATTTCTTTAAAAAATAAATCTCTATATTAATTTAATTAACCACAAATTAATTTCTTAATTTTTTAATATACGAATACTGACAAGATAAAACAAAGGTGATTTATTTATTTTAGATTTTCAATTTGACAACCGAGTAAAAAAACGGACTGATTAAACGGGAATATTGTAGAAGGAGTAGCTTAATAGGAAGCGAAATTTGAGCAAATACAAATGAAGAAGACCAAATAATATCTTAAAGAATACTATGTGAATAGCTTTTTCTTACTTTAATTTGCATATGACAGGAGCTAATATGTTGCAATTCTTCTACTTTTAGTTAGATAAATACAATTTATTAGTTTAATATTCACTAAAATCGTTACTGATGATGTTCTATCTTTTAAAAGTTATTTTGAGAATAGCCTAATTGACACATTAATTACTACAACGCACTACTTTAGATTAGTTCCTTTATAGTTCTCGCTTTAATCTAATAATAAAACCGAATCAACTAATGCATAAAACACTACAAAAACATAAAATTCCAATAATAAAAATGACTTGGAACTTTCTGTGAATTACAATTTTTTAATATTTTAGGCTATAGTGAATAGCTACCTTATTTTTTATTTGCTTATTAGACCTATTTTACTTTAGTTGCTTTAGAAGAGAAAGTAGATATACAAAACTTTAGATTTAATTTGTTCTTTTCTTATGAAGTGGTATTCTTATTTGCTATTAATACCTTTTATTTAGGTCAGCATTTATGAACTTTTTAATGATAACGTTCTTATATTGTCTTGGTATTGTTTGATATCTACAAGCATTATTTCAATTTTTCAGACTATTCACGAATTTAGCTACAGTTTTATACTCAAGGATTTTCTTGCTAAGAGGGATTCATTTGAGAATTAACTGGACCTAGTCATTATTTATATGTTTTCAATATTCTATGCAACTTCTATAAATTCTAAGATAGTTTTAATTGCCCACTCAATTTTAACACTCTACTAAATATATTCTTTTATTGTGAGACTCTACTTTTACAATCGCATCATTTAATGTATATTTATTGTATTCAGATTTTGTCATTTGGGACTCTCATTAATTCTTTTGCTATTTATATTGGCTCCTGCCTTATAAAATTATTGTGATATTTAGCTGACTCTTTTAGTTAGTTTGCCAATATTGGCCAGATTCGCCTTGATAGTGAGGTCCTTAAGAGTAACAAGTTTATTACTCAGAGAAACAGGTTAGTTACAATTTTTATTTGTTTGCTTTATTTAAAATAATTAAATTAAAAAATATTCTATGAAAAGTTTCATGAATATTTTTCAAATTATTTGTTGTAGTTTTTTATCAATTTTAACTGTAAAAAATTTCAAAATTAATTAATTTAAAAAAATATTAAGATTACTCAGATCCTTAAATACTCAATCTTTACATAAGGAATGTATTTACTCTGCTTAGAAATCTTGATATGCATGACTACACAATTATTTAGAAGGGTGTTCTTTATGAGAGTATTTATGAAAATCATTATGATTAATGTGCTCGAAAGCAGTGCTTTTGTCATGATCTGATTAGAGAAAATGGTTTTTCATGGGAAGAACTTCATGGCCACAAATACAGAGATAGATTTTTAACTTCATATTTAACCTAAATATTTTCGGAGTTTATAACAGATAAAACAAGGCTATTAAAATCAGTAACTTATTTATATCCAGTAAAAATACATTTTAAATTTATAATTTCAAAACAGAGTGAAGAATTTCATAAACTAAGATTCAGTTTTTTATCGTTTTTGATAGAGGTTGTGAATGTTCCAACAAGTTCGTACGTTTAAGTAGTATCGATGATCAATTAGTTGATGAAGTAGAGTAATATAAAAGAATAAATGATATTTAAATCGATGGAATACAAAGCTAATCAAACTTTTTACAACTTTTTCAACAATCCTTCTGTGTTCAACCAAAGATTGCAATTAAATAAAGTTATGGAGTTTGATGATATTTACAAAGAATTATCAATGAGAATAAAAACATGTATTTTGCTGCTAAGAGATATGTATGTCATGATGATGGAAGATTACATCAATTTAAACAAATTACTTGATCTTGGCACTAAAATTATCAAATTCAAAGAATTAATTTATAACGATTTAATGACTCTCTTTCAGTATAATCCAAATAGTTAAAGAGCTTTTGAAATGAGTCAAATTTACAGCGAAACTCTTGATCTGATGAAGAAAAAACCTAAATAGTATAAAATAGAAGTAAATTATTTATTTATATTTATATTTAGACCAGTGAACAAAAAAATTCATACTAAAACAAAAAATTAAGGCATAATTTAGAGCAAGAAAGATCCAAATTCAAAAGAATTACTAAAACCCAGAAAAAGAAATAAATTTATTCTCATAAGAAGCGTGCGTGATATATGTAAGTCTATTAGATCCTATTGGAACAATCAAGCGAATAAGTCAGTCTACATTTAGAGTATTTGGCATGCAAGCAAAGGAGTGCATAGGAAAAGTAATGAATTCGCTAATTAATTTTAAAAAAAAGTGTAAGTAGAATATTTTTATTTGAATTTAATAGAACTGTAATATCTTCATACCAAATGAAATAAACAAAATACATGATGAAATCTTGAACAGATTCGTTGAAGGAGGATAGCTTAAAGTCATTAGTGCTGGAGAAATCAAAATGTTTGGAGTTAAGAAATCAGGCTTTATTTTTCCTCTTAAATTCAGAATCAGGTTAGATCCATCTTTTTCAAATGATTTTGGAGTGAGTGGGTTTTTCCAAATGTCTAATTCAGTAAAATTATATTTTTATTATATGGAAAATTCAATTTAATTATAAAATAAAAACAGGGTTCAGAGCATATACTCTTTGATTTAACAGGCAGGATCACAAATATTTCAGAGAAATTTTTTAAATTTTACTTTTAAGATATTTTCGGAGAGAGTAACTTTAAGAAAGTAAGAGACTTAGACATTATTAAGATGCTCCCTCTTTTAGGAGGATACATTGAACAAATCAGAGATTCTAATGTAGATATGCAGAAGTTCGACTTCAACACAATATTTATTTATCCTCTTGTCAAAGATAAAGCAAAAGTCTTTGAATATGACTAGAGCTATTTTTTTAACAGTTTAACACAATTTAAAAACTTTTCCAAGACAATCAAATCAAGAAAATGTGGATTTCTAAGTATTTCATTTAGAATTGGAAGGCTATCTAACTCATACACACCTCTTAAAATAGGCTTTATACAAATCGAAAAGCATAAAAAAATTTTAGATAAATATTAATGCTTAGAAGAAATCGAAATTCTAATTTCTAATCTAAAAGAAAGAAAAAAATATTTAGACATTGCAAACAATATACTAAACGAAAATGCACTGGATTAGTAAAAATCAATTATGAATAATACAAACGATAAAAGTGTTAAATCCATTTCTCTACGTTAGCCATCATTTTTCCACAAACAGGCCTAAGAATAAAGTCCCTAGAGAAAGAGTATCATGATGAACTTTAAAAAGACTCTTAAAACCACAATGAAAGAGAGTAAATTTATTTTATACAATATTATATAGAGTAAATTCTCATCTATTAAACCGATGTATTAAATTTTGAAAAATTATTAAGACCCAGGTAATTTTAAAATCAGGAATAGTTTTTTTTATTTTCTACTCAAGAAATAATTATTGAAAAATTGCAATACTTTATTGTTTATCAAAAAGAGAAAAAAAAAATAGATGATTTTAAACTACCATTTTTATTACCAGATTAAGAAATTGATTTATGATTTTCAATAATATTATATTAATATATTAAATATGTGCTTTTAAGTATTATTTTAAATTAGAATAAAAATGTTTTTTAAGCTGCTGGTCTTTTTAAATAAGAAATTATAGTATAATTTTATTATTTAAGTAACAAAATTAATGACTTGGTTTAATTATTTAATAAGTTTTTCTAAAATAATTTTAAAAATGAATTTTTTGTTTTAATTTAAAATAAATTTTACAAAATAAAATAAAGTTGAAAGTTAATAAAATGGAGATTCTCAATTAAATGATGTAATGAGTAAACACACGAGCAAAAAAGCAATTTCGTAACATAATTTGGATACATATAATAATAATGTCACAGAAAATGATATCATTTATATTAACTTAAGCAAAAGTATTTTAATTTTGATTATAAAAAATTATTAACTCGAATTTTTTTTAATAGATAGCTAGCAATAATATCAATCAACCACAGATAATCATATGGAGCTAAATTAAACTTAAAATCACTTGATAACTACTCAAAATAACTTGAATATGAATAGCATTAATAATAATGACACAGTTATTCATCTTGAAACCAGCTTTTAGCATGATAACTTTACAGATTAAAATAAAAATAATTTGACTGCTTTTTTTAAGCAAACAGAATTTGATATTTTTGATAGTTATAACTTTGATGAATAGAGAAAGAAATTAGGAGGATTAGAGCAAAATTAACATGGACAATATATGATTTAAGATTCAGTTATTTCTCCTAAAAAATAAAACTTATTGAATTAATAGAATTTAAAGCAAAGGGCTGCTGAAAAGCATTCTACATCTAGTGAAGAAAAAATTAACAGTAATAAGAAAACCAAAGATAAAGAAGACTCTAATGATTCCAAGCATAACGATTTGGATTTTGAAAATAAAGTCATTCAAGCAAATATTGCTACTGATAAAATAAATCGATATAAATAAAAAGAGTAAATATTAAAATAATTAAATTATTTTATTTAAAATAAACTTTTTTATTTCAAAATAGACTTAAAGAATAAGGAACTGATCAGACATTTGGTGCCAAATAGGAAAAATAAAATGTGAATGAAAATAATAATAATAATGGTTAGAATAAGAATTCAGAATAACAAAATAATACAAATGAAATTTAAATAGATTTAAAAAGTGAAAATTCTTCTTCATTTTTAACTGATAGTGATGAATTTGATGATTCTGATTAAGAAGGATCTAATAATGATAAAAATAAAGAATAAGATTAAGGATTAAATTACAAATTTCAAAGCAACATTAAAACTCAGTTAGATGTATTGAAAAGCTTTGTGGATATACCAAAAGGAAGGAAGAAGAATAGGAAAATGACATTGGAAGAAATACAACTCGAAGTGAGCAGTGATAGTAATATGGCAGGCTCTTAGCTTAAGTAATTTAACGATGATATCGAAGGAAATAGAGATATCATGAACTTTATCAATAAATAAGAAGTTAGTTCTGTGAATAGTGGCAAAACAGAATTTCATTCTTTCAAAACAATGTTAAGAACTGGAATTCAGTCTAAAAAAACTTCAAAAGCTATGAAATCTATGCTAATAGCAGGCTACTTAGCAATTGCTATTCTTATTTCAATCACAACATTATTCTTCGTAAGCATAAGAAATTATTTCGAAGAAGAAATAGCTTCATACAAATTAATTGTTAAAGGTAAATTTTTATACATTTATGATAAAGAATTAAATACAAAATAAATTTATTTCAATTTTAAATAGGAGATGAAACAAAAAAAATATTCTCAAGTGTGATTACTTACAGCGAATTACTAGAATTACACTCTATGAAAATTTTATAAACCTAGCTTTCAGATCAAAAAAGCTTGGAATACTACAATGAAAAAATGTTTTCAGTGACAAAATTTAGAGAATAAATTTATAAATTCTAAGAAGAAGACTAAGATATTGACTTTGCTAAATATTTAACTTAAACATATCTTGCAACAACTCTATTTAATTAAAGAAACATGTCCTCCGTAGTCTATTTTTACCAGATTTATTCTTTAATTATAACTTCAGAGAACCTCTATTTTTATGCTAAAACTGAAAAAGAAGCTTTCTTAAGATACGTGTAAATTAAACATTTTTATTGTTAAAAAAAATTTATTTTTAATTTTTAATCAGTCTTTCATAATATTTTTAATTATTTCTCAAATTAAAAAAAATATTATTGTTATGAATAATAAATTAAATTCTTAAACATAATTTATAGAAAATAATGATTAATTTTATTTAAAAAATTTAATGAATTAAAATATTTATAAATAAATTTTAAATAAATCTTAAAAAATAAATTTAACTTTGATATTAAACTTAAAAAAAATAATAGACTTGAAAATGAAGAGAATGCTTATGGGGTGTTTGAAGGTATTACTGATTAGACGTTGAATTAATCTAATAGAATCATTACTTAAATTGATAACATTTTAGTTTTATCGTTGGTGTCTTTAGAAATTATTTGCATTTTAACTGTAATAGTTTCATTTCCTATGTTTTACTTTGTATAGAAATAAAGAGAAGAAATATTAAAGCTATTTTGTACTTTTCAAGGCAACAAACTCATTGAAAAAATAGACTAGTGCTTTTCTTATTCTCAGCATAATATGCTAGAAAGTATTGCAATTTATGGCAATATGATAAATAAAAATGAAGTAAATCATAATAAAAGACCAAACCACCCTAAAAAAAGAACAACATCAAATAGCAATAATTTAAAAAAATATAACATTAGCTTAATCATAGCAACTTTTGTTATTTTTTGTCTTCTTTCTATCTCTCCCTTTACAAATTACTTTACGTCATAAGAATTTATAAATGAATTCGATATGAATATCCAAGAATTGTAAAAAATTTACTAGTTTAGGGGATTAATGCCTGAGACATATGCATTGAATTATCTTACAATTAAAGCAATAGCGTAATAAAGGACAGATTATACTTAAAAGCTAAAATTATAGCTTGATAAATTGTCTAATATTACCAATTAAGCCACCAAAGATTTAGTTGGGCTAAATAAATACTTGCAAGTCTAAGGAAGGTATGATTATAACTTATACTAAAGTATTGTAAGGTAGATATTAGATAAAGAGGTTTGCTAAACATTTAAAAATAACATACAATATAGTTCTAACTCTACTCTATTTAATTTATAAAATTGCCTTTCTGTCTATAATCAAATATGGTCAAATGGCTTTATTATTGGAGTGAAAGCTATTTAGGAAAAGTTCAAAGAGATTCGAGCTCTCTTAGATATTTAAGATCCTTAAGCTTTTATTTAAAAAATATAAGCATTTGATTAAAATTATGATCTCAATTCTTTCTAAGAATTATATTATTACTGTTAAAGTATTCCGGATTTGCTTGGAAATTTCATGATAACATCCAGCACAAACTATTACAACGAAAGATAAAATTTCCTTCTGCAAATTTTCATTTTTGCCTTTATACTTAACTCCTGCATTTTACTATTTGTTTGGTAGGCTTTTTATAAGCATCTAGCTAAATTAATGTTCTAAACTAAATCGATATTAGGAGTTTTTTCTTATGACTTTATAATAGATAATCCATTTATTATCAGTTATGTTAAAAAAGAGTTTACTCTTACATGAACGAATAAATTAATTAACTTTCTTTCTACTTGTCTATATTTTTTGTAAATATTTATTGAATAGTTTTAAGCATGTTTTATTTTGTAAATATTCATTGAATAGTTTTAAACATTTCTTAATAACATTTATTGAATAAAAAAATAAATTGCTAAAAAATTAAAAAATCCCTAATAAATTATAAATTGTTTTATTTAAATTTTTAAATAAATATAAGCAGGGATCAAAATTTTATCTTCAATTTTATCGCTTCTTTGCAATCTAAATGTAAGCTCTAAATAAGCATAAAATATAATAATTAAACCATTTATTTACAACCCTGTTTGAATTACATTATTAAAATTCATATAAAAATAAAATAAATTTTATTAACATTTAATTTGCTTTGAATAATAGATTGATTCTATTAGAAATAAATTCGTTTTTAAAAAACATTTTTGCATGAAAAATTATATTGATAAAAATATTTGAATGAAATAAAAAACAAATACTGTTAATAAAAAGATTATTTAAATGTAGATTTAAAATTATAATATTTTTATTATTATTAGAAAATAAATAACCAACAAGATTGTAAATATATGAAATTATTTTAAAAAATAATTTAAATATGTAGAGGTATTTATTTATTTGTAGAAACGCTTCTAAATTTGGATTAATAAGATTTATTAATCAACGAATTTATGAATAGAGCAAAAAGTGCAACTCAAAATATAGGGTAATAATTAACTAAATAATTAGCTAATTAAATTAATAATTAATTAAAATAAATGATTTTGATTGACAGATATAGATTGAAATTCATTCATATTAATTCATTCATTTATTTTTTTATTATTTAATCAATTAATTAAGTTCTTTTTTTTATATCAAAATGCTTTGTATTATTTTTTATAAAACTTTCAAAGTTTCTTCATAAATTAAATAAAAGGAGCTTTAATAGAAAAATACAACATTGCGCAGTCATATTAGGAGTTACTTTAAGATTAAATCAAAAAGGAAATCTATTTTAAGCAGTTAATAAAGTGAAAGGAAATGGTTAAATATGAGGAATTGATTGAGTATTGTATACAAATCATTAAGACATTCAATCCTGTAATTTTGACTGTGGATTCCCACTCAGAGGAATTCATTGCAAAAAATAAAAAGAAATTGGAAGACACGGAGATAGTTTTTATTAAGCAAGTATTTTATGGTACTTTTAGGTATGAGGAATTCCTAAAAGTGTTGACTAACTCGTTGTTTAATAATTTTCCAAGCATTACGAATCGTAATGATTCAACTCTCTATCATATTTTTGGCTACTTGATTTGTTTTAGATTAGATGAATTACCTTTTAATGAATTTAAGAAAATGGTTTTTTCGCAGGATGCTGTCAAAATGAATGTTTTTCTTTAGTTTCTGTTTGACATTGAAAAAGTAAATAAATATGTCAGGGATGGCTGGATTGAAATTTATGATCCTGGTTACATAGATAATTAAATTATCACACAAAATCTTTAAGAAAAGCTACCAGTTGTTGCAGATTTACTTGCTCAACTCTCTCAAAAGGCTACAGGCAAAAAAAGTGATTTGGTAAACACTATTGAGTAAACTCTTTCAGTAACTGATAAAGGAGATGATAAATAGCAAAAGAAATTCGAGCCAACTGTTCCTTAACCATTTAAGTTGACTAAGCCAAAGCCTAAAGCTATTCCTGAGCCAATAAAAATTCCTAAAATAGTAAAAGCAAACCCCGTTCCTCAAACAATATTTTAAACAAATCTGAATGAAATTGTTGATAAAGGAAAATAAAGAAGGGATGAAATTAAAAAATAGGTATATTTTAAAATATTTTTGCATAGATTTTCTATGAATAAATAAATTAATTATTTTATTTATTTAATATTTTAGAAACAAAAAGAGTTAGAGGATGCAACAAAGAACTAATTCAAATTTTAACTTGATAACCGTCCAAATAAATTTGAAAAAATAAAGAAAGAAGTTGAGGAAGAAAAGAATAAACAATTACAATTCGATAACACATACTTTAGGTATAATTTTATTAGTATTCTATTTGATAAAATATAAAAAATTAAAATGCAGACCTCCTCCTACATTTGATGAAGCTGCTGAAATTAAAATGAACGTTGCAGCTATTTTAAGGGAAGACAAGCACCTCTAAAAGAAATAAGATGATGAGAATAAAAGAATCAAGGAACTAGAGTGGAACATGAGAGATTCAGCAGAGTTTGAGAATTGGAAAGAAGAACAAAAATATAAAGAAAAACTTGAGAATATAGAATATTAGCAAAGAAAGAAAATTGAAATGGAGCTTGCAAGAGAATCAGCTATGAAAGCATATGATGAAAAAATCTAATAAAATAAATTAACTGCTGTACAAATGAAACAAATTTCTAAAGTCAAAGAGTAAGAAAGATAAAAAAAGATAGAAGAAGAAGTCTAAGAAAAGTAGAAATTAATTGATGGCGTTTTAGCAACACGTGAAAACGCTGGAATCGAAATACAAAAGGTAATTTTTTAAATTAATAATGAGAAAGAATTTATTTATAAAATTTGCAAAATATTTCAGTTAAAAGAACAAAAGAAAGTTATTCATGATGAATCTAAGAAAGAGAGAGAAATTTTATTATAAAAGAAGAAAGAAGAGGATGAAGTAGAAAGAAAAAAAAAGGAGGATTTAATTAGATAAATCAGAGAAGCTGAAAAGTAGCCCAAAGTAAGAACAAAAGGTTATGACCCTACTGAAACTATGGGTTATGGGTTGTTAGAAGAAATGAGCATAGTTCAGTTAAGAGAAAGATTAGTACAAGTAAAAAGGCAAAGGGAGATAGAAAGAGAACAAACAAGATAGGAAAATATGAAAACTAAAGACTCGAAGTTAAACTCACTTTAATAAAAAGTAGAAGCAATAAAATAAAATAGGTATTTTTCTTTCTTTCATTTTATTTAATTTTCAAGATTTGTTTGTTTGTTTGCTTGAGTGTTTTTAAAAAATATTTTTGAATTAAAAAGAGAACAGCTTTAGAAGCAAAAACAATAAGAAAGAGAAGAAAAGAAAAAGAAGCTAATGGAGGAAGAGCAGAAAAAATAGCAAATTAGAGAAGAGTAATTGCTCGAAGTACACTAAAAAGTTGTTGACAAAAAGAGAGCAAAGAAGAAAGAAGAAGACAGACTTGCAAAGGAATATAGAGAAATTTAACTAAAGAGAATGTATATGAATGCAAACGCTGCAGTTGTTGAAGAGTTAGCTTGGAAAGGATAACAAGAAGGTGCTGAAAGAGAAATTAAATATAGACAAAATCAAAAATTACTTGATTAAGAATAAGTTTTAGGAGTAAAATACCATGAAAGAAAGATCATTGCAGATAACAGTAAAAAGTTAGTTTAAGAAAAACTTGAGTTTATTGAACAATATGATGAGAATATGGAGAGAGCTAATAAAGAAAATGAAGTACTTTATCGTCAAATTCGTGAAGATAGAAAGATATAACACCAAACAATTCGTGATTATGAAATATAACATAATAAAAACATGGTAGAAAGAGATACATTTAAATATAAAATGAGTGAAATGAGTCTAACGAATGCTAAATCTAAGCTTGAGTAATCTAAAAATTAAGCGTCAAGAGATGGAAAGAGAACATCTAAAAACTAAGAATTACAACTGCCAGGTCCTAAGTATGACTCTACCAATATTATAAAAGAATCTCATCAAGAAGACGATGGATGAAATACTTTATTAAAAGGAATAAAAAAAATTATTGATTGAATATCAAAAGACCATTCAAAAATTGTTAAATATTTGAATTAAATTAAGAAGAAATCAATTATAATTTAAATTTGTATAAATGAATTAAAAACAAACAAAAATTAATTATTTTTGTATTTATTAATTTATAAATGAAAGTATCCAAAAATTTTTATTTTATATTCATCTTTATTAAAATAATTACCTCATGCATTAGTAAAATAACCTCCATGAACTTTATTTAAATGACCATAAACTTCACTTTCAGTTTTGGCTGAAAAGTAGCAAAGATAGCAATAACTTATTTTGCAATTTGTGCATATAATTCTATTGCATCCACCTGTTCTTTACGTTAAAATTGAACAATTTGGACAAAATTTAAAACCTTATGCTTCTAGCTCTTTTCTATAATCTTTATTATTTTCCATCTTCCATTTTTAATAATTTTCACAACTAAAACCATCATGAGTTGAATCACAATTATTAAGACAAAATTCATATTTACATTTTGTGCATTTATGCCTGAGTTTCTTTTCTGATCTATCTTGAATAAAAGTGAAATTACAATCTACAATTATCTCATTATCTTCTAAAGGAATATTTGCACTGCCTTGCCTTTATTTTTCTATTTATTCTTTAGGGATGTATATAACCTTTTCACTTCCTTTTTAAATCTTATATTTTCCCGGACAAACAATAAGTTCCTCCATAGAATTAGGATTCTCTCTTTTCATTCTTTCAAACATTGATTTGATATTTTTTTATTCTAACTTTTCTATCATTTCTTTATCCTCTTGTAAGATAAAAGTGATGTCATCAAAATCTAGCACTTTTTTGCAATCTCCATTTGGACAAAAAATATTTTCTAGTTCTAAATTTATATTTTCTTTCAGCGAGTTTTATATACTATCTTTTAAGCAGCTCCTACAAAATTTACAGCCACATTTTAAAATGTAGCCATTTTAATTTAAATCTATCTCTTCTAAACAAATAGCACACTAAAATTCAATCACTTAATTCTACTTTTCTAATTCCAAAATTTATTGGTACTTCTTCTCTTTTTACTATTATGCTTCGAAATATTCAAATTGATACATTTGAACTTCTTTAGTTGAAAGCGCTTATCTAATCATTTGAATATTCACAAGATTAGAAGCACAACCTTAATCACATTAAATACACTCATTTAATAGTTATTCAACTTTTTCTAAGCTCTCAAATTTATCCTTATTTTGAAGAATTTGTTCTCTCAAACATGCGTGATGACAGAAAAAACAACACTAACAATTTAATTTAAAAATTTGATTTTATTAGTAATCATCTTTTTTAATCATATTGTGGCATATTTTACAAAGCACTGATGTCAACTGATTTAGTTTTACTTTAGCCTTTTACTTACATAGAAAGCTTATGGCATCTATTGATTGTAAATATACTAATTCATTTAGTTCTAAAAAGTTTCCTTTAAATACGTTGCTTAATATGTCTTCTAATTAAAATTATTATTGATACATTTGATTTGTTTTGATTTATTCTAAATTGCTTAACTAATTTTTATGATTTATATCATCAAACAATTCTTACTAAAATTCTTTTAATAATCGATATACAGAATATTAGTTAAGTGGAAATAAAAACAAAAAGTTAGACAAATTATAAGCTGCAATATTCTAACATCTTAAAAACTTCTTAAAAATAAGTAAACTAATTTTAATTTTTTTAATTTACTTATTTCACTAAACATTTATAATTTACATACCTCCTAGATAATTGATTAATATAAAATTAACTTGATAAAATAATATTCTAGAGTTCCTACATAATTAAGAAGTCAAAATATTTATATCAGCTTCTTAAGAAATATACATTTTTTTTCAAATGATAAATAATGTGGAATATTAAAGATATTATGAATAAAAACACAAATTTTAATAAATTTATCAAATATTTAAAAGATAAATATAAATTGCTATTGCTTTTATAATAACTCATGAATTGAAACAAATATTAAGAAATGCTTGAAATATTTACTTTTTTACAAATAGTCAAGCTATAAACTTAAAAATTACAAACATTTGCAAATGTTCAGAAAAAATAAACCAATCAATGTATTTTCTTAATAATTTATAGAATAATAAAAAATATTGCTAAATAATATAATTTTTAAAATATTTAAAAAACAAATATAAATTTCTATTGCTTTTTTAATAAATCAGAAATGAAAAAATAAATTAATGAATAAGTTGTATGTGAATAAAGAATTTCTTTAAAGTATCTTTTGATATTAATTCATTTCAACAATAAATTAAAAAACAAACTAATAATTACAATCAAATATTTACAAATTTTCAGAATAAATTAATCAAATTAACTCTTATTTTTATTATTATTTATTATAAGTTGAATTTTATGATCATGCATTGCCCCAATAACCTCCATGCTTTTCTCTTAAATGAGCATAAACTTCATTTGCAGTTTTAGCAGAAAAATAGCAAAGATAACAATAGCTTATCTTACAATTCGAACATGTAATTCTATTACAACCGTCTGTTCTAAAAGTTAAAACACAACAATTTTCGTTTGGACAAAATCTAAAACCTTAGGCTTCAAGCTCTTTCCTATAATCTTTAGAATTTTCAATCTTCCATTTTTGGTAATTGCTACAACTAGTATTTTCATGAGTTGAGTCGCAATTGTTGAGACAGAATTCGTATTTGCACTTAGTACATTTATGCCTGAGTTTCTAAACAGATTTGTCTTAGATAAAAGTGAAATTACAATCGACTAGCATCTCATTTTGTTCCAAAGGAATGTTACCTTTTCCTTATCTCTATTTTTCTATTTAATCTTATGGAATTATAATTATTTTAGAATCATCATTTTTATTAATTTTATATTTTCCTGGACAAACTATAAGTACTTCCTATATATCTGGGTTTTCTCTTTTAGCCTATTAAAAAGTAGAAATGATATTTTTATACTCTAACTTTTCTAGCAATTGCTTGTCATCTTTAAGAATAGAATTAATATCATCAAAGTCTAATACTTTTTTGCAGTTCTCCATTGGACAAAAAATATTTTCAAATACAAAATTTATATTGCCATTTAATGCTTCTACTATACCTTATTTTAAACAATCTCTACAAAATTAGCATCCACACTTTAAAATATAGCCATTCACATTTAAATCAAGATCTTCCATACAAATTAGGCATTCAAAATTAATGACTTATTTCTACTTTTCTAATTCTAGCTCTTTTTATTCATTTATCACCTTTTACTTCTAACTTTCAGAGTAATTAAACAAATAAATTTGGATTTCTTTGGCAGAAAGCACTTGTTTAATCATAAAGACGCTAAAAATATTATTAACGCATCCATAATTGCATTTAATATTTTAATTTATAATCTCCTCAATTCTTTCTATGCTTTCAAATTCATCTTTATTTTGAAGAATTAATTATTTTAAACATAGTTTATGGCAGTAATCATTACATTAACAATTTAATTTAATAATCTAATTCTATTCTTAATCATCTTTACTTATCATATTTAGGCAAATTCTGCAATGGACTGAAGCTAACTATCTTAATCTCACTTAAGCCTTTTATTTACATAATACATCTAATGCATAAATATATTTAGAGATTTCTTGCAAACCTAGCCTAAGGTAATTGTTTTGAAATGCTTCACATAAAGTATCTTCTAATTCCTATTTGTCCTCAAACATTTTAATATTCTTATTAATTATCAAATCTTGTCTAATAGCTTTCTAAAATATACACAAATCATACAGAAAGTTAATTTTGATACTTAATATTTTATATAATCATGTTAGAATATTTAATATATTCCTCTCTTTTCTTAAATGATCTTTTTTCTTAACATCTTTAAGTAATATTGGATATTTAAAATAAACAAGTAATCATCTATCTCTTTTATTTTGATGACTATCAAAATTTTTTATTATATTTATTATAGCAACTCTTAAAATTAAAAAATAATTTCCATTTTATTTCTTTTGCTATCAGCGCAATATAGAGAGAGGACTTATCTTATTTTATATATTAATATACAATATTTTAGAATCAGTTTAAACATTTTCAGATCAGGGAATATACAAAATTAGTTAGCTAAAAATCATAAAAATTAAATAAAACATCACCGTCTGGACCAACACAGTTGATGATATTTAATTTCTGAATATATAAAATTAAAACATTATATAAAATAAATTAAATTTTAATATGAAAAAATACATTTTTAAACAACTAAATTCATAAAAAAGTACATTTTTTATACATTTAAAGAAGAATACTCATCTTATTTGATTCTTTATTTACTTAATAAAAAAGATAAATCTCTTATAAGAAAGATATTTATTAATTATAAAAGAAAAATCTCTTATAAGAAAGATATTTATTAATTATAAAAGAAATAGATATTTTGTTATTATATTTCATCAGATTCATATATAGATAACTATAAAAATCATCCTATCTTTCATAGATACATTTCAAAAGCAAATCTGATGCGTATAAAAAATTATAATCATTATTTAAAAATAAATACACTAATTTAGTTATTAAAAAAAATTTGATGGAATCAGAAAAACCATAAGATTAAGGGAATAAAGTTAAAAAATTCTTTATAAACCTAAAAGAGCCAAGTGACAGTTTTGCTATTGAACTGAGCCAAGTAGAATTGCAGAACATAACCATAATAGAGCTATTAAAGAAAGCAAATAATGTCTATAGCTTTAACCATAAATTTTGTCACATGGAGAGAATAGGAAATTAATTTTAAAATGTATCTGAATATGATAAAAATGAGAAGTTAATCAGTTCATATTTCAATCTATTCCCTTTTTATTTTGTTCCTATAAAATTTTTTAAGATAAATGTTTAAATTTAAGAAGAGAGTTATCTCTTTGAATTACCAAAAGCAACAGATTAAAGAAAATTACTATATTATCTCTCAAACGAATTAAAAATAAATGTGAAACAGCTTTACTTACTGAGTGAATCTTAGACTTTGAAGAATCAACTTTCCTCTTATTCTTAAGTTAATCTTTTTGTAGCTAATGATAAAATATTTTATGATGAAATAGAAATATATGTAAATTTAAATTTGAAAGTAATAGATAATATCGAATTATTTAACTTTGCGCATAGAAATGACATTTATATAGGAGATTAATTAATTTCTAAAAATGAAACATTTGCTCATTCAGGAGTGAAAAGTGGAGATAAACTCTACTCTTACTATTTTATCAAGGCTCAAATTAAAGATGTGCAAACTTAAATCAAAAGCAACTTTACAAAATAAGAAGCAAAAGATTTATACAATAAATATTACCCAAAAGAATAAGGTAGAATCATCACTGAGATGATAGGAGACACTTTACATATCAAATTAAATAATGATGTGGAAATGATGCTTTTTATCAAATCTTTATCAGGAGCATAATATGATATAGGAGCTAATGGAAATAATACTATTGGCTAAATAAAACAAAAATTATCACCTTTATCAGGAGTAGAATGTGAATTTATGAAGCTTATATTTTGTGAAAGGTAGCTAGAAGATAATTTAACTTTGAACAATTATAAGATTAAGGATGAAAGCACTATAAATTTAATTTTAGTAAAACCAACAAAAATAAAAGATAACTCAATTTTGCAAGAAAGTGAGATATCAATATAAATTAAAACTCTCACAGGTTAAACTTTAGCCTTCAAATGCAAACTTAATCAAAAAGTATACTAGTTAAAAAACTAAATTTAAGAATAATTTTAAATTTCCCCAAGCTAGTAGAAGTTAATTTATGCAGAATAATAATTAGAAGATGACTAATAATTGTATTGTTACAATTTATAAAGTGATTGTGTTGTACATCTTGCTTAGACATTAAAAAAAGATATAGAAATACAGTAGTAGCCTAAATAATAATCATAAAAATAACATAAATAAGAAAATAAATATATAAACATTTAAATAAAAACTATCGCTAAATCATTTTAGTTGAAGTGTAAATTGTATGATTCAGTAGAGATCTTAAAATACCGCATCTAAGATCATGAAGGCTTACCTTTAGATTGGCAAAGATTAATCTTTAAGGATAAATAAATTGAAAATGATTATTCTTTAGATATGTATGAAATAGATGATGGGGATATTATACATTTGGTACTTAAGTTGAGAGGTGGTGGATGTCCTGAAGAAAAAAAACTATTTGTTAACCTTGAAAATGAAAAATCTAAAAAAGAAGTAGAATTTTCTGAAAATGCACCAGAATATAGACAAGCTATTAAGGGATTAAATATTGAAGCTATTTGCCTTAATTCTAGTTGCAAGTACTTTAAAAAGTAAGTTATCATAAAAATAGGCTACAGCTTTGTAGAAATAGTAGCTGATAACTAATAAAAAATAAATTGCCCAGGATGTAGTATACTTCCATAAGTAATTACATGTGGTTTCGTAAACTGTCAATATTACTGGTTTGGTTTAAAAATAGAAAATGGAGTTGAGAGAAAAGTATAATCCAAAATACTTGAAGCACGTTATGATAAATATACTACATATGATCCAGTAAAAGAAAACGGATAATCAAATATGGTAGAATGGAAGCTTCTTTATGTATTTGCAAATTAAAGTACCCTTACATTTCCTAAATGCTATATTTGTCTAAGAAGAATATTTTATGAAGAGGAAATGACTCACTCTGAATAATGCTTGGATAAATAAAATCACAATTACCATATTGACTGTCTTTAAAGTTTATAGCATTTAGAAAAAAAATGTTTATTATGTTTAAAGTATTATTGATTTAATTAACAATGTATTAAGAATATAATGAATGAAGAAGATTATAATATATTTGAAAGTGTTTAATTTACAGTTTGATTTTATTGTTCTATAAAAGTAATTTAGAGGAAAATAAAATATTTTTAAATTTAAACTAGTTTTCTATTTATAAATATTTAATATCATATCAGAAATTAAGTTATTATGAAGATTTTTATGAATTATCTTTTATCAAATATTTACTTAGTGCATATATCATTAAATAAATATTCATAATTTCAAAAAAACATTACCAAAAAAAAAATTTATAAGCTAATTTTTAGAAATTTTTTTAGATAATTAATAAAGAAATAATCTTAATCTTGTGGTATATACAATTTATAAAGTTCTTTTGAATTAAAGTATTATACAAAACCAAATATTTTTTATTAAAACAAAATAAAAATTGATATTATTTGTTAATTTATATAATATCTTTATTTTAATTCAATTATCAATTGATTTTAAGGTAATATTTTAAAATTTACTTTTGTTTAAAAAATAAATGATGCTTCTTATTTGTTATAATTATTTTTTTAATAAGCAATTTTTTACTATTAAAATTTACAAATCAACTAAGTACTGTTGGCATTTTTGAAATATAAAATCTTATTAGGGTTGTTTAATTAAATATAGAAACAAATTTACTTTGCGCTCACTATTGATATTTTTGAAATATAAGATTTGGTTAGGGTTGCTTATTAATTATAAAAACAAATTAAAGTGTCTTACAACCTCAAACTTAACTAAGAAATAGATATGGTTAAAATATATTGAATAAAAAAAAAAAATTAAATAATATATTATTAAACTAAATTTTAATATGAAAAAATACATTTTTAAACTACTATATTCATAAAAAGATACTTTTTTTATACATTTAGTGAAGAATACTCAACATATTTGATTGTTTATTTACTTAATAAATAAGATAAATCTCTATTAAATAAGATGTTTATTAATTTCAAAAGGGCATGATGTTTTATTGTTATATTTCATCGGATTCATAAAGAGCTAGATAAATCATCCTATCTTTCATAGATACATTTCAAAAGCTAATCTAATGTTTACAAATAATTATAATCTATATTTAAAAATAAATTCACTAAATTAGTTATTAAAAAAACTTTGATGGAATTAGAAATACCATAAGTTGAAGAGAATAAAGTTAAAAAATTCTTTATATGCCTATAAGAGCCAAATGATAGTTTTACTATTTAACTGAGTCAAGAAGAATTAGAAGGCTTATCTATAAAAGAGCTATTAGAGAAAGCAAATAATGTCTATAGCTTTAACCATAAATTTTGGCGCATGGAGAGAATAAGAAATTAAATTTAAAATCTATCTAAATAAGATGAAAATGAGTAGTTAATCAGTTCACATTTCAATCTATTCCCTTTTTATTTTTTTCCTTAAAAATACATTTTTGAAATTGATGTTAAATTTTAAGAAGAAACTTATCACTTTGAATTACCAATAGCGACAACGCAAAAAAATTTACTAGAGAATCTCTCAAAAAAATTAAATATAAATGAGAAACAGCTTTACTTACTGAGTGAATCTTAGACTTTGAAGAATCCATTTTCCTCTTATTCTTTAGCTAATCTTTTCGTAGCAAATGATAAAATATTTTATGATGATAAAGAAATATATGTGGATTTAAATTTGAAAGTAACAGACAATATTCAATTATTTAACTTTGCACATAGGACAGACATTTATTTGGGAGATTAATTAATTTCTAAAAATGAAACGTTTGCTCATTCAGGAGTGAAAAATGGAGATAAACTCTACTCTTACTATTTTATCAAGGCTCAAATTAAAGATGTGCAAACTTAAATCAAAAGCAACTTTACAAAATAAGAAGCAAAAGATTTATACAATAAATATTACCCAGAAGAATAAGGTAGAATCGTCACTGAGATGATAGGAGACACTTTAAATATCAAATTAAACAATGATGAGGAAATGATTCTTACAATAAAATCTTTGTCAGGAGCATAATATGATCTAGGAGCTGATGGAAATAATACTATTGACTAAATAAAACAAAAATTATCTTCTTTATCAGAAGTAGAATGTGAATTTATGAAGCTTATATTTTGTGGAAGGTAGCTAGAAGATAATTTTACTTTGAACAATTATGAGATTAAGGATGGCAGTATTATACATCTTGTCTTAAAACCAGGCGCAAAAATAAAATTTAATCCAATTTAATAAGATGGTGAGATATCAATAAATATTAAAACTCTCACAGGGTAAACTTTAGCACTAAAATGCAAACTTAATCAGAAAGTAGAGTAGTTAAAGAACTAAATTTCAGAATAACTTGAAATTTCCCCAACCTAGTAGAGGTTAATTTATGCAGGATAATAATTAGAAGATGACTAATAATTGTATTTTTACAATTTATAAAGAGATTGCGTTGTACATCTTGTTTAGACATTAAAAAAAACTGTTGAAATATAGTAGTAGCCTAAATAAAAGTCATTAGAAAAACATAAATAAGAAAATAAATTTTTAAACATTTAAATAAAAACTCTCACTGGAAAATAAATTTAGTTGAAGTGTAAATTGTATGATTCAGTAGAGATCTTAAAATACCACATCTAAGATTCTGAAGGCATTCCTATAGATCAGCAGAGATTAATCTTTTAGGGTAAAGAAATTGAAAACGATTATTCTTTAGATATGTATGAAATAGATGATGGGGATATTATAAATTTAGTACTTAGGTTGAGAGGTGGTGGATGTCCTGAAGAAAAAAAACTATTTGTTAACCTTGAAAATGAAAAATCTAAAAAAGAAGTAGAATTTTCTGAACATGCACCAAAATATAGATAAGCTACTGATGGATTAAATATTGAAGCTATTTGCCGTAATTCTAGTTGCAAGTACTTTAAAAAATAAGTTATCATAAAAATAGGCTACATCTTTGTAGAAATAGTAGCTGATAAATCATAAAAAATAAATTGCCCAGGATGTAGTATACTTCCATAAGTAATTACATGTGGTTTCGTAAACTGTCAATATTCCTGGTTTGGCTTAAAAATAGAAAATGGAGTTGAGAGAAAAGTATAATCCAAAATACTTGAAGCATGTAATGATAAATATACTACATATGATCCAGTAAAAGAAAACGGATAATCAAATATGGTAGAATGGAAGCTTCTTTATGTGTATGCAAATTAAAAAGAAAGCCTTAAATTTCCTAAATGCTATATTTGTCTAAGAAGAATATTTTATGAAGAGCAAATGACTCACTCTGAATAATGCTTAGATAAATAGAATCATATTTGCCATATTGACTGTCTTAAAAGTTTATTGCATTTGGAAAAAAAATGTTTATTGTGCTTAAAAAATTATTGATTTAATTAATTAAAAAGTATTAAGAATATAATAAAAGAGAGGAGGGTTATTTTTATGTTAGCTAATTAAAAAATTATTTGATTATGTTATAATATTTTTTAAATCAAAATTTTTTTTTGGGTAATTATTTAATAATTTCTAGTAATTTTAATAAATAAGCATTTCTTATCATGAAATTTATATTTATTTATTTCAAAAATTAATTTTTTTTAAGCTTATTTAAAAATTTTTATTTAAGAATTTATTTTTTTATTTACTTTTTATTTTAGATTTAATAAGTTTCATATGTAGTTTTAAAGAAATTTAACAAATAAATAAATTATACAAAAATATAAGGTCAACATTAATTAATTACTTCATTTTTTATAGTTTTTTATTTCATAGTTAAATATTTTATTTTGATAATTACTCATAATTTTGTTATTATTAATCTTAAAACTAATTTAAATCACTATAAGATGATTAATGAATCTATTGTTGTACCTCATATCCATGTTACTAGTTGTAACTTAATTGATTTTACTACAATTATTAATTATATTACTCAAGATTTATTTTTCTAACATCACTTAAGGTGTTTGAAGAAATAGATAATTGCAATTGAAAGTCATTATTATTATTCTAAATTATTTTTTTAAAGACAAGCTAAACTTTCTTTATATTTTTTCTCTTTTTTTCAGTGTATTTATTGTACCTTAGCGCTTTCACATATTTTTATATCCATAAATAGCATTTGTAATCTTAAAGTTTATAAAGAAAAGGCTGCATAATTGAAACACATATCTAACCTATCATATAAGCTATAAATATTAGTGACAATAAATTTGCAGAAGCTACTAATATTTAAGAAAATGTGTTGTAATAATCAATGCTTTGATTATTTTATTTTTGAGCTAAATCTTATTTTCGTAAAGAATAATGAATCATATAAGCTATCATATACAGACTACCTATTACAATTGATTTGATTTCCATCTCATTAAGCTTTTTAGTAATATAAGGATATTTTTTTACTAGAAATATTAAATAGAGTATCAGTGCTGCAAGAGAAACAAACCCAATTAGATAAATAAATGATAGGAAACTATATACTGTCATGATTAATATTAATTTCAAAATAAACCTTAAATATTCCCAATAATAAAACTTTTGCTTAAAGTCAGCATACAAGAAACCTAACAAAAAGCGAAAACTGATTTTATCAAGATTCTCACGATTTTTGTAAAGAAGGTAAAACAAAATCCCTGGAATAATTATAGAGTAAACTAAAATAAACGGAACCACAAAGCTAAATAAAAAGACTAGTCGATTTGTATTATTACATTCAATATTAAAATCAAGTATTGAATATGATTGGCCATTATTAAAAGTACGGCAGAGCATTCCTGAAGTTAGCACGTCTATTACTGGAATGCAAAAGAGATTCGTAAAACCATAAGAGATAATTAGAGATGCAGAATATTAGAAATTTTTAATGCTTGATTTGCTAAAGAACTTCTTCAAAAGACTTGGAATTATGCAAATAAAAACTATGCAAAAAGGTGTTAGGGTTACTATTGCCATCTTTTTGTACATGATTGAATCAGGGTTTTCATTTATTTTAGATAAAAAACAATCAAAAGAAAAGAAAGAATCTGCCACTGGATTGTATAAACCATACTAAAAGCTAAAAGCTTTTGTCCATCCATAATCATTATTAAAATAAGAGGAAATATTGATAATTTAGAAATAAAAGGAAAGAATCTTGATATAAGAACCGCTTTATCCTAGTCTGTAGTATGATTTTCCTAAATAGATGATTTTCATATCTGATAAATATTTCTTGTAAATGTAATTTTTTTACTATCTAAAATTTGTTTTGAAAATGATTAATATTACTATAAATACTAAAATTAATAGGGATATAATCTTGATAATATTATTCGAAATATTCTCACATTTAGTGCATTAAGATAAATTTTTCCTACTATATGATCCATTACCTAACTTATTATACAGATCACATTCAGAACACTCAACTCCAATATGACCTTCTGCGCATATAAAATCTCCTTTATATTTTAAAAAATATTTCAACATTAATTGAAGCTAATAATAATCATAAATAATGAGGAATTTTTAAAAATGATAACTGCAGTAAAATTTCTGACCTATTAGTTCTTAAATAATTATTCAAATATAATATGGTATACTAAAAAAACTGATTTTAATAAAAATTCAACAAATAACTGGTATTAGTTAAGTAATGATTTTACAAATAAATTATTATTTATTTATTTGTCAAAAATTTTAGATGTATTTAGTTTATTAAAAAATACAAGGAATAGTTATGAATAATGAAAATATTTAATTATAAATAAAAATAACCTGTTTTATTTCCTCCTAAACAGTTAGATCTGCTTATAGAACAAGGGAAGATTTATGATGAATCTACGGTAAGGTTTTATCTCCAAAAACCTTATTTTAATGAGGAATAGTCGGCGTAGCATGAATCAAAATAATCTTTTGAGCATGAAAGACATCTGGTTGCTATCTTATTTGCGTTATTTTAATATATTACAGAATCTAAGCAATATTAACAATATTGAGATTTTTTAAAAGTCTATTGTATCATTCCGTTAGAGCAATTGGAAGTAATATTTGATTCTATAATAAATCCAGGTAGATAATCTATATAACTGGTATTAAAAAGAGTAAAAAGTCCATAAAATTATGTTTCTGTACTTTCATATTATAGAGAAAAAGAAAAAAAAAGCTTGTTTATTTTTAATGGAATCGTTTATGTAGCTTATATTGGGATTTAGTTGAAAATATCCTGCCCAATCACTATTGGTGTTAGGTCATTTAAATTATGTATTATGACGTTCGGGTTTTTTATATCAAGGATCCAGTCAAGCTCACCCTCTAATTTGACAGAAAAAGCAGCAAAATAAGTTAATCCATTATACATTCTATCTGTTTGATAATCACCTTGATCAAACTCATTTTTAAAAGTATATTTCTTTATTTGATATGGTGGTTCTAAATATTAATTATATTCAGCTATTTATGTGATTTTAATATCTGTAATAAATTTACACACGTCGTTACCTTTTATCAAGGCTAAATTATTTTCAAAAATAATACCTTCAAGTATAATTTTCTTAGTCATCAAATATATTCCACCGCCAAATAATGACTCATTCTCTTTAATAAAAACTTCTTAAGCAGGTAGAATCTTTCCTCCAAAAATAGCTCCTCCTGCAAAAAGGCTTTTATTTCCCAGAAGCAGCACCCTATTCATTTAAATAGCACAATCTAAGAAAAATGCTCCACCATTTTTTAATGAAGTAAAATTTGACACATAAATATCTTGCAATAAAGCACTCTAACATTGTAAATATGAAAAGGCACCATCAGCAGAAGAACTGAGTAAACCTTATGAGTAGATATGAGATAAATTAATTATTGATTGATCACCACCATATATATAAAGAATGCCTCCTTGATTTCCTGAATGTTACACTTCATCAGAAAATTAATTTTAATAATTAAAGTAAAAATTAGATATATTAGTATTTAGTGATGCCTAGACATGAATTAAACCTCCAAACATACTTTTAAATTAGCATGATGGATAAATAATAGCAGAAATATTAAAAATACTAACATTATTAGCATTATTAACAGTTATTAGACCACCTTAATATGATTGAAAATACTGTGATGAAGTAATATTAATATTAGAAATAAGAACACTTTTATATCTATCTACACTTATAATTCCATTTTACCCACTAATGTAATTAATTTAAGGAAGCTCTATATTATTGATTTAGAGGGAACTGCCTAAATTTTAACTATCATAAAAAACAAACATTCCATAAGAATTCCATAAATTTTAAACCTTCTAATCTTTTGAGTCATGAAACACAATTGAATCTATAAGTGTAGACTAACCGCTGTTACTGATTAATAATAAACCGTATCTGACATTATAAGAAAATACATCAATTCTTTTAATTTATACATTTTGCATTAGAAATTCTGTGGAATCATCACAGTTTAAATCAAATAGCACAGGTTTTATCTCTATTTATTTTTTTTAAGAATAAATCAATAAATTATAATAATTTTAATGAATTTATTGATAAATTAATATAAATACCCAGTCCAGTAAATATTGATGAAGCAGAAACCTTTTTTTATGCTACAAAAATTTTTTAGATGTTGATTTAATCAATATTAACTTTAACATTAACTTATTGAGATCTTTAGCTATTTTGATAAGAGCAAAATTATAGCAAAGATTGTTGCAGATCTTTTACTTAAATAAGATTCAGAGTCTTCAAATAAACTTGACTGTAGCCTTGAAAAGTAACAACTGTAAGAGAGCTATATTGATTGTACTTTCCCACATAACTTAAGTCAAACTAATTAATAGAAATATTTTGAGATTCAAATATTAGCGTCGGAATACTATTTTATTCCTCATTTAAACCTAAATAGTCTATCATCAAATTTTATTTGCTTTATAAACTTAAGTAAAGTGTTTATTGTGTATTTTTAACATTAGCTAAAAATTAAGATATTTTTATTGAATCCATGATATTTTGAAATAATATTTTAATCAATTAGTTGACATCAATTTTTATGCTAAATTCTAAATTCTAAATAGTTAAAAAGTTTACATTTTAAATATTTATTTCTTATGATTTCCATACATCAACATATTTTTGGTATTTAATTTTTAAATTTTGTACTGTAATTGATTTTCCATTATCTATCTAAATTATTTTTTTAGAGTTGGAATTATTAATGATGTATACTTCTTCAATAATTATTAAGGAAAATTAAATGGTATTCACATTAACAAATTATATCCCTCCATTCATCCTAAAGTTTGTTAAATTCAGCCAAATACCAGTTAAATCTTAATGATTGCAATCAGCTATAATATTGAACTATTCATCGCATTTAACTAAAAATCCTTATCCTATTAAAGCATTTACAACTTAACTATTACAACTATCTTTTTTAAAAATTGAATAAATTTACATATTCTAATATAAAATAGTTTAAAATACCATCTTAGAGAGCTAATCTAATAAAAGATAGTAGAATTACAGCTATTATATTTATATTTTTTATATTCATCAACTTTTTCAAGATAAAGATTAATTGATATTCTATTTCTACTTCTTTTTCTATCTTTTAATTATCTATATAAATTTATCATCTCAGAAAATAAATAAGATAATTAAAAAAAATTAATTACTTGATAATAAAAAAAAATAACATGATATCAGTTTGTTGGATATAATTTTTGATCAGACACGAGTATTTGTTAAAAACTGTAAACACTATGTAATTAAAACTAAATATTCATAAGCCAAAATAGCTATATTCATCATACATTAAATTTATTTAAAGGAAAGGTAAATCACTTATTTTTGTTTAAAACGAATAAAAGAAAAGAGGCTTTTAAATTATATTTCTTTTTTTTTTTTGGAAAATTTACAGAAAATATAATAAGATTAATCAACAAATAAATAGTTAAATAAAATTTACAAATTATTTATTGTTTGTTCATAAGGTTTTAAAAACAACATAACTAAAATTATAAAAAATATATAGTTCGTACTAAAAATAATTAATTACTGGTTTATATTGATAAATTCATTGATCTACTTAATTTTTTTAATAAGAAGAGATACTAATGGTAATTCAGTAAAAATATATAGGATTAGATAAAGAAAAATTATCTCTATCGATTTACATGGCAATAATTAAATTTAATCAATTTATAAGAGAAATTTGTGTATTTTATAAAAAAAATTTAATTGAAAATTTTTGATAGGATATAAAACAAAATAATTTTTTTATTAAATAAAAAATAAATTCTTTTAAAAAATCTAATTTTTTAAAATTAAACATTAGAAAAATAAAAAATATTTTTATATCATAAAACATAAAATATGAATTTGTTAAAAATAAATGAATCTAAATATTAATTATTAATATTTATTGTTTTGAAGACATAAATATATTCTTTTATTTTTAACAAAAATTTATAAGATAATATTAATGTTAAATAATTTGTCATAACTAAATATCTTACTTCTGCAGTAATTCATAATTTTATTATTATTCCTCAATTTATATTAACTTATTTAAATCGCTGTTAGATTCTTAAGAATTTTATTTTTATGTGTATTAGTATAGTAGTTAATCATCATTATCTTTTTACTATTATTTTTCTTGTTATAAAATTGATTCAGATTCTTTAAAGCAACTTTAAGACTTTGATGAAACAAAACACTACATTTGAATATCATTTATACTATTTTAAATTATTATTTTAAATACCATTTAAAGTTTCTTAATGTTTTTTCTTTTTCTTTCAGTGTATTTCTTGAATCTTAATACTCTTAAATATTTTTATATAAATTTATAACATCTATAATCCTAAAGTTTATAAAGATGAGGTTATAGAATTGAGATACATATCTAACCTACCATATAAGCTATAAATAGGAGGGACAATATATTTGTGCAAACAATTAAGACTTATGAGAAGACGTTATAAGAGTTCATGCTTTAATTCTTTTGTTTTTGAGCTAAATCTTACTCATACAGTGAAAAATTAGTCATTTAAGCTATCAAAAATAGACTGCCTATTACAATAGACTTTACTTCCATTTCGTTTAGCTTTTTGGTGCAATAAGGATATTTTCTTACTAGAAATATTAAGTAAAGTATAAGTGCTGCAAGAGAAACAAAACCAATTAGTTAAGTAAATGATAGGAAACTATATACTGTCATGATTAATATTAATTTTAAAATAAACCTTAAATACTCCCAATAATAAAACTATTGCTTAAAGTCTGCATACAAGAAACCTAACAAAAAGCGGAAACTGATTTTATCAAGATTCTCACGATTTTTGTAAAGAATGTAAAATAAAATTCCTGGAATAACAACAGAGTAAACTAAAATAAATGGAATCACAAAACTAAATAAAAAGACTAGTCGATCTGTATCATTACATTCAATATTAAAATCAAGTATTGAATATGATTGACCATTATTAAAAGTACGGCAGAGCATTCCTGAAGTTAGCACATCTATTACTGGAATACAAAAGAGATTTGTAAAACCATAAGAGATAATTAGTGAAGCAGAATATTAGAAATTTTTAATACTTGATTTGCAAAATAGCATGTTCAAAACACTTGGAATCAAACAAATAAAAACTATGCAAAATGGAGCTATAGTTACTATTGTTATCTTTTTATACATAATTGAATCAGTACTTTCATTTATTTTAGCTAGAAAACAATCAAAAGAAAAAGCAGAGTCTGCCACTGGATTATAGAATCCATATTAGAAATTAAAAATATTTGCCCATGATTTCTCTCCATAAAAATAAGAAGATATATTGATAATTTAGAAATAAAAGGAAAGAATTTTGATATAAGAACCACTTTAACCTAATCTATAGTAAGATTTTCCTAAATAAATTATTTTCATGTCAGATAGGTACTTCTTATAAATATAATTCCTTTACTATCTGAAGTTTGTTTTGAAAATAATTAATATGACAATAAATACGATTACCAAAAGTATGATACTTTTTATGATATTGCCAGAAATTTCATCGCACTAAGTACATTAGTAGATGTTTTTTCTGCAAAATGATCCATTTCCCATTTAATCGTATAGGTCACATTCAGAGCACTCAACTCCAATATGCCCCTCAGCACATATATTGTCACCTTTAAAAATTAAATAAATTTAATTGAAAAACTTTTTTAAATTTGCTATATTTCAATAGTTATTAGATTTTTATTTAAAATTTAACAATTATTTTTTTTGATATCTTAAATAAAATTTATTAATAAAACTCATCCAATTTATTTTTTATTTAAATTTCATAAATATGATTTAAAATAAATTAAAAATATTTTAATGAATTTTTGTAGTGATTTAATAAAAAATTACCTGTATAATTTCCTCCTATGCAGTTAAATCTATTTATAGAGCAAGGGAAAATTTATGAAGAGTCTACTGTAAGGTTCTATCTCCAAAACCCTTATTTTAGTGAAGAAAAATCTGCATAGCATGATTCAAAATAATCTTTAGGGCATGAAAGGCATTTTGTTGGTATTTTTTTACTTTAATTTTGATATACAACAGAATCAACACAATATTAACAATATTGAGAACCTTTAAAAGTCTATTGTATCATTCCATTAGTACAATTAGAAGTAATATTTGATAAAATTGTAAAAATTAAGGTTTTAGGTTACTAAGTAGTGTTAAAAGGAAAAAATAGTCCAAAAAATTATGTTTGGCTGCTATCATATTAAAAAGAAAAAGAATAGAAAAATTCATTTGTTTCTAATGGAATCGTTTATATAGATTAGATTGGTGCTTGATTGAAAATATCTTCACCTTATATTTAGGGAGTTAAGTCATTCAGTCTATTTTCTAAAACAAAATCATTTTATGTATATTCAATCCAATCAGATTCATCTTATATACGCATTGAGAAAACAACAAAATAAGTCAGTCCGTTATAAACACTATTTACTATATACGATTCACCATCATCTTAATATAATAAAGTATAATTCCTGATTTGGTATGGTGGTTCTAAATATTAATTATATTCAGAAAATTACTTTATTTTTATTTCAGCAATATATTTGCATGTATCATCTCCTTTAATATATCCCAAATTAGACTCAAATTTTATATCTTAATAATAAGAAAGCATATTTGCTAAATAAATTCCTCCTCCAAATAATGATTAGTTTTCTTTGATAATTACGTCTTAAGCTGAGGCAATTAATCCGCCAAAAATAGCTCCTCCTGCAAATTAGCTTTTATTTCTAATCAGCTAAACGTTAGTTAATATAACTTAACAATCTAAGAAAAATGCTCCGCCATTTTTTAATGATGTAAATTCTGAGATAAAAATATCTTCCAGTAAGGCATTTATACATGATATATATGCAAATGCTCCATCAGCAGTAGAAATAAATTCACCTTAAGCTTTAACTTCTTAAAGAGCTAAGTATGATTAATTATCAGTATAAATATATATTATTCCTCCTTATGTTCCTTAATGTTGAACCTCATCTGAAAATTAATTTTAATCATTAAAAGATAAATTTGTGATTTCTGTATTTTGCGAAGTTTTTATATAAATCAAACCTCCAAACATGCTTTTAAATTAGCACGATGGATAAATAGTAGCAACAATATTACTAATTTTAACATTATCAACATTGTTAATCGTAAATAAACCACCTTGATAGGATTGAAGGTGTTCTGATGAACTGACATTTACATTAGAAATCGACAAAGAAGAAAATTAACTCACACTTATGAGGCCATTCTATGCACTTACAAAATTTATTTAAGAGAAATCTATATTATTGATCTCTAATTAGCTATTAGTTTATGAGCTACCCTGAAAAACGAACATTCCATTAGAATTCCATAGATTAAATACTTTTTAATCTTATTAATGAAAAACAATTTGATTAATAACTGTATTTATACTGCTGAAACTGACCATGAATAAAGCATTTTAGATATTATATTAATAAACATCAATTCTTTAAATATTTAGATTTTGTTTATATGCGTTGCTTATGCCAGTACAACTTAAGTCAAAGAGAACGGGCTTTCCCACTGCTATTTAATATTTAAAATGTTAATTTGTTTGTTTTTTATTTTAAAAATATACCATAATCATTCTCAATAGACTAGATAGATGTTTTTTGTTTCCCTCTTGAAAAATTTTAAACTACAATTGAGTCTATACTAATATTATTAAATTATGTTGCATCTTTACTTTGATAAGTAGAACAAAATTAAAATAGAGATAACTATAAATCTTTAACTTAAATTATATTTATTGTCTTTATATTAATTGATTTGTAGTCTTAAAAAATATTTACAGCAGAACCTACATAACTAAGAGTATTAGATATAACTTTTATATCAAATTAGCCAATCTGTATATTTTAAGAACTAAATAAAAATTAAATCACTTAATTCTATTATATTAAATTTAAATTATCTATTGCAATACTATTAGTGCTTTTAATACCTAAATCCACAGATCCTAACTTTGTTTAAACATTAACATTTAATTAAGATATCTTAATTTAATCTTAGATGTCTAAAATTAAAAAATTAAATGTAGCATTTGTTTCACTATTTTCAGTAATACTATAATTTTATATTGTTAATATATTTATGTTTTTAATCTATATCATTTAGGTTTAACCAGAATAAGAAAGCTTTGTGTATTTGATGATAAAGTTTTAAATTGTGATTATGTTACCATTATCTATACAAAATAAACCCATAGAATTTGACTAATTGCTCATATATGTATCTTGAATCTAAATTAGCGAAAACTAAATGTTATTGATATTAACAAATTAAATTCCACCTCTTAGGTTTAAATTTGTTAAATTCAACTAAATATCATTCATATCCTTGTGATTGCAGTCTGCTATAATATTTGATTGCGAATCGCATGTAACTTAAAACCCTTATGTTATTAAATTCTCCACTATTTCTTAATTGCAATTATCTTTTTTTTATTTTAAATTATTTAAATTTGTAACAAAAATGGTTAAAAATAAATACCATTTTAAAGAGTTGATGCTATTATAGTCAGTAGAATTATAACTATTTTAACAATATCCTTGATCCTTATCATCAATATTCCTATTTAGATATTATATTTTTCCTTCAATATTATGTATATGTCCTTAGAGTTTAAATGAAATATTATCTATAATAATCTAAATATATTAAATTGCCTTATTAAATTAATAAAAGAAATTTACACAAGAAATATATTTAATGTTTTTGATCAGAAATAAAAACAACCTAATAATGATTTATAGACCTTGTAGTAATTTTAGAGTTAAATAAAGTAATATAATAACAATAATAGTTTTTATTAAAACAATTTATAACTTTATTACTTAACTCCAACTTAGATCAAAGTATGGAGTTATTTAAATACTTGATGGAAAGGTGTTATTTTTTTTTAAAAATAAATAAATTATATTTAAAAATATATATTATTAGCTCACTACTATAGTATAGTTTACAGTGCGATACTTAGAAAATAATTTTAAATAATATATAGCTTGCGAGATCTGCTTTCCCAAATAACATGTATGTACTTCAATTCTATAAATTCTAGATGTAGGGATTGGATTAATCTCTGTTTTAAGAATATTTAAGAAAAAAGTTAAATTTAGCTAAAATGAAGAAAACTGAGAAAAGATAATAAAAATAAATATTAATTGTATAAGAAGCAATTTTATAAATTCACTTTATAATATACAAAATTAATTTTATAATTTATGGTTTTCATAAAAAATATTTTAATTTTTATTCATTCAAAATTTTAATAAAGCTCATCCTAAAAATTAATGAAAATTAAATTACTTCTTTAAAAATTACTATATTTTTTCTTAAAAAATCATATATTTTGTTCAAGAGATAGATCAAAAAAAAATATATATATCATAAAGATTTATAATAAAGTAATTCTTACATTTTTAATAGATTAAATTCTAAAAATAATTAACTTATTAATATTTCTAAATATAGTCTGTACAAAAACAAAATGAGTCTTAGGGTGTTAGTTCAAATCTTTATGTAAAAATATAAAACTATTAAATTAAAGAAACCTGTAAATATTATTTATTATGTTTTATATATTATAAGAACTAAGTATTTATTAAATAAAATAAAACAAATTGAAAAATTAGTTAAAATCTGTAGCCTTATTTAAATTAAAAAAAGTAGATAATTATTGAAAAATATAATTAAAATCATTTGCCACCTTAGTATAAAGAGCAAGGAGAATTTAATACATGTATAACTAAGCATCTAGATATCTTTTGATAAATAATAATACAGTAGAGATATTTAGATTAACTGCCTATTTAGATAATAGAAATCCAATTTAATATCAATAAAGTGAAAAGAGATAAATAAAATGCATTTTAAGAATTAACAACATTATTTGGTGATAACCTAAATATATTAATAAGAAGATGTCAGTTACTGTAGGTATATATATATGTAGGAATAATTCTCAATATTTAAGAGAAGATTTAAAGCTAACTCCCTATAAAATTTAAATCTTCTAAATTCTAATAGAAGATGATTAAGAAAAAAGAGTTCAATTTGCATAATTGTATATAAATTTAATTAATGATGAACTTAATTATATTTTTAGGGTGAATTCATATTTTATTTTTATTTAAACGTAAATAAGTAGAACTAAAGAATTTAATCAATAAATAATTATTTTAACTCCCTCTATATATGTGTATATTATGTTTGATAGTAATGCAAAAACAAATATATAAACTATAATAGTAAACTCTGTTTAATAATTAAAAACATCATTAATTTTTCTATACTATTTTAAATTCTTTTAGAGTGGCTAATTATAACAAACAAACATATGTTTAATCTTCTAATAATAAAAATTTAGGACTCTTTTTAATATTTTGTCATGATTAAATATCTCTCATTCAATATTAATCAATGTATTTTAAAATTTATTTTCTAACTATAGTTTCATAGACTCCTTATAATCTTGTAATTTTTATTATTAAATTGATTATTTAGCAGCTTCTTCTTTTATTTATTGGTGATATTTATTTTTTGGCAAGTTTCTCAAAAATTGTTATTTTATAACTATTATAAAATTTTTTATATATTAGTTTTTGAAAATTTTAAATACTTTAATATCTAATTATTATAAAAAAATATCTCTATCTTTTGTAAAGAAATTTATCATGCTTAGTTATAAGGTCTGGAATAAAAATTAAACATTTAAAAATTTAGGCTCACTCAGTAATTCCGTCCTTAGCGCTTATCTGGGGTATAGGGTAGCGTTTATGATTAGAATATCAATATCACTTAATATGAAATTTTTTATTGGATCTCTAATTTAGAACCAAATAAATATGTTAATTTTCTCCTAATAAATAGTTGGATGGTTTTTTATTGTGTAAATTATGGATATTTATTCTATTTAATCAATAATTCTTGTTTGAATAATTTTTTAATTTCAAGCATAAAAGTTAGAAAAACTTAATCAATCATTTAAAATTATTCGTTTATAAAAATAACTAAAGCCATTTTTAAATCTCTAGCCTTTCCTCAAATTAATGCTTAAAAATAGAGGATATTTATTTAGTGTGGAATCAAAATAAAGCCTAAAATAGATTTTTTTGATCTTCATTAATGTGGAGAGTTAGTTTAATTGCTTTTATTCCTTTTTAAGCTACTATTTTATTCATCATCTTTAAATAATTAATTTACTAATTTAAAAATAACAATTCTTTTTATTCAGCTTTTAATTTTTAAATAGGTTTATGAAATTTAAAAAATATGCCTATTACTACTATATTAGATAAGTATGCTTTATTTACCTCCATTTTTATTAATCTTTCGTTGGATTTTATGTCAAGTATATATTTTTAAAATTTAAATAAACTATATGGTTGTATCTTTAAGTTAAAAATGATAGTAACAATAAAAAGACAAAAAGTAAATGATATTATTTAATAATTTTACTAATTATATAAAAGAATTATAATATAAAAGTGTTAAAAATAAGATATATTTTAAAAATTGAAGGAAAATATTTAAATGAATATATTGATTAGTTTTACAATAGGCATTGATTTATTTTTCAAAAATTAAAAGAAGGATTAGGTTTTAAGAAATAATCAGATTAATTGATTATTAACTGTAATTATCTAATTATTTTTAGTAATAATAATAGAATGATTCATCAATATTAATTCTCAAAAATAAGAAACACTAGAATTGAATTATATGTATGGCATATTATCATAATATATTAGGACCAATGCTTAATTGCAGATTTATAATTATTTTAATCATAAAATAATGTTTTAAAAATGAGCGGAAATTATTTAAATCAATATATTTATTTTTTATGTAATAGCTACAGCTTTATTTCAAAAATTAAAGGTTGGATTGGTTTTAAGAAATAATCAGAAAATCGATTTTTATCTGTAATCATCAAATTCTTCTTCTTAATGATGATAATAGATTCTTTACCAAAAATTAATTTTTTCAAAATATATGAGAACTATGAATTATATGGTTTTGTAGCTAATATAGATAACTTAAATTTATTTTTTTGTTTGTAACAATTTTTAACACATTATTTTATGAGAAGGTTTAAAATATAGATATATTATGACTATTAGGGTGCTAATACGGTTTATTTGAAAATAATTGCAATTAAAATGTTATTTTAAGTATTAATTTAAATTATAAATTATTGAAAATGTTTTATGTATACTAGTTTAAAAGCTTGTAGATATCCCATAAGATGAAATGATGGGTAATAATCTTAATAATGAACCAAATTAATTTACTATTTTTTGATTGATTAAGGATTGGAATAATGAGTGGCTTTTAATTTTAATTTGGGTAGAAGTAGTTTGTTACAATCTTAATTTGAATTAAAATACTCTGTAATTATAGAAAATAATGAGCGGCTTAAAGTCGAAGGCTTCCAACTATTTACTGCTACTTTTAAATCTCCAACATTTCTAATAAATATCTCACTTAATAATATGGTTATTTTTAAGATTCATACATCTAAAAACCGTTTTAGAGGGGTTTATTTAGTTAAATTAAAATCTAAGCTAAGATAAATTCAAATGGCATTAGTTTATTTTTTATTATTTGGTAACTAATATTAGAATACTCACTTTTAAATGGTATAAAAGATCAATTAATCTTATAAATTTAGTTAATCAAAAAAAATTATTAATCTAAATTTCCTGAAAATGAAATTAACAACAAAAACTTAGAAAATCAGAATGTTTCTTTTGATTATTTTACAAAGTGAAATTTTTGATTGATATTTTATGTAAAAAAAATTATTTATTTCAATAATTAATTAGTCATAAAACACTTATATGCTGTTCCTATTTACGATTGCTCAACTAATGTGAATATTGATCATTAGAATCCTCAATGTAAACTTATTATGAATTATTTATTTAATTATTAATTCATTTTTATAAACTTAAGTTAGACTTTGCTTAATTAATTACGGAGGTCCCGCAAATCAATCTGATTAAAACACCATGAAATAATATTTCTAAGATACGTATTGCTTAAATTCAGAAAAATATTCATATGACTAACAATACTACTTAACAGGTAGTAGTTGTACTTCAAATAGTGAGATAAAAATACAATATAACTCGTAAAAAAATTATTAATAAAACATATATTATTTTAGCAAGATATTAATCTTTTCTTAATCAATATTTCAAATTAATTTATTTTTAATATTAAAGAAAATTCACAATTGTTTTTAAGATATTAATTTGATATTTATAAATTTTTATACATAAATTAGGACTAGAAAGATATATTCCTACTTTTTACTTTATTACCTTTATACATAATATCCTCCAAACGATAATTTAAAATCTATATTCGAAATAAATAATGTCAGTAAACTAAGCGCTATGGGATATATTGATTAATTTAACTAGGTTTATTCTTAAAATTATTAATCTGTGTATTAAGCAGGCTTATATATAAATAGCTTAACAATTAAAATAACTCCATTTAATATGAGCTTTGATAAATAATATCAAATTTATCTTAACTAATTTTTTCTAAGCGTATAATTGGTAAATTTAATTATTAAATTTATTAATATAATGAGGCATAATATAACCTTGGTTAATTAATTAAAAAATAAATAATATATAAATTAAAATTATTAATAGACCAAATAAGTATTTTTAGAAAAAGCATAATAAATTTTTTTTGATTTTAATTTTAAAAAAATATTTTTCTGAAAATCTGAGCTGATTTTTTAAATTTTAACCAAGCAAAATTTTAAAAATTATAAATATGATTTACACTAAAAAACATTAACTTAAAATTTATAAAAAGTGCTAAGATAATTGTGACTCATGTGATTATAATTAAATATGCTAATAATGTTCTCTTGGGTTTTATTATTAGCATGCATCAAATTAGTGTCTAATTTGTGATAAGAACTGTGCAAGTTGTAATGGTCCTAGCTCAAGTAATTGCTTAACGTGCAATCCAGGATTATATTTTGATAATACCTTAAAATAATGCATCATTTGTGATCCAACCTGTAAAACTTGTGATGGTTCAAGTTCTAATAATTGTTTATCTTGCAATATTGGAATTTATTATAACTAATCTACAAAACAATGTATCTGTGATCCAACCTGTAAAACTTGTGATGGTCCAACATCTAACAGTTGTTTATCTTGCAATATTGGAATTTATTATAACTAATCCACAAAACAATGTATCTGTGATCCAACCTGTAAAACTTGTGATGGTCCAAGTTCTAATAGTTGTTTATCTTGCAATATTGGAATTTATTATAACTAATCCACAAAACAATGTATATGCGATCCAACCTGTAAAACTTGTGATGGTCCTACTTCTAATAGTTGTTTATCTTGCAATATTGGACTTTATTATAACTAATCCACAAAACAATGTATTTGTGATCCAACCTGTAAAACTTGTGATGGTCCAACTTCTAATAGTTGTTTATCTTGCAATATTGGACTTTATTATAACTAATCCACAAAACAATGTATTTGTGATCCAACCTGTAAAACTTGTGATGGTCCAACTTCTAATAGTTGCTTATCTTGTATGATTGGACTTTATTATAACTAATCCACAAAACAATGTATTTGTGATCCAACCTGTAAAACTTGTGATGGTCCAACATCTAATAGTTGTTTATCTTGCAACATTGGACTCTATTATAACTAATCCACAAAACAATGTATCTGTGACCCAACCTGCAAAACTTGTGATGGTCCAACATCTAATAGTTGTTTATCTTGCAATATTGGAATTTATTATAATTAATCCACAAAACAATGTATCTGTGATCCAACCTGTAAAACTTGTGATGGTCCAACATCTAACAGTTGTTTATCTTGCGATATTGGAATTTATTATAACTAATCCACAAAACAATGTATTTGTGATCCAACCTGTAAAACATGTGATGGTCCAACTTCTAATAGTTGTTTATCTTGTATTATTGGACTTTATTATAACTAATCCACAAAACAATGTATTTGTGATCCAACCTGCAAAACTTGTGATGGTCCTACATCTAATAGTTGTTTATCTTGCAACATTGGACTCTATTATAACTAATCCACAAAACAATGTATTTGTGATCCAACCTGTAAAACTTGTGATGGTCCTACTTCTAATAGTTGTTTATCATGCAATATTGGAATTTATTATAATTAATCCACAAAACAATGCCTTTGCGATTAAACCTGTAAAACATGTGATGGTCCTACTTAATATAATTGTTTAACATGTAACTCTGGATTATATTATTAGTAAGCTTCAAAATAGTGTGTATAGTCTTGTAATAACAACTAATTTGCTAATTTATTACTCCAATAATGTGAATTATGTGATAATAGTTGTGCAAGTTGTTATGGAAAGGACTCTAACAATTGCTTAAGTTGTTACCCTAACAGCTTTCTCTACAACAAAAATTGTATTAACCCTTGTCCGAATGGGTTTTAAAGTAATTTTACTTCACTAACATGTGATTCATGCTAATATTATTGGAGCCTATAATGCAATCCCTGCTACCCAAGCTGTTAACTATGTGATTAATCATAGATTTTAAATAAATAATGTAAGACTTGTTATAAAGAAACAAGAATATTAGATTCAAATAATCATTGTATCTGCTAAAATAAAAATGATTAAAGGGATATATTTTACTAATGCAGCTATAAAAATATTGCCGTAATTGATGCAAGGTTAAGTGCTTATTCTCCATCGCTTACTATCGATTTTGGATCTCCTTTGGTGAGTATCATATCAAATACACCTTAGTCTTTGTGCTCACAGATATTTGAATAATCAACTTTAGACATGCTTGGGTTAGATTCTTAATGCCAAATAAGTGGAAATTAAATTTAGGTTAATTTAAGTAATTTAATTTTATAAAATATTCAATTCAACTCATTAAATTTATAAAAAATTTAATTTAATTTTTATTTTAAATTTAATTTAATTTGATAAATAGGCGACTCTTCAAAAATAATGGAAAATAATTCTATTATTTTTTTACCAAATAAGCTGCAGTTTATAGATTACAGTACTGATTTCATTAATGTGTTTTATAGAAATACTACTTTCTAAGATCCCCCAGGAGTTCCTTAACTTTTATTTAGCTATAATCACATAGAAAACAGTTGTAATTCTATAAATATAACTCTTTATAATCTTTAATATGATGCAGGAAGAAAATTTATGAGTCTAAATTGGACTTTAAATCAAATAGTAGGCTCTATAAGCAACGAACAGTAAGAGGCTATAAAGTAGATATTATAAAAAGCAAGCTAAAATAAAAATACTTCTTTAATTATAAATTCTAAATACATACCTCCTAACATTAATATTACAATACAGTTTAGTTATTTACTTAAGGTTAACTAAACTGGTTCTTAAACATTCACCATTATTTATCAAAAATAAAAATTTATAAGAGCCAACTATTAGCAATCTAAGTATCCACCAATTTATAGGTTGATTTTTCTCTATAATGAATGAATTATATTTATAATTATTATTTATTCTTAAAAAAATAAAAAGATCTATGAGTTTGAGCTTCTACTTTTAGTTTTATGTTGAGATCTGTGAGTTAGGCCAAATAACTTATTTTAATGAGCCTGTAGATTTACAACTAGTTTCTAGTCAGCTTTAAAATCAAAGCCTAAGTCAATATAATTAATCAAGCTTTCAATATGATATTCTTCCTTACTCCTTAGCATCTAACTAAACATTTAATATGAGTGTAAATTTTTTATAAATATTTTTATGAAACAATCATTAAAAATTTGAAACTAATTTATCAAATAAAGTTTATTTTGGTAGATATAAATAATATTTCTAAAAATTTTTAATTAATTTTGCAATAAAAGAAATTATTTTTTATTATAAAAAACATAATTTTAAAAAATACCTTCTAAATATTGAATAACATTCCCATATTGTTAACAAAATGATATTAAATTTTAATATTCAAATTTAAAATATATTTCTTCAAAATGTTCAAATGTTATTTTAATTTTTCATTTGGTTTTAATTCTTCAATTTAAAAAATAGCTGATTTTGAATTTGAGTTCAGATAGTAAGATTACTGCCATCCAAAATATATCAGTTAATATTTAAATTACAGATTTATATTTGCAAATTATAGGAGGCTCAAGTCTTGTTTTAGGCTATCAAAATAAGATGGTCTTAAATACAGATTCGAGGGATTATGAGATGTATGATCAAAATTCCTCATAAAATATCAACTTTAGTTGGAAGTGTTTTAGTCTATCCTCTATTGACCATATTTGCTATGATTATTAGAATAAATAGATTTAATTGCCACAAGGAGCCAGTAATATTACTTTTCCTGCTAAAACATTTTAGCCATACACTGCAATTTAGATTACTGTAGTTGGATAAAAAGATAATAGGCAATCAAATTTCACCACTACATGTATATTCACAGAATTAGATATTCCACCACTAAATGTTTTATAAACAGCAACAAGCACTAACAGAAAAATTAATTTGAATGATGATCTTAATTTTTAAATAGTTTATGGTGAAAACATTTCATCAGATTATTTGTCTTATGCAGGAGCTATTTTATATGATAATAATCCAGTTGCAGCAATCAAATTTGATTATTTCCAAGTTAGATTTAGAATTTGGAACTATTTTTAGAATATAGATCCCTCAAAGCCAACACTTTAAATAAGATTTTCTGTGTATAATCCATTATTTGTTATGCCAAGCTTGTCTACAATTAGTATTTAAATTAATATTCCCCCTCATAATTGTGTTCTAAATATAAATCCCTAATAAGGTATAGCCCTAGAAACCATCTTCTAAATTTAATTCTTGAATTGTATAGATGAAGATCTTCCTCTAACTTACTAGTTCTTCTATTACAATAGTGCAGATGATGCCAATCTAGAATTAATTTCTCCTTGGAATATATTAAGAAGACAAATATAAGATTAGACAATAAACAGCTCAATTTAAACAGTACTACCTAAAGGAAATCTAGTTATTATGGCACAGGTTATGGACTCTTACCTAGGAGTTTATAATACCTCTTCTATAATATAAGTTTAAGCTTAGAATAAATCAGCTGACGAATATTATAAACAGGTAAATCAACTTACTTCATTAGCTTTATAGAGCTCAAATATTTAAATAACTAACTAACTAGTAACTTTAAGTATTATAGCAGAAGACATCAGTAAAAGCTATTAACTTTCAAATCAATTGAATGATTTAATAAGCCTATTGATATAAAATATATAGCAATTGTCTTTATAAATACCTAAGTTCTCTCTTTTATCTACTTTTGCTAACAAAGTAACTGCCTAGTTATCATAAGTACTCTTTAGCTCATCATACTAAAATAATGTTTCCACATAGAAAAATAAAATATTTGATTAACTATAAACAATAATACAGAATACTAATTCAAGCATACAAAGTAGTAATCTTAGTCATTTACAATAAAATAATGATGTTCAAATTTAAAATATGGTAGATTCTTTTAAAATCTTAAACTCAAGTGTTAGTTTATAAAGTAATAACTCATAGAATGATTTTGAGTCCTACGATAAAATATCAATTTAGATAGGAAATCTGCTTAATAATGTTAGTTTACCAAACTAAGGATAAATTATTCTAGATGGCAGCTTGTCCACACTTTTATCAGATAAAGTAACATAAAAAAACCTATTTTAATATGTTCTAACTGTAAATAATGACAATTCTGTGAATTAGACTAGTGTATTTAGTATTTCAAGAAATAATTATAAATAAAATATTTATGAAAATACTTCAGATTTTTAGGTGTATACATAGCAATTCAAAAATGTTAGTTAAAACTTCACTTACTCTAAGAATGAATTAATATCACCATAGATTTATAATTTTTCTTCTTCTTCTTAAACAGTTTTAAACCAGTCAAGTATTGTTTACTAGTTTGATAATACAAATTCTAGTAAGTTGTATAATATGACATGTATATAATAAAATAATCTCTCATGGAGCAAATCAAATTGTGATATCCATAAAATTACTTAAAAGAATTACATGTGCTTCTGTGAATCCTAAAAACCAACAACTATCATTGAAGATATTGATGATTTACTCTTAAAAAATAAAAATCTGTAGACAGCATTTGGAGAATAAGGGTTATTAAATATAGCAAGCTTTGAGAATTTTTATATGTATATAGTATTTTGGCTATTGTTAATGTTCACATTGGTTGAAATTTTTTTATTTATAATTGGAAAATTATTAGATAAATAAACAGTAAAAAAATAATACTCAAAAGTTCATAATCAAGAATAATAATAAAATGAATTATAACAAATTGTATAAGAGTAGTAATAATAATTGAATGAAATTAACTAAAACATTTGTGAAAATTCTTAAATGATAAATAACGATATATTCTAGAACTCTCCTTTTGCTTATTAACTTAAAAGTCATGAAAATATATAAGCAGAAATTTAGTAAAATCAATAGGTTTTATAACCATTTGATCAAAAAATAGGTAGTTATTTTAATAGAAAAAGAAAAAGATAAAAATTCCTCAACCTATAAATATAGCAAACCCGAAAAAACTTGAAGCAAGTAGAGGAACAAAATATTTAAATGAAGAAAGAGAAGGCTGAATCTAATTAATTACAAGTAATTAAATAATAATCAAGTTCTAAAAGTGATGAAAAAATCAAAACTCAAACATCTTCATAAACCTAAATAAAAGAAGTTTAAGATGAAAATGAATCTTAAAAAATCATTGTTTATTTGTCACTTCCTAAAGCGAAAAAGGTAGCAATTTTTCATTAATTTTTTAGTATTTTTTACATTTTTGATGAAATCCTTTAACGACCATTAAGATTCACTATGCTTTATCTAAAAACAGTACACACATTAGTTATTTCAATATTATTCTAAGGTTATAATATGCTCATTTAGCAGGTAATAATAGCCATTATTAACAGCTCATTAATGAAGATAGTTTTTTTTGGAATTATATTTACATTCAAAAAAGGCTCAATAGGTAAAACAGTATCTCTAATTTTGCAAATAGGAATAAGCTTGGGTTATTACTATGTCATTTTAGCAGTATCTAGTGGTAAAACTCCAAGTGAGTCTAATTAATTTATAATCCTATTTATAGTATCTTTTCTAACTGAAATGGTTTTCATAGAGTTAATCAAATCATTTTGCATGATCTTGCTGATTCAAAAATACATTAAATGCAATCAACCCAAAAGCATTTTTGGTAAATTGTATAATTTATTTGATTTAAAATAAATAATACTTAATATTGATGTTTGAGCCAAATTTCTATTTTTATATTTTTTGTTTGTTTAACACTTTAAAAATATCACCTTTTATAATTATTTGTTTTAAAATTACACATTTTTTTAATTGAGCTAGTTTTTATTTATTATAATCTATTTATATTTAAAATAATATTACTGTTAAGTTTAAAATGTTAATTTTCTCAAAATTTCCTCTTAAAAAAGTCAGAAAAAAGATTTTATTTTGAAAAATAAAAAATTTAATAATATTTTTCATACCTGGAATTAGGAAATATCTGAGGGTTTGAGAAAATGCGATATTTTAATATTATTGTTCGAAAATCAAATGTTAAAATATTTAATTTTTCACAACTCTAAGAACGGATTAATTCGAATTCATGATATTTTCTATTGTTTTTTTATGATACTATCTAAATAATAGAAAATTTATTTAAAAACTATTCAGAAATATTAAGATCAAATTACTTGTCATTATTCTACTTTAAAATAGTAAAATTTATATTTAAATTTAAATTGTCTATTTTTTATTTAATTATATCAGAATCCAACAAGCATAAACTTTCATGCTGAAATAAAAACTCACTTTAATTGAATCATATTAATTAACAATAAATTATTTTATTTATTCATTTATTTGCATCATTTTAAAATAATTAATTCTAATATTTAATATCTAAACAATGTTATTGAAAATCTAATTACAATTTATAATTCTAATATTTATAATAATTATTGCAGTTTCTCAATTTATTCGAAAATGATATTCGAGCAATTGTAAGATAATATAAATAATATTAAATATCTTGTTTTGAGTCAAAAAATAGCTAGTTTCTCAATTTATTGGAAAACTATATTCGAGTGTGAGATCATATAAATAATATTAAATATCTCGTTTTAAGTCAAAAAATAGCTCTTTAAAAATCAAATTATATTTAATGAATTAATTACGATATTAATTAAAATATCGATTTCAATACCTAAAAAAACATATTTTATATCAAATGAATAGTAATAATAATAACAATAATATTAATAATAAAATAATTGACTAAGAGTCATAAGGTTTTGAAAATCAAACCAGCCAAAATAAATATTCAGATTTTTCTAAACAAAGCGCTGCTTTTTCGCAAACCTATGAAAGATAACATCCATATTAAATTGGGATATGTGATGATAAAATTCAAAATAATTTCTTCTAAGATATGTCTTCAAAATAATTTAACATATGTCAAGATGCAAAATAAGAAATGATTGAAATAGTAACTATTCATAAATAATAAGACAAAAACTAACCAGAAATATAAATTAATGCAAATTAAGATAAAAGTACATAAGAAAATTAATAATAATAGTAATCTGATTCATCAAACAAAAATAGGGATTATTATTTAACTCAAAGAAAATCCTACATTTATTTGAATTTTAATATTTAGGTACTTGATCTGTTAACCTATATACCCAGTTTAAAAATTAGTAATAATATATCCCCAAAAAACATAGAGGAACTTTTATTTATATTTATTGGACTTGAATTTTGCGCATATTTATTCAGCTTAATCTTTATTTGTTCTAAAAAATAAAAAATATTAATAGCCTTATTAATACTTTTTATTGGGTTTAAATTAATTAGAACTTAGCTTCTTTGTCTGTATCTAGAATCAGTAGAAATATTTTTTGTTAATTAGATAGTGCATGTTATAAATTCCATAATAATTATTATAATTATGAAAGAAAAAGCTACTATTATTGGATGTTTAGTACTTAATTTGAAAACTATAGGTGGAGCTTTAGCTATTTATTTTTGCTATTTTAAAATTAAATTAGTTTCTACTTAAGGACTAATTATTCTAATAATAACAATACTCACTTTTATTTGTTTAGTCTAGCAGACAGGTGTTTTTTCATAGAAATAAAATTTCATCAAGCAGTATCTGTTATCTCAAATAGGGATTGTCTATATTATTTTTTGTCGCAAAAGTAAAAACAATAATAATAATGATTAAGGTGGTAATGAAGGAGACAGTTGTGATTCTTGTGGAAGCTGTCGTAGCTGTGGTAGTTGTGGTAGCTTTGGTGATTGATTTAATGCTGAAGGCATTTTTTATTTTTTATAATAAACCTCAAATAAAAATTATTCACTTTTTTTATAAATTTTACTTATTGTTATAATTATTTAATTACTTTAAAGAAATATTAATTTTTTATTTTTACTATAATTTAGATTTTTAAAAATAAAAATGTGTTTTTTAAATATTGAAATATCTTTCATAAATACATAATTTGATTGAAAAATTATTATATTATTGATTTTAAAAGAAAAACCGTGGTTAAAAATATATTAAGTTACAAAAAATTATCAATTTATTTTGAAAAAAATTGTTAAAAAAAAAGCTCGATAGATGCTTTTGATTAAAAACTTATTATTAATTTATTCTATGATAAATAAGAATTATTAAAATTTTTTTACAATAAATATGAAAAATTTAAGAAATTTTTTTGATAATTAATAACTTAATATTTCTCTCAAATCAAGAGGTTTTTTAATTCATAAGATAACTAACGTTTTCAAATTGAAAAAGTAGAAATTTAAAGAATATTTAAGTTCGTTTTTCTTTTAATTTTATCAAAAGTAATAAAATATTGATGTTTTGCTTCAAAAAATACAGATATTAGATTATTATTTTGGTTAGAGTAAAGTATTCACCGTGATATTAATATAAATTAGTCTTAAAATCTTATTTTTTAGTTAATTTTCTAAATATTCTAAAAAAATATTTCTATATTTTAATAAATATAAAAATTTTGATAAAAATTAACATCAAAAAAATAATAAATTAAATTGATAAAATAATTTGAAATACTATCAAATATTATAACAAAATTAGTAATACTCTTATGCAGGATAACCAACCTATTTTATAAAAATTACATTAAATCGTTCAACAATATATAAAACTTAAGAATATACAAGATGAATTTTTTTTAGAAGAAATTTTAGATATTTATTTCAGTAGACATATAAAATAGTTTTTTTATTCCAATATAAATAATATATTTATTATTATATTAATTTTTTTACAGAATGTAAAAGAATTTTTAGAATTTAATGCTATTTTTTTTATTTTCTATCAATTAAAAATTAAGTTTAAAATAATTTAAATTTACTTTTTTATTTAAAATTAATATAATTTTTATTACTTAATAAATAAATAGAAAAAAATAAATCGGATTATCAGGTTTAAGTTCTTTAGGTTCTTTAGCAAATTGCTCAAAATTATCTACTTTAAAGTTCACTTTCTAGTAAATTTATAACTATCAAATTAAAAAAATATATTAAAATTTAATAAATCAAAGATTTATTTATTTATTATTCACAACTATTCAACATAAGACAAATAAAATTATATTTATATTTATTTATTGAATCAGCGATTTTGATGAAGAATGTATCAAAGTTTTAGTTTCTTAACTTGTAAAATTCTCTAGGTTAACTGCATTAATAGTGGAATTAAGGTGACAATTATTTATTTATTTTATTTTTCTTAAAGATCACATTAAATAAAATAAATTCAGATTAATAAATACTACTTTTTTAAAATATTAAAGCAATTACTTTTTCTTTTAAAAAATATTCTTGAATCTTTGGTTTTGCAATTAAAATTTATTTATCTTCTTAAAATAGGGGTTATGAAGGTAGTCGTCTGTAATCTTAATTAAATTTCAAAAAATAACTCAAAAAAATAAAAAGATTAGTAACCTATTCTAAAAATTGATTCTATCTAGTTTTACAAAATCATAATAAGGTAAATCTTAATATGTTAAATCTATAAAAAATTAAAAATGTTTTATTATTTGTGATTTATTAATTATAAGAGCTATTCTAAGTATTTTTTGATGCGGTTTTCTATAATTTTGTATTTTTTAAAAAAAATTATTTAAATAAATAAATAAAATTTAAATTTATTATATATATTAAAATATTAATGTAAAGAGCTTTTTGCCATTTATTTTTTACATTTATCCTTTAATTAAATAATAAAAATATTTGATAATGAGCTTTAATAAATAAATTGGCTATTTTTGATATTTCTTAATAATAATAGATAAAATTTAATGTTAAATATTATAGATAAAATAATTTTTGTAAAAATAATTAATGAAATATAATAATTTATATAAATAAATTTGATGTGCTTTGTTTTGAAAAATACAATTATTAAAAATTTTGTTTTGAAAAATACGATTATTAAAAATAGATATCTAACATAGAGTCAAAAAAATATTATTTGAAATAGATAATAAAGATAGATCATACATTCAGTATTTAAAACTGAGTCAAAAAATTTTAAATAATTTAATCCTTATCTCAAAATAAATTTAATTATTTATTTTGTTTTTAAATAATTAAGAACTTAAATACTTTTTATTAAAAATTATAATTAAAAAAAGTGATAAAAAAAATAAAAACAAAGAAATTCATTTTAGAAAATAAAAAATATTAAAATTTATGGAATTTACAAGCTTAGATTTATTTCAAAGTTAGTTTAATTTTTATGTAAGAGGATCTAAAAGAGGAAAGGGAACAATAACAGGCTCACTAATATCTATAGTAATTGTTCTTACGATATTCTCTTATTTTGTTTATTGCCTTTTACAATTTACTAATAATCAAATAGAACCGACTTACAGGTCTTAAATTTTATTAAACAATAAGACAGAATCAATAGATTTTACTACTAATCCATTCGCTTTCAATGTAAAATCTAGATCTAAAAGCCTTTATAATTTGAATTATTAAGTTTTTGTTACAGCATTATTTTAAAACGAGACAAAAACCTAATCAATTGGAATTACCTTTTAAGCTTGTTAGGATCCTGATTTAATTGATTACTATTGCTTAGATTAGCTAATGTTTGATGGTGAAATCGAAGAAGAGTAAAAATTAGAATTATACAACAAGGATTACAATTACAAGTTAAACACCATTATTTTTAATGTGGGTAATTGCTTTCCAAATTTTTAGTCAGATTGTTATTTACAAGACGAATTGGATTAAATCATGAATAGTGGAGTAATTTCAATAAAATTGCCAATATCTCAGTTTAACATATAATCTAAAGATATGGAGTGGTCATATCAAACTTTTACTTTTTACACTTCCTCTAATTTAGTTAACTAGCCAACAATCGGGATGTAAAAATAATATGTCTTTGTAAAAGATGGAATGTTTATTCAATCCTAGCATGTTTATTAGTCTCCTGTGAGCTATAGAGTTGATAATTCAAATATAAATAGGACATATCTGGTAGAAAATAATAAGTATGCTCCTTATTTTAACTTGGAATTAGAAATAGATTAAAAATATCAAAAGATAAATATTTAATATCCAACTTTACCTTCCATTTTAGCATAAGTTAATAGCGTTTTCAATCTTTTAATGGTTGTTGGTATTATATTGAGATACATTTCATTTAAATCTATTAATTAGTACTTCTTTATGATTGCTTTACAGAATATGTTCTAGGAAACATACTTGTAACTATTAAAATATAACAAAATTTGCTAGCATTTACCTTAAAATAATTTAAAATTAATTAAAAAAAGCTGTATTACTCAAAATTAAAGTGGAAAGTATTAAAGAGATTAAAAATAATCTATATCCTAAGCAAAGTATTTCGAAGATAACTAAATAAAAGAAAATTTCTAAAAATAATTTTAGATAAAATAGAATTTAAAAAACTCAAATGACTAAGAAGAGAGCTAAGAAATAAATTTAGAAAATTATGAGAATTAATCAATCTACTAGAACCAATTTAAAGAAACTTAAAATGGTGTTTTTGGACCAAAAATTGTCAAAAATTAAAATGGAATCTCATAAAATGGGAATTTGTGTCAAGTAAAAAGATAATCTTAATAAAATTAAGAAACTAAAAACGAGCTTGATATGTTTATGATAAGCTTTTAGGATATAAAGACAGATGAAAATTAATGCATAAAGGAAAAAATTAATCTTTAAAAATAAAATTCAATATATTCTCAAAAGCAAATCTAAGTAATTAACACCGATTCAATTAAAATACTCTTCAAAGATATTTAACCAGCAGCTAATTTCTATAACTAACTAAAATAGAAAAATAAATCCTCACCTAAACAAACACCTAAAAACAAGTTAAAGTAAATTAGTAACACCTTAATTCAGACATAGTCAACAAATCTCAGATCTACTTAAAATGATTATAAAGCATAAAAAAGTGCTTAAGATTCATAAAAAAAGCAATGTTGCCCAAAAAAAGAAAAATAATAGAAAATATTGGAAAGAATCCTTTTTGGTTTTAAGTAATTTAAACTTAAAAAAAAAATATTTCTAATTTAAAATATATATTTTAAATAAAGGATGTTTAACAAGAAAGAACAATTAGAATCAAAAGGTTTTTCTTTGAGAGACAAAAATAATATTTAAGAGCTAGTTGAAAAAGATTTAGACATATATTAATTCTATAAAGACATAATATTTTTAAAAAAAGCAATAACGATTCTTCTAACACATGAATAATTAGCTTCTCTTCATCTGATAGGGTGTTCAACTAATTTATTTGAATTAACTAAGAAAAAAACTGGCAGCTAAATTTTAGAAGGTAATCAATCAATTAATCAGCCATTATTTATTTATCATAAATATATTCAATCATTTATTTTTTGTTAATTTTTTTCATTATTTGATTTTATTTAATTAATTAATAAAAAAGAATTTGAAAGTAGTAATCATTTTGAAAAATAATATGCAATCTTATTATCAGAAGAACTCTAATAAATATATATTCAAAATTTTATATAAAAATGTTCTAGCTCTGAAAATCTTAATGAAATAGATAGTAGAATTTTATCATCGATATGCAAAAGCTATTTTTATTGAATCAAATAATAGCATGAAGTCTTTAATCATTTTATTTTTTTATTTTTATATCAATGTAACAAATTTTATTTTTTAAATAATAAAATCAATTTTATTCTTAATTTTTACAAATTTTACTCTAAATTGTTTATATATCTAACAGTTTAAAAAAAATTTTTAAATTAATAAAAATAATTTTATTTAATTAGTATATTAAGGTTAAAAATAAAAATGGAATGCACTAAAAAAATAATAACTATAGTAAGTATTTATGATAAATAAAAAACACAAATAAAACAATTTTAAGTGTGCAAATTTTCAGTAAATTTTAATCATTAGCTATTTTTTCTTAAAATGAATGAGATATAAACTCACAAATTAATTTTATTTTAACCTTTTAGTAATTTCTCTTCAGTAAAACATCTTTAAAAATTTATATGTTTATTTATATGAATTAAAAATAAAAACAACAACAATAAAAAGACAATTATTATAATATAATCATTGAATAACTAAAATTGCTTTTATAATTTTAGATATAAAATTAATTTAAATTTTGACTTTAGAGGATCTTAAAGTAGTAAGTTAACAATTAATTTTATTAAAAGGCACATAAATATTGACAATTTTTTTCATTATAAACCTATTATTTAAATTAAGAGGTAACTAACTATCTAACCAAAGAGTCAACTAAAATATTTTTTAATATATTTAGCAATATAGAAACTTTACATAATAAAAATAACATTTAAATAAATTCATTTTAATTTTACCTATAACCTAAACAAACAAGCTGAAAGCAACTTAATTTAATTAAGTATATCAAGCATGCTATTAATAGAAAAAAAAGACCATATCTAACTAAATTAAAATTTAAAAAACTAAAAGACATTATAAAAAATATTTTTATTTATTTTAATGATTACTTATCTAAACCTGATTCATTTAAAAAAGGATTTTCATGGAAGATGAGTCCTTAAAATCAAAAGATTTTTCTTTAACTAATAAAAAAATTAAAGAGTAAATAGAAAAAGATTTAAATATATTTAAGTCGATAAAGATTTATTTGATATTCTTAAATAACATGATCCTTCTAACACATGAATGATTAATTTTGTTCCTTCTAATTGATTGGGTGTTTGTTCAGCAAATTTATTTATTATTTCTAACAAAAATAAAATACTAAAAGCTAGAAATAAGAAGGTAATTAATTAATTAACTCCTTATTTTATTTAATCTAATAAATTTTATTTGATTTTACTCATCTTTAAATAGAACTATAGAATAATTGTCATCTAACTAGAAAAATCTTTTAAGATTAATTTGTCTAAAGAGCTGTATGTAATAGATATATATTTTATATTTATAAAAAGACATGCGCGCAAATTCAGAGAGAGAGTATGAACGAAATTGCTAAAATATTTTATTTAAAAAAGCTATCTATTATCTATATAATAAAGGAAGAAAATTATTTATTTGTTATGTAAGAAATTTATAGCATAATTTGTATTTTTTTTAAAACAGAATTGAGCTTTTAATAAGATTTTCTCTTGCTTTATCAATTAATGCATCATCCTTCTTAATTTTATTTGAATTTATAAAATGTATATTACTAAAAAGAAAGAAAGAAATGCTGTAATTAAATTCTGTAAAATTAGAAACTTGCTATAAAATTTTTTTAATGGTAAAAATCAAGATTTGAAGATTTACTGAATAATATCTAAATCTATAAGCTTACAATATATTTGTATTAATTTTTACTAATCCCTTTCCTTAAAATAATTAAGTATAATAAATTTATTTGATTAAATTAGATAATTTTTGTAAAAACTATAAAAAAAAGTAAAATTAATTATCATTAAGAATAAAAATAAAGATATATACACATATATATATATATATATATATATAGATAGATACTGATTGAATATGTTATTAACAAAATTAGATTTATTTTCTAGCTAATTTAATTTTAATGTTAGAGGTTCTAAAAGTGGAAAGGGAACAATCAGTGGCTCATTAACTTCAATTTCTATTTTTATTATCACACTTTTATATTTCATTTATTTATTTTAACAGTTTGTTAATAATTAAATAGAACCTATTTTTAGGTCTTAAACCATAATAAACAACTCAGTTGAATCAGTAGATTTTTTTTCTAATGTCTTTGCATTCAGAATGAGTTTTAGAGGTGCATAAGAATACCAATTTTAATATAGTTAAATTGAGTTATTAGCTTAATTTTAAAATGGTACAATAACCTAATAGTTCTAGATTAGTACAAATAATTGTTCAGATCCTAATTTAATTGGATATTCATGCTTAGGTGATATTATAATTGAAGATAATGAATATCAAAGTGTCTTATAATAAAAATAAGAATTATATGACAAGAAAAATAACTATAAATTAAATTAAGTCTTAATAATTATAAAAGGTTGCAATGCTTCTACTTCATCTGATTGTCCTTCTTAAGATGAAATAAATGCTTTAATGAATAAAGGAATTGTTTTTTTAAAACTACCAATTTCTTAATATAATACATCATAAAAAAGAATGGAATAATAGTTTGAAACTTTTTCATTTATAACTTCTTCTGATTAAATTAAAACACCTTTCATAAATATATAAAATTAATTAACAATAGTAAAGGATGGTATATTTATTCAATCTGAAGAGGTTCATTAATCTCCTATTAACTATAACATTGATAATCAAAATGTTAATAGATAGTTCTTTTCTGACGATCTAGATTAGGCTCTATATTGCTTTATAACATTGTAAATAGATTAAAAAATATAAAAAATATCTATTTAATATCCGACTCTGCCTCAAATTATAGCTGAAGTAAATGGTTTGTTTAGCCTATTAATGGTTGTTGGCTTACTTATGAAATATGTTTCTTTAAAATCTATGGAAAAACATTTTTTTATGATTGTTTTAAAAGATATTTACCAAGAAACATATTTATAAATGCTTAAACGCAATAATTTAAACATGCCAAAAATATTAAATTATATTAAAATAAGTAAATAAAATAGTTTAATTTAAGGTAAAAGTGGCTAGTAAGAAGTTAGAGTTTAACAAAATTTAATATTGGCAAACTAAATTAAAGAGTAAAAACCTTCGAAAATTGATACTAATTAATTTTTATAGAACTAAAATATAATCAATGACTAAGCAGACAGTCAAGAGATTAATCTAGAAAATTATGAAAATTAATCAATTTATTAGAATTAATTTAAAGAGCGAACAGATGGAGTTTTTGGACCTAAGATAGTTAAAAATACAACTGACTAAACTGAAATTTTACATAAAGCAAATGTTTAAACTTAATGTAAAAATGAACATGACACGTTTATAATAAGTTTTTAAGATATCAAAACTGATGAAAATTAGTTTATTACAAAAACACATTTCTAAAACTAGCATTCAATATTTTCTTAAAGGTAAATATAAGCGATAAGAAACGAAACAATAAAAATACTCCTTTAAGATACTTAATAAGATAAAAATATTGATAAATCAAAAAAGTAAATCGATGATAATTTATCGTAACAAAAATCTTAAGCTTAAATAAAAAATATATGCGTTTTGACTTAAACAACAAAAGAATAATTTACTTAAAATTAGAAAAAATTAAATAATAAAACTCATGATAATTAAAAAGAGAATTGCAATAATTAATAAGAAGAGAACTCAAAAAAACTTGAAAAAATAATTCATTCTTTTAAGTAAGTAACTTAATTTTTTTACAAATTTTAATAAAAATAATAATATTTTTAAAAAGGATTTGTTAATAAGATAAATACTTAAAATCAAAAGGCCTTCCTTTAATTTATAAAAATATGATTTAAGAGCAAATTGAGAAAGATTTGGATATATATTCATTATATAAAGATTTAATATTCTTAAAAAAGGCTATAGCAATACTTTTGACATAAGAACAGATAGCCTCTATCAATTTAATTGGGTGTTCTGTTGATTTTTAAAATCTGACTTAAAATATCAGTAATCATCAAACAGAAGAAGGTAATTAAGATTTATCTAAATAAACTAATTTAACTTTATTTTAATAAAAAAGGTTTAAATAATCATTTTGAGTAATCTCTTGCAATTTTAATGTCAGATGAATTGTAAACCAAGTTTATGCAAAATTTTATAGAAAGATGCTCTAATTCAGAAAATTTAGATGAAATTGATAAAAGAATTTTATCTTCTATATGCAAAAGTTATCTAGACTGAGAAGGAAAATAATTAGAATAATAATAATTTATAAAATTTGCTATCTATCTATCAATTCTTTTGTATTTTTGATAAATAAAAATTCAAATTCTTCTTTTTATAAATTTGCATAAGCAATTTTTATATATTTTCAAATCATTATTTATTTATTTATTTATTTATTTATTTATTTATTTATTTATTTATTTATTTCAGTTTCACTTATAAGTTAAATGAGCTTAAGATTTGAGTTTTTTAGTAAAATAAGAAAGGTACCGTCTGTACTCATGTTTAAGAGTGATTTGTATTTAAGGATGGTTTTTATTTAGGCATAAATTTTTTATTAAAATATTAACAATTTTTATAAAATAAATTAATTATATTTTATTAAATGTTTACATTAAGATATATAGATAAATTAGTTATAGTTAATTATTTTAATATATATTATTTATATAATATTTACATATAAACTCATAAAGAATATTCTTTTTTTACATAGTTGGAAATGAAAGGATTTTCATGAATGAATTCATAAGAAAACAAACCATAGATTTATCTTGTTTCGTAGATATGATTAGCTAAGTAATTGTAATATTTATTCCACAGGATTAGAAAAGTAATTGAAGCCAATATTAATACAAAAATAAATATTCCAAGCAGATAATTAGTATACTAATCGTAGTATCGATTAGCTTCAGATATTATAAAGTTCCCAATCATCAAAGGGACTAATCTAATGTATTGATACATTTTAATAAACTAAGCCCCATTATCTTTCTTATAAAGACTAGCCAAAGAAGATATAAAATTTTCTGTTGTTTACGAAACTTAGTACATTTGCTTAAAATCTAATAAAATGCTAATCATTGATTGTAAACCTAACAGGTATCCATTGTTCCAAATACCATTTAAAATTGTAGAGCAATCTGATAAATCAATTTAATTTTGCTCGTCTATATAAGTTGAAGAATATTTTTAAAGAGGCTGACAGATGTTATCATTCATAGTTGTTTCGACAATTTCTTAATGAAGTGCCTTATCATAAATATTGTTTTAATTTGATTCATCTTTGAGTAAAGTAATGATTTTATTTGTAGTAGTTTATATGTATGAATAGGTATCATCCAGCTATTGATCAAGTCCATTTAAAAGATTTTAAGGACGCTGTTCGTAAGTAGCTGTTTATCTTAAGAAATTAAATGCTAAAATAATGGGAGCTTTACCTCTAAATGAGTAAATTTGACCTAACTCATTAGAGCTATACTAAAACTTGCTGATAAAATTATCTGTGATAACAAAATTAGTGATAGGATAGAGTGAAAAAAAGCCAAATAGCAAAGATGCTAAAAATATCAATGCAATATTCATCTTTTAAAGGTCATTTGTGGAAGAAGTTGTTCTCTTTTTCATTTAATTATTTTCTTTATTAACTACTACCTAACTTGCATGTCCTTGAAGTATATCTTAATTTATAAAATATTCGCACTAGCTAATTCTTTCTTTGAGTAAGTTAGGCTAAAAAGTGCAAAACAGCTTCAAAATTTATTCTTTTTTGTATTGTATGTAATAATAAATTGGAATGACCTGAAAAGCCATTAAAAATGTAAAAATCTCCAAAAGCACTATTTAAGTAATTAAAAATTAGTTCATCGTATTTATTTGATCATTCATTTCCTCCACCTATAAGTCAGCTATATCTTAAAATGTGTGTAAGATGTCTTTTTAATTGTAATGTCTAATAATAATTTTTTAAATATTATTTTTTGGTGTTTAAAAATATTGTTTACATATAGCGAAGAAAAACTTCTGTCATTTTCTAGGAGTACATGTACAGATTTTGAGCCATAGCGACTAAACTGTAAATTTTTTTTAATACAAGAGTTGATGAAATATTTCTCTAATTAAAAACTATTATAGATTGATATTCAGTTCTTAGATATTTACCATATAGAGTATTTTAGTCTTAATTTTCAAAATCAACCACTGAATTTTTAAATTATTATTAAAGTACTAAAGGTTGATCTTTCACGACTAAATATTCCTAAGCAGTAAGTTTATTTTCAATAATTTAATTATTGTACATTTTAATATATTCTGTATGGGCAATAATAGAAATAAAAGAATTCATAATTTCATATCCTTTTGTATTTTAAATAATGTTCAAATTAATTAAAAAATATTAAAATAATTAAAGCTCTTTTTTAATTTATTTATTTGTTTGTTTTTTTTAGGGAGAGTAAATAAATTTTATAATTTAAGATATTTATTTTTATGATGATTTAAAAAATAAAAAATGTAGTTCAATTAAATTTTCTTATAAAAGTATACAAAATTTTCAAAATATTTTTATTAAATAAAACAGAAAACCTATTTTTAAATATTTTTAAACTAAAAAATTTAGAAATTTAGAGATGAACTTAAAAAATGAATTTTAATTACCTTTTACTAGATTAGAATTAAGAACTTTTGTGTGTTAGAATTCATTGTATTATAAAATATATAATACACTAACGAATATGATTAGAACACTTATTTTGAAAAATCCTGTCAGATAAAGAAGTTTCATAGTTTTGCTTTAGTGATTTCTCGACACTGCTGTTAAAAGTATAGATTTAAGTGTATGATATTCGCTCATGCCACTTGAAACAGAACTTGCTTGATTGAATTAATGGTTAGACTCTTTTTTTGTTCCAATCATAGTTTTACTTTATTTATTAGTATGCTATTATGATTTCCAAAACTCACTATTTTACTCTTAAGGAGTATTTGAAAGTGTTTGCTAGTCTTGTTTAATGCGATTATTTTTTACATTATTTATAAAAATATGTTCAATATGATTAGGAATTATTTAATTTGATAATATATTTTTTTATTCTTTGGAGTTTTATATTTCATTTAATTCTTATATTTATTAGCTATCTTGTATCGAATCTCCCTAATCACTCTTAGAGTTGAAAATATATTCGAATAAATCCGAGTGACCTATTTGTATTTCTTCTTATTCTTAAGCTTCAAAAATTGCTTCATTTGACATCAAGCCTTTGGTTTCAAAAAGAGGAAAGTTATGCTAATGCTTAGTTGACATTATTGGAGTACTGATCGCATTTAGATTTTAATCAAAAGATTAATCAGATTTAATATCTACATTGATATGTAATTTTTCTTGAAGGTTATTTATTAGCTTTCTGTTAGTATTTTAATACTAAGCCATAGTAATTTCATTTTGGTTAGACTCAGTAAGTTTAGTTACATTAATTGCGTCGTTGTGATTTTCATCACTACCATTATTTTCATTATTTTATTAATTTTCTTTGTTGTTAAATATTGATTTATGTGATACAAAGCTGTGTCTTTAAATTTAGCTTTATTTTTAATGCTTTACCTTGGTTTTAATATCCTACGAAATATTAAAATAATTATTTTCAAAGAATATTTTTAATTTAATTTTACATTGTTTTGCGATTTATGGATTAGAAAATCTAAAGAATTCAGCATTTTTGGAGGCTGCTACTACATTAATTCATTAATGTTTGTACTATTTTGGTTTTAAAAATCTTATTCTACTTCAAAATATTATCTAATTTTTTCAATTTCTTTACTGAGACTCCTCAAATGTTCTTTAATATCTGATTTGTGTCTCATTAGCTACAATCTTTCTATTTAAACAAACCCTAAAGCAAAATTTTTGTAGGAAGTTTGAAGTTTTCCTACCCTAAAAGATATAGAGTAAAATTTGTAATCATGAGAATTCAGTCTTTGAGCTAAGCTGAAAAAATCGTTAATGCTGCTGAAAGTAGAATTATTTGAAAAAGTCATAATTTTATATGATTTTTCATTTTGTGGACTAATTAAAATTGAATTATGTTCTAAACTTAGATTCTAATCTTTGCTCAAAAGCTACTAAAGATAAACATCTAAAATAGGCAAGACCTTAAATAAATCTAACTTTTATGATTATTTTAGAGTGTTTTCAGGAATTATTTTAGAAAAAAGCTGATAGTAAATTTTTCTAGTCATGTTACATAGCTTTCCACCAGTTGAAAAAATAATAAATTCAGAACTTTGCTATAAAGTTCAAAATAATTAAGTAAAATAAAAAAAACAAAATAATTTAATTTACGTTATTTTAGTAGGTAAAAAAAGCACTAGCTCCGAAATCATTTGCTTAAGTTTAATCAAGCTTCAGTCTCATATTTAAAGGAATGGCAAAACCATTTTATTTAATACCAAATACTTGAAGTTATCCTGCATTTATTCCATTTAATTAACCACTTGTCACAAATTTATTCAAAATATTATCATGGATCTATTTGAGTTGATCTGGAATCAAAATATTACAATTCTAAATAAGAAATTGAATAAATAAACAATTTAACATGTGAATTAAAACAAATAAATAAATAAATTAATAAATAATAAATAATTTGTAAACTGTAAGAGAAAGTTAATTTTAATATTGAAATTACTTTGTTTATTAATTCTGAAGGTGTATATCCAAATATTTATCTTGTTGTAAAGCTCGCATTTTTAATGATTCCTATTGGTTAAAGCAATGAAATGTAAACGACACAAGCATCTTGGGAAAATATTTGTATATTGCTATCAAAATTTCCGTATCCGTTAGCAAATTTTCTTCTCATGAGAATGGCCTTTTATTTTAATAATTAATTTTATTATTATATTTTAATCTCGAAGGATATTTGGAATTTGTTTACTTATTTTTAATAGTGATTAGGTTTTCTCTTAGAAAGGTCCAAACTTTCTGAATATATATAGGCCAGTTACTGGCATCTTTTACTGTAAGGGTGGTAGTGATACATTTTTTTAATTGAGAGGTAGGTTTCTAGTTTAAGCTTTGAGATCTTGCAAACTTACTTATTTAATTTAATTATATCTACATATTCTTGGCATAGAGTAAACAACATTTCTCTCAAAAATAATAAACAATTTTTCAAGTTTTTTTGTGTGGATAGAAATAGCTAGTCAAATTCAATGACCTTGTTCAATTATAGCTTCTGGTTGTATATAGTTGGATTATGAAAGAAATTGTAAAATATTTTTTCTCCATGATCATAAATAGATTAGAATATCATCTGGTCTTTAATAGACGATTGCTTTTTCTACTAATTTTCTATCTAAACCACTTCTACAAGCGCACTTGTGGGAACGTTAACTACTTCTATTAGAAATGTGAGGTAATTAAAGCACACATAATTATATTCCCTTTTCTATTTTAATAAAAAAATTATTAATTTTTTTAAATTAAAATCTAAGTAAGTCGCAATAATTCAAGCCTTTAATTTAATTAATATTGCACATTATAAATTTCCTTATTTGTTTACTTTACAGAATTATTATCTTGATAATTTTCATTTAATTTGATATATTTTTTTTTACTCACAAAATTAAGTAACACTAAAAAATTAAAATGTAAACTTCTTTTTCTATCTCATTAAGACTACTTTTAAGATTTAAATTATTCAAACCCCAATTTAAAAAAATTCCTAAAAGAGCATCAGAAATTTAGGCATAAAAGTGCTAAATATCTAATCAATTAATCAAATTAAAGTTTATTTAAATATTTTTTTGAAATATACTTTTAACGATCTTGATTTTTAAACTTAATTCAGGTATTCTGAGTACATTTAAGTAAAATATAAACCTATAAATTTATCTCTGTATTTGTATCCTTGAAGTTCCTCCCAGGAGAAACCTTTTTCTCTTTACATTTATTCACAAAAGCAGTCATTTCTTGTGCAGGTATCATAGTGGTTCTCATAAATACTTTCATAAAGGACTGATCTTTTTAAATCAGAATAGTCGTGCATATCAAGGTGTTTAACCATAAAATAGGCTGTTCTGATATGTAAATTTATTTACTATAAACTGGAGTAAGCTAATTTTTTTAAAATGTTATGTTTAATTTAAGTTCTTGTAATTTTTCTATTATGTAACTAAAATGAAAGAAAAATTAAAGGTTTTGCTTAAATAGCTTTTATTTGTTGTGGTATTTCAAAAATACTTACCTGGTTGTTTTAGGGAAAGTGAGGAGATTCGGTGGAAAAGAAGAAATCTAGCAAGAATATACGAAAAGGGTACTAGAGTAAGCATAATAAAAAGCAATTGTGTGCCATTGAATATGTGGGGAAGATTATAAGAAAGACAAAAAGTAATAGAATTAAAGATATGAAGAAACTTAAATAATAAGTTAGTCTAAATGATCAAATTATCGTAGTAAACTAATTCGTATAACTGAAGAGATATCTTACTGAGAACAAATATCATATGAAATGCAGCGATTACATTTTAATTTATATTATTAGTGCAAGAAAAAAGAATAACTAAAATTAGATTTAGAAGTAGTTCGAGCTATTTCGAGTGTGTGTCTATTGAGGCCATATAATCTTCTAATACAAAACTGAAACTAAAATCATGCAAATTCTGCATCAAGCTAATGAAAAGGGTTAATATCAAACAATATGCAGCGAGACCCACTTCTGCAGAGCTTAAACTGCTATCAAACATAATCTTAAAACTCGCAGTATTAAAGGGAAAGTAAAAAATATAAACATAAATCTTAAGAATGAAGCTATTAATGACATCAGAAAACTTCGCAAAATTCGTGTCTATTAGCTAATATTTGAATAAGAAAAATCTAAGCACTTAATTTATTATAATATAAGTGTTTAATGAGGTAGCAAATATTATAAAGGCATATAAAATTTGGTGTTCAGAGCATTTGCTGAATATGCTATTAAGCAAAGGATAAATCCTAAAATAGTGAGTAATTTAGGCATAATTATTTACTGCTGAAACATCTTATGTTTAACTTATATTATTTGTCTCTAAGAAATCCAGAAGATTGCTAGTCAACTATATAGATATAGACTAAACATTGCTGATAATTATCAATAGCAAGGATAAAATTTATCCTCTTAAATATATTGTTTGCTAACGACTAAAATGCTAGATGTAATATTATTTTAAATCTTATTTTAAGTTCTTCATTTGTTTGTAGCTTTAGAAAATTAATAATATTTATCCTTCTCTGTAATTTCTTTAGATTGTTATTTTTTTGGATCACAATGTTTTATGTTCTTTTGTAGCCTCTATTTTCTTTATAATTCAGCTACTAATTGAATAATTACAAATTTAATTTTTCTTTTTCAATTTAAAATAAATTCTGAAATTGGCTTTAAGGAAGTACCAAGTAAATTCTTATTTCAGTAAATCAAAATAGACTTTTTTTTTAATTTCAGAATTCCGTTCAAATCAAATTTCTTAAAAAATTTGTGATCTAAAATCAATCGAGAAAAACTCATTGAATTCCAGAAGAAATTTTACTTGTTTAAATAGAAGGTTATTTCAAAACTTTCAAATCAATACATGCACAAACATTTGACTGTATTTAAATTAAATCGTATTTTAAAAGAAGCTTTTTACTTTTATCAAATGCATATAATTAATTAAAACTTTTAACAAAGATCTATTTGATATGACAGATTGAATATATTTTCACTATTCAATCATTCATTTAATTTATTCAAAAAATACATATTTACAAATATAATTAAAGAAAATAGACAAATAATAAATAAATGCAAATATGATAATATTAATTATGTAAAACCATTAAATATATTTTTGATTACTTGTTTTCTAATCATTTTTTATATGTATTGTGATTTATTCATTAATTATCGTTGCTATCTTCTTAATTTTAGTTAGATATGTTGTTAAATTAATGATAATCTTGCTTGTTCATATATCCTTGTAAAATAAATTACTAGTTTTCATTCTGGTTATTAAATTACTATTTCTATTATTGCGATTGTTGGTATTGCTAGGACTAATTTAAGCGATTAGCAGTTTACTAGACTTACCTAATCTCTTATTACTATTATTAAGATTGTTATTATTAAAATCTTGATTACTACACATTTTGAGAGTGATTTAATTTGATCTTCAATCCAGTGATCTATTTATTTCTATACAAATTTAATATTTAATTTACAATTCATCCACTCAAATATATATGCTATTTTTTATAAATAAAATACAAACTATATTAAAAAATAGATTACAATTGTTCATTTTCAGAAAGTAAGAAATCGCAATTAGCAGACTTGTGTTCGAACTAATCTTTAATGTCATTCATCTAATTTTCTAAGTCATCCTTTTCCCTTTAAGCCTGTGAAATCTGCATAGTCAAATAGATAAATAAATTAAAATAGACTTTTATATTTGAAATATATTTTTTACTTGTTTTTATAGGTCTTCGACATTCTATTTTTCTTTATCCAAATATGAAACTAAATTTTTTATTTCTTAGCTGTACAATTGTATTTTTTCTTTTAATTAAGATTTATCTCCTTCTAACTAAGATATTTATTAATTCTTCTCATCGATTTCTTGGTTCTTTTCTATCTCAAGTTGCAATAATTATCTTTACAACTGCTTTATTTTAGTATCTAACTAAGAATAGCTATTCCCTTGAATATCCTATTAAGCTTTCTATGCTATATCTTACAGCTCTCTTATTCTCTTGATGCTGTTTTCCTGCAAAGATTAGTTTTCTAATTGTATTTATTCAATTTACTGTTGTAAAATCTTTATTTGGTGCTTTTACTCAGCAATTTTCTCTTGTTACGCTTTTTATTCCTTATCGTATTTTTCATTTAATTCATTCAAACTAGTTAACTAAATTATTAAATAATAAATTACTGATTAGATTTTTTGATTTAATTCTAAAATGTTTCTCCTTCTAAAAAATCAATAAGCTTTTAAAAATTACTAATAAAAGATTGCTATCTATCTATTATAAAAAAAGCTATAGACAGACAGTCAGTCTTTTAAATGACAATAATTAAAGTTAAGTAGTGGTAAAATTGCATTTTTCACCTAAGATTATATAATAAGCTAATTAATTTATAACAAGAGTAGATATTTATTTACATTGAAAATGATATAAATTAGTAAAAGAAATTTTCTTTTAATTAAAATTAGGTGATTAATTTTTTATAAAATGAAATATTATTTATTAAACTTGAGGATTTTGATTAGAAAAAAAATAAAATTAAATATTGAATTTTCATATAAAATATTCATTAATAAATATTTTTTATAATTTTAATCTGATTTCTTAATTTTTTTTCAAATAGCTTATTTATTTGTCAATAATTTTTGATTTCAATATTATTTAAAAAAAATTTGCATGTTTAATTATTAATCTTATTAAGATAAATATCACATTTTTGTTAATGGATTAATTAATGTTATAATTAAATAGTATATTTTTTCTGCACATTCAAAATCTTATCAACAAAAAACCTTGTGAAAAATTGTATTAAAATTAGTAGGACATTAAATTTTCTAGCATGTTTTATCTTTTGATATAAATGGAATTATTAATTTACATAGTAGTAATTATATTTAAAAATTGAGATGATTTTGAGGTAAAATTCGTATCATAAATAAGCAATTAATATTTGAAAAAAATCAACCATAAAATTTAGAATTATTATCCTTTTTATATAGGTCATAAATTAATTAATTAATTAGTTAAAAATTAATGAGTTTTGAAATAAAATGCTTTAAAGATTATTTTAAAAATAAATTTTCCAAGTATTTATCGAAGGAAATTGGCGAAGATTGATTGATTAATTTTTAACTTGATATCTTTTAAAGAAAGAAAATTGATTAAAATGATTACATTCTTTTGGTTTAGAAGTTATATTTTATTTTAACTCTCTGTTATCTCTGTGTTTTTGAGTTTGATGCTTTCTTCATATTCTAATTCTAAAGATTAGCATTTTTCTTTCCAAATTTAGACCTCTTTGGTCATTATTTTAACTTGATTATCAAGATAAAATATTTTTCCTTCTGATTCAAGTTTGGTTGCCTTAACTTCTTTTTCCTTAAAATAATTAATAAATAATTTAAATTTAATAGAAATATAAACAAATTCTTACTATGTTTGATTGCTTTAACTAGCTATGATGCTAATTCAATTCTTCTATTTACTGCTTGTGTTGTCTCTCTAAAGCTTCGCATTTTTTAGACCAAGTGTCTAATTCTCTTTGGTAATCTTTTGTTTTGGACTGAGATTTTTCTAGCTCAATTTTAGCATTACCTAATTCTGTTTCAATTTGAACTATCTTATTTCTCATTTTAAGAGTCTCTATTTCTTATTACTAACGATTATTTATTTCTTTAATTTAATCTTCTTTCTCCTGTTTTTTCATTTGCTCTATTATGTTAGCCTTCTCTTTAACTCCATTTTCTAAATCAGTAACTTTTTTTTCATAATTTATCCTCATTTCTGTATTTTCATTTTTGAATTAATCTAGCTAATTAGCTAATTGATTCTTCTCTTCCCTTTCATTTTTAAACTAATAAAATGATTCTATTTAAATGGATTCTTTTTAATATTATTTTTACTTCCATTGCCAATAGCTCTAACTTGCTCTATAGCTGCTTATATTAACTTTAAATTTCTTGCTTCTCAGCATTTACTCTTGCATATCTTTCACTTTCTTGTATTTAATTTTCTAGAATTACATTGCTCTTAATATTTTAATTTTCTAGCATTAGTTTTTGAATTCTTGTTTCTAATTCATCAATCTTTTGTTGATATTTTGAATTGTCCTGCTTTTAACTTTCTAAAACCTTAGTTTCAAGTTGAACTGCTTTATTTTTCCAATGTTCAGTCCATTGTTTTTGTTCTTGAAGGAACTAATTTTACTCATTAAATTAATCAGTTAATTATGCCAATTTCAATTGTATCTCATCCTTCTACTGCTTAACCATCATAAATTCGTAGTTATCGTCTTAGTCTCTTTTATTATTTTATTTCATAGCTTCTTAATATTTATTCATCCATGTATCCCTTTCACCTTTTAACATAGCTACCTCATCCTTTAAATTTTCTATCAATCTCTCATTAGAAGACTTTTGATTCTCAATAATTCTTGTCTATTCACCTTATTTCTTACTATATTCCTCATATTTTTCAATCTACTTTTTCATAATATTAAATGTTTCGCTCTCTTCGAATTTCTACTCTTTTTTCTTTTGCATCTCTATGTATCTTCATTCATTATATTTAAATCAAACATTATTTTATATCATAAATCATAACCAAAAATTAACATTAAAATTTCAGTTTAATCAAAATATTTTTTAGTATTTTGAAACGATTTTTTAATATTTTGAAATCATTTTTTAATATTTTCAAAAGAGAATTTAAAATGCAAAAATTATTAGATAAAAAAAATGAACATTTTAAATTACCTTTGCATCCAACTTTGTAATTCTTTATTTTTTTATTCGAGCAAAACTTATAGCTTGTTACACTCATTTTCAAGACTTTTAATGTAATTAACATCTTTAGCATTTATGTCAGACATAGAACTATTATTTGAATCTACAGCTTCTTAATTATTATTAGAATTTTTTTATTTTTTGCTTGTTTGCTTAGAAGGAGTTATGTTATCTGAATCGTTTGTAGTAATTTGGTTAACAAGATTAGAATTTTGCATTGTCAAATCATGATTAAGTTTTGATAGCTTGTCATTTTACTTGTTTAGACTATCAACTTAAGTTTCTAAATGCTAATTTTTAATTAGCTCTTTCTTGAGTTTGATTTCTAAATCCACTATTTTTTCAAGAACGTTAGAAGCAATCATTTCGCTATTGCTCTTGTTTAAATGTCTTCCGTATTGCTCTTAATTATCAGGTATGAAATTCAGACTTTTATTTTCTAATGTCATTTTTTTCAAACCAGAATTATTCTAATTTTGATTGAATGAGTTTAAAGTGCCTTATTATTTTTAAGGGCTTGTTGGAGTTCTAATTGATAAATTAGATGATCTTCCATTATTTTGCTCTTAAGAGTATTTCAAATATTATTCATGGATTTGCAATTTTTCAGGACTTTAGTTAATTTTCTCAATTACTTCACTTTCATTTTAAGGTTATTGCTAATACTTAGAATAATTCTTTGGACTTTTCCCATTTGAAATCTATCTTAGACTACTACTTGATTTGTTGAATGGACTGTTGAAATATTAATTATTTCCATTCTGATTCCCATTACCACTAATAACAAGCTTAGGTGGTTAAGATTGCTTTTCTTTCAATCTTTCTAAAATACTTGCTGTAGAATTAGAGAGTAATTTGCTTGAGCTATTGCTTTACTGCTAACGTATTGGCGAAGTATTTTTCTTTTAGTTTTAATATTATAATTAATCATCTTTATATTAATAACTAGAAGATTATTGATCTCTTGAGTTGTCCTGCTACCACTTGACTCTACTATTTGGGGATAAATTACTGGCTTGCTTCATATCTGAAATTCTATAAACCTATTTTAGTATTGCTTTGTTGCTATTTATTTACTACTGCTTTTACAACCTTTGATTTTAGTTTTGTGAATTTATAAACTTCTTGCACAACCACTAAATTGATAAATTTTATTGATATTTATAAATTATTTATGCAATTTTTTAACGCTGCTATTTGATGATAGATAAACTCTTTTTTATTTATTTATTGGATGAAATGTATCTAAAATAATCATCAAAAATGTATTTAAACCATTAAACACAATTTAATTTGCTTACTTCTTGCAATCAAATAAAATTATATATTTTTTCATTGACTTGTTTCCTCCAAATCCAATTAGCTATTTTTTTCCTTAAAAAATATTTTATTTTTCAAATTTAGTGCGATTTCTAACAAATTAAATTCAAAGAAAAATAAAATAGAATTATTTTTAACGTTAAAATAGATTCTGAAGTATTTTGCTATTAAATTTATAAGAAAAAGCTTTGAGAAGAAAAATCAAATGAGCTAAAAATAACTATTGGAAGGAGGTAGTTTAAAATTAAAAAAGCGAACTTTCTTTTTAAATTAAAGTATTGATGATTTTTTTGAAAAGTGATTCAAATCCAATAATTTACTTGGCATGTATAGAGAAAGCGACTGACTATTCATTCATTCGTGTCTATGCATTATTTGGATTGCAAATAAAGCAAATACAATAATTATTGAATAGACAGACAGACTGACAAACAAAACAAAATTAGATAAATATAAAGAATAATTTGTTATTAATATGAATTAATTTATTTTTTGAAGAAGTGATATTTTTGGTGAGTCAACAATTTAAAAGTAGTTTAAATATGTGTTTAGAAATATACATAAAGCATTAACATTTCTAAAATAACTTATTTTATATTAATAATATATATTATTTATAAATGGTAATGATAGAAAATCTAAGCAGATCACCAGTTAGGGTCCTTTTTGTTGACCTTAGCCTTTTTGATTTGAGTGATATCCATGAAAACAATAGTCTTACATCTCTTAATGGGAATAACTCTCTTAGTCTTGCAGGTGGTACAATCGAACCTATTCATAAATAAAATAAATATAAGAATTTTATTGATATTAATTTCATTTTATTCAAGGAAGTTCATAACGAAAAGTTAGTAGTGGATGCTCAATATTTATTTTGGTGCATATCTTTTTTATCTATTTATTTTTATTTCTTTCATAAAACTCCTAAGCAGAGCAAAATTTATTTTTAATGAAAGGGATTTGAGTTGTTTGTTATTGCATGTTTAATTAATGAGCCTTTAAGGATAAATACTCATTTGCATTTCTAAATCAGCTGAACAACAATATATATTTTAAAATGAAATAATGAGTGATTTTTTTTTTGACTTTGCTTAGAGTTGCTTGCTTGCTAACTTATCTATTTTTTTTAACTTGACTAAATTTTTTGGCTTGGCTTGTTTTTCACTTTAAATATTTTCAAAATATATATATGCTTGCTTGTAGGCAGAATAAAAAACTGATTTGCGAGCAGCCATATAACATGCTTAGGTAAAGCAACTAATTCAAATTTCATTTTAAGATCAAATCGTTTTAATTATTTTTTTTATCCTTCAAAGCTTTTTTAATTTTAATTCCTTAATTTTTATCTCTCTTTGTCTTTCTTTAAATCTTTGCTTTTGTTGATGATAAAGAAGAACCTTAGAAACATAATTTAAATCTTTTCAAATATCTTTTCTGTTAACAACCGATGCGATTGATTTCCCCTTAATTCGGCTCTCTTTACAATTTAGCGAGTTTGCTAAGATTGATCAAAATATCAAAATGAAATTGGTTTATTTGTTTGTTCAGCGATAACTTATTTCTTTAAGATGCGCACTTTATTTAATAATTTATATTTGAGCTATTTATTTTTCGCTTGAAATTCCTTGTGTTATGGTGACTTTTATTTTATATTAAATTACTTGAGGGCGACCTTCTTAGTAGTCTTGGCCTTCTTTCTGAAGATAGGCTTGGTTTGACCACCAAAACCTGATTGCTTCATGTCGTAACGTCTTCTACCTGTAATTTGAAAATAAAAAACAGCATTAATAATGTTATTACAATTTATCAAAATAAAGCAGGAAAACAAACTTATCATCTAATATTTCTTCATGTTATATAAAAATATTTCTCCCATAAAACAAAATAGGCATTCATTCATTCGTCTCTCAAAAATTAATTAGCATTTTGAAGAGTTGAAAAGAAACAACATATTTTATTGTGAAATTCTTGTTAGAACTCTTTGATCTACTTGGAGATTATTATTTGAATGATATGATTAATTACAATATCCGTAACTACAAACAAATTGATGCCTTCGAAATATCTTTAAACGACTAAGCCTTTCCTGCTTTCAATTTTATTTGAATTTTGTGATTAATTACCTTGAGCGTGGGTAGATTCCTTAGACTTCTTGTATTAGGAGACCTTGTGGTTAGTGTGGGAATTGCACTTCTTGCAGTAAGTCTTTCTAGTCTTGGGAACTTGGACCTAAATGATAAAAATGAAATGATTAACAAAGTCAATTTATTTATTTAATAAGAATAGCATGGACTATTAAATAATTGCTAAGTATGCGCCCTTCTAGGCCTACTGAAACTACTTGCAGTAAGCCTCAAAGGAAGTAATTCAGTCAATCAGTCCATGCAAAATTAAAGAAAAAGTGTATTACCATTTTAATTAAGTGAAAATTGATATTTTTTTTCTTTACTTTTATATTTGTTAATTTGTTTTTCTTTATTTTATTCCTTTCAGTCTCTTTAAAGCATAAATCGATCACAATGACTATTTTCTCTCTATTTTCCTTTATCCTCTTTCAAAGCAAAATTTGTATCACCCAGGCAGGACCAATTTGCTCTCCTTTTATACTTTTTATCTTTTAATCTGAATCTTTCTTTCTTTTGCACTCTCATTTTATTTATAAATAATTCTTTATCCTTAAATCTAATATAATATTTCTTTCTCATTCACATAATCACTCAGTATCTTACATCTACCATTTCCCTAATAAATATTCTTTCATTTTTATGCATTCTTGCATCAAAATAATAATTTATTTCAATCTAATAATCTATTATAAAAATTATATTATGACAAAAATAATTCATTTATTTTCTTTAATCATTATCAAAACTTTATCCTCAAGCATCCTTTTATTTATCAGATATTTGTGCGTTTAACATATATATAATTATATTATTAACATAAAAGACTTATATCATAATATAATTATTCTATTAATATATACAAAAGTACTTAAAAACAATCAATAAATATTTATATGATATCTAATAATCTATTATAAATCAATTAATTTAAATTTATATTAGAATGAAATTTTGAATTATTATCAATCACATTTTCATTTGTTTTGTTTAGAAATTCTTAAAATTTTTAAACAGCTAAATCTTTAATCTTCAATATACATAATCTTCTTTAATCATTCATATTAATCAGTATTCTGCAATATTCTTTTTAATAAAGTATTTTTAATCACTTATTAACATCAAAAATTAACATTAACTTATTTTTTTATTAAATATCATATAATTTATTTTATTTTTTTTATTAAATTTAAACTAAAATTATTTTTAAAGATTTAATTAAAAATATGAAAACCTATTTAAAATATTTGAATAGCTTAATTTTAATTTGCAAAAATAAATAATAAATTAGAAAATAAATAAAATTAACGTTTTTAAATAATTATTTTTGAAATTAATTTTAAATACGCCGTTATTTTAAAGAAAAGAATATTAGATAAGATTCTTCTTTTTATATATTTAAAATAAAAATAATTTTATATGATTATGCTAAATACTATCTATTAAGAAATTTTAATTTTTAAAATGTTAAGTAAATGGACTCATATCATTTTTATTAATAAATAAATAAGATAGACTTGATTTAATTAAATTTGATAGATAATTTTGCAACATAATCAATTAGCTATTTTATTTAATTTTAAGAATATTTTGTACATAGCGCTTTTACCACTTAGAAAAAAGTTAAAATATATTAATAAAAATAATAAAAAGAGAAAAAAATTATCTTAAGAACTATTATTCCATTTTAGATAATTTTATAATTAACAATAAGCTGTTTTTAATAAAATAATAAAAGTGAGAAATTCTTAAATTCAATTTATAAATAGAAAAACGTTTATTGTTAATATAAAAATTATTAAATAAAAATGAATTAAAAAGATAAATTAATTTATGAGAAACATATCTTTTTCCTATTAAATCCTGTCATTTATAATTTTTTATACAAAATATTGAGTTATATTTATTATAAAAAGCAAAAAGTAGATAGATATTAAACAAAATAATACTTTTACATCAGACTTTTGGCTAAATAGTATATAATAACATAATTAATTAATAAATTAATTCAACGTGTATTATAAAATATTATCACTTTAATTGATCATTTTTTTTGAAAAATTCTTATTTTGAATATTTTGCAAAAAAGAATAATTTTGTATTTAGCTAACTATAGATTATGATTGTGAATTTTTGCTCAATTTTTAAATAATTAATTAGCTTTAAATGAATACTATTTTAAAAATAAATATCCCTAAAAAATATACTGATTTTATTAATTTTTATAAATTAATTGTTATCTGATATTACTATAATTGAGTATTTTCTTTACTTCTGTATCCATATAAAATCTTTTAAATCTTCCAAGTAAAATTTACTATTGAGTTAATTGCGAAATGCTAAAAGTTTGCTTGCTACTTTTAACTTTAAATTTTCTGAATAAATAAAATATAAAATATTAAAAAGAATTTATGAAAGTAATAAATATGTTTGACATTTTTTTAATGTTACATACAAAAATACCAAGTTATGATTGGAAGATACACTAACCAATCTAATAATTTTTAAAAGAATATTACTTACAAAATTAATAAAGAAAAATAGCACAATTTATAATTAATATAGTGATTAATTAATTTCATCAAATAAAGTATCTGAATATTATAATTTACAAAATACTTACTATTAAGTAATTAAGTATTTTCTTCTTTATTTTAAATTATAACTCAATTGTATAAGAATAAGTCTACTAGATTTTTCGTTTTGATAATTTGAGTTTTATTTTTTAGTATTAAATAAACTCTAAATTAGAGAAAATTAGAATAACTTGGTTTTTTTATCTCAGTAAGCGTTTGTTATTCTTGCTATTTTATAAGAAATTAATGGCCAAAAATATTTAAATTTGATTGAAAAAATTGAAAGTTATTTTTAGTGTTCATAATAAGCTGTGAATACTTTTAATTAAATATTAGCGATCCAAAATAATAACTTTAAATAAATAATTATTATGGATGAATTTTTTAAATTATAAAATGTATGATGGCTGATCCTTGAAAGTACTTACTTATTCTCTGAAAACAACTTGGATTTTAGTGAATTTATCATATTTATGAGAAAATTATCTATTTTATATGATTTAAATGATTTATTTGGTTATAAAAAGAACCGGTTTTTTTTTGGAGCAATATGGAAAAGTTGAAGCTAGATAACTGGCAGTTTCTGTTACCAAAATATTAAATATTGGTAAAAGAAGAATCCTCAGGAAGTTGAATTTATATTCTATCTTTATTTTTTGAGTGAGTGAGTGAGTTTGATGAATTTTTCTATTATTAAAGAAAAGAGTCTATTATTTTTTTAATTATTTTAAAGTTTTTATCAAAATAAGAAAATTCACACATATAATCAAACAAACAAAAAAATAACAAGCAAGCAGAATTTATAAATTTATTTGATTGATTAATAGATCATTTTATTATATTAAATTTGATGATCGATTTATATATGAAATTAATAGTATGTGTTTATGATGATGGCCTTTTAGTTTCCAAGTTTATTTTTGGTTAATTCCTATAATAAATGCTGCAGTTTTATAGTCTGCTCTACTGTTCTTTGTTTTTATATATTTTTTGTTTGATATTTACTTGATTTTACATGCTTTCTGGTTGATTTTACATACATATTCTTACTTGTTGGATTTCGGATTGCTTGTTATAATATAAAAAAAAAATTAGGAAGAAGCGCAAACAAAACAAAAAATATTAATAATATCAAAAATCCTACAAAAAATTAAATTGAAAAACGAGAAGGCAGACAAAAAAATTAAGAAACAATCATTTAATTTGTTAATTAATTAATAATACAGTGAAGCAAACAAACAAACAAAAAATCAAACTATCAAGCAAACAAACAAACAAACAAAAACATAATAAAATCAAATTCAATCAAATCAGCAATACTAAATTCCAGTAAAGAGATCGTAAAATAAATAATCGCGCATTTGAAGAGAAAGGGAGGCGGCAGTAATACTTGATAGTAATAAATAATCTAAACGGTTTAAGAATTGTCACCAAAGAATTACTTAAATGAAGAATTAGACAAACGGTAGCTACAGGAGCATTGAGAAAACTTTCATAGATGAAAGTAAAGAACTCTATTATGGCATATCATCAACTTCTTAACCACAATAGAATGTAATAAATTGATTCAAACAAACAAAAATTTGAGAAAAAAACCAATTAAATATTCTAAATTCTTATGAGATTATTAAGATAAATAAAATCATTTTTCAATTTTATTTTTTTATCCTTTTTCTTAATTATCATTTTAAGTTCTCATAAAGAAAATTAAAACTTTTTGTTTGAACATTTCTTTATATTTTTTTCAATCTATTAACCTCTTTTTTCCTATAAATTTGTTGCGCGAAAACAGAATGCAAACTACTTGTAATTCAATTAGACAGGTTGCAATTCCTCAACAAAAGCATCAACACCCAATCACTCTGAATCAGAAGACGCCTATTAGGCATACAACTCAACAAACAGCCTACTTCTCGGATAGGGTTTTAACCCACCAAAGAAATATTCTACCGACGTTAGCTCTACTGAGGAATTCCATATTGAGTAATAAATTAAATAAATAACTAACTAACAATCAACCAATCAAGCAAACAAACAATCAAAAATCAATTAAAATATCAAAGAAACAGTCAAATATTCTTTGATAATCTCTCATCCCTTGCATTCAATTATTATTATTATTAATTTTTTTAACTCTCAAAGACTACTTACTATATGTATAATTTTTTAAGCCAATCGCCAATTAATTATTTATTCAATCGATTGTTTTACTATTTTCCCCTGTCATTCTATTAGTAATTATTAACCTAGTATTAAACAACGACTATATGCATGAATAAATCAAATAGTCATCAAAATATTCATTTAAAATTTTAATCAAATGAATGAAAGCAAATTAAAATTCATCATTAAATTTGAACTAAAAAAATCAATAAAAGTAATTTTTATATTTTAATCTTGCTTTTCACAATAATGAGAGAAAAGGATTTTTGGCGTACTTTTTTTTTTATCTGCTAAGCTTATAATTGTTTTTTAATAAATAATCTAGTGTGAAACCAAAAAGAAAAGTGTTCTGCTCTCCCGAAGAAAAGAAGAAATTTATCGATGATTATACCAAAAAGTTGAAGACAGAAATGTGCAAAAACTGGACAGCAACCGGAACTTGCAAATTTGGAGATAAGGTAAACTTTCTTTTAAATACCAAAAACAAACTTACAAGCAATCAAAAATTAGATTTAAATCAATAATGATCTTTGAAAATGTTAAGTTTAATTCTAGAGAATCTGATACAAAAGCAAAATTTTAAGCAAACAAACAAATAAACAAACAATTGTTCGAAAAAAGACAAATAGATAAATATACCATATCAATTTTTTATGAATTTCTTTTATTTTGAAAATTTATAAATTTCAGTCCAACTTTAATTGATAGAAATTTCTTTTATATTAAGGACCTCTTTCTGAATTTCAAATTATGTTTGATCAGAAATCAAATTTCCTTAACTTTTTATCACCTTTTTTTGAATTTTAGAATGAATTCTATCTAACTTGGGATGTTTTTTTCCTTTACCCCTTTTAATATTTTATGTTTACAATGTTTATATTTATATTAAAGTGCTCGTTCGCGCATGGAAAGGAGCAACTTTAAGGAAAGATTCATCTCCACCCTAATTACAAAACAAAACCATGCAAGAAGTTTTTTATCAAGGGTATCTGTTCTTATGGAAACAGATGCCAATACATTCACTCCATCACTTAGCTAATTGAAAAAGGCCATGAAGATTTCTTAAGATAAGTTTATCCTAGCAAAAAGCTATTTTAAGTGCCAGAGAGGCTAGAAATACTGCGCAAGAATTTCAACATACCAAGCAGGTACTTAAAAACAACTAATTATATTTGTTTACTTATATCCAAACAAAAATATAAAAATAAAATTCAATAAAAGGTTTTTTTTTCAGAAAGCGCAATAATTTATAAAGTTTTTCTTAAGTTTAATTCATTTTAAACCATTAAATTATTTTAAAACTAACTCGCTATTCTCAGCTCAGAAAGAAAAAAGAAATAAATAAATACAAAATTGTGAATAATTTAATAAAAGTGAGAATAGTGTTAGAGAATGCGCAATGACGCAAGTAGCAAAAGTGTTAGAAATCAATTAAAATTCACATATAAATGTGATAATATTATAAAGAAAGGATATAGAATTAATACTTTTCATATAAATTTAAATATCTCGACTCTACTAATTTATTTATTTATTTATAACCTTCTTAATTTTTCCACTTATCTGATTGATTAATTTATTACCAAATTTAAACAAAACTCCTCATAATTTCAAATTTTGATTGCGCAAAATCAAAGTTAAAGCTTTAGCGAATAAGACGTAAACCATTAAAATAAATATGTTTGGAATTATTGATGCAAATAAAATAGAAAAAACAAATGATTAGCGAGCAAATAAAATTTTAATCACTAAACATAAGTAACGAAATAAGAAAAGCCATAAAGATATAGATTAATTTATATTAAGCATTCCTTTTAATTGAAAAACAAAAGCATAAATGGTTAAATTCTTTTATTTATTTGTTCTAATTTTTTCACATTAAAATAAATGCAAACTATTATATGGGCTGGTCTGCCTGCTATCTTGCTTGCTTTTATGATCAATAATTGATTAAATCTTTAGTGAAAAAATACAAAAAATCTCTTGAAATAAATTCAACATAAATTTTCTATCTTCCACTTACTTACTTCAATTTTCTTTCTTTTGAATCAATTTTTTTCTTCTTTAAATTTTCTATTTTAAAATTTTCCATCAATTTTTGGTAAAAAGAAATCGCTATTAACTTTTTCTGTATTATTTCTACCTAACTTCTTTATCTAATAATTAATATGATATATTGTTTATTTCAAAAATATATCATAAAATTATTTTTAAAAGATTCAATTTACTTTATATAAATGCTTGTAAAAATAAATATATTAAGCATGTAATTAAACATTACTAACATCATTTCAAAATTTTGAAATTAACGACTAATAATTTATTTTAAGCTTCTGCTTAACTTCTTTCTAATTTACTTTATTTGATATAATTAATTTACTTAAATTCTTTATTTATTAATAGGCTCCCAATATTCTTTTAGATTTCAAGTTAACAGTCATCAACTGACGACTCGAGTTCTTAGGACGAAATTACCAGTGAAGATTTCTCTTCAACCGGAATTCGCTAAAAAGTACACTCAAATCCTAGCTAAGCTGAATTACTTTACTACCCAAGAAATGAAATCAAAGATTTCACCACTGAGTATTAAAACATTTGAAAAAAAGCTAAAAATGATACTTTAAATTACTTTTTTATTTTAACTCTACCTACTTCTATAATTAAATTCTACCAAACTTAAATTGAAACTACTTAGCTATAGAGCAATCTCATTTCATACAAAATCTTACTTACTATTTAAAAGCTCTACGGTTATCTACGCCCTAAAGTTATTTTCTTTTTCCAAACAAACACTTTAAAGTTTTTTGGTAAAAGTATTCAATGTCCTCCTCAAACCAACAGTTTATATAAAATTTACATCAATATATCAATCAATCAATCAATAAAACAAATAAACAAATAAACTAAAATACTGCATACTTAAATAAAAAGATAATAATATTTTAAATATAAACTTAAAACAAACTCAAAAATAATAAAAAGAGTAAATAGAATGTTAAATTCTATTACTGATATAAGTAAAGTTAATTTTAATACTAAAAATAAATATTGCTAATATAATAAAACTTACTTCTTATATTAAAGCATTCATTCATTATCTATCTCCCAACTAAAAATCTTCATAATAATCAATCAATCTTTATTTAAAATAACTTACTCAGTTTATTCTTTTTTAGTTAAAAGAATCAAAAGACAATTTTATAATTTTAGACTCTTTTATGATAAATATCTGTTTATTTATCATCAGAATCAGATGACTTGTAAACAATTTAATAATCTAAATAGCTTCAGATATCTGTTAACATTCTAACAGTCTGCTTTAAAATGATAGCATATCTCTCTAAGTTTCTATGGCTTTCTAAAAATTAAAAGTTGTATAAAGTTCGAAAACAATATTTAATAATTAACAGAAATAAATATTCACCTGTAGTTAATATAGCTGAATAAAACCCTTAAAATATTATCCGTAGGTGTATCAAATACAAAGATAACTATACAAACTTCAAGTATTTGTCTAAAGCTCTAAATTAGTCTAAAATAAAATATTTATTGTAGCATATATATATATGCAAATAGTTATCTAAATCCCAATCATTAAGAGCCATCTTTAGTTTAAAATAAAGGCTAACTAGAAAGTCAAAATTTTCTAAACAAAATACAAATAAATATAATTCATATTGATAAATCTAATTGTCTTTACATTCAAAATAAATAAATAAGATTATTTAGATGATTTATGAAGAATGGAATAAATTAGATGGAGATTATCTCAGATAAATATGAAAATTAAATCACTTGCTAAATTACTTACTTACTCACTTACCTTTTGACTTATTCTTTATAAACTAATTAATAATAATTCAAATACTTTATAATTATTAAGTAAAATTCATTCATGAATTTTAAAAATTTTACAAAATCATTTTTATAAGTTTTAAATTTTTTAATGGAGGATTTTTCATAATAACTTAAGAGCAGCATAATCAATACAAAAAAAGGAGTCAAACTTCAATTTTGTGTTGGTAGAATCTTTACTATCAATCCTTTTACATATTAGTATTAATAATCAGCCCAAAATACTTTATCAAACATTCAAAAACACTGTTGCATATTTAATCACATCTTATAACTAACTAACTAACTAACTAACTAATAACTAACAATCATCATACTTAATAAATCAAAAAGCTGATAAATATGATAAAAGAATACTAATTAGAGTTTTAAACAAAACGTACATAAAAAATTCAGTTATTAATTGAGAAAGCTGCTTGCTTGTGCTTGTTGATATCAACCAAACAATCAATTGATCAATAAATTCCATTTAAATCTTGTATTTAAATTCTTTCTCTATTTTTACTATATATTAAACACACACTGTAGATCATTATTATTTATAAATATTTTTATATATCATATATAAATTATATATACATATATATATATAGTATCATATATTAATTAAAATTACTCATTTATACATTCTTTCAATTTTTATTTATTTATTTATAATTTAATACTAAATCTTCTTATTTAAATTGCAAATACTTTTCTTAATATTTCTTAATAGAGTCTATGCTTAAATAGCTTTTGGAGAGATAGATAGATTCTTTTAATTGAAATTATATATTTATATTGATATTGCTTCTAATTAATAATTCAATAAATGCCTAGAATAAGTATGCATTTTCTATATATTTAAAAAGTAATTGAAATAATTTATTAAATATTTTGTTTTTCTAAATTAGATTAAAAGTATTTGATTTCATTTTAATTGAAAAAAAAATTAAAATAGAAAAAAATATTTAATTTTATTTTTGTAGTTATTGAGGAAATTGAAATTAAATATTAGAAATAAATTTATATTTTGCTAAAAAGGTAATCTTATTTTTATTCATTATAATTTAAATAAAATCTACTTGATTGTATTTATAATATTAATTTAGCCATTTAAGTGGAAATTAATAAATTTTAAATATTTTATTAGCACAGAATAATAGAATTTTAAATTTTTGTATTGTTTCTCAGATATAGAAGAAATTTACTGGTTTTTGTAAAAATTATATTAAAAGAAAATTAAATTTAATGCTTTTGAGGTTCCAAATAGCAGGTAGAGATGATTGATATAGATGGTATACAGTTTGAAATGAAATTTTGAATAATTTATTTTGATAATGCTATCAGAAAAAGAGATAGATAGATAGATTGTTTGCTATTCAAATAGACTTAAACTCGAATGAAATTATGATAATGAATACCTAATAAATAATAATATTTGAATGATCTAAATAGAATAACTTTTAGTAGTAAATAGAAAGCATTTTGATCTTTTATTAGATAGAAATATATGCCTTGTATTAGTAACATAGTTCTAACACTCAGCCTCATCTATTATTAAAACCAACTTTAAATAATTAGAGAATATTGATTGATTTTATGAAATGAAATGAGTCATTAAGAAGAATTTATTAGTAACTAGGCCAGAAAAAAAAAATTAAAAATTAATTAATTAATTGATTGTTTATTTATTAAATTATTATTTAGCAAATACTTCTAAGACATATTATTGTTATTTATTTTTAGCGCACTTAGTTAGCTACAAATTATAAAGTAAAAAGCTTGAATTAAGCCATTAGCATAGAGTTATGACGATTGTTTCTAACCACAATTAGGTCAACATTATATAGATTATAGCTATTGTTGTCAGCTCTTTTTCTCTTCTAGGAGCTATATTTATTATTGGAATATTTTTGAGTTTCAAAAAGCTCAGGGTTTTCCCCTTTATATATGTCTTTTGGCTCAGTGTAAGTGACTTAATATCTTCTATAGGGTACCTTCTTGTTACTGACTCGATTGGAGACACTCCTGAATAGCTTCAAGAGGCAAATTTTACTTGTAAAACTTAGGCTTTAATGATTAATTTTGGATAGCTTGCCTCTATTTGTTGGACTGCAGTTATTGCCTGGACTCTCTACAACTCCACCGTTAAAGTGGTAACAAACTTACAACAAAAAACAGAAACAAAAATGGTTGCGATTGCTTTTGGATTTCCCCTAATTATGTCATTGATGTAATCATAATTTATTACTTACTTGAGAAAATTACGTTTTTCATACTATTAAAATATCTTTAATACTTTGCTTTATTTATTAACTTTATGATAAATTAAATAGACCTTTAATTTTAAATGAATATGGCCCATAAGGAGGCTGGTGCTGGATAAAAAGTGAAGGCAGCAATAAAGTATTAACATTTATTTTGGTAGGAATAGAATTTTATATTCCTCTTTGGATAGCATTCGTATTTAATGGCATAACAATATACAGAGTAATCAAATATGTCAAGAGTATAACTCAAGATAAAAATTAGCTGAAACTAATCAATAGACTAACACTATATCCTCTTATTTTATTGGTTTGCTGGAGTGCTGGTACCGTAGAAAGAGTATTTGATTTCATCGGTATCTCGTCAGAGATACTTTCATGTAATTTATTTTTATTAAGCTATAGTAAAATAAGTAAAATTAATATTAATTTATTAATTTAGATTTGCACATCTTCTTTGGTGGATTGTAAGGATTTTTTAATGCTTGTGTTTACGGTCTCAATTCAAATGTCCGTAAAGTTATCAGAGAAAATCTATGCTCAAGCCTACCATGCTTTGCAAGTGCATATATATATGAAGAATAAAACCTTAATGAAGCTGAAGATCATCAGCAAGATAGTAAAAAAACTGCATCCATATCCTCTGGCGAAGGCCAAGTTGAAATGGAACAACTTAATCAATGAACAAAAAATATAAATCAAATCAATAAATTGAGATGAAATAAATATAAATATATTTAAATAAATTCTATTAACAAAAAAGAAATGGAAAAGCTTTTTTAAGAAAGATGAAACAAACAAACAAAATAAAATAAAATAATAATATACATTTGTTTATACAAATTAAATTATAATAGTTAATTAATGATTTATAAATAATTTAATATTATTTTTACATTTAATATAATATTGGAATAATGATAACCATTTAAAAGAGATGTCTGACTTGAGAGAAAGAAAATCAAACCAAATCAGTTATGAAATTTTATAAAGCAAATCATAGATTAACAAATAATGCCTTGCTAGCCTTTATCATAATACAAACTTATTTAATCGCTTTACACAAAAATAAAAATTGCTTGAAGATTATGCATGTAAATCAGACAATTTATGTATCTTCATTCTTTACTTAATCTTCAATGAGGAGAACATCTTTTACTTTCATTTTTTAAGGTTCTTGGTCCTTTTAATCCAAGCCAGCTATTTATAAAGTTTCTTTTTCTTTATATACAAAATTGCCTTCTAAGAACCCCTACAGATCATCACTGGTATCGTAATTTCTGCTTATTGTTCAAAAATTACTTAATGGTTGAACATAAATACATACATATATAAATAACTTAATAATAATTAGAAATAAATTCTTTGTGTTAATTTACCTCATAGGTGAAAATGATGGCAGTCGTTGCTGCTACTACTATCCTTGTGCAGCATTTTGGTTAAAAATAGTTTAGCCTGTATTATCTTCTCCATTAATTTCTTTTAAATTTATGACAATATTAGCTTAATCTTCCTTTGTACTATTAATAATATTTATATTGTAATTTTTATTATCTATTTCCATTTTTAACAAGCAAAAATTCAGTAAATTCTCAAAACAATTCAATTAATTAATTAAATAAATAAATAAAATGCTCATAAATATGTAAATTAGATACTAAACAACTTTTTCTAGTTAATTAATACCTTTATTTGCTTATCTTTGACTTCTTCAATCTTATGTTTTTTAATGGTTTTTTATCTGAGTTAGGCAATTGAGATTATTCTAAACTAAAATTATGGCTGTTATTTTTTTAAATATAAGATGGACCAACACTTTGATTTCTTTCAGAGTTCTATCTCGTATTCGGCTTTTTAATAACTTTTATACTTTCATCTTGTATGCTTTATATGTTAGGACTATATAGAGGACTGCACTTTGTTCTATTTTTTTATTGCTAGTTTTTATTATCATACATATGGAATACATTCGAAGTGTAGAAAGTCTAGTTATTCGAAGGTATTTGGTTTTTAGTTCCGATACTTCTTTAGAAAATAGTTTATTTGTCATTCGAGTGAGGTCTACTCTCTCTCCTATTTAAAATATCAGGAGTTGGACTCATATTTCTACTTTAAGAATAAGGGTTATTGGTAATGTAAGTAAGCTTCGATTAATCTGTATATTATAGAGAATGTACAGCTTATATATTATTCAAAACTCTATTAATAAGTTCTTTGTGTTTTCCATCATAGTTTTTATCTTATGAAACAAGTTTGGAATTATCTATCGATTGTATTTATTTTTGCTATAGAATTTGCTGTTGCTAACTAGAATTTGACTTTGTATTTTCATTGTTGTTATCTAAATTATTCTAATTGATATTTATAAATATTTCTTTTTCATGATAAGATAAATAAATAAACAAATGCTTACTTCTTCATAAATTTTGTATATTTAAGATGTTGCTTCACTAAACCTGTCCAAAGGATTTATAATAATATTTTAAGCACTTTGTTAATAATTTCCACTTGAAAATTGTCTTTTCCTTTAACTAGAAGAATTTGGAGTTCTTAAAGCTTTTACCTAGCTATTGTTTAAACTATTATTTTGGCTGCTTCCGTTAATCTTTGCTTTCATAGCTTTTGGCGGTGTTTGTTAGCTATCCTATCTCTATAATAATTTATATAAATTACTCATTTTATTAATAATTTGGTTATTTCTACTGTATTCTATTTTTCATTTGAGTGCTCCATTATTGAATCGCCTTTAATCGTAGTAGTTGGCATGCTTTATTTAGTTAATTATTTCAAATATCTTAAAAAATAAAATAACTATTTATATGTAAATTTGTTTACTATTATTCAAGAAACTCAAAATCTATTCCTACAAAATCTGCTAATTTTTTGACTGACTCTGAGAACTTAGGAGGTAAGTATTTATGCTCCTCCATTCCTTTCATCATGCAATATATTTTTCCAAATTTGAATTTAAAGCTTGTTATAGTTTATTCTGACTCTATATTTATATGATTTTAAAATGAAAAAGATCGTTTATTCAATAGTTTAATAAATCTTCATTCAAAATGACCAATATTAAAAACTATTTTATTCTATTTTATATTTATTTCTCAAAAATTAGTTTCATAATACCTTTTTCAATTAAATTAATCATTTTTGTTGAAAGGACCTGCAGCATTTACTCCAGACACCAGTTGTATTTAGACTCAGTTCTTCTTAAACCAAATCCTCCATAAATTGACATTATTTATAAAAAGAATGAAGCTCCTAATTTAAAATGAATCTCCTAAGTAAAAAATTTTTTAGGGTTATTATTTAGCTTTTTGTATTACCAAATAAATCAGAAATGTGAATGTATTTATGTATATAAGTAGCTATGCTTATAAAATTAATTAAGTAAAAAATATTACTTTTGTTAAGATAATAATAAAAATTCTTATTTTACTCTTTTTTATGAATTATTTGTTCGCAACCAATATTTTGTGGATACAGATTACATTAAACAAACAAATTAAAAATGAGCTAAAAAAACTAAGAGATTTTGTTTATTTATTTCTTTGTTTTTAGTTTTTCATTCATTTATAATAAATCCAAAACAAATTTTATTTTGAGCGATGCCAACCAATCAACAATCTTAGAATTAATTAATTAAATAAAAAAAATTAATTGATTATTTTGAATACTTCTTTTTAAGCTATCAGTTTATTAATTTGACAAAAACTAATCCAATTAATTCATTACTTAGTTAAACTAGCATAACAAAATTTTAAATAAATCAATTAAAATTTCGAATGTTAATCAATAAAAAAAGTTTAAAAATAAAAATCAGAGTATTTTTTTAAAAATATCAAAATGTTTTGTTAAAAATAATCTAAATAATATCTTTAATAATTAATTAATTCAAAAATATTTTAACATTTTATCTTAAATTGATTATTGTTATATTGAAAAATTAATTAGTGTTATTGTTATACTTAATTATTATTTATTTAACATAAATACTAAATTAGCATGAGTGAAATCGTTAGGAATTAAATAGTTGATTATGAATTTTAACATAACATAAAATTAGATAATAATTTAAGATAAAAAAATATGAGTTGATAAATTTTTTTTTCAGTGAAAGCACGTAGCAAAATATTAGAGCGCATAATTTATCAATAAAAAATCAAATTCTACATCAAACTTTTTAATCAAAAATAGATATTGATTGATAAGAAAAGATATTATTCATAAGGTTTGATTGCTAATGTGTGCATTGGGCGATATGTATTTGTTTTGAAAATATCATTAAATACATTAATTAAAAGAATGAATGAATGAATTATTGAATTATTCATAGGAAAAAAGAAATGTTCCTTCGGATAAAAAATAATTAATAAAACAAAAAATTTTGTGATAACACGAATCTTGTTATAAGTTTAAAAAAAGTTGTTTAGGATAATTAATATAAGCATAAATAAAAGATAAAGAAGCAATTTATATTGATTTATTAACTAATTAATTAATTAATAAGCAAGTAGCAACTCACACGATATAAACAAACAAATGGAATCTTTCAACTCTCTAAACTCGAAATCATTTTTAGAATCCATTAAGGACCCCAGAAAATTCAAGCAATTTTTGAAGAACAATTAAGTAAGCAATTCATTCAAATATTTTTAATAGCAAAATCCTGCTATTTGAGCAATTTTAGTCCATCTTTTTCAACAATAAATGTGGGATTGTTATTGAAATTGCTTTTTAAAGTAGCCAAATAGTTTTGTTGAAAGCAAGGATTTAGTTTAAATTAGAGTTTCTATTCAACGAAAATAAAATATTTATTTAATGTAAAATAAATAGAAAGAATTATTATAGTGGGGCACATTCGTTTTCATTACAATTTTTGTATTTTTGTTCTTCAGCAGCGGTGATTTCTCATTCATTCTCACTCTTAGCTCTCTAGTTTAGACATTTGGCTTCGTTTTACTCGTTTGGAAAGTATTCAGATCTCGTTCAATTAGCGGTTTATCTAGAAATACACTCGTATGCTACTTTGTCTGCATACTTTCTCGTTTATTTTCAATTATGAGATACGAAGGATATCTTCCTTATGATGCCACTGGAGATTTTGTCTATAGAATCACTGAAATTATTACCTTTGTCTGCTGCTGTATTTTGCTTTATTTCAGCTTCGTTTTGTATAAAGCAACTTATAACTGGGACATAGACACCTTCTAATGGTACTACTTTGTTATTCCCTCATTCCTTCTTGCTCTTTGCATCCATCCTTCTCTCAACCTTAGATTCTACGCTGATGTCGCTTGGACTTTCGGCTTATATTTGGAAAGTTTCGCTATGTTCCCTCAACTTGACGTATTTAGAAAGAAAGGAGGAGAAATTGAAAGCTATACCTCTCACTACGTAGCCTCATAAACTTTGTCAAGAATCATGCAATTTATTTTCTGGGTTTTCTCATTCAAAGAGTTGAATGAAACCATTAACAGTTCTTCCTTCTTCCCCTCCTATGTAGGTTTCTTTGTTTTAATCGCCCAAATTATCTAAATTGCTCTTACAGGTGATTTCCTTTACTTCTACATTACCTCCATTAAGCAAGGTATCCCTCTCACTCTACCTTCATATGTTATTTGATAACTATTATAGCAACCCAAATCAAAGCGATATTAATCAAACATGTTTAAATTTAATAAACGCCATCAAGGTAAGTAAGTAAGTAAACAAGTAAATAAGTACATACAGCCAACACAAAATTTTAAAAACAGCGCATACATACATATCACTATCTAATTAAATTTATTATCTGATATACTATATACGCGTGAACAGTGAATAGTATCAAATTTTATGTGTTTATAAAGTGCTTGACTAAATTTATTTTCAATTCTATTACATTTTTTGTTATTCAAAATTTAATAATTAAATTTTTCTTCTATAGAATAATATGCTTTTTTGACAAAATATCAACTAAATCTTATTTATTTATCAAACCTAATTAAAGATATTTTCAAAAAAAAACAAAAAAAAACGTAAAAAAAAATTAAATAAATAAACAAATTTCATTTTAACTTTTCAGAAAATCCAAAAAATATAACCAAATTATTATTTTAAACTCATAAAAACTTAAATAATAAAAGACATGAATTGAATTGATTTTATTGTTTTATGTTTATCATAAAATAAAATAATTATTTTTTATATTTGAAATATAAAGAAAATGAAAAGAAACCAAACAAAAATACAAATAAAAATAAATTTAAATACATAAATTAAATTGAAATATTTGATAAGGAAAACAAATAACCTTGTTATTAAAGTATATCGTTTTAGGTAATAATTTATTTATATAATACGATTATTATTGGTAAATCATCTTACTAATCTATCTTCGTCAGAATTTTCTGCTAACAGTTTAGGGTCATCTTACAAGCCCCAATTAATTTTTTTAGTTACTAAATCTAAGTAGGTCATATGATGAAGATATTATCTCTTGTTTAAATTATAAGATTATTTTATATAAAAATAAATAGAAATGTATTTATTTAATAAATCCAGTCAAAAACGTATTTTTATATGCTTAAATATATTTTATTAGATAATTTTTTATAAGAATAAAAGGAAATTATATAGTGAATATAATATGTGATTTTATTTATTTTAAATGCTTATTTTTTTAATCTGGCAAATTATTTTATCAAATTAACTTAATAAATGATAAAAATTTAAATAAAATTTACATGAGCCAGGTAATATTTTGTCAATTTTAGAGTAAATGGGTGATCCAATTTAAAGAAATTCATGAAGATTATCCTTTTACAGAATATTTGATGAGATTAATTTTTATATAAAAAATTTAGCTTACTTTCTGAGTAACTTATTTAAATTGTCTTCATTTTCTTTTTTGTTGAAAGAAAGATTGCCAAAATGATCTTGCAAGTTTCCTTCTATTACATTTACCCTATTTGAATAACTTTCTTAGTAGTATTATCTAAAGTCTAATTTTAATAATGCATTATTAATTAATATAGCAAAATCTTATTTTATATAAATATTCTTTTACCTTCTGCTGGAATTTCAGAATTTATACTTTCTGCGAATTCTAAAAAGTGCTTTGTTTTGCAGTAGTAGAAGAAATTGTCTGCTTCCTCTATTGCCATTTTAGTACCTTCTGATTTCTAATATTATTATTATATGATAAAAATGTTCAAATTGAATATATCCTTACCATTCTTTCTCTCAAGAGAGCAACATGAAGCGCCATCATGTTTGCATGGATATCTGCGCTATCTTAAACACATGGAAAGTTTTCCTGAATGTATTATGTTTAGAGCAAAAATTCAAATAGCTCATGAGACAAATTATAAGATGTCTCTCTAAATTTATTTAATATTTAATTAACTAATTAAAAAATCATTTTATAATTACGATAGGTAGTTGTTTGAAAATAAAGAACCAAAAAACCCTGATGATTTTTTAGCATAAACCTAATATAATTTTTAAAAATGTCTAATTAAAATAAAGCATTATACTTTGAAATATTAAATAATGCGATTTTAAAATATTTATTAGTGAATCAACACAAAATTTGTTTACTTTTTTTGGTAGGTTTGATAAAATGGTTTTTGAGCAAAATTTAAATATTAACTTGATGTTTATCATTTCTACTTTTATCTTGAAATTATACGAAGCTAAATGATTTGAATATACAAAGCTACTTTTACTGAGAATGTGTAAATTTTAATAAGATTTGATAAATAAATAGATAGATACTCAAAATTCTGTCAAACTATTTTATTTAGTATTATTTTTACAAAATTGGTTGATTTTATAAGAAAATTATTTTAAATATGAATTTTAAGAAATGAAATCTTTGAATATTGAAAGAAAATAAATATTAAATTTATATTATGAAAGTATTTAATCTAATTATATTCTGATTTGAGTATTTCATTATAATAAGTATACTTTTCTATGATAAAAAAACTTTAATACTATAAAAGCAGCAATCTTTTTAAATAATTCTATCTCCTCATTACTTATTTTCTTAATTGATAATTTATTCTTATAGTAATAGTATTAATGATGAGTGTGCAAAAGATTTAGGTAATCAAATCCAGCTTTTTGCTGAATTATGTTTATTGGGATAAACAAAATTTTATTGCTATCGCTAATATTATTGCTAAAAAATATAATTATTAAGATGTGATTTTTGATAAGAAAAATATTCATTTAAAAAATACTAAATTTTTAAATAATTCTACATTTTCAAGTGATTAAAGCCTTAAAAGAGAATTAATGAAAAAAAATCTATTTACACCCTACTCATACAAAGAATATGATTCATGATATTCTATTCTAAACTTTTTTATAAATTAAAAGAGGGTATTCTAATTTGAAAAATGTTTTGATAAGGAGAATATGTATGCTTATATATTTTTTGTAACTAACTTTTGAATATATTTTATTAATTACACTCCTCTTGTTTAAATTAAAAAAAATTATTATTATATTTAGTGTAAAATCCTCCCCTTTAAATACATAATCCTGTAAGACTCATTTCATGTGTATGAGTGTAAGAGGTTGGAAGGATGACCTTCTAAAAAAAGAAAACTTTTTAGTTGCTTAAATATTGAGAAGAAAGATTATATTCATCAAAAAATATAACATAGTATTCTTAAAAAATAAATACAATAACTACAAAAAATTAGCATTCTTTCTTGAGAAATGATAAATATCCCAACAATAAAAAAATTAATAGAGGATGAAGGTCATGTTTTTGTCTCTAGTTCCTAAGAGTAAGGCAGCTTTGGTTGTGTTATTTTTACTCACTTAAAAGGTCATGAGAACTATAAGTATGCTATTAAAGTCTTTGACGTTGATGACGGTTCGAAAAAAAATTGCAGTTAAGAAAAAATCTAAGAGTGTTAAAAGGAAGCTAGGGCTTTGAAAATTTTAAGCCATAAAAATGTTGTAGCTTATCACTCAGAAAAGTAACTTGGATTATTTTATTTTATTATCATGGAAATGTGTCAAAGTTCTCTCCACGTTTGGTCTTAAAGCAACTAAAATATAATTTAAGATAGCCTGTTTTACAGTATAGCTCGGTAAATCTTGGATGGCTTGGATTACATTCATAATAAAGACTGGATTCTCAGGGATTTAAAACCTCAAAATATTCTCATAAACTAAGAGGTTGAAAAAATTAAAATAAAACTATGCGATTTTGGAGCAGCGAGGTACTACCCTAAACAAATAAATCCTAAATCCACAAATTGCTTTGGCACTCTTAACTATATGCCACCTGAAGTTATTAAAGAAATATTTTTATAAAATCATAAATTGAAATAAACGCCATAAGGAGATATTTGGGCTTATGGAATATGTTTATTATCTATAGGAAAACCCATTTTAAATTTTAATGACTACATAAAAAAAAATTGGTAAGCACCATACACTCCTCTATTAAGTGAAAAAGCTTAAAAATTGATAAGATTTATACTTATCTAAGACCCAAAAAAGCGCCCTACAGTGTAATAAATAAGAAAAAAGATGAATGATCTTTTTTCAGAAGATTATTCTTATATTAATTTAAAAAAGAAACAAAATCTAATTTTTCCAGGGTCAGAATTAAAAGATCATCCCCTTAATCATGTTGATATCGAACTCTAATAATCAAACTAAAAATAATAAGAAAATGTTTCAAATGGTTTTTTTACTACTCAAATAAGTTCACCTGTTAAAATGTTAATCATACATATAAAAGAAAATTATGATTCCTATTCAGAAATCAATAACCAAAATTTTCCTGATAAAAGTGAGTATATTTGGTTGTTATTCTTTGCCAATTATTTGTACCATTTCATTCTAACTTTGCTATATGCAGCATTCACAAAAGCATAAAATGTTTTACTGGTTGTGCTACTTTCACTGAGCTTTGTCTTGCTACTATTTAATGCATACTTTATAAAAAATAAAAAAGTTTATTTCTCTTTGATTTTCATTTAGTGCTTGATAATTACTATTTTCAATTTAGCTTTAAATGAATTAGACCCAGTTGTATTCAAAGTATTTTTTGCTACTTATCAAATTTTTATTCTAATAATGGTGCTTTACTTTCTAAACATTCCTTATAAATTTGAGCATCCTTTATTGTATTCGATATTAGTATATCCTATTTTCTTTTAGCTTTAGTATAGCTTAATTCCTATGTTGTTTATTTTGATACTCTCATTTTACCTACTTTTATTTAGTATTTTACTTCATTTGTGGGCATTAGATAAAAAGATCCATTTATAAGGTATTTTTATAGCCAAATCATTTTTTAATTTCATGACAAATGTTCTTTTATTTGGTTTCTATAGTTAAGTTTTAGATAGAGCTGAAAATTATTGTGCTGCTTTCTTATTAAATATTTTTAGTATTGCTCTCTGTTCTTTTATATAGCTTAAAATCTAAGAAAAAGATTAATCTCAGAGCATTTATGGCTCCGTCTTAGCAAGAGCAATCTTCTTTTTAAACAATATGCTATTTTATGTGCTTTAATTTTGTTCTTTAGGGATAATTTTTGTTTGCATTATAAAAATCACACTCAGCTTATCTATATTAACAATCCATGTATTTATTTTTAAGATAGAAGAAGACAGATAAAGAAATAAAACTAGACTTTATTTAGAATCCCTATTTACTTTTATAAGTGTCATTTTAGATATATTAGGGCTTGCCTTTTCACATTTAACTTAATGCGATCAAGGAGTTGCAATTTTCGCCACTCTTTTTTCATTAGATGTTTTATTACTATTAAAATATTTAATTTGCATTTATCATGAGGATTATCCAAAAGATTATGATGGTGATTCTTATTATATAAGAGAATGAAAAAAATTAAGCACCAAAAAAAAATTAAATTAATAATTAAGTTATACTAAATAAAATGTATTCATTCTATATAAAAGCATAAAAAGTTTGTTTATAATTAATTAAATGCAAACTCTAAAATAAAATTTATAAACTTTTAAAAGATTAAATTTACTTTCTTTTTAAATAATATGTTGTGAATGCTAGTTAGTTGCTTATTTTTGATAATTATATATTTATGTATAGTACCCAAAGGGTACTGCCTTTTTCAAGGCTATACACTGAAATTTTAGATATTAAGGTAATATAACATTTTGCTCTTATTAATTATTTTAGAAAATTATCCATTTTTATTGAACTAAATATATAATATAAATAAATAAAACAATATTAAATTTTAATTCTATATACTTATTAAATTAAAAGCTATAATAATTACATATCAAAAACTGAAAAATGCTTCTAGTTGAATAATATAAAAATAGTTTTTTAAAGAAATTTTTTATCTACAAAAACATATTATGTTATTAAAAATATATATAGAGTAATTGAAGTGAATTCGAATAGTTATTTATAAATTTTGTGAAATAGGAAGGCTCATTGAGCTTTTAAAAATAATTGATTTATTTAAGATTATGACCGTTAATTAATTAATTAATTAACTAATAATTATTTGAATAGAATATCAATTAAACTAGGAAACTATTGGATAATGTCTATGTTAGTAGAATTAACTATTTTTTGGATTTGGATTGTTATTAATTTACATTTTAAAAGGAGCACTTGCAAATTTATTTTATAATTAGTTAAAAGTTTCACTTTTTGATTTATTTTTTAATTGTTTATGATAACTAGTTTAAGTTGCAAAATTGTATTTAGGAGAGTATGGGTTTGTATTGTAAAAATTATCTTGGATTGATTAGTTATTTATATAGAAACTTTGATTGTTGGGCCAGCAATTATTTTAATGGTGAGTTTTATCTTAATTGTGCAATCTAGCACTTTGCGTCATTTAGTGTTGGTAAGATATTTGTGTGGACATAGTAGTCGATGTTGGTTATTAATAATAGCATGATTGTTTTAGTCTTTAATCATCTTTTGGACTATCTGGTAAATCCATGAAACTGACTTACCTTTGTTTTTTAATGATGTATTTTTAAATTTTTTCTTTTTCCTTGATTTGCTAGTTGACTATTTGCAGTTACAATAAATAAGTTTGTTTTTGGTTGTCTTCATATAAAAGATCCTATTATTAATTAATTATATAAAAGAATAAATGAATTCTGTGAATGATAATTCAAAATAAAATGTTTACTTATAGTGTTTTTTAACTGATTGATAGCTCTTTTTCTGAATAAATAATTTGTTGTTCAATAAAATTTTGAATGGATTTTAGTGAATTGAAAATGTTCACCATTTCTTTTGTATCAGAGTGAAATTAAATAATAAATTATCTATATCTGTCTAATTTCGATTCTTTCAACTTTTTGCTATCATAGATTGATGGAGATTCGAAGATATTTTCACTACAGTGGAGACTGTCTAACCTACTTTCTAATTCTTCCTCTCCATTATAAGAAAAAGGAGTAATTGTAATGAAACTCTTTGATAGAATTTTCCTGTTATTTTACTAATAAGCTTCTGTTTCTTCAAATTTATCGTAGCTTATCATTTTTTCTAATTTACATTTAAGTATTATGCATGAAGAATTAATTTTAATATTTAAAATATCTTACTTGAGTTATAATTTTAGCGATATTTCAAGTAATCTTGAATTAAATTATTAATAGTCGAAAGTCGAAATCCTTTAGGGTTGAAGCAGGTAAATTGACCATCATGAAATCCAAACTTGAATCCACTTCTCTCGTTAGAGTAATATTGTGATGCTGGAGTTTTCTTAGAGTATAAAATATTAGAGAAGCTATACTGTTTTAGTTAAAATAGGTTTTTCATTTATAGAATTTTTGAATTTTGAAAATTAAATTCTACTGACTTAATATAATAATCATCAAATTAATAATAATAATAATTTACATTATCGTTTCTATCACTATGGAAGCTTTGATGCTAAATAACAACAGAATTTCTGCTAGTTTTTTACATTTTTGAGTTCTATTATTTACAAGTTTTATTGTTTGTATTTTATTAATTTTTAATAATAATTTTATGCAATTCGCAAGTATTTTTATAAAAAAAAAAGTAAACTCTATGTATAATTAATTATAAAAAGTAACCTTATGTTTTGGTTGTTGCTACTATTGCTGTTTTTAATAATTTCCTTTCATTTTTTGTTGCTCTTACAAAATATTTTGCAGCTTTTCCCTGAATATTATTAAATTATCAATTGAAGAAATTTTAAATAAGCTAGTTTAAATTACTTTATTCCTTTTATCAAGGAAATTTTTATAGAAAAATCAACTTTCATTGCACCTATTTTAGTAATCTAAATTTTGCAAGAAACGATTTCATTTGTTAACTTCTGATTATTGTAAATTATATCATCTATCTTGACAAATTATTTGCAAGTAATTCTTTAAGCATTCAGCTTCAATTCTTATCTCTACGAAGAAGGATATTCATGGGCTTCCATTTCATCGATCTAAATAATTTTACTTATTTTAATTTGAGATGGAAATGATTAATAATTCAACCAACAAATCAGTTCTTGGAGTTTAATACAAAGAAGTAGCTTGACTTAACTGCTTGGTATCCTTAAAAACTAAATGCTTAGGAGAGAAATTATCTTCCTTCATAAACTTTTATCTGCTAGTAATAGTATCTATATATAGCTTAGGAGTGCTAAGTTAATTACGATAAGACATAATATTTATATAATAAATCTAATTAATTAATAAATTATTTATATATCTATTTTTGATTCTTTTAATTTTTGTTTTCAAATTTATATTTAATGTTTTTTTCCGCACAATATTGATTAGAATTTTTACAAAGAATGTATATATGTATGTAGGTATGTATGTGGTTGGTTTATAAAAATAAATATGAACTAAATCGTTTAATCTACTAACTTTTATTTTTTTATTCTCTTTATAGATTTTAATAAGCTTTATCCTCGAAAAATATATTTTAGCAAGTTTTTGTGCTACTATGATAAACAACAAGATTTATTTTAATTTAGTTATGAATTCAATTTCAATTTGATTAAAAATTAATTTTATAATTTATATTCGTTAATTTAACTAAAGATCCAAAAATTACAAAAATGAATTAATTCGAATATTGATTGTTTCTTAAATTTTATACACAGTTAAAGAAAGGTTAGTAGAAATCAATATTTTTGTGTTTAATGCCTCGTTATCATTTTGCCAAATAATAAATAAATATGGAAAAGATTTGTCAAGTGAGGATTAAAAAATTTTGAATCATCGATGCAAATAGTATGACAAATAATTAATTAAAAATCAATGATTTTATTGGTAAATAAATGTAGATTATTGAATATTATTTAATAAGGAGATTTCAGCTATGAAATCAAAATGAAAGAAAGAAAGAATTTTGAAGTAAATTTAAAATTGTATGTAAATCTGAATGAATGCTTTTGTTTCAAATATTTTTATTTTAAATTTCTGCAATATTTCATATTAAATAAAATCCTATCAAACAAATAAAGCAAATTACAAACAAATACAGATAAACCATATTAAATTAAGGGAGGGAGCTTAATTGTCAAAAGCCAGCTATTATCTGAAATATAATCGAAAATGTTTAAAACAGCACCCATAAATTCTTTCAAGAATGTTCCTGAGATAGATCAGAGATATATCCAAGACTTGTAAATAATTTTCGATTTATTATGAAAAGCATAACAGCAATAATCAATTCAAATTCACAAAATTGTGTTTTTTGAAATTCGCTTTACTTAACAAAAAAGGTAGGAGAAAGATAGAATTGTTAGATAAAGAATCGAGAAAAGAAATAAAATGCAAGAAGATGAACGTCAATTGTTACTTTCGTAAATTAAGCCATTTTTTAGTGTTTTACTTAGACTAATTAAATATGAAATAAAATAATAGGAAAGTTACTAAAACCTTAGAATACCTTACAAACCACAAGTAAAGATATTTCTAACTGAATTAGAATTAACAATAAATTATAATAAAAGAAAGGATATGCAAAAAAGAAACGCAATCTTCTAAAATGACATGAGAGGTCACGTCGAAAGATTTCATAGAGAGTAAAAAATAACAAATAAATTTATATAAAAGACTTTGTTTGTTGCAAATGAGCCTTTATTTATTTTTCTTTACTTAAAATGGATTTTTTAAAATTTTCTTATTTGTAAATTTATTTTTTAGAATTGCTAAAGTTTATGTTGCAGATGAAAACTTAAGACAAACTAAGACGGTTATTGACAATTACCTAAGAAATTTCAGACCTTAAGTGTAATTTATTTGAAAGTTAAAATAATAATTTAACTAACTTGAATATAATTTAAAGCGCTGTTCAGCTCAAAAATGTATTATCAAACAACAATTATTCCTTAGAAGCAAAGATTTTTAATGTGAAAAACCATGCTCCTATTATTTTAAGCAAAAACAACGAGTTAATTAGATTAGAGCAAAAGTAAAGAGAATTGGAATAAGAAATTGTTAGAGAAGAACTCAAATAAGACATCATACAAACAAAATCAACTTATCCCTAATAAGTTAAATAGGATTCCTACAATAAGTAAAATTTTGTGCCAAACTAAAATGCAGAAAACAGAGAATTGGCTGCCACTCAAAAAATAAGTCAACCACAATAATCAAGCTACCAACAATATAACAGAGAGTAAATTTAAGAAGAAGATGACATCCAAAGATTTGATTAAGATGACTCTATCTCAGAAGATAACTATGCTACTTAAAAAAATAAATCTTCTAATAACAAATACACTCAAGACAACAACAGACCTTCTGCTAATCCCAATTTTACCCAAAAAAATTTAAATCAGAACACTTCATCTTCTCAATAAAATATTACAAACAACAAATCTAATAACGAAACTAAAAAAAGAGTAAATAACATTTTCGACGAAGTTCCCAACGACTTTGATGATGATTGAAGGTAAAAATACCTACTTATCTAATTAATTAAATTAGCTAACAAATACCATCACAATAATTAACCACAATTATAATTATAAATTGTATATCATAATGTCTTCTATGCATGTATTATATTAATCTGTACTATTTCTTTAAAAATTCAATTTATTGAAATGTCTCAAGTTCTAACTAAATATTTGTAAAATATATTCCCAAAAACTGAATTCATTTTTATATTTTCAAATTCTAGTGAAAAAAATACTGCCTTTATTTATTTCAAAATATAATAAATTTCAAATTTTACTTTTACAATTTTCATAAATTTTAAAATGCTGAAAACTAAAAATTATTTCAATTTTTTGTAATGATTATCCGAATACTATTTAAAAATAATGATTTTTGTTTGTCAAATAAAAATATTTTTATTACTAATTATATATAAATAATTAAACCTTTATTTAATATTGTAATGCATTTATAAAGGAAGAGGTTATTTTTCAACTAAAAGTGTAAAATGAATTTTTAAAGATAAATTTTAAAATACAAAAGAAATATAAATAAAGATAAAATTAATCTCAAAAACCTCCCTTTCTAGGCAATAAATAATTTATTTATTATAACTTAAATTTTGATAAATCTAGCATTTTTATGAACTCTAAAAAATATTTGAGAGTTTAATTAAGGATTTATTTAGAATTTATTTTAATTTCTAATAGATAGAATAAGACTTTTGACAAGATTGATGATTAAATTTGAAAAGATAATATTTAATAAATAAAAAGTTATTTATTTGCTAATTTGAATTTAAGAAGTACTATTTAATTAATAGATTTATAGAAAAGCGCAGCCAAAATAAATTTGAGTTTCTTGATAAATAAATGGCTAACTAGGAAGATATTACATTAAAAAAGTTAGAAGAAAATATATTAGTTATTCAGCAATAAAGGGATGCCTTATAAAATGAAATATTTAATGAAGAAAGAGAACTAAATGAGATGGAGATGGAATTAATGAATATGCAAAAGGAAAGAGATTATTTAACAAAGCTTGTCAACGAAAAGTAGTAAGCAGTTGATAAGTACGATTAAATGATTGCTCATTCAGAATAAGCTTATGATAAAGTAATTTCATTTTATTCTTACATTATTTTAAGTATTTTTAATTATTTTAAAACCATTAAAACAGCTTAAAAATAATACAGAGAAGCTTTATACTACTTTAAACTCCGAGTTTTAAAAGTTTTAAAAGCAGTGAACATGAAAAAAATAAATAAATAAATACAAATATTATTGAAATATTAAAAATGTAAATAACTAAATAAATAATTGATTTATCACAAAAAAAAAATATTTTCATTATGAAGTTCTATATAAAATTTATTTTTGTTAATTTAATAGAGATTCTTAGTTAGTTTATAATTAATTACAAATTATACCTTTTATGGTTATCTATCTTAATATTTAATTACTTATTCATTCATTTATTTATTTGTTTATTTATTTAGTAAATTAATCAAGCTTATCTTTGTGTTTTTTACTTGACACCTAATTAATTATTAATTTATTTCAAAAGGGGAAAAAAAATATAATTAATTTTAATCAAATTAAATTCAAAAGAAAAAAAATATCCTTAAAAAAATAAAAAAAGGATATGGAATCAAAAGGATTGACATATGCGCAATTCTGTTTGATGGGACAACTCGTTTCAGCTATTTAAAGCACATAAGCAGTTTTGTTCTTTTTTTAGTCATCTAAAAATATGAACAAACCAAGTTTTTTAATCCCCATATGAAATATTTAGACTCTTTTCATGAATTGATTTCAAGGCTATTTGACAACTTCAGATCAGAGACTAATTATTTCCCTTGCCAAACAAATTTTTAAATCTTTTACTTAGCTAGCAAAGAGCTAAGATAAATTTGAAACTGCATAAAAGCTTTTTAATAGAAGAAAACTGAGCCCCCAAGTATGACTACTTTGCATTTCTCAATAAATGATAAAGCAGCCATTCCTTGTCCAAGCCTGTCAAAAAAAAATCAACTTAAAAATAAAAATCTTAAAAAGAATCTCTCTCTTAGCCTTCTTAAATATATAATTAGTATTTTTTAAAACAAAATCTAGCATTTTAACTAAGAAGATGAACAGCAACAACAAATTGTGATAACTTGATAACGATAACTCTCAGCTCAGATTATTTTTAAAATAAAAAGAAAAAAGAAAGAAATTTAAAAAAGAAAGAAAGATATTAATTAATAAAAGAATTTTAAATAAGAAAGAAAGAAATTAATAAAAGAATTAAATAAATATATAAGATAATAATAAAAATTAAAAGATCAATTAAAACAAACATAAATTAAAATGAAACAAAAAATAATTAAAAAAAATCAAGGCACACAGACTGATAAAATATCAATAAATAAATAAATAAATTAATTAATTAAGAAAATATTATGAGATTTTGATATTCAATTTTAAATTTTAAATTATGACAAATTACAATTTTTTTTTGAAATCAAAGACAAACAAAATTTATATAGAAGAAGATATTTTTAGAAATAAAATTTAAATAAAAGAAGATATTTTTAACATTTTTAAATAATTTTTATAATGTGGTAGAAGCTATTTAACTATTTTTCTTTATATTTTTAATAAATAAAGTTTTTAGTTTTTTGAAATGTATAAAAAATAAAATAAAATAAATCCTTTAAGCTTTCAAATCTTTGATAATTTAACATTTTTTATGTTAAACTAACATTTATTTTCATTTTTTAATTAATATAAAAATTCTACAAAATATTATAAAATTAAATATATGACAAAATAAAAACATTAAAATTAAAATATAACAGATGTTTATAAAAAAATTTACTTTATCAATAATTTTAAATAAATAAATATATAATACTGTAAATCCTCATAATACCTCACCCCGATAAATATTCACCCAAAAAAAATTTTTTTGGGTTTTTATAAATAAAAATTGGAATTTTAAAGAAATTTTTGAGATTATTTTTTATGTAGAAAATAATATTTAAAAATAAATTTATAAAATAATAAAATTTATAAAAAAATAAAGAATTTAAAATCCATTTTTGATTAAAGGAAAAGAAATTAAAACCTAAATATCTTACTAACCAATTAAATACGCAAATAATTATTAACTAATTAATTAGCTAATTAAATAAATAGATATTAACTAATTAATTTAATATAAATCTGGCTAAATAAATTGATTATTTTTTTATAATTTTGATGAAATAATTGTTTGTTTTATATAGAGTATTTTATTAAAAATATTTTTAACTAATTAAATAAATAACTGTTTTGTTTTTTTTTCAAAATGAAGTTTTCTTGAATAATTCTAAAACTTGATGAAGATTATCGTAGAGCTCTTTTAGTTAGTCATACTTAGAAGTCGTTTCTAATAACTCAGATTAGATTTAAGTTTTTTCTTTGGTTAGTAAATTATTTTATTATTAAAGGAATTCTTGTTATTGTATATTGCTTTGAAGTGATAATTGTAGTTAACTCACATTTTAATTGTACTGCTCTTGCTAGTTTATCATGAGTTATTTTAATTACTCCAATTATAATTATAAATTATTAATATTTTTTTATTACTCAAATTCTTTCTGTTATTACACTAATTGTTATTATTCTAAACCATCTTTCAATTTTTATATAGTAGCATTTTATTCTTTTTCCAAAGTTATCTTTTATTCAGCAATTTCTTTTAGCTGCTGTTATAATTTCTGAGTGTATTTTATTTATACTTCTAAACTTGCTTATAGTTCTTTGAATTAAATTTATTTGAAGTCTTCTTTGAAGTAATTTAAAAATAAGAAATTAGGCATAATTTTTGGCTTTAAAGCCACCAATATAGCTAAAGTTATGGAAATCACTAGCAGCAAAAATAATAAAGAATTTTTATTATTTTAAATTTAAAATAGAAAATAATTTCTATTTCTAATCAACCTTTGTTAATTTTTGTTTTGCTTTCTAACATTATTGTCTTATCCTTCTATATTTTATCCTAAATCTTCCTAATTAAGTTTTTGAATTTGAATATCATTCGAATTGCTTTGTGAAATCTAGCTCCTATTTCTTACTTGAGATATATTTTAATTATCATCAGTAATTTCAATATTTTATATCAATTTTTTATCGCTTTATTTGTTTGGGACTCTCAACTAACTTTAATTAGCATCTGCAATTTCCTATTCTTCATTTTATTTAACAAAGCTAGAGCAATTAAATTATTTTTAACTATTATCTTCACCATTATTCTTTTTTTCTGATTATCGCCTTTGATAAACCTCATCATTTATAATTTAACTTTGCTTATTAGTATATTATAAAGTATCAACTTCATTTTCATTTTAAGGGTTTGAATCATTATGAAATTTAGAAATTTAATTGTCTGAGTTAAATTTGACATCTTTAAAATATTTATATTCTCTGCTAAGTTCTATGTTATTTAGATCTCTATAAAAATTTGGCTAGAATTTATTACTATTGTTCACACTCATCTACTAATAGCTAATATTTATGCTTTGGTTATCACCATTTTGAGGTTTAAATAGATTCTAATTTGAAAGATGTACTTTTTATTAATTTTAATAGTCATCATCTTGATGATTTTACTTTTATTCTTCATCTTCCTACTAATCTTCATCAAGAGAAAAGTTTAAATTTGATAAAGACTGTTGCAGATTAGATGAATGATTGCTCAACTAATTCTTTAAAATACTCCTAATAGAGGTTTTGATTTAAGAATCATGACTTTACTGGTAAATGCAACTTATTTCTTATAAAATGCTTTAAATATTGAGATCAGATTCAAGAAATGATTTCTGCAATTTGCTTATTGAAATATATTCTGATTACTCTTCTTTAATTTTAAAATCTTCTTCCATTCTTAATAAACTAAAATTAAAAATTAAAAAATATCAATCAAAGTTTTGTTAATTAAATTATCAAAGAAAAACAACATAATAGAATTATTTAATTAATGATTTATTGATAAGTCAGTATTTTAAAAACCGTAAATTTAGAGCCAAAAAATAAGAATAAAATAATAGTGTTTATTTGAGTAAATATAAAATAAATTATTTAATATTAATTTTTACAAATTCTTTTTTCATTTTTTGAATGTTAATTTAAACATCCAATTTTTTAGTATTGTAATATGAAAACAGATAATTCTCAATCACAGAATAATCTTTATCTTGAATAATTTCCATCTTTTTATATCTTTAGTATTAATTAACTCAAGATAAAACTAATAATTTATGATTTAGATGAAGATATTTAGAATCTTAAGAGAGAGAACCTTGAATCAAAGTTTCAACAACAATAGAGCTCTTTAAAAAAATAACAGAGACCCAAGGAATCCCGTTAATAATATTCTTTCTAGGTTGGTTAAGTGACTTATGAACACTTTTGTAAGCTGAACTCTTAGAGTACTAACTATGCTGAACTCACTATGGATTATGAATAAACTGTTTTTAGAGGAAAACCTTTGTGTTAGAAATTATTTTATCTCTACTCAGTAATTTAATCCCATTTTAATTGGTTAAAATATTTTATCAAAAAAAAAAACTTTGCATTACTTTTTATATTTCTTGTTAAAGTTAAATAGCATATAAAATATTTGCTAGGATAATTTGATTGAAAATTAATTAACTTTCAATTAATCAAAGCAGTTTTGTTTGATTGACTATTAACTAGTTGAAATACATAATTAAATCTAAATCATGTAATAGGTTTTAATTATTTAATTTTCTTTTTGATATTTTTTTAAAAGTAAAGATTATTTTTTTGTAATAAGAATAAATTATTTTAATACTGATTAAAATTAAGTTAAAATTTTAAAAGTAAGTCATAATGAAAGATTAAATTTTATTTCTCCTATGAATTGAAGCTTATAAGATTATTTTTGAGACAAAAAGTTCGTCAGAATTATAAAAGGTTACTTGAGGATAAAATTAAATATACGCACTAAAAGAAAATATAAGATAGAGAGAAATAGGTATATAGTTAATTAATTAACTAATTTTTTACGCAAATAATATCTTATTTTAAAACTTTTAATTTTAAGTATATTAGAGGACAATTATTGATATAGAAGAAATGGTGTTGAATATGTTATCACTATGTACCTAATTTCTGAGAAAAATATGAACCAAGACTCATTTGAAAACAGTTGCTAAAGAAATTTGTTATTTTGAAGGGTAGCAGAACATATTAATAAATTAGATTTATATTTTAGGCTGATAAATCTTTTGAGTCGGGTTGGATGATTAATTTATTTTGTAAATTAAGCTAATTAGATTTGTGAATAGAACGATTGAAAGATCTTTCTAATTTCTAAATTACATTTGTTTAATATTTGATTCGTTGGTAAATAAATGTGTAATATATAAAAAGGATTTGGCAATAGAAGTATTACTAAATAAGCGATCAAATTTTAAGTATTAGCTTTAAATCTTTAAGTTTGTATCATTATTTATTTTAATATTTTAATAATCATTAAATTATCATAATCATTCAATAATTAAGAAAATAAATACAAAATATTTATAATTAAACATTCAAACAAATAAATGAGCAACAAAGTTGAAAAGATAGATTTGATTCCTCCTAATTTCAGCAATGAAAATTTTTTAGGTTACAAGGCCGGTCTTAGACCATGTAGAAAAGGTGGTGTTAATCTGAGCGAGTAGATCATCAGAGGCAAGAGAATACTCCATAATTATGGTCATGGTGCTGGTGGTGTTTCCTTAGCTCCTGGCTACGCTAACATTTAGGTCAATAAATTCTTCTAAAGATACAGCTCTTTTAAGAACCTCAATCATATTGGAATAATTGGAAGCGGATATATGGGTTTATTCACTGCTTTGGAGTTGATTAAGCTTGGCTACAAGGTAATTAGCTAATTAACTCAATTTCATTTTAGCATTCTTAGATTCATAAATAAAATATGATATTAATTTCAAATTTTAAAGCTTTTACCAAAAATCAACTATTTGCTATTAATTAATTAGGTAACTATTTATGCAGACTAATTTGTCAAGGACGATGGTTTATGCTCACTTGAAACTGATAAGAATCATCCCACTGCTTCCTAGATTGCTGGAGGTTATTGGTTACCTTATGGTTATGAATACAATATCAATGAAGAAACCTAGAGAGTCCATGATCAAGCTTGTAACTTCTCATGGAACTTCTATAAAAACTCAATCGAAAAGAAAGTGTAATAAATACATAAATTATTTTAATTACAACTTAATCATGTGAATCAATCATTTTCCTCAACAATCACAAGTTCTTTCTACCAAAATAATAGTCAATTAATCATCAAAGATTTTAATAAAGTTATCAGAAATAGTAGAGGATGGATCTGATTAATAAAGTTAATAAAAAGATATTTATTAATTTGTTTGATAAAATAATTTGAACATTTAAGACTATTTTAATAAATAAAACAATTTAGTGAACAAGTAAAAAAAGAGTAAAAATAAATGTAATTATTCTAAAACAAAAATTTAGAAAATTAGAATAATTTAGTTCTAATTAAATATTTTATTCTACTAAAAAAGCAAATAAGTATGGTTCAAATGGTTAAATAAATTCATATTACACACACATAATCATTAAACAAAACCATTTTATTAATACCTATAAAAATACCACTTCTTTAATTAATTTTTGGATTGATTAAGTTGAGAAATGAATTGTATTATTTATTAATATATTAATTTATTAATTTCATAAGGTTATTTCGTTTCTAAAATTATTCTTTTTTTATTGAAAGATATTTAGATGATAAGATATTTATTGAATAATTTATAAATTAAAATAGCCTTTTTCTTAAAACAATTTGAGCTGTTTTTATATAAATAGATTTTTATTTAAATGATTTTAAAAATAGATATAATGGTGTTAGATACATGAAGGTTTATCATTTAGATAGTATTGATTATATTAAGAATTCTGTTCCCAAAGAGATTTTTAATGACTTTAAGCAAGTCTAAGTAAGCTGGGGAAATGGAAAATACTATGATGCATTTACTTTCACAACAGTTTTAATTGAAGGTGACATTTTCTTGAAAGAATTATTCAATGAATGCAAAAAATAAGGTGTAAATTTTGTTAATAAACACTTAAATGACGAAGGAGAAGTTACTGAACTACCTCATGACTACATCTTTAACTGTGCTGGTATTCACTCAGGAAAACTCTTTAATGATAAAAATGTTTATCCCATCAAAGGTTAATTGGCTGTTTTCAGACATACAAAGGGGGTTGATTACTATTTGAGTGCTCCTGGCCCTAATGGCAGCAGAGTAACTGTTTATCCTCATTCAACAGGCACTGCTTGTGGTATAACCCATGAAAGAGACGTTTGGGATCAAAGACCTACCCTTTCTATATGCTCTGTTGTTGCTAAAAATGCTTAAGATTTCTTTAAAGATAAAGCTGTTCAACCAAGACTTTGATATTTTTCAATTAAATAAAAATATTAATAAATCTATATTACTTACTATTGAATTTTTTTATATGTTTATTTCCAGTTAATATTTTTATTATTTCATTAAAGTTTAAAGCAAAATATTTTATTTTTTTAAATTTTTGATAAATTGATTTCACATTTTAGAAATTAATTAATTCATTTTAAAATATTTTAAACATATTTAGAAATAATCTTTTTGCATTTTATTAATTTAAATCTATAAAAAATTTAATATATATTAGAATTGTTAAAATTTATATTAATAGGAAAGCCTTATATTTTTACGCATTTTATTAGCTCAATAACACTCTAAATGGCCAACAGAAAATATATATAGAAGTAGGATCTTTAAAAAGAAAATCTGGTAGTGGCAGAATCCCTACTAAAGCAACTTATAAGAATATAAAAAGAATTATTAAAAATTTTAAAAATAAAAAAGATGGTTTTTCATAAAGAATTAGAAAATTTTAAATCCTAATAAGGCTATATCTCAAAAATAGTCAATAAGAAAATTCATTTGAAATGCTTTAAAGAGACCCTCAAGAAGCAATTAATAAATCATACCTCTGTTAAACAAAAATAACTAAGGTTTCTTTTTATGGCCTGAAAAAACACTAGTCCGCTATGCTAACTTTTAATTTTTAAAAAAGTGAAAAGTGAAATTTTTCTCATATGCGTAAATAAAATCCCTCTAATTTCCTGAGGCAAGAATCATCTAAAATATTTGAGGCAATTTCAAAACTGTTAGTGTACTCAAATAATTAGAAGGTTAATAACCTCACAGTAAAAATTATTAAATTTAGGCAATAAAGCCTTTTTTAATTTTTTAAAAATAAAATTAATAATTTTAAATTACCACATTTATTTATTTTTTATAATACTTTTTTGAATTATAATTTTATATTTTAATTCGTTGAAATAATGAGGGATTGTTATGTATGATAAAGCATTACATTTCTAGAGATCTAGAGATTTTAGGGTACTTTAGATTCTAATAATTATTGTAAAATCTTACAAAATTTTATCAATATAATGGATTATGGTTTCTTTCAAGACAGACTCTTTTAATAACATATGGCACCTTTTCATCAATTAAAAATAACATTATTATTATATAAATATGTTTTCTTATAAATAAAATTCTACTTAAAGAATAATCAAATAGACATTTAATCATAGGAGGAAAATTTAGATTCCGTTCTATACTCTAATAGTCTATTTATTATTTTCATATAGATAGAAGTTTCTTTAATCTTAAGGGATAGAAGGTTTCATAACTAAATTATGCCAAAATAGATTACATATCACTATATCAAAGCTCTTATAATCAAATAATTCAGTAAAAAATAGCTTTTTATACTTTATTTACTATATTCAAAATAAGATATAAATTTGTGCAATATTATTAATATGAGTTTTATGGGTATTTCAGTAAAAGAAACATCTTATTTATAGCGAGTTTCTAACTTTAGAGTTGGCTTAAGGTAGAAAAAACATTTACTTTTTTAGTTTTTGTTGCATATTTTTCAAGTTATTGATTATTCATATCAAATAATAATTTTCTTATCCATTAATCCTTTATTAAAAAATTAATTTTTTTTGATGAAATTTTCAAACAGTATGAAAAGTATACTACTCTTTGTCCTATGATTATATACATACTTTTGGTTACTTTTGTAATAAAAACGATGAGGCATAGTATTTTATATAGGTTACTTATTGTATTTAGTTAAGCAATTGAATATATGCTTTATTGATTGCCTTTTAATAATTTAAAATGAGATAATGCTTTACCTTTTTTTAATTTTATTTATAAAATAAAAGTGTCTTTTAATAAGTTTTGGTTTAGGGTTTGAAAATGTTAACATCTGTTTATAGTCTTAAATTTTATTGTTTTTTACAGTAAAATTTGCCAAAAGTTTGACATTTATGCATTATTTATTTAGTTATCTATTTTATAAATTACATGTTAATTTTGCTACTTTTAAATTATTTTGCCATTCATTTATTCATATATTTACTATTATGAAGACATTAATAAATTGTAATGATAAATATTATTTAAATTAGAAAACTGACTGTATGGTCAATTACTTCATTAGTTTCTTTAGTCGCTATCAACCTAAGCTCTAAGCTTATTTACTTCTATGTTTTACTAAAATTATGAATTGTTTGTTGTTTTCTTGTTTTATTTTGTTTGCGCATGTGTTAGTCTGCTAATTTTATTCATTATGTCATTTTTCATAATTTTGATTGAGATGATGGCAAGTAGGGATATTTAAATCTTATTTATAGATCTAAATTTAATGTGTACTATTAAAATGTTTATGAAAAAAATTTTGATTTTTCAAATATTCTTTTAACATGTAATTTGAGTAAATTACATCAGATTTTAACAAAAAATAAATATTTAAAAATTTAAGCAATACTTTTTATTGTCACATAATTAATTAATTCAACTTAATTTGTTAGAAAAAAAATATTGAGATATTAAAAAATGGATATAATAAGCTAAAATCTTGTCGAATCTTAAGAAGCTAAATATAAGCTTGCTTTGCATCTTCAAAACAGAAAAAAAGTCAAAGAGATGTACAGAATGAAAGGTGTATAAATGCTCAATAAGCCTGAGTTAGTCAGTAAAAAATATTTAAATTAAAATAAATTTTTATGAAAAGATAGATAGATAATTAATTATAACTATTGAAATATTAAAACCTGCACACAGATACTATTAAAACTTAAATATATTATTTGTATAAAAAAAAATCAAACCTTCCATTTAATAATTAAGCCTGTCTTTGTTCTAATTATATTTTATTGTAATTTTAACAAAAGTTTCTGATATCTAAGAACCTAAGTTAAAGCCTTATTAAATTTCTATTTATTAGACTATGAAAAACGAATTAACTGAAAAAGGTTATTCTGAATTTAGGTTTTTAGGACAGGGAGTATAGGGATTTGTTTTGTTAGCAAAAAATTCTTATACTAACATGAGGTATGCTATCAAAGGTGTTTAAGTTAGAGATCCTCAAGGAAATATTGATGAAGATCTTAACAATAGAGTGAAATAAGAAGTAGAAATACTCAAAAAATGTAGAGATTCCCCTTACGTAGTCAGTCTTTTAGATTAATTTGAAGGATAACAATTTAGTTACTTAGTTCTAACTGAGTGTTAAGGTAGAAATAAAACTAATTTTTTTAAAAAATTAATAAATTAAACAAACCATTTAATTAAAAAATTTTAATGAAAAATTAAATGCTATAAATAAAAAGGAACTCTCACGTAAATTTTAGAAAGGAACTAAATCATAAGACTGAATGAAATATCAGTAATCAAATATGCTCATGATATTGCTCAAGGCCTCTATTATATCCACTCTAAGAATTGCCTTGTTAATGATCTGAAAATGGATAATATCTTAATTGACTATCATGGAAATGCAGTTGTTTGTAAATTTTAAACAAATCCTAAAAAACTTGATTGATTTTCTATTAAATATATTAAATAGCTGATTTTGGTTTAGCAGATAACCTAATTAATAAATCTGGCTATGCGTTCAATCAATATGTATGCAATCATATTTTTATCATATTAAAGAGATATTCAAATAATTCAATTCAAAAAATATATGAAAGATGGGAAATGTTTTGTATCAAGCACCAGAGTGTATTGACCCAGCTGATCCATTCATAGGTAAGGTTTATCATGATGAATATTTAAAATTAGGTGTCACCGTGAGACAAGAGCCAAGTAATAGAGTAAATATTTTATTTAAATTATTTCTCTAAAAACTAATTAATATTATTCTTAATAATTTAAACAGAGTGAAGCATGTTCTTTAGGTATTATATGAAATAAAAAAAATATAATTTATTTTTATTTAAATAAATTATTAAAAAGGATATCTAATATATACATTGATCTAGGGAATAGATTTGAATTTATTATCAAATAAGCACAAACCATTAAATTATGATGGTGAATTAAAAAATTTTGTTTATCATAATTAGCTTAAATATATTATTGAAGGATTAACTAATTTTGTTCCAAAGAATAGAATGCCTATTAAAGAGGCTTTAATTATTTTAAAAGGAATTATTTCTTTTGAATTTTAGTTAGATGACATGCTTATTGAAATGATAGATGAAAACATTTAGTAGTTCACAAGTTCACTCAAAAATGAAATTGAATTTGTTAAAGATTTTTCAAATAAGTTTTACCCAATCATGTATATATGTTTGCTTATTCTAATCTATCTCATTTGTTCAATTTTTTAAAGTAAAAACGAGCAGACCTTAAACTAAGAGTTGAAAGAAGACCATCAAAAAAGATAATATGTTGATTAACAAATTTTACTTAAAATATCCTCAATTTAGTAAAAATAATTTATAAAAAAGGAGGAAAAAATAGAAGAATTATAGAAAGCAAATCTCTAACTATAATAAAGTATTAGTGAATAAGAAAAAACAATTAAAGATTTATTCAACTAGTTAGAATCATTTTAGAATTAGTTAACAAATCAACCTTAGATTATGAAGATACCAATGAAGGAAATGAAAGAATAGTAACATGTTATTTTTTAAGAAATTAAAAATAGGAAAAGAAAGATGAATTACCAATAGAAAAAATTAACTTTAAATTCAAAAAATAAGCTTTTAATAGAAACTAATAAAAATATTATGAAAAAGAAAGTATGCGCTTTTTATCAGTTTACTTCAAAAAAATTAATTAATTTTAATATTATAAAAAATAGAATGTAATTAATTCTTTTTGAAAATTATTTATTGACTAAAGAGTTACATTCGCTTAAAAAAACTGAATAACTAATAATTTATTTAAATTTATTAAACCTTAATAATCCATTAACTTCATATTTCAATAGCAAATATATTTATTACTCTTTAATTATTCTTCTCCTTTATTAAATTATCTTAACCTATTTTAGCACACAATAAAAGATGTAATTTTATTCAGTCAATTTAAGCATTTTAAAAAAATTTTTATTTAAAAGGAAGTAAGTTTGTTTGTTTGAAAAACATGATCATAAATTCATAATCACATTCTTTTAGAGGGTTTAATTTTTATCCATAATTACTACTTAATTCATCTATTTCTCTAATATAGAAGGTAATCACTCTTCCTTTCCTTAAAAAATACTAAATTTAAAAATATATTCAAAATAGCATGTAAAGTTTTTACCAAAAAATGCTCAAATAAGCTTTCATATTCAAAATAGCTAGTAATTAATATTTTAGAATGAGTTTTGATGAGAAAATAAATAAATGCTGAATTAACTTTCATATTCAAAATAGCATGTAATTGATATTTGAGAATGATTTTTGATGAGAAAATAAATTAATGCTGAATTAACTTTCATAATCAAAATAGACTGTAATTAATATTTTAGAATGAGTTTTGATGAGAAAATAAATAAATGCTGAATTAACTTTCATATTCAAAATAGTGGGTATTATTATTTTAGAATGATTTTTTGGATTATATAAAAGATATCTGCATAATCTTAAGACACCTCTTATTAAGTGATTGTTGTATCTGATATTGTAAAATATTCTTTTTTTTAAATATTTATAATCTAATATTTTAAATATTGTAGATTATAAAATTTAAAAAAATTGTAAATATTATAAAAAATTAAATTATTTATGGCTTTGAACAAATATTTATTTTAAAAAAATATATTTAATTTATTAAGATTTCTTAGTATTATATACCCTAACTTAAGATATTTTAATATTATGCATATTTCTTTTTAACATTATTTATAACCAGAAAATAAATGCTGAATTAACTTTCATATTCAAAATAGGGAGTAATTGATATTTTAGAATGATTTTTGATGAGAAAATAATTGCTGAAATAACTTTCATATTCAAAAAAATAGCATGTACTTAATATTTTAGAATGATTTTTGATGAGAAAATAAATAAATGCTGAATTAATTTTCATATTCAAAAAAGCAAGTAATTAATATTTTAGAATGATTTTTGATGAGAAAATAAATAAATGCTGAATTAACTTTCATATTCAAAATAGGGAGTAATTGATATTTTAGAATGATTTTAATGAGAAAAAAAATAAATCCAAAATTAATTTTCATATTTAAAATAGAATGTAAAAAATATATTTGGAAGAGACAAATAAGTTATATTATTGGAAAATAGATTGTAATAAATATTTTAAAGAATGGTTTATAAATAATTATCTAAATAATCAATTAGGGAGTAATATTATTTTATTCTATTTTTTTTAGAAAATACTGATTTAAATTATTTAGTAAAAACCGAATGACGTAATAATTTTAGTGAAATAAATAATAGTTAATGAGTTAAATAAAATTTTGAAAAGGATGTAAAATATTATTTTATGATTTAGAAGTATCAGATAGTGAAAAAATGAGATTATTGCATGAATTAGTGGGTACGAATTTACTTATAATATTTTAATTATTGTATAATTAATATTTAAAAATAGATAGTAATCTTTTGATTGTAAAATAGCTAATAAATGAATCAATTATGTTTTAAATAGCATGTAAATATTATCTTTGATTAAAAAAAATCAAAAAATAATTAAAATTTAAAAAAGCAAGTAATTATTAAGCGCTAATTGAAATAAATAAGATGAATTGCATTAAATAATTTAAATAGAGAGTATAATTTGAATATTTTATTGAAAGAAACTAAATAAATTATTTTAAAAAAGCGAAGATTGGTAAATAATTTTAAATAAATTTTAGAAAAATAAAATAATCTAAACATTATAAAAAGGAGGTAATAAAATCAACAATCATTCAGAAATTTTAAAAATTAAATTTTATAATTTGCTTAATTTTGATCAAATAACAATAATATAATAAAATAAACCCTAACTATTAGCCATTATTCCAGACTTTTTTTACCGCAAGATAGAATGTAATAATAATCAAAAACCGTGTCAGATTTTAAATTTTAAATTGACTGCTAATTAATAGGATGATGTATTGATTTCAGAATTACTTTATAATATAATAAATAGTAAAAACATTTTACTTTTGAAATAGGTTGTAATATTATACATACTTACTTTATTACAAACAAATATTCATTAATTACTTCAACAAAATAGCTAGTAAAATTTTTATTATTTTCTATAGATACTTTACTTATTTATTTACTTATTTATTTATTTATTTATTTATTTATTAATAGTGAGTAAAATTTTTAAATGACTTTAAATAAGAAGAAAATGAAATATTCTAAATAGGAAGTAAAGCATTTATGTTAAATGCCACTCTAAAATTAAAACGAAATATCTTTTATTCTTTTGTAGAAAGTATTTTCATTGATTGAATGATATCAAAATATTCTAAAATATCTTAAACTTTAAAATAAGGGATTGGTAATTTTTAATTTTAGCATTTTAAAATACCAACTCAAATAAAATGACTTAAATAGGAAGAAGTAAAAATCAATCTTATTGTCCTCTTGGCATGATATTATATTTGGTTTTATTTAAAATAAATAATAGACAGTAATTTTTTTGATAATATTTTATAATCTTAGCATGATGGACGATTAATAAATTAAAATTAATAAAATAGAATGTAGCAATATAAATAATTGAATTCTAATTTAAAAATACAAATTAAAACTTAATATAGTGGGTAATATTTTTACTAGAAAATATCAACAAATATTTATTTTCTTTTTTTATTTAAAAAAGCAAGTAACAAACATTCATTTGTTGTTCAAACTTTAAAAATCACAACTTAACTTTTAAATTAAACAGAGTGTAATTTCTTAAAAAAATTTATTCTAAATATCTCACTATTTTGATTAATCAAAACAGCTAGTAATATTCCTTACTTTATTTGTTAGAATATCAAACATATTTCGTATTTCTAATAGCATGTAAACCTATAACTCTGTTTCTTAAAAGAATAAATATATTTTATTTTATTATATCAATAAGTGGGTAATTTGTTTTTCATCTTATAGTAGACCTTCTTGGAATTTTTTACATACTTAATAGAAAGTAACTTTTCTAAATTTTTTATAATTATTAGATTTTCAATCAAATTTTAAATAGGCAGTAAATAAAATTTTAGAATGATTTTTGATGAGAAAATAAATGAATTAACTTTCATATATATTCAAAATAGTGAGTAATTAATATTTTAGAATGATTTTTGATGAGAAAATAAATAAATGCTGAATTAACTTTCATATTCAAAATAGCGAGTAATTAAGAATGATTTTTGATTAAAATTAAATACTAAATTTACTTTCTTATTCAAAATAGCGAGTAATTAATATTTTAGAATGAGTTTTGATGAGAAAATAATTGCTGAAATAACTTTCATATTCAAAATAGCTTGTACTTAATATTTTAGAATTATTTTTGATTAGAAAATAAATACTGAATTAACTTTCATATTCAAAATAGAGAGTAATTAAGAATGATTTTTGATGAGAAAATAAATGCTGAATTAACTTTCATATTCAAAATAGCTTGTAATTAATATTTTAGAATGATTTTTGAAAAGGAAATAAATGTTGAATTAACTAACTTTCATATTCAAAATAGCTAGTAATTAATATTTTAGAGTGATTTTTGATAAGAAAATAAATGCTGAATTAACTAACTTTCATATACAAAATAGGACGTAATTAATATTTTAGAATGACTTTTGATGAGAAAATAAATAAATGCTGAATTAACTTTCATATTCAAAATAGTGGGTATTATTATTTTAGAATGATATTTGATGAGAAAATAAATGTTGAATTAACTTTCACATTCAAAATAGGAAGTAATTAATATTTTAGAATGATTTTTGATGAGAAAATAAATAAATGCTGAATTAACTAACTTTCTTATTCAAAATAGATAGTAAATAAAATTTTAGAACGATTTTTTATGAGAAAATAAATAAATGCTGACTTTCATATTCAAAATAGCTTGTAATTAATATTTTAGAATGACTTACTTTTGATGATAAAATAAATGAATTAAATTTCATATTCAAAATAGTTGGTAATTAGCATTTTAGAAAGATTATTGATGAGAAAATACATGCTGGCTGAATTAACTAACTTTCATATTCAAAATAGGGAGTAATTAATATTTTAGAATTATTTTTGATAAGAAAATAAGTACTAAATTAACTTTAATGTTTAAAATAGAGAGTAATTAACATTTAGAATTATTTTGGATGAGAAAATAAATGCTGAATTAACTTTCAAATTTACAATAGATAGTAATTAAAATTTTATAATGAATTTTGATGATAAAATTAAATTTAAATATAAAATAGTGAGTAAAATTTAATAAGAGTTAAAAATAAGAAATTAAAGAAATAAATCAACTTTTGAAAAACAGATGGTAATTAATTATTAGTAGATTATAAATAAGACAGATGGAAAATAAGTTTAATTTGAATTTACAGCGAGTAATATTTTATAAGAATAATTTTGATAGAGAATCTTATTAAAATGTATAAAATAGATAGTAATATTTTTGAAAGTTACTAATGTAGAGTAAGTATTAATTTTAATATGAAAAAAGTGAGTAAGAGTTATGAAAGTAATTGAAAAAATGTAACTAACTAACTATATTAATTCTAAACTAGATTGTAAAATATTTCACTGATTTAAAAAGAATATTAAAAAAGTTAAAAATAATAATAGATTGTAATATATATTTTAAACAATTTTGGATGAAATAAAATCAAGAAATGCTTTTTTTAAAACAGCTGGTAATCATTAATTAATCCTATTAAGAAACCAAAATATGAAATCTATTACCTATTTATAATAAAGAAAGTAAAAATTATTTATAAGAAAAGTAAGTTTTCTTAGTAAACCTTTGAATAAAATAAATAGGGTATAACACATTGAAAGTTTTTATTACCAAAAAGCAAGATTTAAAAAATATCTATAAAAATATTAGAAGGTAATTAATTAATTAATCTTTTTACATACATAAATTAATTTATAATTTCCATTTAATTATTTAATTGAAAAATTTCAAAAAAAAATTAAATATAAAATCATTTTTTGCTTTTAAAAAGTGATGAATCACATAATATTTGTAAGATTCAGGCAACACAGTTTAGGAGATCAGAAATACACTTTTTTTTTGTTTGTTTGCTTGTTTATTATAAATAAAATAATAATTTGAATTATTATTAATAAATATTAAAAATAATATGAATATGTGAAGTAAATCTTTATGTTTTCTATATTCATTGTAGCTTTAAATTTTAATTACTTTTTTTTTTTTAGACATGAAAAACAATAAATTATTCAGATTTAGTTTTTAAATATTTTTTATTACCAGATAGATAACCTAACTTAGTAAACATACTATTATATTTAATTTTTTATTTAATTGAAATTTAAAATTCAATTTTTTTAGAAGTAAGATAAAAATTTCATAATTGATAATTTATAAATAAGTACATCATTAAAAGCTTAAAAAATCCAGATATTCCTAGTTTTTGAAAATTATAATTTAATTTCCATTCAAAATGTATTTGTGATCGAATTTCAAGTTATAAATTAAATAGTTGCAAAATTTAAATTTTAACATTTATTCTAACACAATTATGCTATTTATTTAGTTTCAGTTAATAAAACTCTCTAATAGATCAATTTTATAAAAAAGTTAAAAATTTGATCTTTCATCATCATCTTGCTCTTCTTCTTCAATAAAAATTAGTAAATCTAAATATATATTTTAGAAGAATTTAAAGAAAATGAGATAAAAGGTATCAGAATTAATTGATTTTGTGTTTGATAAAGCAAAAAAAATTTTCATTCAAAATTTAATTATATCAAAAATTTTATATTGAGTTAAGAGAATTTACAATCGGAGCATTTTTAGATCAGTAGGCAGAAAAAAACCTCTCTGCCTACTATTTTTTCGCCTTCCAAGTATTTTCCTTGGAGGGCTACGAAACAAAAACTTTTGGATAAACTAAAAAAAAGAAAAATAAAATTATTAAAAATAATACTGTATATAGATTTATTTTAATACTGCTTTAGTAAATTTAAGTATATATTTATACATTTATAAATTTTTAAAAAGAGAAAATATTAAAGAAAGTTTATTTTTCAATACTCAAAGATTTTATTTACTTATTTATTTACATAGATAGATTTATTATTGATATTTTATAAACTATTTTACAAAAATCTAAATATTAATTTTTAAAATATATTTTTAGATGCTCTTTAATGTCAAAAAAGTAAAGAAAATGCAGCTAAGATAAATGCAGATAAAGCTAATAATGAGCTATTTAACTTGCCAAAGCATTAATCAGAAGAATTAACATAAGATACAAGAGTCTAATCAGCACTTTTTGCTTTGTTGTCACAAGAATTTTAGCAAGTTTTAAAGCTAGTATAATCAGTTACCCAAAAGCAAGGAGCCCAACAATTAAGATAATCAGTTGCAGAAGAAATGCAGGAAGCCTAATTAGAAGATTTTGCGCATGGATCTCCAGATATAACTTATTTCATGCAAGTAGCAAAGTTGTTGAATTATTCTTAGGTAGTCCAACTAGGGACATTTGTGGGAAAATCTATGGCATTAACAGCAATAACTTAAAGTACTACTAATAAAAGAACAATTATTTTCATTTTTAATTTTATTTCTTTTTGCTTTTATAATTTTTTAATTAATTTCAGGAATAATAAATAAGCAAAAATCTTAAATTTAAAGCTAATATTAGAACAATAAATTAAATTGATAATCCATAATTTTAGAGTATAGACTCTATATTAAGAATTGCGAAAGCAAGCAATTTTGGATGATAATTAATTTACTCTATTTCATGTGATTTATGATTAAAGACTATTTATAAATTTAAAAATAAATATAAGCTTAAATTGTAAAGTCTATATTAATTATTTGAAAAATTATGAGTGCACGAAATGATATTACATTTTGTAAGCTATTTCTAAATCGCTTTTGTAAAAGATTTTGCATTCATAAATAAAGAAGCCCTGCCCTTCCTTTTTAAAAATAAAATAATTTTTTCATTAGTAAATAAAGAAGACTTTCCTTATTAAAAAAAATGATTTTTCTTAAATTCAATAAAATATTTATTTTGTTTTATTCTTAATAAATAAATAAAAACATAATAATATAATGAGATAAAACTTTTAAAATCAAGAAATAGAAAATGTAAAAATTTTTATTATTTTTAACAGATAATTTTATCTATCTTGCACTTTCATAAGCAAAAAAGTATAAACTTTCCTTTAATAAACTAAATCAATCAATCAAATTAAAAAATTAAATTTTACTGACTTTATAATAAAAAAGAAAGATGTGATAAATTTGATAATAGATTTAATTAAATAAATTATTAAAGCCAATTTTAGATCAAATTAAATAAATTATTAACATAGTATGCAAATTATTATATTGAAAAGAATCTAAATAAATATAAGGCTGACTGGCTGGCTGATTATAAGTCTATTACATATTATTTAAATTTGACTTTTGAAATAATTTATCTATATCAATTTTTAAAAAAAGGTAGCACAAATCTATTGATAATAATATAATAGTGAACCTTAATGAAATTTCACTTTCATATTTAATTTATTTTTGCTTTTCTGTTTTACTTTTATTTATGAAAATAATATCTATACACTTATAAATAAAAATTATAATATATAGCTCTCCCTTCTGACATTTAAATATCACGAACCATTAATTGAGATTTTCAAAGTATTTATTTATGTATGTATAAAATGAATGAATAAAGTAAATTTTAGTTTTTTATTTAATTTCTACTTCAATAAAAATAAATAAATTAAAATTAATAAAATAATTAAAAAAATAAATAATTTATTTAAAATATGTTTTTTTTAATTAATTAAAAAAAAGACTTTAATTCCTAAATTTATCAAATTATTAATTATTATATTAAAATAATTTATAATGTAAGTATAAAATATAAATATAAATGTAAATGTAAATTTAATTAAGGAAATCCTATTTAATTTAAAATAAATGAATAAATGTGTAACCCAAATCAAAATAAACAAATTATTTATAAAAATTGCAAATTTAATTTAGGAAATAAATAATTTCTTATTTAAAAGAAATAAATTCATTCTATACTTAAAATTAATTAAAAATTAAAAATTAATTATATTTTGCAAATAATTTTTATTTAAAATTATTCAATTTTGTGTTTAAATTTAAATAATTAAAGAAAAAATGATAATAATAAATTAAAAATTTTAGAATTATATATATTTTTTGTTATGAGAAAGAAATGAATATGTGTCTAAAATAAATAAATAAATAAATAGACAGACAAATAAGTAAATAATAAATAAATATTAATAAAAAATTGCAAATTTTATAAAATAAATCTTATTTTTTTTTAAACAAGTAAATGAATTCGAATTTCGAAATTAAATAAAATAATAATAAATTGAATGAAAAAATCCTATTTTTATTATGATAAAATTACTGTTAAATATAAAATATTTCTTTCAAATATAAAATAATTTTAGCTTTTTAAAATCAAAATAAAATTGATTATTTGTTTTAAAAGAGATAGATAAATAGATAAATAGATAATAATTCCTTATTAAGCGTTAATAAATTTCATTTATTGAGTAAATTTGTTTTAGCATTAAAGTTAATCTTATTATTTAACTACTTTAACTTTTTAAATACGTTTAAATTAAAAAATTCTATAGAAAGTATCAATTTATTCATAGAATAAAATTTGTAATTCATCTCTATCTACTTGATGAGTAATTAATTATATTAATAATATTTATAAAGATATAAATGATTTAATCTAATTGGAAATTTTTGATATACATGTATGTATATTTTTTTTGGCTAATTGTTGGCTTCTTAGTAACTAGAGAGTACTAAAAGTAATACTTAAAATACAAATTATATAAATGATAGAAGAAATTCGTTGCTTTATTTGTAATGGATTGAAATACTTAAAAATTTGTTTGTTATTAAATGAATGTAAAAGTAAACAAACACTTTAGTCATTGATATGTAAAGACTTATAAATATTAATTAAGAGATTATTTATTGATTTTTAGTTTAATTAAATCCTATGATAGAGATTTTTAATTACAACTACAACAAGAAAACTAGGTAAAGGAAAGACTAAAAGTTATAGAGAACAAAAAAGAGAAGGCTTTCGCTACTTCAAGATGTTAATCCTGACAGTTAATTTAGTGGTTTAGGTAGATTTTTTAAAAATAGTTAAGAAAATTTTAAGCATTTAGAGTTTGATTTAAGAATCAATAGTTATATTTAGTAAAAGCAAATGATGACAAAGAAATATATTTTTTTTTGTATAAATAGATGATTATAGCTAACTGTAAATTGAAAGGAAGAGTACAAAAAATATATTAAATTATTTTAAAACCTTTTCTTTTTATTGGTCTCTGTTAATTAACTGCTTTCATATTTATACGCTGCTATCTTCTGTATTTTGGATGAGTAATTTGGGGTATCCAAGTGGACCATATTTATCGATTGAAATAGTCATAGAAATATTTATTATAGTTGATATTATTCTTAGGATAATATTCTCGAAGTATGCAAGAAAAAATAAATTCTTTTTTATGAATTTCATATTAAACGAAGTGACTGTGCAAACCCTTTTTAATGTATTATACATCATATCTGCTATTCCGCAAGCAACAATTTTAAAAATAATTATGAATAACACTAAGTTTATAAATGAAAATAATATATAGCTTGAAGATTATTTAAGTTATATTTTTGGAATTAATATTATCAAGCTCTTAGATTTATGGAACTTCTTTTAGAAGCTGGAATTCGTTTTTATTTATACGTAATTTCGAAAAATAATTTATATAAAATTCATAAAAACTTGTTTGATGTTTTTCTTACTGATTCACTACGTAGCCTGCTCTTGGACTTTTATAAACAAAATAGAAAAAAACACATAAGCTTAGTCTGGTTATTATTTTGAAGATTTAGATTAGTCAGGAGATTATGACATTTTCAATAGGTACATTTTATCACTCTAATGGGCTATTGAAGTCATGAGTGGAAACTCTACAAACGATGTCGTTCCTGGAACTAAAATGGAGATTTTATTATCAGTCTTAATGATGGGAGTTGGAACTTTTATCTTAGGAGCAATCTATGCTAATTTTGATACTTTGCTTTACTATTCTAATTTCTAAGATTATAAATAGAGGTAATTTATTAATTAATCGGTTATTTAAAAGTCTACTTTAATCCCAAATTTAATTAAGTGTTTTTAAAATCCTATCACATTTATTAAATGCATAAAATGTCAATCAATCAATGAATGATTAATAATAGATAGACGATTTCTCTAAAATTAATTAAATAATTCAGCTTTATATTAAATATTAAAAATTTAAATAAGGAGTGGTTGGCAATTAACCTTTATTTTTCAAAAAATTTTTTAGAGCAGTTAAAAATACTGCAGTTAGTTATTCTTTATTAGCATTTTAAAGCCAAAAATGATGAATTTTTAGAGTAATTTAGTATCCTATGCAAAATATATATATAATTATATATAGCCATTTTAATCTAATTATTCAATCTGATAAATTTTATGAAAATATTACCAAAAAAATTAGTTTTTTATTATTTTTAGACATAATATTTTTTTTTTTATTTATCAGCTCTGTCTGTCTGTCTATTTGAAATATTAAAAATGAATTAATTAATTGTCTTTAAAATATAAAAAATAGAACAAGCTAAGAGAAAACAAGAAAGTTTTGTAGATATAAAAATCTTAGAGGCATGATTTTTAAGAATATTAATAATTATTTTAACCATATCCTATAGAGTAAAAATGATTGTAAATTCACTTACTTATTCTTTATTTTTTAAATTATTTATTTTATCTAGTTTTAGAATTATTTAGATCTTAAAATTCAATTTATTAGTAATAAAAACAATTTATCATGAATTTAATAATTCATCTGATAAATAGAAATAGTTTCACTGAACTACTTACTTGCTTTAAGAAATAGAATAAATAATCTTTCTTAAATATTTTAGCTTAAAATTATGCTATCTAATCCAACTTCATCAAATAAAAAATTTCAGAGAGAAAATATAATTAATTTTCATTTAAAATTGAAGATAAATAAATAATTTCTAATAGCAAATAAAATATTTAATTTAATTTGTTTGCTTTTAAGTCATTTGCAAACAAAACAGATTCTTTACTAAAAAACCTATTTTAAATAAGATTTTAATTTACAATTTTTATTAAATTTAATTTGATTTTTAATAAATTTTACAGCAGTATTTATTTATTTAATTTGACAAAATATTTTCTTTATTTTTTAATAGATAAAAACTAACTGGATATAATTTAACTTCCTATGAGCCTTTAGGTAGAATTAAAATTGCATTTAAATTAGGATCTTATTAGGAATGTTAAACTTCTTAATTTGGGCTCACCTGACTTTATACTTGAGACAATGAAGTACCTTTATCCAAAAATTTGCATGAAGGGCGACATAGTTATTTGGTATGGAGAAATAGCAAATGAGATGTATTTCATTAAGAAGGGAAAAGTTTAAATAATAACTGAATGCCATTCAAGAGTAATTGCAATTTAAGAAGAAGGGTCATATTTTGGAGAGATTGGTTTGTTAATTACAGGCAAAAGAACATGTATAGTGCAAGCTATTGAAAATTGCATCTTCATGTGCCTTAAAAAGGAACATTTCGATTTAATTATGCAGCAATTTCCTGACTAAAAGAACCACTTAATTAAAGTTAGTAAGCAGAGATTGCTAACAACTAAAGCTTCTGATTTACCTTAAGATAAAATCATTGAAAAAGTAGAATTTGTAGATTAAAAAAAAGATGATAACTTTTAAATGTCTGCTTATAACGTATTCATGAGCAACTTAAGCATGTACAACGATAGCTCTAAAAAAAATAAAAATAAAGCTGTAATGATCAGCAACAGCCCAAGAGCGAACAACGATGAAGATAACAAGTAATAAATTGCAGACATGTCAATTCATGAAAATAGTAATAAACATGGAGAAAACACTCCAAACAATAACAATGTCTCAATATAAAACTCCGATCCTTTAAATAATAACAACAATAATAATATTACTAACAATAACAATAATAACTTAAATAAAAGCATCATTACAAATAAAGATAAGTCTAGCTATTTTAACTCATTGAAATTAAAACTCTATTAGAATTTCTTGCGCAGGTCTTAGGCATTCAAAAATAATTAAAACACACAAGCTTCTTCTAAGCGTTTATGTGATTATAAAAAATTAAATAACTTGAATAGCATTTGGAAAGGTATAATAACTTTTGTGCTTGTCTACAATCTGGTATTTGTACCTCTTTCAATAGCCTTTTCAATAGATTTTGAAGGGGGATTTCTAACTTTAGAATATTTTAATTTCATTATTTATTTTTTGGACATTATTTTTTGTGCTTACACTTCTCAGAAAGAGAAAGAAAAGAGTTAATAAAATAGCTACTAGCCAGCTTCTAAATTAAATTCAAACGATGTCAATTCTTAATTCGTTGACTAAAATCAAAGTTAACTTAAGGCGTCAAATCAAAATAAATCAGCTTTGAATTCAATAGCTTAATCAAGCGTAGAAATAAATTCTAAATAAACTAAAACCTAAGAAAATAACTTTAATTATAACAAAGCAGTTGATAATTACTTCAAAAAAACTACCTTTATAGTTGACATTCTCTCAACGATTCCAATAGATATCATGCTCTCTTTGCTTAATGTTAATCCTATATTGTGCAGAGTGACAAGGTTGCTTAGACTTACCAGAGTCTATAGATTGTTTAATCTGTATAATCTACTGCACAATCGTTTATAATGGAATAAAGCCTATTTATTTTTTAAGTTTTTTATTATTATTGCGTATGTCAATCACATTTTTGCTTGCATTTTTTATATCATCGCAATTAATGAGCTTGGTTCAGTAACTAATAATTTATTTACTAACTTTGACTCATAAGCTATACCTTCAAGAGTCCCTCTTTTCAAAGAAGTAAATAAAAAAATTAATTATCATTTTTACACTGTAAAATCAATAAATTACTTCATTTATTTAATAGGACATATGGGCTATTTACATTGAATTTTTATACTATTCATTCAACTTAACATCCTAAGGTTGCTTTGGCACCGTCCAAGCTATGTCACTTGGAGAAAGAATTGTATAAAGCTTAGTCGTACTCTGCTCTAGGATTATTACTATTTTTTTTATAGCTCAGGCACTCAATTCTGAAAAAATGGATAAAACGCTCTCCAACGAAACGAAGTCAAAAATGGAATCAATCAGAGTTTTTCTTCATTTCAAGAAATTCCCTCACAGCATAAGCAACAGGATATACAAATTTTATGACTTCCAAAATATGAAATTTAAAGGAATAAATGATGAAGAAATCTTATCTGAGTTACCAAACACAGTTTAGAATGAAATCATTCTCTAGCTATTTTAGAAGTATTTATTGATTTTTTTCATTTCTTTACATTTTTTTTATCAAAATTGTTCATTTTAAATTACAAAAAATAAAAATTTTATTTTCTAAACAATTGTTTTAGAAAATGTTTTTGAAAATATTCCCTCATAAATCATAAATGAAATAATAAATTAAAATATTTAAATAATATTCATATGCTCTCTCTGATTTTATTTTTCTAAAAAATTTCAAAACAAACTCCAATTTAAATAAATATTTGAATTTCATCATCTGTTAAATATATATTATTTTCTTTCTTTCTTTTAGATATTTATTTAGATTTCGCTGAATATTTCAAATTTGAATGAAAATATCAGAATATTAAATTAAGATTATTTTAGATTTTTTTCTGTGAGATCAATGAATTTAAGACAAGTTATAAATGAAATAAATACTTTTTTATTAAAATTCAAATAAATTATCCAAATAATTATTAATTAAAATGATTACTTTGATTTTAATGAGAAAAAACATTTTATGCACATATTAATTTCATTGAAAGAGTTATTAATTTATTTATTTAAAATCAAAATTTTAATGAAATAAATTTGATATTTAATGAGAATGAAATTCAATACAAGATAAATTTTAAAAAATTTTATTTAACTTTGATAAAAAAACAAAATAAAAATTTTTTATTTAAATTTAGCGTGCTTTAAAAGATTTAAACGAATTAAGCTAAAGACAAAGGCGTTGTACTTTCATTAATGAAGATGATGAAGTAAAAAATTATTCCTAAAGATGAGCATGTCTTCAAAAAAGGAGAAATAGCTACAGATATGTATTTTATTATTGAGGGATAAGCTACTGTGATGATAGAAGATGAATTTTATTTGAAGCCTCCTGTAATTTTAGCTGAATTAAAAGAAGGTGATTACTTCGGAGAGATGGCTATTCTTGATTTAAAGATAAATGTTAGAGGAGCCTCGGTTATAGCAAAATCCAACCTCCATTTGGCAAGCTTGGATATTAAAGACTTCAAGTTTGTGTGCAGCATATACCCAGAAATATACTAGATCATCTAGCAACTAGCTGATTAGAGGAAATTAAAAAATAAATAGAAAATGCAGAAAAAATCTAATAAAAGTATAAAAGTTAATAAGGATAATCAAAATCATCAGGAGGAAGAAGAGGAGAATATTGCAGATGATAATTTTAAAACAAATCCTGATCATTTAAAGGAAAGCACTTTAATAAAGCCAATATAAGAATAGAGAAGTGATTATTTACTGTTGAAATAAAATGTTGATACGAACCAAACAAAGATTCTACATGATTAATTATAAAATGAGACAAATCTTTTTACTAATGAAAATAATGTAACTTCTTAGTAAAAGAACCTCAATTCATAGCATAAATTAGTTTTTAATCCAACAAAAAACTTGTTAGGCCCTTAGATATATAATACGAAGGTCAATATAAATTAATTTGATTTTTAAATAGAATCTGTTGAAGATAATATATTCAATAAAAATAATAAAAACATAAGAACAGCATAGGAAGAAACCAATTATTAACTTGAATAGGATATTTTAATGATAACAAATAAAGAATAATAAGGTCAAGAAGAAAATCATCAAAATGAAATCTAGCAACAATTAAATAATTAAACTTAATAGCTGGAATAGGTTAATAAAGCTAAGAAAGATTTTTTACTTTACATAAGAAAACAGTCAAAGAAAAACACTTTTATTCAATAACCGAAAATGAAAACTTAACCTTTAATCGAAAATAACAATGAAGATGATTTTAATATGGCTAATTTCAACAAGAATTTCGGAGAAAACATCACTTTAAAGAGGAAAAAGAAATAAAAAAGCTAGGTAACTACTTATAATGAGGTGAAACAGCTTTTTTAAGAAGACAATAATAGCCTTACCTAAAAAGATAGTTAAGGGAATCCTTTTAAGTAATTGAATAACGGAGGAGCTCAGTCTACTAATATTATAGATTTGATTGATATTGATGAAACTAATTTTAAAAACAACAAAATGTATTAATAAAAAGACGATCACAGCGATTAGATTAAGAAGGAGGACTGGACTATCAGTTCAAATACAAATATTTAATCGATCAATTAATATCAAAATAATGGAGAAGAATAAAAATCTTTGTTTGAAAATTTATTTTTACTTAAAGGAAACTAAAAGTTAAATAACTAAGATGAAAATGAAGAAAATTTTACTGAAAATGTATTAGAAAAAGAAAGCAAGAAGTAAAGCATGCCTAACATCTTATCAAAAATATCAGGTTTAAATGATGAAGACAATAAATTAGATAAATAAAGCATCTTTAATAATTCTCCTATTAACAAATAAGAAGAAAAAGGAATAATGTTTGCAGAAAATGATGAATATAATTTTAAATTGGATGATAATAAAAATAAAGCACTATCAATATCCTAATAAGATCAGATTCAGCCATCAAATAATGAGCAAAAGAAAAAAGATGACTATAAAATAAATATATTTTTGTCTGCATAACGCAGCTTAGATAGAAACTCAGACAAAAAATCAGAAGAAGATCCTAATTTGTAACAGTTTACTAAAAATTATAATTCTTTTACACTTGAAAATCATGAAAATTAGCTAGAAAACATATTTAAATAAGCAAGAACTATGGAACCGAGTTTAAATAATGACAAGAGTGCTATAGATTCTGCTTTAATATTTTAGAAAAGCTCTTTCCAAAACAAAAACAAGATATTATTTAACAAGAGAAAAAGCCAATCTGCAGAAAATTTAGTCCTAGGGTTTAACCAAGAAAGCTCCTAGCATTCTTCATAAATTTAGCAGTCATTCATCAAAGAAAATCAAAAAAATACATTTTTCTAATCATAAAAAGTGTAATCAGAATATGATAAATAAGATAAAGTATTAGAAGAAGAGTTACCAGACTCAAATGAATCATCTTCACTATCCAGTATTAAAGGTGATGAAGAACAAAAAGGATTTTAAATAAGAAAATCAGATCTGAATTTTAAAACATCTTCATTGATACTTTATTCCTCAATAGCTGCGAAAAACTTAAGTACCTTCAAGCCAAATCATTTTCTAATTTTCAAAAGACATTCTCTAATCATGATTATAGTATCAATTTATAGTTGTATTATCATCCCTCTTAACATAGCTTTTGAGTAGGATTTCTCATTTAGACACAATGTAGCGCTTCTGATAATTGAAGTTCTAAGCACAATAATCCTTATAACCTTCACTATCCAAGAATATAGAAGAAACTCCTTAAGTATTTATTTAAATTTTTTTACCTTTAAAAAAAAACAATAAATAAATTTTAATAGTTTTTGAAAGAAATTTGTTTTTCACATAATTATTGAAAAAATCTTCATATTAATTTGCATGAAGAAATGAAAATTAGGCATATTAATTTTCTTCTTCTTCTTCTTCTTCTTTTTATTTTTTAAAAATTAAACGAAAATAAAAATCTAGAAAGAAATAGAAGCTAATTCATTAAATTTCTTCTCATTATAGTTAAAATTTTAAATAAAAAATATAAAAATCTTATTTTTTATTGAAAGCTTTTCAAAGAAAATAAAAAAATTTCAACTATTTAAAAAAAAAACAGTTTAAACAAAAAAATTTTATGAAATTTTATTAATTTTTTAAAATAAAGAACTTCAAAAAATGAAGAAGAAAAGAATGAAAGGAAAGTTTATTGATATTTACGATTAATATACAGCTATGAAAAAAGTTTATTAGCATAAATTTCTTATAAATCTGATTATAGCGATTCCGTTTTGTTTGATTTTTGACCTTGCACAAATAGATTAGCATAGAAATGACATATTTCTGATAATACTTTCTCTTAATAGAGTAGTTTGCATTTACAATATTTATTATTCCATCCGCTACTACGACTAGAATTAGCAGATCTACATAGAGATTATAAATAAGTTTATGATAATAGCTTTTTTAAATCACTTGAACGCTTGCATTTGGGTAACAAAAATCAAAATATTTACATTTAACAATTAAGAAAAATTTCTATTTACTGATTAACATTTACTTTTTAATAGGTTGTAATTGGCAAGCAGGAGTCAGATTGGAATCAGTGCTGGTTTAAAAGAATTTCTACTACACAAATTAACTAAAAGGAACTACCAAACATTACAATATCTGACTTTTCTCTCTATTTGAATGCATTAAGTTGGGCATTTTAAATTATGACACATACAACTACAGGAGATTCTTCAGCTGTCAACACTAGAGAAGAAATTTATTCTTGCATAGTCTTTCTTTGCACTATTTTATTTTCAATTAGCTTCTTTGCAAATATTTCTTCTCTTATCAAAATAATATCTTCATCTTTAAGAAGAGATTTTCTAATGAGATACAAATTAGTTGTAGCCTTTATTAAGAAGATGGGACTAAAGCAATTTAAGCCACTTGTAGAGGTATAATTTAAATTTCTCATCTACGTTTCTAAAATATAAATAAAATAGCAATGAATCTTAACAAACATTTAGTAGTAATCAGATAAATCATTTTTATCAAATTATAAAATTTCATTTAAATAAGATAAAATTTTCTTTACAAAAATGATTAATTTTAATTAAAAAGCTTAAAGAATATTCTTGAGATAAACAAAACCAACATTTTTTCTTTTTTTTTGTTTAACAATTTTAAATTTAAGTTTTTAGTTTATAAAATTAATTATAAAAATTAAATTTTTTTATCAACCTTTTTATGAAAATATTTGTTTTTAAAGATTTATTTTAGTTATATTTGGGAAACAATGCTTGGTATTGACGAAAATAAATTTTTAAAAGAATTTCCGGTAGATTTAAGAGCAGATATAATAGAGTATATGTATCCAAAGCTTATAAAATACTCAATATTCTTTAATATCGGACATAAATGGAGAAATGAATAGATAAAACTGTCTGTTTTAAGATTCTTGACATTCGAAATATTCATGCCAAATGAGGTAATAGTTGTGGCTGGAGAAGTATGCAAGGATGTATTTATCATTTTAGAAGGATAAGTTGAATGCTATAACTTTGAACTGTTTAAAATGCTTTAACTCAACACAGGAGATTTTTTCGGAGGAGTCTTAAATAGCAATCTTAGAAGAATCAAGCAGCCAGCTTACATCAAAGCATCGTAAATAATTTTTAATCAAAAAAATTAACTTACTTATTTACTTCATAGTATTGTGTAAAATCAATCAATTTTTTAAAATAGTAAAATATGCAAAGTAGGAAAGTTGTGTTTTTAAGATTTTGAGATAATTTGCTAAGCTTTTCCAGAATGGTTTTAAAAATTGCAAGAAATATAAAACGAAAGATATTTGTTATAGATGAAGTGTTTAAAATTTTTCAACAAGCCATAAATTTTTGATTTGAAAAAAAGAGCTTTAGGTGCTAAAGTGAAGAATGCCACTCCAAAGGATAAATATAAATAAAAAGCAATGAATTTTAAAAATGCAGCAGAGCCATATGAAATAACAGAAGAACTCTTAAAAGAGTACAAAAACCTAAAAATACAATTTTAACAATATGAAGAATCTAATTCTATAAGCTAGTCTGAAAGCTAAGGAGAATTAAGCAGTCATTCGAGCAATATATAGCAAACTGAGACTAAAAGTCCTGAAAATTTATAGTTTGAATCTCATAAAAGCCATAATCTAACAGTTAACTAAGAAAAAGGTACTTCAAGCAATAGAGGCCAGACAAAAACAAAGATAAATCAAGTTGTCCCGAAAATAAATTTTAATAGCTTGATATTAAACTCTCCAACCTCTGAAGGTTAAAAATAAATCTAGACTCAAAAGCAGTAACAATTTTTAGATTTCATACAGTAAAAAATGGATTAAAAAATAGAATAATAAGAACACACTGTAAACAGTAGATTACAGCACTAAAATAATAATATCATGAATAACATATAAAGCTAATTAAATAATAACCTCATCATAGTCAAATCCAAAAAGCTATAAAGATCATAAGTTTTGAATTTACCCATTGGCGAACAGAATCCTCAAGAAATCTTCTTTACTGATCCAAAATAATTTGTATAAATTTTTTTTATTTTATTATTTTTAATTATATTTTTTTTGATAAAATAATTTTTCATCAATAAATTTATTTTATTCATTATTTTATATAATATTGGCTTATTTTTATTGATTTATTTATTTTATTAGTTATTATTTATTTAATTATTTTTTAATTTATTTACTTTATCAATTTTATTGATTTATATGATAAATAACTCTGATAAATTATTTTTTATTTATTAATTTATTTGCCATTCTAATTATGGTTGATATGTAATTTATTAATTTATACATAAATGATTTTAATTAAAATAGAGCTTTGATAAATATCCAGATGATGAGATATTCTTAGTATTAGCAAATTTAAAAAATGTATGGAGATTATTAAAAGAATCAAATAGGAATATAAAAATATTTTTGCATCCAGCAGGTGATTTGAAGTAGAACCTTGACTACATTTATATTACATTTGTTTCAATTTATTTACTTTACGTACCAATTACTATTGGATTTATGCATTGTTGCAATATCAATGTAGTTATTTTGATAGAAGTCATTTATATCTTTTGTTAACTGTCACATATCATTATGCAGTTGAAAACCCCTCCTTATCTAAATGGCTCGATACATGCTGACTAAAAATATATAAATTAATTATACGTTTAGTAATATAAACATATTTATGATGCTGTTACGATTCTACCTCTTAACTTGATTATATTTATAATTAAGAACTAAAATTTGATTAGTAATTCAAGTCATTACGTTGTGTAGGTGATATTAGATATCTTTCGCTTGAATTCTCTTCTTAATTTCAAGTACCTTTTTTATAAGTTTAATAAATTGCACTCTTCACTTCGTAGCTTCTCAAAAGCTTTCAACATTATCAAACAAGTCTACTTTTTCATGAGCATAGTTAATCTTATAACTTGTCTCTGGTCATGGGTAAATCAGTTAGGACAGGAATATACAAATGATACATGGATGATGCGTTTTAGCTTATAATAAGAATCGTTATATATTTAATATTTATATTGTGCCTTCTTTGTTCTAAACACAGTTTAATCTACAGGCTATCCTTAAATGGTCATAACAAACGACTTGGAAAGAGGAACTTTCATAATGATGGTATTAACTGGCTACACACTTTTTGCAGCAATAATAGGGCTTTAACTAAATCAGCAAATGAGTTTAGATTTAAAAATGCATGATCTTTACATAACTATGGAGTAAATTAATTAATTAATCAAAATATTTAATCAAAACTTTTTTCTTTTAAAATCAGGAAAATCTATAACTTAATAGAAAGCAGCAACATGCCTAAAGGTCTTAGATAGAGAGTTGATATGTATTTCACATATCTAACAGAAACTAATATGAATGATATAGACGAAATTACAAAGATAAAAGGCATGATACCTACTACTATGGTAATTCATTTATTTATTTACTTATGTATTGATTTATTTATTTATTAATTAATTAAATTTGTATGTAAAAATTAATATTTATTTATTAAAGAAATATAAATTGAATATTTTGTTTTTTAAAATATAATTTAGTATAACAATATCTTGTACAATCAGGCTAAACAAAATTTAAATCAATTTAAAGTGTTTAAGGATTTAAATAATTCTTACCTAGTAAGGCAAATATCTCCTCTTCTCAAACAAGAGATTTTTTTAGAGGGAGATTACATAATCAGAAAAGATGAGTTTGGAAACAGAATGTTCTTTTTGATTTCAGGAAAAGTCTAAATAGTCTCAGAAAACGAATTTCAAACTCTCAAAGTCATAAATCCAGGGCATTTCTTTGGAGAAATATCTCTTTTTACTGAAAATTACAAGAGGATAGCTTCTGTCATAGCTAATACTGTTGTGCATGTCTATTCAATAAAAAAATCTGATATCCAACCAATATTTTAGTATTTCCCTGAATTCAAAGAGTATATTATGAAATAAGGTAAATAAATATTTTTAGTTTATCATTCAATCATTTCTGTTTTTTTAATAGCCACTGAAAGATTAAGAGATACCAGGTAAAAAATATTAAATGAAGAAAAAAGAAAGTCTATATTCAATAATGATGTTGCATTTAAAATGCTAGATAAAAATTAGAGCTCTCCTCCAAATACAAGATAAAGGTCACCCTAATTTTTTAATGTTTATTCAGGATAAAATAGAAAGGAAAAATAATAATTTTAAATAAGTGATGAAGAAGAAGAATAAGCTAACTAAATTTAAAAATAAGAGCAAAATTAAGTGATTATTATTACCAATTAGCAACAGCAAAAATAAAAAAATAAAAGTACTCACGATGCCACACCTAAATCTTAAAAAAAGACAAAAGATGGGTCTCAGAAAATTATTGATAAAAAATCTACTATAAGCAAGAAAAAATTAACAAAAACTCTTCATTTATAGAGAAAGTTTGATGAAGATTTTGAAGCTAATAATGAAGAAGTTGATTTGCTTATTTAAAATCATGACTTAGATCTTTCTGATATAGATGTTGATCTTCCTAACAGTATAGACCAAGAAAGCAAGTAGATTTACAATACAGTAGCATTAAGCAATCTTTTTAATGTTAATAAAATAGAGATACTCTGCTCTCGTTATAAAGACCAAAGTAATTTATTTATTTATATATTAATAAATTTAAATGAAAACATTCTTTAAATGGCATTTTTAATATTAGGTAATGTTAGCAAAATAAGAAGACATAAATTAATTAAAAATAATCTTACCGAATTCACAGAAGATGAAGGATAGAATGGAGATGATTCCTCTGAGAAAACTCTTATTAAGGATAATACATAAAAATAAGATAAAAATGATGGTTAGAAAAATAATCTGCAAGATTTCAGAGAAAGGATTAGCTTTAATGAGTTAGTGCATTAAAATGAAATGGATTTCAAAAACCATCCAGACCTGTAAAGTCGAAGAAGATTATAATTTAACAGAAAGAGTGAAAGGAGATTGAGTAGAATTAATCTTAAAAAGTAAATTAAGCTATCTAAATAGTCAGAAATGAGGCTTTAGTGGGGTATGAATTTAGAATATAATTGACCTCAAATACAAGTATTTTTGATATATGATTCGATTATGCTTATTAAAGCTTATATTAGTGTTAACTAATTAATTGATTATTAATTAATTAATAAATAGAGTGGCCAAAAAAGTTTTAATTTTCAAAACAAAATCTTATTTTCAAATTTTAATAATTTTTACAAAATAAAATAAACAAATAAATAATAATCTTTCAATATTAATTAAATTAAAATAAACTCATAATACATACATACTAACTAACTAACCAAAAGCAAAGTAAATACTTGATTTTGAAAATAAAAATTATGTAAATAAAAAAATTGATATAATAAATATTATAAATTAACTATAAAATAAATAAAAAAGTAAATGTATTTATTTATTTATTTTTCATAAAACTTTCAAAAATTTTGTCAAATATTTCTAAATTATTTCAATATATTTAAAATTAACATTTATTTATTAACTTAAAAAATAATAATAAAGAAAGAAAGACCAAGTTTTTATTAATAAGTTAAAAAATAAAAATAAATGGCTCATTTTAAAAACAAAAACTTTATTATTAAGGTTTATAATTACTATATTTTATTTTAAATGATATAGTTACTATCATTTTATTTTTCAGATATTTTTGAATAATAAAATTAAAATCCAACCATTTTCTTAATTCCTCTTTGTTAATACTAAGAAACATGCATTTATAATGTTTTTTAAACATTTTTAAGTTTAGTTTAAATCAAAATACTTTTTAATTTTATTATAAATGTTAATAGATAGATAGCTCTTTAAAATTTTAATTAAAAATGATAATAATTAAATAATTTATAATAATTTAAGATGGATATAAATAACTATTATAAATTTATTAATAAACAACTGTTTTAATTTTAATCATTCATTTATTATTTTTTTACAAAAAATAAATGTGAAATAAAATTTTGATGCAAATTGAAATATCATAAAAAAAAAGAAATTTATTAAATCTTGTTTGGATTAAATTTTAGATATTTTAGATGACATTAGATTTTAATTATTTATTCAATAACTTTATATCAAAAAATATTCAAATTAAGGAAAAAATTTTAAAAGTTGAATAGATAGATCCAATTACAATACAATACAATAGAAATAAATTTAAGTTTAAACAAGGTTTTTTGTGTAAAAACAAAAATAGTGGATTGATTATCATCAAATCTTCATAAAATTGAAACAGTTTATAAAAATTACAACATTGTGAATATAGAAAAATCTAAATGAGTGATCTTCCTAGACCTTAAGTCAATATAGTAGGGAAAATAGCAGGAGCTAAGCACTTTGATTACCAAACTATTTATGTAAAATATAACTTTCTTACAGGTGAAGAATGGAAAGTTGTTGCTGGTATTACTTAAGGCGATACATTTTAATCTACTGGCATGCTAAATTAGGTGATTCCTTTGGAACATCCCTTTGATATAAATTATGCAACCAAGTCTATTAGAGGCTGGCCAAAATTATTAGTAGAAGCTTGGGGTATCGATGCATAAGGAAGAAATAGTTTAGCAGGATATGGAATTATTGGATTACCATTTTAGACAGGCGAATACAATCTCAGTATTCCTTGTTGGAGACCTCGCCCAGAATTCTCAGACACAATTATTGGCTCATATCCAGAATTAGTGTACAAGGATGTATTAGTTTCTAGTGATTCAAGATTTGCATTTAAAACAGAAACTACTGGTTTTATAACTGTTGACGTAGGAGTATTTACTAAAGACTTTAATCTGCATGGTGTATAGCTTTAATAAGACGCTGATGATGAAGATAGCTTAAATAACTGAGGAAAATCAAGTAATTATATATATAACAAAAAGCATGCAAAAGCTAGTCAAATAAAAAGAAAAAATATTAAGATAAATGAATAATCATTTAATAGCTTCCCTAATTTTTCAAATAATGTAAAAAATATATAAAAAAGGCACATGTGAAAATGAAATTTTAGTTATGAAAAAAATGAATAATTTAAAAAAAAAAGTGATTGTTGACTAAAAATAATTTCAAATAAAATATAATTTGAATGATAAAAATTCTTAGCAATCAATCTCTAAAATAAACATTCTTTAGCCTACCTATTAATCTTAAATACACACATTCTATCTATATAAAGCTAGTTTCTGTAATAACTAATATATCAATGTCTCTAAAAAAGCATTTATTCAATAAATTATGAATTTATTAATATAAAATAATAAAAAATTAGCATAAAATATAAATTATTTCCAATGATTATTAATTAATATTTAATACATTTCTATATTTGTTAAAATTAAAGCAAATTTAATAAAAATGCTCAAATATGTTTGTTTGTATAATCTCTTTGCTTCTTAGTCTCACAAAAATTGAAAAAAAATTCATTTTATTTTTTTACTAATAAAAATATCTTAGCTTATTTTCCTATTTATTTATTTTATCAAAATAATTCAAATTAAACTATGTTTTGTCCATTTTATTTATCTTTAAAATAAATACTCTAACTTAATTAATATTTATTTTGTTATTAATTTATTAGAATTTTAGTCTTTTATTGATAAATAAATAAATATAGGCATGTCTGTCTAAACGAATTTTAACTCTCTAACAATTTGATTTATTTATTTATTTAATTATTTTCTTATTATTTATGAATATTTCATTTATTTTTTAAAATTGCTTTTATATTTATTGATTGATTTATTTATTTATTTATTGACTGTCTATTTATTGTTTATGAAGCACTGTTTATGATTTTGCTATTAAAAATAAAACACATAATTGCCGTTTAAATAAATACTCTTTTAATATATTTATAACTCAACCTGTCTCAATAAAATAAATTGGCTTGCTTTCTCTTTCCTTTTCATTTTTTAGAAATTAATTGGTAGAGAAATTAAAAGAAATGGCGGAAAATTTTAAATGCGAAAAAAAAGGATTTTTAATTCAAAAATTGAGTTTAGAGAAATGAGCGGAAGCTGAGAAGAGAGAGAGCACATTGAATAGTTTGCTTGGAGCATTCAAGTAAAAGCTGGGGTGTAATTTGGTAATTAAGCCCCCAATAGATAAATAATAAATAAATTATCCAATTTAAAAATAAATTATCCAATCAGAACGCAGAAAAAGAAGATTATCCAATCAGATGCTTTTTTAATAGAAGATACAGATAACTGGAAGAGATAGAAAAAAAGAAAAGGATAATGCAGAAAAAATCATAATTTAATCAAAAAATATAAATTAAAAAGAAAAAAAGTAAAAAATCCATTTAAATGGCTCCCAAGAAAGCTCCCGCTGCCGCTGCTGAAAAGAAGGTCAAGAAGGCCCCCACAACCGAAAAGAAGAACAAGAAGAAGAGATCAGAAACCTTCGCCATCTACATCTTCAAGGTCTTAAAGCAAGTCCACCCTGATGTCGGTATTTCCAAGAAGGCTATGAACATTATGAACTCCTTCATTAACGACTCCTTCGAAAGAATCGCCTTAGAATCCTCTAAGTTGGTCAGATTCAACAAGAGAAGAACCCTCTCATCCAGGGAAGTCTAAACCGCTGTCAAGCTCTTATTACCCGGTGAACTCGCTAGACACGCCATCTCCGAAGGTACCAAGGCCGTCACCAAGTTCTCTTCTTCTACCAACTGAGAAAATTTATTGATACATACTTGCAAACAATTATTAATCATAATTTAATCCAATAAATACATATAAACAAAATATACATCAACCTTTTACCATATAAAATACTCTGTTTTATAAAATAACTTATTATTAAAACTGTTTTATATATTTTTTATGGTGTACTAATCAGTTTTCATCGAGTTTAAGTCGTCTCAATCACTTCTCCATCCATTTCCATATACATTTTACTTAAATATCTTCATTATTTACTCATTCATTTATATATCACTTAGATGTTGATTAATTCTATTAGTTAATTAATACATAAATAAGTACTCAGTCTTTATTTAGATAAATAGATAATTAGATAGATAGATACTCTATTAAATTTAAAATAGATACGATTTCTAAGAATTTGTTTTATTTTCTTAACAAACTATCCTTAAATTAATTAATTAATTAATTAATTATCTAGCAATAAAAAATCAAACTATTCAAAATCTTTATTTATTATATTTTTTAGCTTCCAACATTAATTTTTTTGAAACAAATTTTATTGATCTTTTATTAATTCAAAAGAATACTAAAATTTATTATTTCAAAGCAAAATATTTACATTAATTCAATCATAATTAAATTTAAAATATTCAGCAAGCTTTTTTCAGTTTAAATCTTAATATATCATGGATATTATACGTTTTTAATAATATATTATTTGATATTAATATTAATAATCAAGTAAAATAGTTAATAAATAAATATGTATTTACATAGTTATTTCAAGCGAATTACTACTCAAAAGAAGATTTTATAAAATAAAGAAAAAGTATGCCAATAATTTTTAAATTAAAAACACTTTTATAAATTTTATTTTAAAAATACAAATTTAAATATTTTTTAATAATAATTTAGCATAAATTGCAGGATTTTAACTTTAAATAAATTTTAATAATTAGCAATTAATCTATCAAAACTTTTAATATTGAAATTAAAAACCTTTTTTAAGTTATAAAATTATTAAATTTATAAATTAGAATTATTTATTCATTTTTTTATCGTTTTCTACATTTAAGTTTATTTATTTATTTTTAAAAATTAATTTATTTTTTTTTGATTAATTCATTTTAAATTACTTTGAATTTATTTACAAAATTAAATATTTTTATTTAAATTTTTTAGTAAAATAAGATTTAATGAAATAAATAATTATTTTATTTAATATTTACTTTTTTTTAATCAAATTCTATTTATTTTTTATCTTATTTTTTCTTTTTATATCAAAACTTTTGATAGTAATTTGTTAGTATTAAGGAATTTAAATTTAGTATTGCATTTTAAATGAATTTAAATTTTTTGTTGATAAAATCTTAAATTGCACCTTAATATTTAATACTGTATTAATAAGACAAATTTTTCTAGGATTTACTTTTAAAAAAACTATAACAGCTATTTAAAAACTAGTTTAAATAATTTTGATAATGTTAAATTGAAAAGAAGCATATTAAGTAAGACATGTTAAAAAAACAATATGCCATAATTTGATTTGATTTTAATGAATTTGCTGATTTGTAACTAAAAAATTATTAAAATTTGACTTGGTAAATAAGTTGATTTAGTTGTTTATTGTTTGATTGTTTGGGTAAGGAAATCAATCAATCAAATGATAATAATTAATTAATTAATACAATAAATAGAAAGTGTAGAGTTAGATATAGGTACATCAATCAAAATATAAAATAAGTGTTTAATAAATAGATAAATAGATATAAAAGTAATTTAGCAAAAGCATTTGAGAGCTACTAAAATTATAATTTAATTGGCATTAGAAAAATATAGTCATGGTAGATACATTTTCAAATAACTAGTCCTCTATGGGACTAAGCAAAAAATTCGGAACGACTACGAATTATAATTTACTTTCTAACATCCCTAGGGCAGTTATATTGCAGATTAAGAATGATGGAAATCTTTTTAGATAAAGAGCTGTTAAGTTTAGTTAGGAATTATGGAAAACAATGAGAAAGAGCGATTTTACTTCCAATCGCTAACTTGGTATTAAATTAATTGAGTAAATCTATGAAAAACACAAGGAAGATATCATTGAATAATTTTAGATCAACTCTCCTAATGAGTTTCTCAATATATTCGATTCAGATAATGATGGATTTTTGAATGAAGATGAGTAGATATTAGTTTTCTCTACACTTAAGGAAAAAATGCAGCATACTGCAAATAGTTTACTTAAGATTTAGGAATACTCTGAGTTTAAGCTTCTGATGAAGGAGCTCAGAGAAATCGAAATTTTAATTGCTGAGTATTAAGATCAATTGAGACAACAAATTTATAATAATGAATTAAAGTAAAAATTTGTTTCATTTTGCACTCTTTATCAACACAAAATAAAGCAATCAACAATTTTAAAGGAAGAGTTTGTTTACTGATTAATATTTTAAATGTTGAGCTTTGGCATTTAAAATTAAATATGAAGCTTTTACAAAATAAAAGATCATTATATTTTCATTAATCATTTATTTATTTATTTTTACTTTTGCAAACTATTATCAAAAGCGTTTCATTAACATTCTCAATAAAATTCTCATCAGTAAAACAGCTATAAAATAAATATTAACAAAACTATTCAAAATTAAACTAAAAAACCATAAAATGTTTTAAGGCTAATACAATTCCTTTTATTCTTATTATCATAATAAAATATCTTCCAGCTTTCTTGTGTTTTGATTAATATTTTTAATGAAACAAATTCAAAAAATAGATTTAATATAAATTAAATTGAAAGATTTCATATTAATTAAATTGAAATAAATAGAATAATTAAATATAAAGAACAATTTGAAGAAAGTATTTAATAAAGAAAACATCGTTTGTTTGTTTATTATTTTATTAGATATTATTCTAAGAAAAAAATATTTTTGGTTGATATTAATTTTAACAAAGTATTTAGATTTTAATAAATAATTAAAAGTTAATGTTTTTATTAATTCAATTTTTATATTAATTATAGTCTCTATTAATAAATTGGTGAAGAGAGACTCGATGATTTCTATGATTCTTATTATGATGAGTTTGGAAAACTTGAAGAATATAAAGCACAGAGAAGAGCAGAATTGTAGCTGAAGTAGGTAGAAGAGAGAAATATGCTGGAAGATAAACTTGGGAAAGCAGTAGAACTTGTAAAAATTAAACCTAAAAAGAAACTAAAAGAGTATTAGATTCAAGAAAAATTAGTCTCTTTAGATGAAAGGGTTGAAGAAGCTTTAGATTTCAGAAAAGAGTTAAAGGATTTGGAAGCTAAGGAACAAGAAAGAGTAGAAAAACTATAAATTGAAAGAGCTGAAAAGTAGAGATCGAATCTTTAAGAAAAGCATAAAAAAGAAAGACAATAGCTTGAAGGTAAGCTTTAAGAGGCACAATTCAAGTTAATTATAAAAATGAAGAAAGATTTTAATACTCTCAGTAAAAAAAACCATCTTCACGAGCATGAAATAAAAAGAATTTAAGTAAATATTTTTGATATCTTTTAATAGATTTGATTTTAAAATGCACATGTTCATTCAACCATGATAATTTAAAAAAGGGATTAACTTCTAAAGGTGCTATGAAAGATGGACTAAATCAAGGAGAACTTATGAGAACTAAGAATAAATCAAGATAGCAAAATAACATAATTATGGAAAGTAAAAAAATCACATCTAATTTTAATTCTTTGCAATCTTCTGAAGATTAAAACCCTCTCTTTAGAGGCAGAGTCACTCATGGTGGAGGAGCAACTACAGGAGCAGGAACAATCAACCCATTTTAAGGAGTTGCAAGAAGCACTGTAAGAGGCCATTCCACCTCTGGAGGAAGCTAAAATTAAGTTGGAACTATGAATACTAATGTTTCCTTATTGAATACAAATGTGGTTTCTCCTAAACATCAATTTTCTTCTAATTAATAATACTTGTAGCACATTATAAAACACGGAGATATAGTTAATTTTTACATCAAAAAGAAATGGGGAGCTGACTTACCCGTTAATCATAAATAAGAGCCACATAATAATGGAAAAGCTATTCCAAACCATGAAAAAATTGAAAGAATTCTCATGGCCAAAAAGAAAAGTAAGCTCGATATTCTTCCTTCTTTAACAGATCTTTATGACGAAGAACTCAATTTAAGGGCATTTAATGAAACCAATAGGTCAGAAGAAGAAATAAAAAAAGAGAAGTTAAAGAAGAGACAATATATCAACGAAATGCTTTCACTTTGAGCAATCAAGCAAAAGAAAACTTCACATTCATCATCCATCCATCCATCTATCTATTTATGCATTCATTCATTCACCCAATAATTCTTTTTAAAAAATATTTCTAAAATAAATAAATAAAATATAATTTATGTTTATAAAACTATTAATTTAACATCTCTCTCTATATATACATATTATTTTTATCAATAATATAATATTAGAATTCATAGTTTTAAAAATTAATATAAAATATCATTTAATCAAAGAAATGAATGAATTTGATTTAACTAACTGATTACTTTTCTTTGTAATTTAATTTTAATATATTATTAAATTACTTGATTTTCATGGTTTATTTCAAGGAAAAATTTTAAATATTAAAGCAAATTATATTGTTTCATAAAAAGAAAATTTAATGAATAAAATTATTATTATTATTATCATTAATACTTGACATATAGAAAAATATAAACTACGCAAAAAAATTATTTTTTTTAATTAATTAAATTTTTCTTCACATTATTTTCTTAAATTCTTAAAAGATTATATTTAATGTAGAAGTATCAATATCTAAAGTCTTATCAAATTGGCATAACTATAAGTGGTAATAGCATAGTTTTAAAATTTTTCTTCTAAACATCTTAAATTCTTCAAAAACCATTGGCTTTTTTGCCTTGTCATACCAATATGATAAGGAGGTGAGATGATATGGTACTACTTTAGCATATAGAGACCATATCAAATCAAGATCTTCCTGAGTGACTGTATGTGCTAAATTAGGTCTTGCTAAGAGGTCATTTTTATAATATTCTTAATTTAATCTAGATATTAATATAGAAATGTCTGGGCGACATTTTAGTAATTCATGCAGGGTATTAGTTATATTGCTAAGTCCTTTGAAGTGGTCAACAGTTTTTTCTTCAAGTAGTTATTAGGAACTCATTTATATATATATTTTATTTTTTTTATTATTTGACAATTTAATTTATTATAGGAAAAAGAGATATTTTAGGCATATTTGAATCTGGGAAAAAAAGAATATTTTGATAATTGTTTTATTTTATTTTGTAGACACTTTCAAATTTTTTAATTTGTTGGATAAAATGAATATTTGGATACTTTATTTGACAAAAATAAATAAATAAATAAATTTAATTTAGATAAATAATTTTAAAGAAAAATCATATTAAATTTATTTAATTTAACATCTAATCAGACAAAATATTTTCAAAAGTAATAAAAGAAATTAGAAAACATACAAAATAAAATTTACTTGAAAATTGACAAAATGATTTCTCAAATAAGACAGAAAATATATTATAAATTAATATAATGACTAAATTTAATGAAATTATATATATAAATATGAATATTTCAAAGCACTTAGCTCTTATTTTTATTGATTTAAAACAAAATAAATTAGAATTAAATATTTTTAGAAAAATCATATTTTAAATCTTTAAAGAGAATCCTTTAACTATTTTTTTGATTTCTACTTTTCAAAAAAGTTCTTATTAAATGTAAATTTTTAGAAATTTTTCAACAACATTTAAAAATATAAATGAATGAACAAATAAATATATGGGAATTAAACATTTATTTTTACATATTTTAGAAAAATATTTTATAAATTAACTAAAAAATTTTATTTATTTTTAAATAAATAAGCATTTTATAAATTAAGTCAAAAAGATATTTTGAAATATTGAATTGTTTATATTAAAAACCAATCATTTTATAAAAACTAAATTGTAGTTGAAAAACAAACTACTATTTATTCGATAAGAATTTAATTAGATTAAAGTTTAAAATAAATAAAGAGTTTCAAAATTAGTGTTTATTGATTGATATAAATAGAAAGTGATAGTTAATTTATTAATTAAATAAATTAAGATTAATTTGCAAGTATCTGAAACATTCATTTATTAATATTTATAATTTACAATAGTTACTACTATCTAAGCTATTCATAAAGTATCAATATATACTGGATATTAGGATATTAATTACATTTAGATATATAAAACATTACCTAATAGCATACTTAATCCATGGCGAATGAAGTCGAGATAAAATAGTGGTTGAATAGCGACCTAAGAATTGAAAATAAAATTAAAAATTTAGAAGATGATATGCGTAATGGATATATTTACAGAGATATCTTAATGAGATTAGGTTTAAATGTGCCATCGACAATTGTCAACAAGTAGCAATAAATTTTATTTAGTTAATCAAACAATCAATCAATCATAATTATTAAAAGAATTTATTTTATTTACTTTGAATTCACATTTTTCATAAAGACGATTCTGCATATTGCATACGATAGATAATTGAAATAAATAGTTATTATTTTTTTATTTAAAAGGACTGATGATGCTACAATCAAGTAAAATTATTAAATAATAGCAGGAATTTTAAGGGAAAAACTAAAGATAACTTTAATGCCAAAGCCTGGAAATAATCTTGAAGTCCTTAAATAATTAAATAAGGTAATAAAAACAATTTAAAAGAGATTGATTATTGATTGTTTTTTAAAGATGGTTATTAGTATTTAGATTTTTATAGAGTTAGTTATGCTGCTGATAAATTAGCAATTTCAAAGATATTATTGAGGGATTTTAATAAAAATTTATAATATAAATAGTTTCATGTAACGAAAATAGTCAAATAGAATAATTCTACAGTGAGTGATGATGCAGATTAAAATTTAATTGCTTAGTTTAATAAATCTTTAAAAACGAAAGACAGACACCTTAAATCTAGTTTTAAATATGATGAATAAATTAAATAAAATCTTCCTCCTAAAATTATGGATATTGAATAGAAGCTAGAGAAATTTAGATAACAAAAGTTGAAGAGTGAAATTCTTGCAAAAACTTTAAAGGACTAAGAATTAGAAAGGGAAAATTAATGGAGAATTGAACATAGACAATTTGAAATAAACAAAACTCGTAACAATCACAAATATATTGAAGATAAAACTAAAAGCATTTATGAAAATTGGCTTAAAACTCAATAAGTTATGCAAACCAGAATTAATAAAGAATAAACTCTTAATAATTACCTCACTAACAGATTAAAGGAAGAAGTAAAAGCTGTTGAAAATTACGAGTTTAAAGAGTATAAGGAGGGATTAGATTATTTTAAGGAAAATTGTATTCAGTAAGGTGTTTCTTTGAGACATGATCCTGATAATTATAAACCTCCTCCTATTTCTCACTTTAATCTGAATGCCACTATGATGAGAATCAGAGAAAGCACTCACAAATCTATTTTGGCTAGAAAGGATAAAGAAAAAAGGTGAAACTTTATTATTGATAAAATTTTGTTAATTTATTTGAAAATTTTTGTATTTATATTAGAAAGAACAGGATGTTAGTTGAGTAATAGAAATATGAAAAAGAAATTTAAGAGAAGAAAAGATAGTAAGACATGTTGACAAAATTTTGCGAATTAAGTGTTGCTGGAGCAGAGGAAGGAAGAAAGATTTATATTGCTCAAGAGAAAGAAAAGATAGTTGTTAGGAATAGAATTGAGAAGGAAAACCAGATTTAAAAGGAAAGAATGGATTATTTTGACTAAAAGCATGAAGAATTTAGGGAAAAAGCAATCGCAGAAGAAATAGAAAGAAAGAAATAATGGAAACTGCAAAAAGTAGAATACATGGAACTTAATCTCTAGAATAAAATATAAAAAAGGAAAAAACATAGTAAGACTTGTCAAGACTTAATTGATATCATTCTTGATGTCACTGAGCTCTGCCACAATGCTTAGAGATAAAATAGTAAAAAAAGAATATTGTTTATGAATTATTTAACTTTTTGTTATTTTAAATAAGATTCAATAAGAGTTCCAGAGTAGTATTGGAGAGATCTGATGGAAAGATTTGCAGAAGGAAGACCACTCTGTGAAGAAAAGGTTGTGACAATATTTGAATAATAATAACAAACATAACGTCAAGCTCACGAAGCTGAAATCTCGGAAGAGCTTGATTAACAGTTATCTATGATGTTTACTGATTACAACCTAGGTTTCTAGATGTGGTAACCTTTTCATTAATTTGAATAGCCAGAAAATCAAATTTTAAATCATGTAAATTATTAATTCTTTTGAATTTTATCATAATCTAAAATAAATAATCATAATATTAAATTATTTAGGCCTACAATGATGATCAGCTTGGAGATTTCTTGCATTAAGTTATTGACAAAATATATCCTTAAAAAGCTATTTAATCAAAGCCTCATGACATTCCTGATCACATGCCTTTGAGAATCAGCATTATTGGTAATAGATTTTCAGGAAAGAAATCCCTTTCTTAATTAATTAAGTAAAAATATGGAGTTGAAATCATCGACGTATATGATGTTATAGATCAGGCTATTAAATATGTAAAATTTAAATTTTTCTTTTTATTTATTCATAAATATTTTTCTTGATAAAAGGCTTTTCCTCCTCCTGAAGATGAAAATGAAAAAAAGAAAAATGCAGCAAAGAAATAAACTAAAAAAGGGTAAGTTGAAGAAGAAAAACCCGATAATCCTCAACTCAGAGAACTTGGATAATAAGCAAACGAAATGAAAACATAAAATATTCCTTATACTGATGAGATTTTAGTGAGGGCTGCTCTTATATAAATAAAATAAATTTTCCCTGTGGTAACACCTGATTAACTCATTCAATAATTAGCAGATGCTAAGATAAAAGAGTAAGAAAGACAAGCTTAAATGAAGAAAGAGTGGGAAGACTACTTAAAAAAGAAAGAAAAAAGTAATCCTAAAAAAGCTGCAGGAAAAGAAGGCAAAAAGAATGTAGGTTCTAAAGTAGAAATAGAAGTAATAGAAGACCCTCCTCAAGAAACTTACGAAGAAGCAGTTTATCGTTTAATGAATCAAAAAGAATTTGAATACACACCAGGTAAAAACTAATTTTTATTTAATATTAAATATTTATTTTTAATTAATTATTATTATTTTATTTTAGGCTTTGTGCTGGTTAACTTCCCTCAAAATGTTAAGTAGGCCAAGCTTTTAGAAGAGGGTTTAACAGGATTTGTGATGGAAGAAGAAAGATTGAATCCAGAAGGTGAATAGATAAAAGAATAAATAGCTTAACTTGTTAGAGCAGGAGAGAAGACTCCTGACACCAGTCTTAAATAAGGCGGAATCGATTTGGTGATAAATCTTAATGTCGATGAGACTATTGCAGAAAAGAGAGCGGCAAATAGAAGATTAGATCCTTAAACAGGAAATATATATAATTTAGAAGATAATCTTCCTCCTCTTGAAGAAAAAGGACTTGCTGATAGAATACAGCCAATAGATGATCCTTAAAGCAGCTTAGAAAAAATATAAGAAGCCAACAAATAATTCATTGAGTATAATTATTAAAAATATTTTTTATATCTAATTAAAATATTCTTGTTATGATTATTTTCAAATTGAATTATTGATAATTAAATTTCATTTCTTGTATTATTGATAGAAACTTAGATTATTTGCAAGAATGGTATGGTATGTTCGGATTTGAGACAGAACCTGCTAGCAATTTAAATACAGAGCAATAACAGCCTTAATCATAAGCATAATTATAGTAGAATGAAGATTTGGCATAAGAGCAACAGGAATAGGAAAAAAATATATTTGGAGCTATTTAAAGTTTGGAGTCTACAACTAAAAGAATTGAGGTCTTTGAATAAATAGACAAGAAGCTATCTGATCTGCTTAAAATTAAAAAGAAAAAAATAGAAGAGTAAATCTAAAACTACTAACAAGAATAAGAAAGATTGTAGTAGTAAAGAGAAGAAGAGAGACTCCTTTAAGAAAAGCTAGAATAAGAAAGATTAGAAAAAGAAAAACAATAGCAATAACAATTATAAGAAGCATCTAATTCAGCTAACACTTAATCTAACAATCCTAATGCTTCAGCCTCCCAAGAATAATTGTCAAGTCAAAACAAAATCCCTACTGATAATCTAATTAGTAACGACATGGCTGACACTTCTAAAATAAACTAAACAGATCAATCTATGTAAAACTCAGGATAAGCAGGAGGTGACTTCTTTGACAGACTTAAAATGGACAATTTGAGTAATTCGTTTTTTACTATTTTAAAATTAAAAAAAAATATTAAAAAATATTTTTACACAATATTGATTTGAATAAATAAAAAAGCAATTTTTAGAAATATTTAATTTTCTAAATAAAAAACATAAAAAGAATCAAAAAAATAAATATTTTAAATAAATTTGTTTTTATGAAATAATTTTTAAATTTTATCAAATATAAAGAAACTGTGATGAAAATGTGGAACGAAATATAGACTAACTATTTCAAAGAAATAAAATAAAGCTTACATAAAATAGATAACCATAGAGAGGTTATTTCAAATCGTTTAGCTGATGTATAATTTAGATTCCTTTCGGTTATTCAAAGGCCAGATGATAAATAGGTATGCTATATTTGAAAGCTTTTACTTTGTTTGAAATATTTTTTTATATTTTATAAAAGCATAAAATAAATACTTTCAAAGACAACCTAAATAAATTCTTTGATGATAATCCACAAATGCTTAGATTCTAAAACACTAAAGATGAATTAAATCAGCACTTAGAAACTTTGTATGAAAATCTATGGGATTCTGTAGAATAAAAGTAAAATAATTAATCAATAAAATCAATAAGCTTGTTTACAAAAATAAAATTAATTTTACTTAGAAAAGCTGAATCAATTTAGGAAAGAAAAACAATCATGGCTTCAGGATGGTTTGACTCTGAAATGGCTGCTCTTTTTTCTTCTTATTAAAGATTTTTCTAGCTAGAATTAAATAAGGTATATTCAAAATTAAATGATATTTATTATTTCACTTTACTTATTAATACAAATATAATTTTAAATAAATGAAAGCTTGAAGAAATTATAGAACTCATTTTATATATCTAAGATGTTGTAGAAGGAAAACCCATTAATGAAGTTTAAGAACATATCATTTTAGATCCCTTCCCTAATGGGCAACCTCCACCAATTTATGATATTGAAAATCCTAACCATTTCCCTAGGGTAGAGAAAATGTTTGATCACTTTATGCATTCAGTTGATAACATCAGCGAGCTTATTGGAGGTAATCAATCAATTCAATCAAATTGCTTCTCTTTTTTATTTTTAGAAAAAATCATTTCAATTAAAAATTTAATTTTTGGAAAAAATAATTTCAACTAAAATTTTTATTTTTAGAAAAAATAATTTCAATTAAAAAATAAATTTAAACGTCTAAAAAAACTTGATTTTATATTTGTAAAAAGACATAAGAGCTAAATTCTTTAAAAAGAGAACTGCTGGTCTATCGTTTTAGACTATAAACGAGAAGTCCTATCCAGGCTTGAACGATCTCTATAATTAAGTACTCGAAACTGAAAAAGGAATTTGCAAGTATAGAGGATACATTTTGAAATTTACATTAATTAGTAGAATTAAGGAACTTAAAATGATTGAAGTAGCTCTGTACAGCAAATTAGATGATTGGATTATATTTGGTTTAAAGCATGAAAACGAAGTTATTTATGATGCAGTCAGAACTTTGAGATAAGCTATTCAATCTTAAAACCCTGTAGACACTTTGGTTGTGAGTGTTAAAAATATTTCTGACACATACAAAGTAATAATATTTTTAATAAAAATAAATATTTATTGTAAAATAATTATTTAAAGATATTGAATTGCTTCAATCAAATTCCTGCTTATATTCAACCACTCGAACTAGTTGAATCGGTTGATGACTTTAGATTCACAATTTTCGGTATTAAGCTTCTTTATGAAGAACTTCACACTTTATGTGATAAAAGAGACATCATAAATCTAAAAATATTTGAAAATGTATTCTTAAGAAGAAAAAAACATTCAAATCACCTCCCAAAATTCATAAAGTAATTGCCTGATAAATGTTTAGAGAGCATTTATGCAAACTTTGAATCACAAATACATGACGATAAAATAGATTTTAAGGTAATTTTTTAAATAAATATTTATCAAATTAATAAAAAAGAATTTTTAATTAATAATTTTAATAAAATAGGACTTAATGATTTGTTTCATTCTGTTTAGCTCTCCAGTTCCAACTGAAGACCTCATAGAAGAATACAAAGATCAACTATTGACCTACTCAAACAGTGGTTATTTAGAAACACATAATTTCCTTCGTGTAAATAAATTTCAATTCGACTCTATCATGCATGATTAAAATTACCAATTTATAATTTAATTTTATAATTTTAATTCAGATCGAAGCATGGTTTGACGAATATGAGAGAGATAGACAACTTTATGGTTAGAATTTATTCAACAGAGTATTTTTTGTAAAGCAGCTTTTGTTTGATCTCTATTGCGAAAATGAACCCGTAAATTATTATCATTTTGATTATAATTAATTACACATACTCTGATAAATTACATTGATAATTTATTTAAACCTATTTTGTATAAAAAGTACATCCTAAGCATTAATTAATACATTGAGTCTCTCAAGAGATTGTCTAGTAAGGGCAAAGAATATTTCTGGCAAATTCTTTTTGAGTGAAATTTTAATTGAAAGATTTCATAAAATAAAGTCATTAAATTATTAATAACATTAAAAAAATCAATAAAAGCATTTTTATATTGAATTATTTTGTCTCATTTTTATAATAATTCTCATTTTTTTTATTCAAAAATTGCATTCTTAAAATGTTGGTCATTTTCATTTATTTAAATTATTTAAAATTTCTTTCTTTTGGCTAAAAAAATTAAAATGAAAATTTGAGGAAATTAAGAAAAAAAGAAAATAGAATTTTTCTTAATTTAGAACAAACAAACAATATGAATAATGAGAGATTTCATTGCGTAAGATGAAAATATTACAAAACATACGCACTTTTTGTTTTAAATATGAATTTAAAAATCAAATTAATGAGTAAATCTGACAACAATATTTACAAATACTGCTTAATAAACTGCCAAATCTAAAAGTACTCAAAATAAGCTATTCATCTCAAAAAAAAAAAAGAATTTAATAATAATAAATCGAAATCTTTTGCGCAAACAAGATAAGAATTAAAGCAAATAAATAAATAGAAAATTTAGGGAGAGAACACCAAGCAAACAAAAAAACACAAAAGTATTATTTAGAAATAGTTTATTTGATAAAATGGATAGCTAGCAGGAAAATAAAAGCAGTTAAATCTATTAAAGTTTTTAGCAATACTAGCACATCAACAAAAGTCTCAACAAACTTGTTAGCTTTGAATTTTTGCTTGAACAGACTCTTAATTACATCTCAAACAAATCTACATTTTTTAACAAGGATAGATTCTTGGAAATTCTTTCACTATCGCAATTTGTCAAGGTTTATTTTAAACTTTAGAAAATGAACATCAGCCAAAAGTAGATTTACATCTCAGAAGGTAATATGCAAGAAGAATTAGATGAATAAAACCGTTAAAAAAGCGAGGCTTTTGAAAAATTCTTCACTGAAGACTATATTGAAAAATACAGAAATTTGCAGCCAGAGGAATAAATCTAAAAAATGGCCGAGACATTAGAAAGAATTAAGAATCGTCAGCAAAATGGGATGACATTCAATGAAGATTTTGAAGAAGAGTTGTAAAGAAGTCATAAAAGAGTTGGTTTACTCTCTAAGCTACCTATACCTAAAGATCTTTTAGAGACAAAGCAACCAAATCAAAAAAAAAGCGATTACATGATTTTTGTTGGAGAAGTCCTATTTATAGTAAGACCACTCATTTACTGCATTTTGTTGCGTATGTTTGGTGTTAAATCATATACACCTTATATGATTTCCCTTATCATTGATCTTTTTCGTCTGATTCTCTAACGCAAAATAAAGTTTTATTAACCTGCATAGAGAGAAGAGTTTAAAACAAGAAATAAAGAAATGATTCTAAATTATCTACTTAGAAACCCCTTCTACAGTCACATTTTCAGAAATAAAGTGTTAATTCCTATGTTAGATTCCTTATTCGGAAGTAGATTATAATTTTTAAAATCCTTCATTTTAGGTATAATAGAGATGCGTTGTTCAATTTGTTTACTCTTGTGATCGCCTCTACTCACTCTCATATATCTTCAATCAATCAATCATTAATAATAATAAATTTAAAAGATATCAGATTTTCTTTCAATCTGAGCTGATAAATAAATAGATAGTATAGCTAATTAGTATAAATATAAATTATACCAATAAAAATTAAAGCATCATCAACAACTTAAAAATAATATATTTTTTCTTATTTTAATAATACTAATTTATACATTTTCAACATTTAAAGCTTCTAAACATAGCCAATAAATGAAACAAAATAAAAACATTAATCCTCATAAATCAATTATTAATACTAATAAAGTATGAACATAAAGAATGTATACATTTTTTCATATTCTAAAAGTAAACAAACATATTTTAATAGAAGAAAATAAATCTTTCTGTGTCCATCCATTTTTTTGTTTTTTTCCATTTGAAATAAAAATTTAAATCATCTTAATAATAAATTATATTAACTTAAATCAAATGATGTACATATTAAACCATTTATTTATCATTAAAAAAGAGTAAAGAAAATAAAAATTAATTACTAAAATCTTACGTACGTACTCAAACAATTATGAGAAATTTAATTATTATTTGTAAAGTTAAATCTCAAATATTTTAAATATATTTTGTAAATAACTTACAAAAGAATAAAATTAATATGATTCACTTACTATTACTTGCTAACTACAATACTTTTTAATAAACCACTTTATATTTTTAGCTAATTTATTTACTTTATTACAATATATTTTTAGTTTTTAAAATAAAAGTAATTTGATTAAGAGAAATAAATAAATAAATAATTAATTAAGTAAATGAATAAATTATAAACTAACTCAAATAAATTCTTTATTTAAAAATTATAATGTCTTCTTACAAATTTTCTGAATATTTTATGATAAACTAAATTAATATTTATATTTATATTGGATTAAATTAACAAAATAGAATGGTAAATAGATTAAATGTAAGCCTTTTGCATAAAAAAATATATATTTAATATATATTTTTCTAATATTTTTTTTTTTTGTGGTGCATTTAATCATTATTTATCATTTACTAAAAATATAAAATATTTTATTGATTATACTAATAATTTATGATACTGTATTCAACTCGACTCGTTTTATTTTAATTATTGATTACTATTATACTATAATATTAGAGTAATGACTAATTTTTAAAACATTAGTAAAATTCAACGAATTGGTTGGATGGATTGATAGGGTATATGAAATATTACTTAATGTAATAGATATAATTAAAAAGATTTTATTTTATTATTTTCAAATCTTTCTTTGTTATTTTAAATAATACTGTTCAATTAAAATAAAAAAATTTTTATATTTTTTGGTAAAAGAAAGAAAACACTTTATTGATTCTTTTTGATAATTATTTGAAAATGTTTCCTACTTCATTCAGCTAAAATTACGATAAAAGTTTTTTAATAATTAGATGTTAATTTGATTATTTTAACATCACATTTAGTTAGTTAGTTATTTAGTGAATTTACTTACACTTTAATAATTTTAGATATTCAAAAATGCATTTTGATAAATAAGAAGGGGAAAAAAAATAAAAACTACAAAAATTATAGATTCAATTTAATACTATTCTCAAATAAATTTTAAATAAAAAGCATGAATTCATTTATTTAGTTACAATTTTTTACTGTTTAATATGCTCTTGAATTATTTTAGCAATTAATTAACCAAAAATTTATCTCTTTATTAATCTATTTTTTTTTATTCAACAATAATTATAAATAAACAATAGAATTTAAATTATATTTCAGTAGCAGGTTGATTTAAAACTAAAATAAACTAATTTATTCGTCTTATAGAAATTTGTATAACAGCGTCCTACTTCATCATCATCAATATAGTGCTAATAGTACTCACTTTTAATTTATAAAAGTAAATTATTTTTTTATTGTTTTATTTAAAAAATAAATTAAGTTTACCCAATCACTAGCTTTAATACTTATAATTTCTTCAATTTATTTATAGATTTAGGAAGCTAATTTATGCTATTTAAGCGGTTATGCCTTTTAAATAGTAAATATTTAATTAGAATTTCATTTAAATTATATTGATAGATAATTTTAATGAATTCTAAACTCATCCTGTAATTAATTAAATAAATCTAAATTAAATTAAATAACTTTACTGTAAATTTAAATCCAAATTTTTGATATTGGATTATGATAAGCTCTATATAAAATCATAAGCATCTGTTGAATTACAACCAATAAAATTATGACTTTTTATTTATAAAAAATAATTAAAATAATAAAGATAATAATGATAATAACATATAAAATATATATATTATGCTTCTTCTACTTTTTTAGTAGAAAATAAACTTTCTTTAATTCAGAAAATTCAAGAAATAGAAAATCTAACAACATTAAATAAATAAATAAATAAATGAGTGAGTGAGTGAGAGATTACAGAATATATTTTTAAAAATCAGCTATAAAAATTAATTTATTAAAAAATATTGTAAATTACCTTAAATCAATTTTAAGTGTTGTTAAAGATTTACTATTGGCAATAGAGCTAAAGAAAAGATAGGCTCCATTCTTGTCAATTCTATTTTCACGGTTTTCGTTGATAGGTCCTCTGTTTTATTATGTTTATAGTATCGATTTCAGTATTGTTAAAAATTTAAATTACCCAAAATCTACTTTTAAAATTTTTAGGTTTTTACACTTAGCAAAGTTTTAACCAAGACCTGGTAATAAAATTTGGTTTATTTAAGGAAAATTGCTTTTTTTTAAATTAAAATAACATTAATTTCATGAATTTTATTTATTTTTTATAATCAATGTTGGAGAAAATTTATTTTTTTTATTTCTAAGATTTAATCTTAAAAAAATAAATAGCGCTTACGATAATCCAAGTGAAAAAGTTAAAGAACTTATATTCGAATTAGAAAGATGACTGGCAAAATTAACAAGAGTCATTTCACAACCGTCCCAATTACTAATATTAATTAATAAAAAATAAATCAAATATTTATTTTTTAATTAATTTATTACAAGCCAAAACTAATATTTATGTCAGTTAATTTAAAGCAGTTAGCTAAATTAATTCCGAACACTGAGAGTTAATCTGAAGAAATTTGAGGGTTTTGACTTTAATTAAAATAAGATATTTATTAACAATTTAAATTGTTGCTATTTTAAAATAAAATTTTACTTAAAGTAGGAGCCATTAATTGAAATAACTAATGTATTAAGTTCTTTATTTTTTAGCAAAGCTTTACTGAAACTCTAAATAGTATCTTAATTCCATAATCTTTTTAATTCATAATAATATTATTTTAATAAAAGGAAGCTTGTTAGAATAATCCAAATAAGTCCAAAATATCAGTCATATTTTACAAGTATTTTAGGCTTAAATAAGAGAGATTATTTATTTTCCCTAAATTTGAAAAGACATCATCTACTTATGAACTTTCAACATCAAATCTAGTTTGTAACAAATAAAAAAATATTCAAATTCTAATTTAATTTATTCTAATGTATTAAAAAATAAATATTCTGTGAAAGAAAGTAAGTAAGTAAGTAAATAAAAAATCAAACCAGAGATTGTCTAAGATATTTTATTATTAAATTAGATAAAAACCAACAAAATTTAAACACAGTTAATTTTAATTTTAATAAATTACTTCATATCTAACTAGACTTCGCTAAGATTTTGGCATGATGATATCTGATTCAAAAAACTTGAATATGACTTTTAAGTTAAACTATAACTATTATTAAAACTTTTATTTATAAAAAAAATGAGCTATCATTATAATTATTTGAATAAATTTTATCTTAAAATAATTTAAGTTTAAACCTGAAAGTAATTTTTAGAGTTTTTAGATTATAGGCCTACTATAATCCCTGTCCTAATAAATTAAAATCTTTATCATTAAAGAAAACGCCTTAACCAACCCTATTAATAATAATTATGTTTTAATAAATAATAGGAATTAATTAATATAAAAATAGATTTACGATTGATTTAGCTAAAACTCTTTTAGCTATTTGCAAGATACAAAAACTTAATCAAACGAGGCCAGATAACTTGAATCAATTTTTTTAGAACTTTAAATTAAAAAATATCAAAAATTAATATAAAATTAAATAAATAAATAATCAAAGTAATTTTATTTTTATCCATCTAAACATTTTAATTTAATTAAAGTCATCAATCTATTTAATTATTTTTTTTAACTTTTATCAAAATAATCATTAATTATGATTTATTAGATAATATATATATATATCCCTTAATAAACAGGTTTTTGCTAAGATTTAACAAATCAAGAAAAGATAATCAAGGCTAAAATATTTTTCAAGCTCATTATTTATTTCAATTTACAAAATTTTGAATTCTACTTAACAAATTTGCTTATTAACTAAATGATATTTTAAATGTCTTAATTTATCTTTAATTTTATATGTAACAAAGTATTTCATATATTATTATGGTTGCTACTGCTGCTGTTATAATAATAAACCAATATTATATTGATAATGTCAAAATTTGTGATGAAATTTTTAAAATGATTCCTATTTACTGTAATTTGCAAAATATCAATCTTAAAAATGGTCCTCTAAATTAAATTAGAATAAGACAATAAATTTGAAATTATTTATGTAGGGAGGGAGGGAGGGAGGAGGTTTACATATTTAAGACCGACAATATATTAAATTAGATGAATAAAATAATTTTAATTCCTAGATAAATTTATTTACTTAATAATAAGTTTGAGATATTCTAGTTAAGTAAAATTAGTAACTGCCAAGCATATTTTAGTAATAATATAAGAGTTTACTTCAGTTGGACTTTTAATTTTATTAAAATAATAAATTTAAAATATTCATAAATATTTTTCCTTTTATTTTCATGTAGGTGATTAAACAAATTAAAAAATTAAAATTCTATTTTCTTTATTTTTTATTCTATTTTGATTTAAAAAATATTTAAAATTACTCTAAGTCAATAAAGAATCTTTCAATACTTATGCAATTTTAAAGATAGGAACAAAGTTGAATTAATGATTCATTTGAAATCCAAGTTTTATAAGATCCACTTTTACATAAAATAAAAATCAATAAATTTTATGAGTAAAAAACACTAATTTCAAAATATTTTATAAAAATTAGAAAGTTTATTTATTACCAAAAGATCAAATCCAGACTTTTCAGATTTTTTATAGAAGTTAAGGCCTATCCTAAATTTAGTATTTTTAAATAGTCTAGTGAAAGAAATCTTTTTATATAAGTTAGGAATTAATTAACGTAAAAATAAATAGTAAATGTTAAGAGATTTTTTTTTATACCTTAAATCTAGTACTAATTACGATAGATTAATACATTTTGCAAGAGTAGAGCCTAAATTTGACGTATTTAATATATTAACTGATTTATTACTTTTAAATTAAAATAAGAAAGATAATTAAGATAAAAATTAAAATTTATAAATAAAATAATTATCAAGTTCAAATAAACACAATAAGTTTTATAAATAAAGTAAATATAAATTTTAGTAGAATTTTAAATTTGAATTTTTTATTAAGAATTTATTTGATCATCAAAAATCCATTTTTACTTGAATTAGATTTTCAATTTTTAGAGATTAATGCATTTTTCTAAAGAGGAACATAAACTAGATTCTTCTTAACTGGAGTAATAATATTCCCTAGTTAAATATTGTTAAATTTTCAACAATAGATTATTATTTGATATATAAAAAGATTAGCAAAATAGGCTTTTAAATATTAAATCTAGTCACATTAACTCAATACTCAGATCAAATTGAGATTCAAACGAAGATTTTAAAAACTATTTTTATAAATAAAATAAAATAAAACAAAAGATAGATTAAAAAATAAAATTACATCTTATAGTTTATAATATTTTATCTTTTGTTATTTCATTTTTTTTTGAAAATACCTGTTTTACAAATTTATTAATAAATTAGCTAATAATAAAAATATTAAGTAATTAACTTGGTTTTGATACAATTAAATTACAGTATTCATAATTATATCAAATTAAATATAAAGAAATTGGCAATTCGATATGACACTATCGAAATTTAGGGTCAATATATTCTCAAATTCGTGATAATTTATATTTTGATTAATATTTGATTAATTTAAATAAAAAATACAAAATATTTATGCTTAATATTTACAGTAATTTCTCGATTGGTATAAAATCATAAAAACTGGAGTTTTTTAGAAAAAAATGAAGTTAAAAAATCAGTAAAATTCGGCTAATTGATTGGTTGGATTGATAGGGTAAATGAAATATTACTGTATGTAATATAAGTAATAAAAAATATTTTATTTTATTGTTTTCAAATCTTTCTTAGTTATTTATTTTGAATAATATTGTTGAATTTTAATAAAAAAAATTTTATATTAATATTTATAGGTAAAAGGAAAGAAAATATTTTATTGATTCTTTTTGATAATGATTTTAAAATTTTTCATCATACACTTCATTAAACTAAAATTATGATAAAAGTTTTTTGATAATTAGATGCTAATTTGATTACTTAACATCACAATTAGTTAGTGAATTTACTTAAATTTTAATAATTTTAGATATTCAAAAATGCATTACGATAAATAAGAAGGGAAAAAAAAAAAAAACTACAAAAATGATACATTCAATTTAATACTATTCTCAAATAAATTTTAAATAAAAAACATGAATTCATTTATTTAGTAATAATTTTTTACTGTCTAATATCTTATAAAATTAATTTAGCCATTAATTAATCAAATATTTATCTCTTTATTAATCTATTTTTTATTATTCAACAATAATTATAAAAAACAATAGAGTTTAATTTGTATTTCAGTAGCAGGTTGATTTAAAACTAAAATCAACTAAGTTTTTCGTCTTATAGAAATTTGTATAACAACGTCCTACTTCATCATCATCAATGTAATGCTCATAGTACTCACTTTTAATTTATAAAAGTAAATTATTTTTTTATAACTGATATTTTTTTAATGTTTTATTAGAAAAAATAAACTAAGTTTACCCAATCACTAGGTTTAATACTTCTAACTTCTTCAATTTACTTATAGATTTCGGAAGCTAATTTATGCTTTTTAAGCGATTATGCCTTTAAATAAATAGTAAATATTAGATCATAATTTCATTTAAATTATTTTGATAGATAATTTTAATGCATTCTAAACTCATCCTGTAATTAAATAAATAAATCTAAATTAAATTAAATAATTTTACTGTAAAATTAAATCCAAGTTTTTGATATTGGATTATGATAAGCTCTATATAAAATCATAAGCATCTGTTGAATTACAACCAATAGAATTATTTCTTTTTATTTATAAAAATTAATTAAAATAATAATGATATTAATAATAGCATATAAAATATATACTGCTTCTTCTACTTTTTTAGTAACAAAAAACTAAATAATTAAATCAATATTAAAAATAGAAAATCTAACAATTTTAAATAAATAAATAATGAAATGATTGAGTGAGTGAGTGATTGCAGAATATATTTTTAAAATCAGCTATAAAAATTAATTAATTAAAAAATGTAACAAATTACTTCAAATCAATTTTAAGCGTTGTTAAAGAATTACTATTTGCGATAGAGCTAAAGAAAAGATAAGCTCCATTCTTGACAATTCTATTTCCACGGTTTTCGCTGCTAGGTCCTCTGTTTTATTATGTTTGTAATATCGAATTTCAGTATTTTTAAAAATTTAAATTACCCAAAATCTACTTTTAAAATTTTTAGGTTTTTACACTTAGCAAAGTTTTAACCAAGACCTGGTAATAAAATTTGGTTTATTTAAGGAAAATTGCTTTTTTTAAATTAAAATAATATTTAAATGATGAATTTTATTTATTTTTAGAATCTGTGTTGGAGAAAGTAAATTTATTTTTTTTATTTCTAAGATTTCATCCTAAAAAAATAAATAGCGCTTACGATAATCCAAGTGAAAAAGTTAAAGAACTTATATTCGAATTAGAAAGATGACTGGCAAAATTAACAAGAGTCATTTCACAACCGTCCCAATTACTAATATTAATTAATAAAAAATAAATCAAATATTTATTTTTTAATTAATTTGTTACAAGCCAAAACTAATATTTAAGTCAGTTAATTTAAAGCAGTTAGCTAAATTAATTCCTAATACTGAGAGTTAATCTGAGGAAATTTGAGGGTTTTGACTTTAATTAAAATAAGATATTTATTAACAATTTAAATTGTTGCTATTTTAAATGAAAAATCTTACTTAAAGTAGTAGCCATTAATTGAAATAACTAATGTATTAAGTTTTTTATTTTTTAGCAAAGCTTTACTAAAACTCTAAATAGTATCTTTATTCCATACTCTTTTTAATTCAAAAAAATATTATTTAAATAAAAAAGAAGCGTGTTATAATAATCGAAATAAGTTCAGAATGTCCTATTTTACTAGTGATTTAGGCTTAAATAAGAGAGATTATTTATATTCCCTAAACTTGAAAAGACATCATCTACTTATGAACTTTAATTATCAAATCTAATTTATAACAAACAAAAAAATATTGAAATTCTAATTTAATTTATTGTAATATCTTATAAATAAATATAGTGTGAAAATAAATAAATAAGTAAGTAAGTAAGTAAGTAAGTAACTTGAGATTGCTCTAAGATATTTTATTACTTAATTAAATAAAAACTAAGGAACCAACAAAATTTAAAGACAATAAATTTTAATTTTAATAAATTACTAAATATCTAACTAGACTTCGCTAAGATTTTGGCATGATGATATCTGATTCAAAAAACTTGAATAGGATTTTTCACTTAAAATAAAACTATTATAAAGACTTTTATTTATAAAGTAAATGAATTAGTTATATTAGAATTATTTGAATAAATTTTATGAAACCTCAAAGTAATTTTTAGAGTTTTTAGATTTTAGGCCTACTATAATCCCTGTCCTAATAAATTAAAATCTTTATCATACAAGACAGCATCTAAACCAACACTATTAATTATAATTATGTTTTTAAAATAATAATAGAATTTATATAAAAATAGATTTACAATTGTTTTAGCTAAAACTCTTTTAGCTTTTTGCAAGATGCAAAAACCTAAGCAAAAGAGGCCAGATAACTTGAATCAATATTTTTAGAACTTTAAATTAAAAAAATATCAAAAATTAATATAAAATTAAATAAATAATCAAAGTAATTTATTTTTTATCCAACTTAAATACATTTTAAAATAAAATTTTCTTATTCTAATTTAGTCTATTTAATTATTTTTTTAACTTTTATCAAAATACCGTAGATTCTCGGTAATTAAGGACCAGTTTAATTATGTACTTTTTTGAGTGGTATTTAAAAATGTTTAATGTCAAATTTAAAATTATTAATGGAGGGAGGAGGTTTACATATTTAAAACTCAAAATATTAAATTAAATGAATAATCTAATTTTTATTCCTAGATAAATTTATTTACTTTATACGAAGTTTGAGATATTCTAGTTTAGAAAAGTTAGTAACTACCTAGCATATTTTAGTAATAGTCGAAGAGTTTACTTCAGTTGAACTTTTAATTTTATTAAAATAATAAATTTAAAATATTCATAAATATTTTTCCTTTTATTTTCATGTAAGTGATTAAACAAATTAAAAAATTAAAATACTAGTTTCTTTATTTTTTATTCTATTTTGATTTAAAAAATATTTAAAATTACTCTAAGTCAATAAAGAATCTTTCAATACTTATGCAATTTTAAAGATAGGAACAAAGTTGAATTAATGATTCATTTGAAATCCAAGTTTTATAAGATCCACTTTTATATAAAATAAAAATCAATCAATTTTATGAGTAAAAAACACTAATTTTAAAATATTTTATAAAAATTAGAAAGTTTATTTATTACCAAAAGATCAAATCCAGACTTTTCAGATTTTTGATAGAAGTTAAGGCCTAACCTAAATTGAATATTTTTAAATAGTCTAGTGCAAGAAATCTTTTTATATTAGTAATTAATTATTTAATATAAAAAATAAATAGTAAAAGTTTTTGTATATTTTTTTTACCTCAAATCTAGTGCTAATTATGTTAGATTAATACACTTTGCAAGAGTAGAGCTTAAATTAGAAGTATTAAATATATTAACTAATTTCTCGCTTTTTAAATTAAAACAAGAAAGATAATTATGGGAAAATAAATTTAAAAATAAAATAATTATCAAGTTCAAACAAACGCAATTAGTTTAATAAATAAAGTAAATAAAAATTTTAATAGAATTTTAAATTTGAATTTTTTTATTAAGAATTTATTTGATCATCAAAAATCAGTTTTTACTTGAATCGGATTTGCAAATTTTAGAGGTTAGTGCATTTCTCTAAAGAGGTATATAAATTTGATACTTCTTAACTGGAATAATCTTTTTCCCTAAATAAAAATTATTAAATTTTCAACAATAGATTATTATTAGATATAAAAAGATTTGCAAAATAGGCTTTTAAATATTAAATTTAGTTACTTTAACTCTAAACTCAGATCAAATTGAGATTCAAACGAAGATTTTAAAAACTATTTTTATTATTAAAATAAAATTAAACAAAAGATTAAAGAATAAAAATTACATCTTTTAGTTCAAAATATATTGTCTGTTTTTATTTCATTTTTTTTTATTTTATAAGATTCCTGTTTTACAAATTTATTAATAAATTAATTAATTATAAAAATATTAAGTAATTAACCTGGCGTTGATACAATTAAATTAGAGCATAAAAATGAGATCAAATAAAATATAAAGAAATTGACTATTTGATCTCATACTACTCGAAATTTAGGGTCAATATATTTTCAAATTCGCCATAATTTATATTTTTCTTAATATTTGATTCATTTAAATAAAAAGTACAAAACATTTATCCTTAATATTTACAGTAATTCCTCGATTGGTATAAAATCATATAAACTAGAGTGAGGAGTTATTTAGAAAAAATAACCACAAAAGTTAAAATAAAAAGTAAAATTTGATTTCTCCTTGAGGTATTGTTTAAATTATGGAATCTAATTAATTAATCATGATAAATAAAATAAGGATAGAAATATGATTGATAATATTTAAGATTAAAAAATAACCGGCATATAAAAGCTTTGCATTTATATAATTTAATAAGATATAATATAAAACTAAAAGTTTCAAATTATTTGATCGCTTTTGGAGAAACCGAAGGGGTTTGCTTAGAGGATTTAATTTATTTAAGTAAATTTAATTTTTTATTTTGATAAATAATTTATTTACTTACAAAAATATGAATGTTATTTATAAATATAAAATCTATAATAAAATTTATCTATCTATTTTTTTTTAGATTAAAAACACTTTTTCAAAATATTATATAATAAAATATATAATATTATTCAAACATTTTATATTTATTCATCCTTTTTTCACCAGTTGTTTATCAACAGAAATATATCTTAAAGACGACTAATCTTTTTGATTTAAGACACTTGCTTACTACTTTGAATTATTATAATTTATTCTTTTATCTAAAAAGTTTATAATAAAATTGTGTAAATTTTAAAATAAATATCAAAATAAAATAAACTTTTAAATTAAAAATTATTCTTTAAATTAATAAATAAAATAATATTAATGCAATAAAAAAGATAAAAAAATAAATTAAATAAAAGTTATCAAATACATTCAAAGAGCTTTTTTATTTTATATTCATTTTTATAGTTTAAAATATCACAATCCAAAACAAACAAACTGTTTTTACAAAAGGGTAAGTGTCAAATTAGAGAGATTAATGCAATTTGCTAAAGCAGAACCTAAGCCTGATGCACCTTCATCACCAATTTAATTTCCCCTTTTTAAATATTGAACAAAAAATATATCATTAAATAGTTAATTAGAAGGAAAAATATGAAATAATAAGATTAATTATTGAATAATAAAAGAAAAAGTTGAAAATAAAATGATGAGCTAAATTAACAAAGAAAGAACGAAAAAAGCAAGCACAATTTTTTTCAAAAAAAATGATATGTTATAAGAATATGAGATATATATTATTAGAAATAATATGAAATAATAAGATTAATTAATAATTAATAAATTTAATAAAGAATGAAAAAATAAGAAATAATAATAAAAAGAAAAAGGAAAACAAATCAAATAAATTAAAAGATATATATAATGTTTTAAATTAACTTTTATTATAAAAAATATTACAATGCAAAACAAATAAACTGCTTTTATTATGTGTAAGTTTTAATAGAAAAAAATGATGAAAAAATATCAAACAATAAAAAATAAAAAATTGAAATGAAAATTAAGTTAAAATATCTAAAAAATTTTTGTTTTAATAAAAATCAATAAATAATGATTATAATTTCTATAATAAAATTATTTATTTAAATAAATTGAAATTTAAATGTACAAAAAATATTAATAATAATAAAAATAATATTTTTTAATTAAATATACCTCAGATTAATAAGGAGAACCTAATGAGATAAAAGTGAAGAGCTTAAAAACTTTTTTTATTAATTTATATAAATAAAAAGGATATTAATACAAAAATTAATAATTACTTCTTCTAATTAGTTATATTTTTTAATCTATTATATCATTTTTTTTTTCTTCAAAAATATTGAATAGCAATTTATGAAATTTAATTAATTTATTAATTAATTATAAATTGATAAAAAGAACAAATAAATATAATAATTAATTAATTATCAAATATTAATTTATATATTTGATTTTATGAAGAGATATCATAGAAAAATTATTTTAAATTTATTATTTAATCTTAATATTTGTATTTAAACATATACTTAAAAATATATATAGTAGGAATTAGAGATGGTCAGTTATTTATTTAGTCCTATTTGAAAAAATTCTAGTTTAAAATTTGTTAAAAAGTTTTTAAAAATGTTGTAAAATGTTACCCTCCAAGTGAAATACTTGGAGGAAAATAATTTGGCATAATAGGTCTTAGTTTCGAACCTTAAAACGCTCAGATTGTAAAATTTCTCATCATTTAAGCTTTTAGCTTAATTTCATTAATATTTAATTAGATAAATTTACAGATCTTAAGTTAAATCATGTTAAAATTATTTTGTAAAGCTTTTGAAGTCATAATTTTTAATTTTTTAATAATAAAATTGTTGTTTTGAAAAGTAATACTAATTTCTTTTTTTACAAATAACTGCCAGTTAATTAATATCAAATCGATCCAATTAAAATATATTCTTTTTTATTTTAATTTTATTATAAATTTTTTCTGTAATGGTTTGCTTATAAAATATATCTTTTACTAAAAGCTTCTTATTTTTTAACTTTAGATAATTAAAAATTTATTTATTTAATATCTTATTTTTTGTTTTGAATAAGAAATCTAATTTTTATTCTTCGCTTTTTAAAGAAAAAACATCAATCCATTCAAAATACAAATCAAGTACTTAATTTTTAAAAAATATATTTTGAAAAATAGCTTGAAAGCAAATTAATAGAAAAGGAAAATTATGATTAGGATAAGTAAAAAATATAGCAATAAAAATTAAAATAATACTAGAATTCTTTCAAAATTATTTTAAGTATTTAAATAGCAATTAAATTATTCATATAAAAGATATAAATAAGCCTTTCAAAAGATTTTTTAGCATAAAATATGAATGTAAATAGATGATGTTTTTATTAAAGTATAGTTTTTCAAATTAATAAATAAAAATTGTATGGTATTTTTTAGAAAACTTTTAAAAAATGTTTAAAATTTAGAAAATAGAACTAATGTTTGGCGGCTGGAATAAGATCACTAAAAACATGTATAAAAATAACACATAATTAGAGCAAGAGTTATATTTGTGAATAATCAATAAATGATTCCTTTTTGAATATCAATAATTTGTTCTAAATCAACTTTTGATTCCCCTTAACTTCAATTTTTAGATTTTGCAGCTTAATTTTCAGAAAGATTAACTACTTAGTTGTTCTAATCACTGTTTTAAGCACCATAAGATTGGTAATGGGAATTTTACTAACCAAGCAATCAAATTACGCAATTATTGAAGTTCTTCTTACATCTTGTCTTTTTCAGCAACAATCTGTTAAATATACTAGTCTTTTTCAACAAAAAAATGTTTATTTTCAGCAAGTATCTGTTAATATTCAGCAAGAATTAATTTATTTTCAGCAACGATCTGTTCAATAAACTAGTCTTTTTGAGTAATAATCTAGTGTGTTTGAGCAAATTGAATGTTGTTTTTCAACAAGAAGCTTGCTTTATCTGTCAACAGTCTTTAATAGTCTTTTGTTTTCAGCGTCAAAGTACTTTTTAATATATTTGATCTTATCGTTTACTTTGCATTTTTGGAAAAAATAGTTAATATTGTTATTTTTTTATTTCAAATCAATCATTTGTAAAATTTACAGATAATTGCTCTAATGATGAGCAAAATTCACTTTTATAAAATCCTAGTTTTTAAATTATTAAAAAATTTTAAGAGTATAAACCTCATTATTAAAGTTAAATATTGAGATTTAAGTTGCAGAAGTCTAACCCGCTTATTATTCTTAATTCCCAACATTTAATTATTCTTTTGAGGAGAATTCACCTTTAGAGACTAAAAATATTCTTCTGTATACTATCCTGAGCAATTGTAATAGCAAAATTATTAATATAAAAAATATAAGCTTTTTAAAATAATTTTTAGCATAAAAAATAAATATAAATAGATGATTATTTAATTAAAGTATAATTCATTCAAATTAATAAATAATAATTACATGGTATTTTTTAGAAAACTTTAAAAAAATATTTAAAATTTTGATAAAATAGAACTAATGTTTGATTGAAATTAGATCAATAAAAATACATACATAAAAAAACATATTAATACATCGGCGCAAAAGTTTTCATTTTATAAATATACAATCAATAAATGAAGCTTCTTTTTTTGAATGTCTATAATTACAATATTTTGATTAGTTCTAAGTCAAGTTTTGATATCCCTAAGCTTCAATTTTTAGATTTTGATGCTTAATTTTCAGATATTATTGTTCTAATCATTATTTTAAGCACCATGAGATTGGTTTTAGGCTTTTTACTAAATAATCAAATTACGCAGTCTTTAGATTTCTTTTTCTTATTGAGCAGCAATCTACATCTTCTTCTCTTTTTCAGCCTTAATCTGTTCAATCTACTCCTTTCTTTTAGCAATAAACTCTAACATCTACTCGTTTTTTTCAGCAATCTGCTTATTTTCAGTAATAATCTTAGTAATAGCCTGTTCTTTTTCAACCAAAGTCTTGCTATAATCAGCAACCATATTTGCTAGATCTTCATTTTCTTTTTAAAGTACCTATTTTAAGATATTTTTAATATTTTTTTGACATATTTGTTAACTTTTCATTTTTGGAAAAATATTGTTAATATTGATTGTTATTTTTTTTTATCAAATAATTTTGCTATTATAAAAATCCCTATTTTAAATTTTCTCAGAATATTTTAGCTCAGGATAACGTACAGAAGAAAGTTTTAATCTCTAAAGGTGAATTATCTTCAAAAGAATAATTAAATGTTGGGAATTAAGACTAATAAGCTGGTTAGACTTCTGCAACTTAAATCTCAATATTTAACTTTAATAATGAGGTTTATACTCTTAAAATTTTTTAATAATTTAAAAAACTAGGATTTTATAAAAGTGAATATTGCTCATCATTAGAGCAATTATCTGTAAATTTTACAAATGATTGATTTGAAATAAAAAAATAACAATATTAACTATTTTTTCCAAAAATGCAAAGTAAACAAGAAGATCAAATAAATTATAAAAATATTTTAAAAAAGTACTTTAAAGCTGAAAACGAAAGTCTATTAAAGAATGTTGACTGATAAAGCAACCTTCTTGTTAAAAAACAACATTCAGTTTGCTCAAACACAAGATTATTGCTCAAAAAGACTAGATTATTGCTCTAAAAGACTAGTTTATTGAACAGTTCGTCGATAAAAATAAATGAAATCTTACTGAATATTAACAGATTCTTGATGAAAATAAACAGATTTTTGTTGAAAAAGACTAGTATATTTAACAGATTGTTGCTGAAAAAGACAAGATGTAAGAAGAACTCCAACAACTAAGTAATTTGATTGCTTAGTAAAATTTCCAAAACCAATCTTATGGTGCTTAAAACAGTGATTAGAACAACTAAGTAGTTAATCTTTCTGAAAATTAAGCTGCAAAATCTAAAAATTGAAGCTAAGGGGAATCAAAACTCGATTTAGAACTAATGAAAAAAACTGTAATTATTGACATTCAAAAAGAAATCATTTATTGATTATTTACAATTAAAACTCTTGCTCTCATGAATGTGTTTTTGTTTATAAATATTTTTAGTGATCTTATTCCAACCAAAAATTAGTTCTATTTTCTAAATTTTAAACATTTTTTAAAAGTTTTCTAAAAAATACCATACAATTTTTATTTATTAATTTGAAAAACTATAATTTATAAAAACATCATCTATTTACATTCATTTTTTATGCTAAAAATTCTTTTGAAAGGCTTATATCTTTTATATGAATAATTTAATTGCTATTTAAATACTTAAAATAATTTTGAAAGAATTCTAGTATTAATTTAATTTTTATTGCTATATTTTTTACTTATCCTAATCATAATTTTTTTTTTCTTTTAATTTGCTTTCAAACTATTTTTCAAAATATATTTTTTTAATCAAAAAAATGAAAATTTTTGGTGCAAATATATATAATCAGACCTTAATATATGAAGATATACATACAGTATAAATATTTAAAACAATAAATTAGAGCAATAATAATTTCATACTAAAGGATTTAAAGTCACAGTATTTAATTGTAAAAGTCATCAAGTATTTTACAATCAAATTAACTTATAAAAAGCTAATAATAATAAATATAAGAATTTGTGTTGTCTTTATCTAGTTGACAAAAAGACTATGAAATTTTATTAAATGGTAGTAGTTTTTAATTTATCTCTTGTTAGCTGTATGTTTAGAATTCCTGCATTTCTTCTTTTTAATTAATTGCTTTTTTAAGCTTTAGTTTATTTTTGATGATTGGGTAAATTATCAGCTAAATAATATTTATGAAGATGAATATTCCCAAAATAATATAAAGAACTACATAATACTTTAAGCTGAGATTATAATTATCTGAAACCCCTTAGGATATTGTAAAGTTAATTTATTCCCCTTCTGTTAAGAAAAATACACTTATAACAATAAAAACCATCCAAGTTGTCAATAGAGTAGCACTAGATTTAATATACTTCGCACTTCTATAGCTATAAATGCTATACCTTATAATAATCATGTATTTATCAATAAGGTATAAAATAATCGATGCTCCCAAAATGAAAAGAACACTATAAGGACATATAAAAATGTAAAATCCAGTGAAAGCTAATAACTTAAAAATTAGAATAAATCTTTTTTCTAAATTTAATTCAGGTTTTTGCATAGCCAAATTTAAATTTATTTAACATAGTTCAATTTTTCCAGTTTATTTAAACCTATTTTTTTATTTATTTGTTAATTTATAAAATTTAAATAAAAAAATAATTACATTTTTTAGATTTTAAATTTTTTGTAAAAATGAAGGATAAATTAAAAATCAAAAATATAGAGACTGATAGACATAGCTAATTAAACCACCATTTCATTTAAGAACGAAGAGGTTCTAAGAACTTTTTGTTGCTAAGTAGAGAAAAGAGAGTCAGATGAGATTAAAAAGAAGAGATAGCAAGGTAGAGTAACATAGTAGGCTAATAAGAAAGTAGTAGCATAATTTATGTAAAACCTAAACTAAGAAGTTTTGTTAAAATGCAGAGATTTTAATGAAACATATTTCAAAAAGGTGAGGATTATTTTTTCAATAGCAAATATGCCAAACGAAATGCTATATTGCACAACCCTGGTAGAAGTATCAATATCTTAATTTTCATTTCCTTCTAAATTATTTAGAGCTTGAGTCATTAAATAAAGTAAATATCCTAATCCTCCAATTAAAATAGAAAAAACAATCACTGATAGAGTTAAATACCTCATTTTAGATTTTATGCTTCTTCCCAGATTCACCCAACTATGAAAATAATAACAAATAAAATAGTTAGAAAAACAATACAAATTTATTTATTTAAGAAAATTTAATAAATAAAAAATAAAAATTAATTTAAAATTGAGATCATTTAATAGAGTAAATTGTTTTGTTGAAAAAGAAAATCAATAAAAAATTAAATTTAAAAATAAATTTATTATTAAAAACATTGAAAAAAATTATTTAATTATTTAAAATAGAATTTGAATAAAATATTTATTAATTTGTAAGTAAATTATTTGCATAAAACTTTATTAAAAATAAAAAAAGATTTGATTAAAATATTTAAAAAGTTTAATTTTATGTAAAATTGACAAATAAATTTTGTATGAAATACTTTTTATTTAAAATAGAGTAAAAAAAATAAACTTAATTTACAAAAAATATTGAAATGAAATTTGAATTATTTTTCATATAAATTGTTTAAAAAATTTAAGAAAATTTAATTAGTCTTTTTAATGATTTTATTTACATGTAGTCTTTTGGATGACTGGCTGACTTAATAGTGCAATAATCTGTTGTAGTAAATTTCTTCATTTTTCTGACAAGTATATAATTAACAATATCATAGATGAAAGACCTTCTGAGGGAATTTTTAACGATGATGCAATCTTACTAGTATTAAAAAGTTACTATAACTCTATATGAATAGGAAGCACCATTTTACTTTATAAGATCTATTTTTTACTTTAATTCTTAAGCTTTTTATTTATCTTTTTATGTGAGATTTTCTTTTTGGACATTCATTTTTTCATACATTTTGATATATTCCTAAAAGATGCTACTCAATTTTTGGTAGTTGTAAATTTTGCAGATTTGTTCTATTTTTGGTTTAATGTTCAAGCCTAACTAAATTTAATATAATGAAATTAATTTAAATGATTTACAAATGAAAGGTTTGAATTAATATCTGAGTATTTAAATTAAATAGATAAATACCTTTTCTTTGATTTTGTGTTGAAAGAATTCTTCGATTTTATCCTAAGATAAGTCAGGAAAGTTTAACACTAATATACTTCTGGAAGTAATATTATCATCTTTTATATTTTGTTAATTGCTATCTTCTTAATTAAGATATTATTTTCGATAAAAAAATTGAACATAGAAGTAAAATACTATAAGAAATCCTAAAACAATTACAAGAGCTGTAAATTTTCCATATTTAAGATTCTGAAAAAATATTTTTAGGACTATTTCTGGGACGATTTGCATTTTAAAAGACTCATCACATGTGATAACGGGTATAATTAAATCAAACTAAGATATGTTATCGCATAATTTGTTTGAAGCTACTATGAATTCACCGCAATAAAAAAAGAATACTAAAGTCAATAAAATGATGTTAAGTTTTTGAATAGTGAGATATTGAGGAACGCCCCATCCCCATTTTAAGATGTTTTTATTTTCACTGAGACAAAAAAAGTTTAATTTTTTTTCTTTGACTACTTTTTTGCAGCACTCACAAACTTCATTCATAAGTCTTACACTTTGTTAAACTTCTTCCCCTAATGAATTAGCTTCTCTGTGTATTAATGCTTTTTCCATTGAACCAGGAAAAACGTATAATTTATTTAAATCAAATACTGATTGAGCTCTTGATTCAGGATCCTAATCGTAAAGTGAATCATCAACGACCTAAATAGATGTTTTATCTTTTATGTTCATTTTAAAAAAGCGCTCTTAAAGTTACCTAAAGAGATTTTTAATTATTCTTTTATTACACTTATTTATAAAAGCGATTATTTTATTATTATTCTTATTTTTTGTTTCTTGATATCAAAAAATATGAAGTAAATTAATAAATTATCTTGTGGTTATTGCGCAATAGGCGCATGTGTACACTATTTACACTGAAATATATGTTGATTACTTTATATGCAATTTTCAAATTTTTTATTGTACTAAGTTATTAATTAAATTATAAATACTTTTATTCTACTTTAAATTTCACAAATATTTTAGTGGAAATTCATTAAGAAATATTTAATATTACTTATTCGTTTGGATTGTATTTTTAATAAATAAAAATTAGTTATTATTATATCAAAACAATATTTATTTTGCACCTTTCGTTTTATCCTCTACTTTTTACTAATATTAAAAAAAAAAAAATTAATAAAAGTTCATTTCTCAAGTTAAACTAAGCAAAAATGCAGAATTTTGATAATTATTTAAGGAATTTAGACATTTTAAAAATTAAAGATCTCATTTAAAATGAATGGGATGCGATTCCTGAAACTGATTTTGAAGTAAAATTAATTTATTCTTTTGATTTAGTATAATTTTATCAAGATAATCTAAATATAATTTTACCATTAAATTAAATAAAAGTAAAAATAGGAAATAGATAAATAAGATTTAATATCAAGTTTTTTAGATATCATCAAGCTTTACCTCATACAGTACGAAGATGACGAAGAAAATAAGTCAGATTCTATTGTAAACTTCTTCATGAGCTACGTTGTAATTGAATAATTAATTGATTATAATAAACTTTAGCATTAAAATATTAAAGCACCAAAAAAATGAAAAAATAAAATTTTAAATATGAATTAGTATTTGAAGTTTCAATGCATTCAAAAGAGCAGTGCACTTGCTTGGAAAATGATTAGAGAATTGGACAAAAAAAGCCAAAGGATACAAGAATTTAGATTAATTTTGTTTTTGTTTGAGTAAGATAATAAAAAGAGTCTCTGCAGTTTTTACTATAGAACAAGAAACATTATAATAGAATATTTAAAAGGTTATGAAAGTGATTTTTTAATTCTCGATGACCTACATGTATCAGTTGGTAAAAATCTTTAAAAATTTAAAAAATTTTAAAATCAATTTTAAATAAACAATAATAATCTTAAAAAGTATTAATTATTTATTTATTATCTTATAGATCAATGGTCAGAAATAACCAGAAGAATCTTTTAAAGTCATAAGCATGAAGAAGTCATTAGCAAAATAGCCAAAGTAATAGCATGTGACCAGCATGAATAGCATACATTCGATCCTTAGTTTAAGTATTTATTATTGATTAGATCAAAATTTGAATTTTTTCCTACTAAATATATTTATAACCAATAAAAAATCGAGTTTAAAGCTAAAAAATATTTAGCCCAAATAAAATATGAAAAAATATGTTTTAATTTTAGTCATTTGTAAAAATGCAAATGTTTATAAAAATAATTTTTCTTGAAGTGGGATAATTTGCAAGTTTTTTAAAAAAAATATGCAGTTAAGATGAAATAATTATTAAAAAAAGAAAGATATTTTGAATGTAGATATTTATAAATAAAGAAATAATTAATTTGAAAGAATAGAATTTATGATAATAATGATTAAAGTTTGTATTATTTTCTTCTACTTATTGTAAACTGATATAATTATTTCTTATTAATGAATGAATATTGTCTCACATCATTCGATGAGCTTTTAGTCACCTAAATGAATTAATTAGCTATTTAGATAGCCTCAAATTTATATTAAAAATATTGTTTGAGTGTAATGTGTTATAGTATGTATAGTTGGGGAATATATTTATTTACTTTTTTTACTAAGTCAATAGTTATAATAAATTAATGAATATGCAATATTAATATATGTAGGTTAAGCTGTGGGCGATTAATTCAAATTTGCTTGTGGATATATTTTAGACAGGTTAATCAGCTTTTGGAGGACCAAAAAAAGTATGAAAATCAAAGTGCTTTGAGAAATTAATAAAGAGAAGAGAATAAGATTCCTTAAAGCTTTTACTAATGGGGAAAGTCTCCTTTGCAGCTGAACAATTTTAAGAAGAACAGCAAACACATAGAAGCGATAAAATAGTACAGATTTTATAAATAAAAATACCCAAAGTAATCAACTCATAAAATATACAATGCCTCCCCTCCTAAAGTAAAGGAATACATGAGTTTCTACTTTTCTGACTCAAAGCTTAATTAGACAACACAATTTTATTCCCCAGTTAAATCCAGTAGACAAAACTAGATTCTTCATCAATCACTCTCTTTATAGTAATCTCCTTATGTTGGGGAATTTACCTCACCAAATTCTTAATCAGAGTAAATATTATTGGTTTTTTTACGGTATTTTACCAACAAACACTGCGAAATAATTAAGATACGTTTATGTCTAAATATAAAGAAAGATTAAATCAATATATTTTCCTTTAACAGTATTAATGTGGTATTTTTTATTGAATTTAATTGAAGACTTTAGAATGATTAGAAAAGTGGAATTACATTTACTAAATAAAGTATGATTTATTAAAAATATGGTACTATATTTTCACTATCAAAGTTGTTCAACTCAAAACATAAAATTCATGTAAAAGAATGCTTTAAAAACGTGATTGATACAGTAATATCTAAATAATTTAAAGCTAAGCAAATAGATGATGAGCAATTTTGATATTTTGTTAAGATAGTGTTTAAATTATGACACTTAATAAATTAGTATTTTTAGTTTCTGATTGTCCGTATTTAGGACACAATTTTGAATATAAATTTACTTAATATTTATATAATATATAATAATCAGAATTCCTGGGTTGACTAAAGATTAGAACATTTTTAATTAAAATAAGCACGTAAATAATTTATATGGACTAAGATGACGATTTTTTATCTAATATTGCATATTATATAACAAAATTAGTCAGAATATTAAACTTTCAGAAAAGACTCTCAGCATTTGTCCAAAAGCACCAAAAAGCACAGGTAATAGCTCTCACCAAGGAAGGAGTCTTTTTTCCAAATGCTAATATTTAATAAGACCCAAGACAATGCAGGTGAAAGGAAACAATAGAATGCTCATGATGAGAATAAAATGAAATAATATGAGGAATAAGAAACATGGTAAGAATACGAGTAAGATCAACAAGAAAATTGAATTTTTTCTGAAAATTAAGTGATTAAAAATTTATTTAAAGAGTTGTGAATAAGAAAAAAATAAATCTAAATATAAAATCAAAATAAGAAATTATGTTGAATGAAATAATATAAGAAAAGTTTATTTGTAATGTAAATTTTTAATGTAATTTTTGTATGTATTGATTATATTTATAATTTGATATTGTTATTTATTTTTTTAATTTCATAAGCAACGCAAAGAAAGCTTTTGTGTATTTTAAAAAATTAAAAAATGTAAACGGTTTGGTCTCATCATAAATAATTAATTATTAAGCAACTTTAGTTTTACTTATTTATTTTATTTTGATTATTCAGATTTATGATGAAAGGTGTGTCTTTGCATAAAGTTTTTAATTATCTTTTTATATAATGAGCGGACTATACTGAAGTATATATAACTTATGTGATTAGATTTGAAAGGACTAGCGTTATACGAGTCTTGTTTTTTTTGTTTGGTGATGTATTTATTCATGCTACACTCAAATTTACTCTATATTCAATCTTTATTCGTATTCTTTTCTTCTTTTACATTAAAAATTATTCTTTTAAACATCTACGAAGTTCTTATATCATCAAATTTAATGGAAAGGTATTTAAATCATACAAATGGTTATTGCTAAATACAATTCCTGTTTTGAAAATAGGTTTTTTAATTTCGTTATAAATGTAATTCTTTGGTTATTTCAGAATATATGCTAATAAACTAATTACTTTGAAATAGAATGGGAAAATAGAAAGAAAGGCTAATTAATTTTAAAAAAGAAATTAATATACATAATTACAAAGATTCTTGAAGAATCAGTGAGAGATATTTTAGTTTTATTTTTAAAAAGTAAAATGAGAGTATAATAAAGATCAGAGTAATTTAAAAAGAATACCATTTTGCTGCACTTTGACAGTACCTTGTTTTGCATATTCATGTAGATATTTAAGGATGGAAAAAAAATAAATTATTTTCAGATAAATAAAAATGATTGATTTATGAAGAAAGGATTAATAGATTTTGCTATTTTATCAGAATGAAAGATGAATTGAATTGAACTGATCTACAACTAAACAATATAACTAGATAAATTAATAATGATTGCACACTCATTATTAAATTTTCAATAAATTCTAATGAATAGTAAATATTAAATTTTTAATTTATTACTTATATTTTGTTTCGTAAAGATAAGAATTCAAATACTAACAAACATTAAATAAACAAACAAATAAAAAGAAAAACCAAAGATTTAATAAAGTGTGAGAGAAAATTGAAAGCATACATTCAGTGTTTGTTTGCTTTTTTCTAAATAAATAGCGATTCCCTAATAAGAAAACTTGACTCAACTAATTGAAAGCAAAAAAAAAGCAAAAACCGTAAGGTTTATGGGTTTTCTCGCAGATAATCCATAGGATGATTCAGAGGCCTTGTCAACAGCAGCATAGGCAACTCCATCCACAACACAAGGCAGTTCCGAAAGTTCTACAGACACCATTTCAAGCTCCACGCAAATATCAGGATTTTCGACTGCATCGCTTGTAAAGAAGCATTAATCATAAGTTAAATTCAAAATACATTATCAGGCCACATTTGGCTAATCACTCTACGTTGTAGGATCAATAAAAGCTCTTGGTAAGTGGCGAATAGAGAAATCTCTTCTTATGAAATGGACAGAAGTAATTAAATTAATTTAACATTGGAGTAAATTGAAAAAAGGCGAATAAATGTGATTTAATTGAAATGATATCATTTATTGTAAGAACTGATTGATTTAATTAAGATTTATTGTGTGTAGTAGGAGTAGCACTTCTAATTCAATTAATCTATTGATTAATTAATTAATTAATTAACAAATTAATTTAAAAAGTATTAATTGTATTATTAGTTAAACCTACTAATTGCTAGCACTCATTCATTAGTTAATAATATTTCATGTAGAGTATGGGTAAAAAATATTTGACTTTTTAGTGCTCCTAATACAATTATATCTTAGTCATCATGAGCTTTGCATATCAATTGGTTTTTCGATGCCTCCCATTTATGAGCTGAGAAAAACCACCAAATAAATTATATTTTGACTAATAAAACTCATAGACGACTATAAATATAAATAAATAAGTCTTTAAATAAATCAAGCAAATTAGTTAGATAGATATCTGAAAACTCCCTTTTAATCACTTTATTTATTAAACGATAAAATGAAGCCTCATTCAATTATATTTAAAATATACTCGATTTCATCAATTCCTTTTATTACAAAAGGGACATTATTGGGTTGCTTCACTTGCCTCAAGTGAAATCGACTCTGCAGAACTAGATAAACTCATCGAATACAAATATTGCTTGGCCAACACAGTATATCCCGAATAGTATCTCATTTTGTGGGAAGAAGGTCCAAATCGTTCATTCTACTTCCCTGAAGTTAGTCAGCTTTGCTTGAGTACATTTTATTAAAATAAGCATTATTTATTTTCTATAATTTGGATACTGTGTGTTGGGAAATTTTATTTTGCTTGTTAAGTGTTTAAATATACTGGTATTCATTTTTGTGATTTTCAATCAATCCTAAGAAATAATAAAGAATGAACATTCATTCTATCACATTTAATTATCAAAAAAGAGATATTTTGCAAATCGTGATTTTCAAAATAACTAATAAACACAATTATTTTACCACATAATTAATTACTAACATACATATATACACACACACACATTAACAATCAAACAAAATAAATAAGCTTTCAATAATATTAAACAACTCTTCAAACATTTCCAAAGATAGAAAAAAATTAATTTTATCTTTTATTCATTTTTTCATCACACATTTAATTGGCACATTAAACTTTTATTATTAAAAAAGATGACTTTTGGAGTCTAAGAAAAGTTATTCTCAGGTTATTTGAAGCCAAGAATGACAAAGATTTATACGTTTTGGGAGATTGTGAAGAAATTGGCACATATGAATCTCCCTCCAAAATGGAAAGAGTTGTGTAAACAAACTTTGCTGACTTAAGCTAGACCGTATTCTTTGAAAAGACTCTTCTTGTTAAAGCTCACAAGCAAAAAATTAAATACACATACGCAAAAAAAGATACAAATTAAATGCTGATAATAGACAGACAACCTAGGAAACTTCAGATTAAATAGCCTCCAAAGCATGTAATTGAATTAATTATAATTATTAATGCTTTCCTGAAAAAAAACTTCTTTCTTTACTTTTTGAGTTTACTCAATTTTGATAGAAAAATTATCAAAATTGAAAATTGGTTCACCTATTTATCTTTTAATCTTTAAATCATACATGTTCAATGAACTCATATTTTATCAAAATCTATTAGATTCACATTGAAATCAACGACAATTCGTTTTCGAGCAAGTTCTAGGTCACGAAAATAGACGATAATATTTATCTAGGTAATTTAATTATTACGTAATAAAAAACTAAGAATTTAAACAAAAACTATCAAAAAAACATAATTACATACATGCATTTTATTAATTAAAAATTTCTTTCAAATAAATACTGAAATTTAGATCAAATTTTTTATTTTCCTTCATAGAAATTAAGAATTTTGATGAATTTAATAGGCTTCTAAAAATAAAGCCTATGTATTAAATAGTACAGAATAATTTAATTAGTCAACCCGACAAATTCACTTTTAAACACTTTTAACTTACATTTAATAATAAGGTCCCTATCCTCAAAGCGAAGAAGATGTTAAAGAACTGAGTGAGAGAGGCATAAGGGCAGTGCTTAATCTATAAACTGAAAAAGATATGTAACTTAAGGGAGCAGCATACATAAAGCTCCTCCGTTTCTATAAGACTTATAACATTCAACCATTTCATTTCCCAGTTATCGATATGGATGTCATAGACATGTGTTACAAACTGCAGGATGTTTCCCGTCTTTTAAACTATTTAGTCTCCACAATGAAAGTATAACAAATATTATTTATACTTAACTTTATAGTCCTTATATTATTTAAATTACTAACAACTTATATGAGCAACTTACTAAATATCTAAAAAAATAAATATAAAGAGAGTGTATGTTCACTGCACAGCTGGTATGTTCAGATCTCCCCAATGTGTCATCGGTTATTATACTTACTTTAAAAACATGAAAGTCTAACAAGCTATAAAATATGTCGAAAACCAACATCCTCATTCCAAAATAAATAAAGGTAAATAATAATTAATTATTTGCTTTTAAATAATAAGAAAACTCAGAAAATATTCCGAAGATAATTCTTATTAAAACGTTAGATGCTTAAAATTTAATTTTTATAATAGGTTACATTGAAACTATCATGAACTGCACTCCAGTGCCGACTTATAATTCCATGAATGATATTGATAAAAAATACCAGAAGAATCACATATCTGATTCTGATTTTTTCGATGACGATGATGACGATGATAACAATAATTTACTAAGTAATACTTATGGATAACCTTATCGGAATCTAAACTTTTCTTAAATTAGAAAATTTAATTGATTTGAATAAAAATTATAACAAAATTAGAAATTTCAATTTTACTTTCTTCTCAACTCAATAGATTAATTCATTAACTAATACATTCATTCATTCTTTTAAACATTCATCCATCCCACTCTTAATCTACCTACACTCACTGATGTGTTAATAGTTATATTTATTCAATCTATCAATCAATTAATAGCTCTTTATTAAATATTTAATTTTATATATTAAGTTTCTCATACAGAATCAATAATTAATATCAACAACATCACAGATATTAGCCCAATTTTAACATGAACAGTACAATTTTAAGCACTTAAAAGAAAACACATCTAAAGATTTAATCTCGAAAGAATAAATAAATATCTCATAAATAAATTTACTATCATTTATTTTCAATTAGCCATAGCTTTTTTAATGCTAGTAAAATTTAATAGCAGTATTTTTAAGTTCTTTTTGATAAATTACCAGCTAGCTCATCAATCAATCAGCCAAAAAAATAAAGATTATATACAATTTCAAAAAGAATGGATTAAAGAAATTTAACCTAAATATAAATTCTACCACATAATTAAATATCCAAAATAAACGATAAATTCAGCCATAAAAAATAATATTATAAAATATTATAAATAACTAAACAAAAATTAAATTAATACATTTTGTTGCATATTCTTCTAAATAATAACTGACATTAATAACTCACTATTTAAATAACAACCAACTATTTTATAAATACTGAATAATAATAATAATAATAATAAAACAAACTAATAAACCAATTAACTAACCGATAGGTATATAGTTAAAATACATAAACACCAAGTTATATAGATCCTTAATTCATAGATATATTCATAAATAAATAAATTAATAAGCATAAATACTCCTCATAGCTTAATCTCATCATTAATAAATAAAAATAATAATATTAATTGATAAAATAACAATAAAAACTCTTAAAGAAAAAAACAACAAAATATTTTGATTATTGTTTAATATTCTAATTACTTGTATGATATTTTTAATTAATTAGTAAGTAACATAAATTTAATTTAATTTTGATTAAAATAACATTAAAATTTTCATAAATCCAATAAAAATATTTCATGTTCGATTTTATTGTACTTTATTAACGAATGATTTTATTGTAAATTATTAACGAATTATTTATTTAAAAAAATTATAAAAATAGATATGCAAATATTTTAATTTATCTTCAATAAATTTTTAAATTTTGGTAAAAATACGTGTATGAAGTCGTTAAAAATATATGTTTTAAATTACATTTAATTATATTTTATTTTATTTTTTAAGTATATTTTATAAAAAAGTAATGCCAAAAACGAATTTGCTCGCATTATTATTTTTCTCATTCTACTTCCATTTCGTTTTTAGAAGGATCGACATTAACGGGAATTTTTTCGATGGGAACATTGAATTATCTATGGAAGGCTATTTTTTAATTAAATATTGTTTAGATCTCTTCATGAAGTAATTAAGTAAAAAATAGTTACGGTGGTTGTTAGGAATAGCTTTGTAAGGGAATGGCTTGTTAAGTCTTTGGTTGTTATCGCTTTTTTTATATACATTTATTTATTTAAACTTGCTTGAAAATATAAAATAAATAAATATACGTCTTATGAAGTCTTAAGTAATCTACTTTAACATCTACCTTAGGATCTCTTTTAATAACACATACATCAACGTTGGAACCAGAACTATTTTAAATTAGTATATGTTTTAAAACCTATTCTTTCTTTTATATTATTTTATTTACCCTAAATCGTGAACAATACCAGATTCAATTGAAGCAGTAACTAAATCGATAGCTTCTTATTCCTATTTTTTTTAAATATATATTATTTAAATATTTTCCTCTTCGAAAATGATTGAAAAACATGTTTTTGTTTGATAATTATATATATATAAGTTGTAAAAATTACAGTTAAATCGTCTCTATATCTAGATTCTAAAGTGGCAATAGCAGCCAAACATCCTGAACCCATGGTAGCATAAGGAAGATAAGAGAAAGAACCATGAGCAGCAACGGATACTAATTGAGGACCTTGGCAATCAAAACCACCTAAAATCAAGTGAGCACCGACGTGACCTTAATATCTATTTGTTAATTATTTTAAGCATATCTTCAAATAAATTCAAATAAAAATCAATATAGAACTATAAATTAATAATAGTATATAGTGAATTTGATTATTTTACTGATATAAATGTTCTCTAAGACGAGCAATAGCACCAGCAATTCTAGATTATCTATTGGTGTTGAGTCTCATTAATTCTAATTCAGAAGAGAGTCTATCAGTAACCCATTAGGTATCTGTTTTGTAAAAAGAAAATCATTAATTATTTTTTTTTGACAAAAAAGCCTTTGATCTTTTATTCTTATTGTAATTGCAGAATTGTATAATGAAAAAATCTAAAATAGCTTTGAAAGCAAGTCATTTCTTGCAAATATCTTCATGTTAAATTATGATATAATCCATTTTTTTCTTTCTTTTTAAACAAATGATCAAAGAATTAATTAATTAATTATTACCAGCAGCAGTTCCTATTTATTTTTAAGTTTAAAAAATCTTAATCTCCTTAATATATTAAAGAAATTTTTAATTTTACCTGCACCACAGCAATACATATTAGGAGCAATATAATGAATTTTGCTGCAACTTTTTTCAGCTACAATAGTGCCAGCAGTAGCTCTGGTATCAGCACCCAAAACAACACCATCCTTTATTGTTATAATTATTAAAAGAAGTCAGCTAAGGCTTGTAAAAGTAAAGATGTTTAAGAATGGTTGTGCCAAATTGATAAATAAATTAACTGATCAATCAATCAATATACCTTATAAACTAAACCTACAATTGTAGTACCAGTCTTAGTGAAATGAGGGCTGGAAACGATTTGCTTGGAAACTAATTCATTATTTCTAGTTTTAAAAATGAATGTTAATTGATCAAGTGCAAAGTTAGTTAGCTTTATGAATCATCAAGAATAACTAACTAAATGATGCAAACATTAAACAGAATTGCTAAATTACCTCAAACATAAATCGAAATTGAATCCTCCCTAGTTTTCTTTAATGGCATTCAAGTAACTCATAATATTTTTATTGCTAATTAACTTATTAATTTTGTAAATCTTTAAGAATATGCTTCTTCTTATTATTTATATTTTGTGAATTTATTTTTTATATTTTAAATTCGGATATGTTTTAATCTTATTTTATTTAATGACAATTAACAATAAATACAATGAATTCAAGCAAAATACAAGCAAATCCTTTCAAATCAATTGAATTGCTTAATAATTAATTTCATCGTTTTTGATTATTTTCAAAAGCATCAATCAATCAATCATTCTATGTCTATTTGTCATCTATTTACAATAAGAATAGAACTGGGGAAGAAAAAGAATCAAATAAGCTACTTAATTAATTAATCAGCATGCAAACTATCATTTAACATATATTTATTATCACTATATTTAAAAGCTTTAAAAATATTTAATTTTTGTTTATTAACAAAAAATCAATTAATCATCAAGATAAGAATGATAAACAAGACATTCTAAAATTCCCTCTCTATTCTCAAACAAATTAGATAAGAAGCAAACTGAAAACAAATCTTCTCTTTATTTTTGTTAACTTTATTGCCAAATATCTTTCAAGATTCATTCATTACCTTCAATATTGATAAACTGGACGATAATTTATTTATTAAATATAAATTTATTTTAATTCTTAAAAATAAATATTTTATCAATAAAAAAATTTTTATTATTTATTGAAAAAAATAAGCAGCATTAAATTTTTTATTCATAAAATAATTTTTGTAAAAGAAAAACTTTTTATTTAATTTGTAAATTTGAACAAAATTTCTAATTTAAAAAATTAATCCAATTATTTTAAATAAAATAAAAAGTTTAATTAGTTGTTAAATATAATTTTTAATAAATAAATATTTGATAAAGCTAGTAAAAAAGATTAATTTAATTTACTCTCAACAACAATTTAATTCAAAATATTATTTAACTTTTCAACATAAACATTTATAAAAAACATATTTTAAATTGAATTGACTAAAAATAGAATAAAATATAAAAAATCTTTTAAATGAGTAAATGTTGTTTAAACAGAAAATTTATTAAAAAGCTTTATAAATCATTTGATAAATTGATAGATAGATATCCATTGAAATAAAATTTTATTAAATTTAGTAAATTTAGTTTATTTTGGAATATTTAATTGAATTTAATAGAATTAAAAGAATGACTAGCAAAACTGTAATTCAAAACTCTCTTTAGATTTTACAATAATTGGAAAAAGAGCTTGAAAAGAGCAAAACATCCATTCAATCTCAATCTTCCATGTCATAATTATCGTCTTCTTCTCCCTTGCAGAGGAATTAGTAATAAAGCATTAAATAAGAAAATTCAAAATAATCAGAAGCAATAAACATCATAAATGAAATAGATTTAATATAAAATAAATAATATAAATAAGCATCTCAACAAAACTCTTCTACTGTTAAAATATCACCGCTAAAGCGCAAATTGTTTTCAGAAGATGCATTTCAATAAAAATGTAATTTTCTAGAGAAAAGTATACAATAAGAAAGTAAATAATTTAGTCAAGATATAGAATTTCTGTATAGAGGTTTAGAACAAACAACTTAGAGACTTTAGTAGCTTTTACAAAACCCAAAGATTTATTAATGAAAGTATTTAATTTAGTGAAATGTAATTTTAGAATTTAATAAGGTTTGAACTATTTATTTAAGCTTTAAGTACTTAGTTAATATTTATATTCGATTTTAAATTCATATTTAATTGTGAATTAATTAAACAGATAAATTTTGAATAAATAACATCTACTTTTATATTCTATATTTAATAGCTTAAATTTAAAATGATATTTATTTTTCAATTCCAACTTTAAATTAAATATTATTTAAATATTTTTTAAAATAAATCAATAAAAAACTCGATTAATTAATTTTTAATTAAGTTGCAAGATAAACTTTAAAATTATTAAAATTAAAAGATTTCAAATCATTTTCAAATGATAAATTATACTATCTAAATATTGATAATATAGGATAGATAATATTTTAAATACTTGTTTTTTCATAAAATATTACTAAAATATAAATAGCAGGATTTATAATTTTAATTTATATTTAAAATTCTAAATTTTTTATTTTTTTTAATTTAGATTTTAGAAATATTAAGTGAATGGAATTTAGATTTTTAGATATTAAGAGTTTTACAATTTTAGATTTTTTTTATTCTGAGATCAACATTTCATATGAATAACATTTGATATTTTTATCAATACTTTTTAGATTATTGCTAGCATTAAAAAGCTTAAAACTTACAATAATTTGATTTATATTTTTATTTATAAGGTGATAAATTTTGTATATTTAGCATAAATTGATTTATGAAAGTTGATATTGTTGATTTTTAGATTTGATTGAAATTCAAATAGAAAAGTGTAATATATTCTTTATATACAAAATTAATAGATTTAAGTTAATTATTACGAATTAATATTTTGTAATTTATAGATGAATAAAATATTTGAAGTCTTAGGTTATGATTATTTAATTAATTATTATGGTTACGAAAACTCTATGACACTAAATACTCTCAATCAATAAGTAGTATTCAGCTTAACTGGGAAAGTGGAGGTCATAACTACACTTTCTAAGTTTTTATTTTTATTGTAAATATCACTCAAACACTGTCCTAACTGTGCATTTTTAGATTGGTTAGTTTTTATTAATGCTTCAATTTCAGTATAAATAGCATTTATTTTATCAGATATTGAACGAGCATTAGCTTGATTACCTTTAATTTTTTCTAATATGATTAATTTTTCATTTTCATGATTCATTTTTATTTAATCTTATCTTATTTTTTAAGTATCTTCTTGATCAATACATTTCTTTCTCCAATAATCTATCTCATTTACCATTTCGTTATTTGCTCTGCTCAGGTTATTTATTTCTCCTTTAACTCTAACTATTTCTAGCTAAATAGGTTCATTAATTCTAATTTCTTCTTTTATCAAAACTGGTTTTTCAACAATAACAGGCTTTTCTATTACAAGAGGTCTTTCAATTACTTTTTCCACAATTTCAACTCTCTTTTATTTTTTTTGTGACTCTATTTCAGCTTCCAATTCGAATATCTATTTAAATTTAATTAATATTTTAAACCCAATTCAAGACAATTTAAATAAATATTAAATATAATAAAATATGTTGTTTATTGTTTACCTTTTTTTCTTTTTTTTCTAACTTTCTTCTGAGCTTGTCATTGTTTTCGACCTTGTTTTCAATTATTTTATTGTCCGACTTTAAATCTAAAATTTTTTCTTTCTTTTTCTCTAGATCTCTCTTTAAAGAACTAATTTAAACTTGCTTTTCTGATTTTTTAGATTCTAATTTTAAAAAATCTTCATAGAGTGAGGTGTATTTTTTATTATTCTAGTCATTTTTCTTTTCAATTTCCTTTATTAATCTCTCTCTTTCATCTCTAATTTTATTCTAATCAAATTCTAACTTTGTTATTTGCTTTTTTATTTCACCAAGATCATTATGCAACTTTTAGTATTCAAGATTTTCAACTCTAATATTTTCATTTAAATTCTTAATTTCGTTATCTCTTTCTCTAATTTAAAGTTTTAAAGAACTAAGAATGCCATCAGTTCTTGCCACATCACCTATTTGAGATTCCAAATCATAATCTAATTATATCGCTCTAGATTCTAATTTCCTGATATTTATCTCCTTAATTTGCTTTGACTCTTAAACTTCTTTATGCTTTTACTGCAAAGAATCTTTTACAACTTTAGCTTTCTCAATTTATTCTTTGAGTTTATTATTTTTCATATTCAATTCTGTTTTGGCTTTTTCAGTCTGTTTTTTAATTATTTCCTTATCCTTCTTTAAACGGAAAAGCTTTTCTTCTTAGTCTTTTTTAATTCTTTCAACTTCTTTTTACTTAACTCTTTACTGCATCTCAAATAATTTCACATTCATCTGATTTACTTTTTATGAAAAATCTTCCTTTTTTTCTGGCTTAACAACTTCTTTAGCCTTCTATTCGTCTAAAATTTACTACTCTCTAGCATTCCTATTATTCATATTTTTATTAAATTTCGATCCCTTTACATTTTTTGGAGCAACTACTTATTTTTCTTATTATTGATTTTGCTATTCATTTGGTTTTTGATTCTCATTTTAAACAATTATAGATAACGGATTTTTGTCAATTTCTTCAAGTTCTTTTAACAATTCTTCCTATCTTTTTTTCATTAAAATGACTTGTTCTTACAATTTCTTAGAAATCACATCATTTGGATCTACTTAATCACCATCCTTCTTTTATATTTCTGTAACGCTAAAGCGATATTAAGGAGGATGTGTTGTTTAATTATTCATTTTTGTTGATCAAAAAAAAAGAATCTTTTATTAAATAAATTAAATATTTAGCGATTAAGATTGAGTTTACTGTTTCAATTAATTTGAAAAATTAATTTTTGAAAGCAACTAATTATTTAAATAATAAATACGAATAAAAATGACAATATCTTTTTGAATTCATAATAAGCATTTATTCTTATGATTATAAAATTAATGATGAATTTATATCATGATAAAATATTCTTTTAAGCTTCAAAATTTACATTAAAAATTTTTTAAATGAGAATTTAGCAAAAAAAAATGTCAAAATCTTTGAATTAATTTAAAATCAGAATAAAAAAATTTAAATTAAATTAGAATTAGAGATTCATCAAAAAAAATTTGCTTCTATTTAAAGCTTTTAAGACTAAAATAAAATTCTAATTACAGTTTGTTATCACTCAAAAACTTAAGAACAAACAATCCTACTCAGATATTTAATTAAATTTAAATCTGTCCAATTACATTTATCAATGTAGAAACTCTATTTTTTAAAATAAAATGTTCTCAAATAGTTTTCATAAATTATTAAAATATAAATTTTTTTAGACTTTAATTTAATCTATTTTGAGGTAGAATTAAATTAATTAAAATTTCGTTTATTTTAAATTTAATTCAGTCAATATTAAATCTATCAAATTTAATTGAAACTTTCATAAGTATTTGATAAAGTTGGTTTTTATGGTTAATAAATGGATAAATTTATGAATAATTTTAATCGAATAGTTTATAGTTTAGATGAAATAATTAAATTAATTTTTTAAAATTGAAATAGAAATGATAAACTAAAAGCTTGGATAAGAAAATTAAGGAATATTCGCTAAATATGTGTTTGATTATCAACATACTGATAGGAATATTCCTAAAATCAAGAAAAAAAGAAGGATGCATAATTCCTACAAAAAAAATTATAGGTAATAAATATATAATTAATTTAATAAATTAAATTGCATAATTAAAAATTAATATTTAGGATTTATATAAAATGAATAGCATACTTAAAAGTTTCGTTAAAATGCCTAATTTTGTCTAAGCACAATAGTTATACAAGATGCCTCAATATAAATTCTCAGAGGAGGTAAAAGTAGAAGCAAAGAAAACAACATTAAGACCTAAGAAGGCTTTCTTAACATTAGTAATAATTAGAATTTCTTGAGCTGTTTTACTCGAATAATAAAAATTTAAACATCAATTTATATCAAATAAAATGAGCCAACACATCGTTAATACATTATAAAATATTAATATTATATTAGACAGATAGAGCAGCTGCTAGAATAAAAGAGTTGATGATGAAAAGAACAAGCGAAGATGTTAAAGGTGTAAAGATTGGTGTTAGAAGAAGAGGATGCAGCGGTTTAACATATACAATGAATTATTGCACAAGCTTAAGCGAAAATAAATTTGATGAAATAATAAATGATAAAGGTATATTTTAATTGACTCTTTTTCTTTAACCAAACAATAAAGCTCCTATCAATTCCATTAATAATTTAAGTCATGCAAATTCTTTTAATAATTAGGAGTAACAATAGTTATAGACAATAAAGCCCTTATGGCCCTTGTCGGCACAGAAATGGATTGGGTAGAGGATGATTTGAAGGCTGAGTTTGTTTTTAACAACCCTAATTCAAAGGTAAAGTTTTAATTCTTTCTTCTACCATAAGAATATTATTTCATTCAGCATTCTTATTTATGATATAATCATTTATTTAAAAGGGAACTTGCGGCTGTGGAGAAAGTTTCCATATCTGATTTCTAAGAGGAATAACTTCGAAGAGAAATAAAACAATAAATAAACAAAAAAAACAAACAAACAAAATAATTAACTAACTAACTTATTATCTAATTAAGTAATATACAAAAAAAAACCAAGTGTGAATGAAAAATTACATAAATAGCTTTTGAAATAAAAACAACAAATATAATATTATACTATCTGTTTAATTCATGAATGAATCTTGGGATATAAAGATATAGATTGATATTTGTATTAAGAATTTGATTAATCAATCAACTAGATAGAGAGAGAGCACTTGAAAACATTAAAAACAGGCCAAAATAATAAATAAGCAAATTAGTGAAAATAAATAAAAAATTAAGACGCAATATTTTTGGAGATAATCTAAATTATTATGTCATATTTAAACTAAAAAAACACCTTACTTTATTTATATAACAATAATTATTAAAAGTTAATACATATCTTTAAATTTTTATTATTTGTATGCAACTCTGTAAAATCATTCTAATTAATATCTTTGTTTATCTTATCTTTAATTAATTATTCGAACAAGCGAAAGAAAAAAAATCTACTAACATCTTTCTTATTTTTATTGAATTTATTATTTCTTCCCTCATTTTTAATTTGGTTATTGCTTTTTAATTAAAAATAGATAATAATTGGTTCAATCAAAAAATAGATTGTTAGTTAGTTAAGTATATTCAAATTATTTTTTTACTGATGTCAAAATTTTATCAAATATTGAAACAAACATCATTCAATTGATTGTACAAATTCACAAAATTATTGATTGAAAAAAATAAATTATTATTAAAACTGTTTGATTAAATTATTTTTAAAAGATAATTTAATATTTTAAAAAGAACGAAGAAGGACTTTATTCTAAATTATAAAATTTGGTATTTATTGCGTTAAATTTTAGGAAATTAAAATTAATTTCATGTTTATCTATTACTTAATTTTTAAAAAATCATTAGAAATATCAGAAATAGACAATCAAGTTAAGAAAATCGAATAAGATAACCTATAAAAAGAAAATATAAAAAAAAAATATTTTTCATATTAGTTTATAACTCTCTATTTTAAGACAAATATGTGTTAATCTTAATATATTGAAAATTTTAAAATTAATTTACTATGAATTTGAAATAATTATTGTGGAATATTATTTGTATGAATTATTTTATATTTTTATATTTAAATAAAGGATATATTTTTATAATTTATTTATAAATACTAAGTAGATCACTCTGTATTTTCTCATTTATCAGAAGGAAATAATTATAAATAAATTAATAAAAGGTAATAGAAATAATTTTATGTAAGTAATTTAAAAAATAATTGAGTAAGATTAATAAATTACTTACATTTTTACATAAAAGCTCTCTAATAAATAATTCTCGTTTTTAATTTCAGAATTTTAAATTGTATTTTCAAATAAAATAAAAAAATAATTAAATAAATTTAATTTCTTACACTTCTTCAAAATTTGTAAATATATTTATTTTAAATGATATAAATTTTTAAAAAAACAAAAATAAAAACTATCATTTTATTTATCACTTTTTAATACAATTTAGTGCTTATGAAATTTTAATTGTTTGTTTATCAAGTTATATTCTAATAAATAATAAACTATTAAACTATAATCCTATAAAAATTTTTTGATATTCTAATTAAACTTTATATTTTTTAAAGTAAAAATAAAGATGATTTATTAATATTTTTTTGAAGTTATTAAATAATTTAAATGAAAGTATTCATAAAATATTTAACAATCAAGCAAGCTAATTTAATTTTATACCAAATAGATATTTCGCTTTATTTATTTTATCTTACTTCTTATGTGATATTAATATATTTAAAATCTACTATTATTTTGTATTTTTTTAAATACTGTAATTTCTCATAAATTAAAGAACAAATTTTTAAATTTTAAAAATAGTGATTTTTAGAAAAACCAAATAAATTTAAATAAAAAGTATTTTCAGATTTAATCTCTTTATATGAGAAATTATATTTATTATCTATCTACTTTTTTTTATTTTAATAAAAATGAATAATTATTTTTAAAAAGCAAGCTAGAAAACTTAAATTGAATATGTAACTAAGTAAATAAATATATAGGGAATTATTAATAAATATTATGTACAACCAAAAATTATTTTTAAGTAAAGCAGTCTCGGTAGGGTAATTTCAATAATGCAATTTAATCTATTGCTGAACATATCCTCCTCTTCTCATTTCATAAGGAATATACTTTTCCTCTATTATTTCTTCTTCTTAATTTTGAAGATTTTATTATTGTTCTAAAAATAGTACTAGGGCTGGTTTTTCTGGAAGGGTTAATATTTTAACTACCGAACGTAAATTAACAGATGTTGGTTGTTTTGGTGATTATAAACGAGTGCCGTTTGAAGTGTGAGGTATTTTTTTGTCAAATATTGCTCTGTTTCTTGGGGATAAGTGTTTTTTATCAGCCTATTTTGCTTGTACTTCCTCAACTGGAGTTTAAATTTAAGTCTATTCTTTCTTTTATGTCTTTACTTTCATTATAAAATTCTTTTCAGATGCATTATTTTTTAGTGTTTGAATCTCCTATCTGAGGACATTCTTGCCTACAATTTCTATATTTTCAATATCTTTGTTATCAATTCGAGCAATTTCATTTATAAAATATTTCCTATCTTAAATTTTGCTTTAAAGATAATCATGGCTCTTGAAACTATGAAAAGGTAGCTCGTTTTATTTTTCTGTTCTAAGTTTTGAACTAAAGGGCTTACGAACTTACTCAACTATTTAGACTTTCATTTCTTGATCAAACTAATTTTTAGGCTTAAAATTGAGAGGGTTATCCTCTTTTACAAGCTTTTAAATTGCTTCTACTGCTATAACTCTATCTTCTTTATCCTTACGTAGTCTCTTTTACCAATAATTTTATCCTCCAAACTTTTCCAAATCAGTTTTAACCATTTCAAGAACTTATTTGATTTCATTTTTGCTTCTAACTTCACCATCTTTTAACCAAAGCGAATCTTCAAATTTTTTTCCTACTTATTTACACCTTAATTCAATTATTTTTTATTATTATTTTTGCACATCTTCAAATTGCTGTAAAATTCTGGCTTCTTTTGTCAAGTAAAGTTAGTCACCTTTTTTAAATTTCGATATTTATTTCTCATTTTCTCTTTTTGCAAATTCTTTATTAGACTGCACTCTCTAAATAACCTTGTCAATGCATATCTGCAACTCTTCTTCATCAAGCTCTTGAACTTATACATCCTCTTCTTTATTAGCTCTCTTAGAAGCCTTTGTAAATTGAGTCTAAGTTAAATTATTCATAGATATCACCTTGGGAACATTACTTCCTCCTACTAAAATATATAATTTAAAACAACATTTAAATGAAATCTCAATTTTATATTTTGATTTTCTTTTTAAACTTAAATAATTTTCACAATAAACAATAAATTTGTAAGAATTTAAAAACAATTTTTACAGGCAAACAAAAAATATTTTAAAAAAGAGATCAATTTAAATAAAAGAATGAATACCTCCTAAATTAGCTTAACTAATTTGTCTGGACTAAAATACTGAAGTATCATTTTTATCAAGCTTGTCGTTTGAGCACATAGATTTGGTATCAATTAATTTATTATCCACTTATCCATTTAAAGAATTATCCATAATAGTAATTGTTGGAGCTTTAATTTTTTTGTTAAATTCTTTTTGTTATTTTATAAACCATTCTGGTTTTCCCAAAATTGTGTATTATTTTATTTATCCTTATTCATCAGTTTGTGGACCAATCTCATTTTTTAAATACCTTTCATACACCTTAGCAGCATCAAATATATTTTTAATAGGCTAAGCCTTCATTATTGCAGCAGTATGAGGCCTTACCTTCTTAAATTCTTACTAAACTTTTTGAACTTCATTTAATTTATCCTAATTATCATCATTGATTTCTTCAGTCTCTTATTTAGATTGATTTTCGTTTATAACAATATTGTTTTCATCAACTTAAATCAACTGCGTAATTTGTTTTTCCTAAAAAAATACATTTTTATCTGAACCTAGAGAAGGTGCTATAGGACTAATCAAATTTAATTCTTAATTACTCAATTTCTTAAATTTATGCGAGCTATTTAATGAGTTCACCGTATGAGTTGAGTTCTATTTTTTAAATGAAAAAAAATATTAATTTACTGACCCATCTTAAAAGTAAGTTTTATTATTTAATTGATATAAAATGAAATGTTAATGTAAACCTTTTCTAGATTTTTTTATTCCTCTGTTTATTCCTCAAGCTACTAATTTTCAGCTTTCTTTTCTTATTCTAGCTACTCGAAAGGATTGAACTTTTTTGCAACAAATTTCGCTTTGTATTTAAAAAGAGGAGGAGATTACTTACGAGGTTATTAATCTTAATATTAATTTGAATCTCTAAGTGGAAAATCCTCTTTTGATTTCCTCAAATTTGAATCTCTCAAATCATCCTTCCTTGGTGAAGGATTTACAGATTGTTCTTAACCTACTTTTGTAAACGGTTTGCTTGTTTATGGTCTTGTTTAGCTGACTTAAGAACCTTTAATACTGCCTTATTTAAGCATATCTTAAAAACTTATTTAATAATTACTTAATTAAAATGTATCAATAAATTTCAGCTTTTATAAAATTTGCAAATAGTTATTCTTTATTAACTAATCCACAAACTACTATTCCCTAAATTATCAATGATAATTCCAGTCAGGTCAATTAAATTAAATTTAAGTGCCTAAATTCAAATCCTTATTCAGTAAATATACAAAACTAGAAAATGTTTTAATATAAAAATAATAATTATAAATATAAATTAAAATTCTGAAATAAAGCGAATTTGCTATCATTTTTAAAAATATTTTTTAATATATAAATAAATTAATAAAGAAAAAAACAACATTGAAAAAAAATCTCAGCAATAATTTAATTTTTATAAAAATGGTTTGGTAAAAGTAGCATTTAAAATATATTAAATTAAAATTAAAGAGATTTTGATCACTGATTTAAATAAATCAAGAAAGAATAAATTTATTGTTATTTGAAAAATACTTATTATTAGTTTAATAAATTTTTAAAACTCTAAAAACATGTCTACACTTTAATAAAAGTTAACTTAAAAAATATTTTTTTTAAAAATAATAAACTGTTTGAAACTTTTATAAAAAATATTCAATATTACTTTTTTACTGAGATCTTAAGAAAAATATTTTCAATTTATTTATTTTTTTATTATTTTAATTTAATTTAAGTTTTATTAAGATTTAGTTAATTATTATATTTAATTTTTATTGAAATACATTGATTAAGATTTAATTAATTAAAAAATTTAATTTAATTCATTTTATTTTATAAAAGTATTTTTTGAAGTTAAGATTTTATTTAATATTTAGAATAAAAATAAGTTAATATTATCTTAAATTTTAACAATTATTTTAATCTTAAAATAAACAAAACAAAATATTATTTAATATATTTTTTGAAAATTAAAAAAATAAAGTATTATTAAATATGTTTTTTAATAATTAAACATTTAAAATTGAGCCAAAATGGATGGGCATAAATATTTTAGTTTATGTTAATAAATGTCAAATTAAGTTAAATTTAAAATATTTAAAGCAAAATATAATTACAATAGTAAAATAAATAGAATTCTTTATGGTATAATAAATAGATGAATGAATTAATGGCCATCTAGAATTATTGAGAAATTCAATATCATTATATATAAAATTGTTTGTATTCTAACTGATTTATTGATTTTCATTAAGAAACTTTTTGATTTTTGATAAAAATTAAAATTCAATAAATAAATAATTGATTGTTTAACTAATTTATTAATTAATATTGATAGCAGCCTAACATAACTAGCAAGCAAGCAAACAAACAAATAAGCACAATTATTCTAGATATAAAAAGTTATTCAAAAGCAAACAAATAATAAATATATACATCATGAACAGATAAAATAAGTTTAATTTGTAAAATCAGCAATAATAATTTTAATAAAACTGGCGATATAATGAGAGTGATGAAGAAGGAATGTATTATGAAGAATAGCAAAATGATATTGAATTTGAAAGGTAAAGTCCTTTAGCGTATAATAACTACAATACATTTAACAATTAGTAGTAAAATTTAACTAATCAGTTTGAAAATTAAAATTAATATGATGAGGAATCTTTGATAATTGAAAATCCTTTGGACTAGACACCTATTTAAGTCATGATAAGAGTTCGTCCATAATTTAATATTGATTCATAATCAGCTTTAAAAATAGTAGATAATAATACAATTTATATCAACAACAATGAAAATGTTCACTCATTCAAATATTCCAGGGTATTTAAACCAAGTGATAGCTAAGAAACTATTTTTAAATATGTTTGTGAACCCATTCTTTAGCATGCTATCTAAGGTTACAATGCGTCTTTTTTGGTTTATGGATAGACTGGAACAGGTAGAGATATATATATATATATTACTATATTAACCTTAATCATATATTTTTAGAGAATATTTACTAAATTACTCAAAAAAAAAGCTTCAGGAATCTTAGAAAATTATAATAAGCAAGATAACTTAGCATTATTTAAAAAAGTTAAAACCAAATTATTTCCTCCCTACACAATAAAAAAATCATATTACAAAATATTTCAAAGAGCATTTCGAGTCTGTCTTAATAATTAAGCAAAAGCAATTATATTTGGTGTGTAACTAATTGACAATATCATAAACGAATAAGTTAAATAATGCTAATTCAAAATAAAACTATTATTTTATGATGATCATGCTTGATTTTTATTATGCTGTTCAAATGCATATTAATAAATTACTTTTAGATTTAGTTCAGAGTTATGTGATATATTTATTAAATTATTAATTTTCAAAAAGCTCTATTAATAAACAATAATCTGTCTTTTTATCTAGAATAGAGTTTACTTTATTTATCAACAAAATATGATTTAAAACTAGAATAATTAATTTTGTTTCATTAAGTAATTATAATAAAAGCAATCAACAATACTGTAGTTTAGTAGGAATATTGTGTTGTTTTATGACAAAAATTAATTCATCAATAGTTATTCTTTGATCATTGAATAATTTTATTTATGATTTTTATAAATTATTACAAATTTATCAAATAGGTAAAACACATACGATGGGTTTGCATCAAAACAATTTGTTAGAAGAACCTGGTATGATTTAGCATTCTTTAAAATTCTTGTTTGACCACTTTAATAACAGTCAACTAAACCCTGAAGATTGGTAATAAATTAATTTTTATTGTAACAATATTTATATTTTTTATTTATTAAATAGGTCTATCAGTTTGAATTTTATGCAAATATATATTGAAGAGATTTTCGATTTACTAAATCCAAATGGATAAAAATTGTAAATTAGGGAGGACTCTGAAAGCAACGAAGTTTATGTCTAAGATTTAATTACAGTTCCTATAAAAAATATCGATTAAGCTATAAAATTAATTGAAGCTGGTTTAAATTAGAGAATGTTGGGTCCATAAAATATGAATTAATATTCTAGTAGATCTCATACAATTTTAAATGTTTACGTAAATCAAAGAATCTCATATAGTGAATACATTGTTTCAAATATAGCTTTTGTCGATTTAGCAGGTTCAGAAAGAATTAAGAAATCAAATTCAACGTAAATCAATAAAAGCTATTAGTTATATTTATCATAAGTAAAATGAATTTTATATTAATTAAAAAGAGGAATAAGAATGGAGGAAGCTAAAAAGATTAATAGTAGTTTAAGTGCTTTAAGCAATGTAATTTCATTATTGGGAAACTCTAATCAACAGTATATCCCTTATAGAGATTCTAAGCTTACAAGAATTCTTTAAAATTGTTTGAATAGTCAAAGTAAAATATCAATTATTGGAACAGTTGAACCTTCTGAAGATAATAGCTTTGAAACCTACAGCACATTACTCTTTGCTTCAAGATGTTAGGATATTTAATTTCTTCCTTAGTAAAACCTTCAAAATATCTTCACCATGAATAGCGATCCTTAAGAAGAAATTTAAAATTTAAAGGATTAAATCAAATATTATCAAAGCAAAATTAAAAAAATGTCTTCTTCTATTTCTTCTGATGGGACTAAGTTTGCCAAATAAATAATTGAAACTCTGAAAAAACCATTTACTGTAAATAAATTTTAAAAAATAATCATTCAAATATAATTTTTTTCATTTAGAAACTAGGAAGAAACTTAAAATAAGCTCAGAAAATGAACGAGTAATTGCATTCTTAAATGAAAAACAAAAAAAATACCTCATGTAATTCATTCAAACTTTCATTTTTATTATTTTAAAATGTTGAATAAATTAAATGAGTAAAAAAGTAAGTAAATTAATAAATAAATAAAGAAATAATTTTGAAAAGCACAAAATCAAAATACTTAGTAAATCTTAAAATTAAGTTTTATTTGATTAAGAAAAGTTTGAAGAACTTTCATTATTTATTTATCAACACTTAACTTTGAAAGAAAAAATTATTTTTATAAACAAAAAATAAATAAGGAAAAATATTATTTATCTATTTGTTCAAGTTTGTAAGGCATTATTAAGTGAATGAATATAATAAAGATTTGGTTAAAATAAAATCTAATAAAATAGAAAATTAGCCTTTATTTATTTATTTATTTATTTATTTATTTATTTATTTATTTATTTTGAATATTTAAATTAATTTCTATTTTAAGATGAACCTATAGGGTTATATTAAGCTAAAATTCCTTTTGAGGAAATGATGTAAATGATCAGTGATGGCAAGGAACAGGAATTCTTGAATTTGTTTGAATAAACTTTTGAAGATATTTTTTAAAAATACGGATAGATTTCTTTGGAATTAGAGAAGTAAATTGTTCGTTTTGATATATTTTAAAAACTATTTTTTTAAAGATTAAAGGAAGTAAATTTAGCTAATTAAAACTAGAAGACTGATGATCATCAGTAATTAACATCAAGCAGACCAAATACAAAATTGGCTACTGAATTAATAGAATATTATTCAGGTTTCAGTCAAACATTACTAAAATAATTGTTGGAATCAGAATAAATAGTAGATACAAATGATAGAGATCTATTAGAGAAAATTGGGGAATTCAATTAATAAACATAACTTAAACTAAAAGATATAGTAAAAAAACATAATATTAAAGAATTAATTTAGTATGTAGACACTTTGAATGAAACAAATTATGAAAAAATTGCTAAATCTGAGTCATACAGAGTTAAATAGCTTGTCTTATAACTCAAGAAAAAAATAGAAGATACTGCTCAAAAAAATAATGATAAATCTAATACAAATATAAAAGACTTCTTAGAAAAGTAGAGACTTATAAATGAAAAAAAGTTTATGATTAAATAGAGTGGAACACCTCTTAATAATTCATAAATTATAGGAGATAACAGCAGTAGCATGAGCTTAAGAAGTAATTCAAGTAGTAATAATTTGACATAATAATAACAGCAACAACAATAATAATAAAATCAAGTAAATAACATCCCAAAAGGACCATCAAACTTAAAGCAGATGATGAATGATTTGAATTAAAAAAACAAGTAATAAACGAGCAATTCAGTAAATGAAAATTAAGAGAACTTTTCTTCATAGTAAGAAGGCTGTTATAATAGTAACAATATTAATAATAGCTAAAGCAAAAAGTAAAGCTCAACTCCTATACATATATAAAGAGTGAAAATACTAAGTGAAGATTAAATTGAAAAAAACCCATAAAATAACTTTGTAACAAATAAGCTCACAGAATAAAATACAAATATTACTAAAACAGAAAAATAGAATATAAGTGAAAAGAAAATTGTTTAATAAGCCAACTAAAATCTGAATAAAGAAATGTAATTTGATAGAAGTTCTAGTTCAGGCTCAAATAAAATAGATTATAACACAAATAGCTTATCTCCAATTCCATAAGAATAACAGTTGAATAGTCAATTAAAATCTTGTAATTTCTATAAAAAAAATTAAAAATACTCTCCTTTTACAGATAACTGAATAACCAACAAACGAACAAACATAAATAATAAATTTAAAATTAATTAATTAAAAATCAAATTTTATCTTAGATAAATCCTATATTATATCATTATCTTAACTTTTAAATAGAAACTCGTATCTCTATCATGTATATCATCAATATTGCATAAAATTATATGTAAATTAATTATAAAAAGAGTTCAATAAATTAAATAAGAGAACCATGTTTTATAAGGTGAATAATAATTATTTTATTTATTCATAATCAAACTTTATAATAAAATTTTATAATTTTTAAAATTTTTTCAGACTTATATTGAGAATTTTAAAGAAAAATTAGAAGTTACTTAATAACATAAATTTTTAATTGAAAAGAATATAAATTACAAAGAGCTTTTAATGAAAAATAATTAAAATTTTATTAATCCTTTTTCAACTTTTAAAAATGGATTGATTTAAAAAAAATAGTTTTTTATAAGGCTTTCTTTTATTTAAAATGAATTATATAAATTTAAGTAAAATTGCTTATTCATTTTATTTGTTTGCTACTTTGTTTGTTTGATTGATTGTTGAAAGAGAATAAGGAAATTATATGGAAATAAAAAGAATTTGTTAATTAAAATTCAATTTTTTGATAACAAACAACAAAGAATATTAAGTAAGTTACTATGGTTTTTTATATATTTTTAATTATTTTAATATTTAATAGAAAATAATGTTAAACATGATTAGCTAAGAGTGCTTTTTTATGTTTTTTATTGTATTTTTTTATCAATAAATTAGAAATATTATGGAGATGTTAATCATATCATTCTTACTTTCCTTCACCTTCTTATTTTTACTCAGATAACTCTTGTTTAGTTTCAGTAACTTCACTATGATGATTTATTTCTCCTTTAGTTTAGTGCTTTAACTTTTCTTCCAAATCTTTAATTTTACTATCTCTTAGCTGAATCTATGCTAAGAAAAGCTTTTCGCTTTCGTTTCTATATCTGTATTAAAAAAATAAATTCATTTTTACATCTTTAAATACAATTTATGTAAAAATATTTATTTACCCTTCAAAGTTTTAGGCTATTTTCATAAGTTTTTCCTACTATTCAACAATCATTTCTCTCATAATTTCATTTTCTTCAGAAGAAGGGTTGGGATCGCTATCCTTTTCTAATTGTTTAATATAGATTTCTTTTTCTTCTAAGGCTTTCTTCAACTCTTCTATTTCTTATTCTTTGAGGCTCTTAAGAGCGTCATCTCTTTCTTTAGTTTTTTCTAGACTATTTATACAAAAAAGTGCTTATTAAAAAATTGAACTTCTTTGATGCATTTATTCATTTACATTTCTTTAGAGAAATTTTAGAACATTGTTTTTTGCTCATCAATAACTGCTCTATTGTTCTTAATATCATTTCCTAAATCATTGATCAAGAAGTCTTTAACAGCAATTTCCTTCTTCAACTTTGAAATGACTTGATCTTTATCAGAGTCATTCTTTGGGTCATTCTCTTTAGAGACAGTATTCTCTTTGTCTAAGGACCTAAAAAACAAGCACAAAAGTCATTTTTTATTTTAGTTTTGAAAAAATATATTTTTACTCTTGGTAATCATTCATGAATTTGGTCATTGCTAAGGTTTTCATCTTAACTTCTAATCTAAGTTTTTGCACTTCTTCATCTTTTTCAATTAACAGCTTTTATGTTTCAAGCTAGATCCTATGCAATTATATTATAAACATCATCAAAAAAAATTAAAATAATAATTTATTAATTATTTACTCTTGCAATTCCTTCTTTAAATTTAGCATCAAATACTCCTTTTCTAAATTAGACTTCTCTAACTGTTGCTCAAGTAGTTCGATTTATCTACTCTGAGCTTCTTCCATCTATTCAGTTTCATCTCTATATCTAATATTTTAAATATTAATTATTATTTATTAACTCCCGCTTTTAAGATTAAAATAGAGTGGATGTGATGTGTGAGAGTAAATTTAGTTTATTACTGTTCAAATAATTCTGTAATTTCTTTGAGCTACTTCTAGCTATCAATGAAGTCTAGTTAAAGCTTTTCGTACTCTTCAAATGAAATAGTTTCTGTTTCTCCTGACATATCTACTGCTTTGTATAGTGTTTATATTTTTATAATGAATGAATAAGAAGATAACTTTTGTTTTTTATAATTTTTGATTGATAAATTTACAAAAAATATTTAAAAATTAATTAATTATAATTTTTAAAACTTAAAGATATATTACCCGCAAAATAACAAAAAAACTAAATAAATAACTATTAATATTCACTTCTTATCTCTCACTTTTTTAAATTTCATTTTCAATTTCTCTCAAAAAATGCATATCTTTTCTTTAATTATAAATTATCTGTGCATTTTTAAGTCAACTCGTAATTTAAAAAAATATTTATTCTTTTTTGACATATTTATAAATTTCTCCAATGATCATGTTTCTTCTTTTCTTTTAAACAAAATAATAGGTTATTAATACATCCACGAAACCTTAAAGTTATAAAAGTACAGCGTCACGAGTATAAGAGAGTGTAATTTGAAGCTGAAGTAACTTGTTAGCTTGACTTTAATTTTATATTATGTAAAATAATTTATACAAGAATTCATTAACTCTTTATATTTTATTGGTCTAATCTGTAAAATTCTTCAATCAGTTTGAAATAGAATTAAACTTTAAATAAAAATAATAGATAATCATCATTTAATGTTATTTTTCAAAATTTTAACAAATTCAAGTATTAATATCAAATCTTTTTTAGTGGTAAATTTGATAAATAATATGATATGCTAATTAAAATTAATAAATAAATAAAAATTAAAAAGTACAGCGCTATGAGTATAAAGTTTTTTGCCGTTAAAAATGAAGTAACTCATTAGCTTGACTTTAATGTTAAATATTTCTAAAGTAATTAAAAGGAAAATATTTGGTATTTAACTTTTTATGGGTTTGGCTTATGATTTATAATCTTCAAATTATTAGCATTTATTTTTAAAAGAAAATTAATTTATAATTTATGCCCTAATTAATTAATAAATAATTATTAAAAGTTGATAATTTTAAAGCATCTAGAAATTAATATTTAATATTTTTTAATACTTAAAGTAAAATAGAAAAGAAGAAGACATAAATAAGTTAAATAAAATGGCTAATTATAAATAAAGAAAAAATATAAACTAATTTAAATTATCATAAATAAAACCAATTTTATTATAGATGTAATCAAATAAAGATTAAAATATATGCAAGAAATTTGAATGATATACTTGATTATTTTATGCTTGAGATTTTGAAGAAATAAAGGAAATTTCTAAGCGAATTGAAGTTTATTATTTTATAATTTTTATATAATTGTATTTTATAATATAATTTATTAATTAATTTTGCTAAATATATTTATCTTATTTGGGTAGTTTATAGTTTACTTTGTGTTTTTTTAATAGTAAAAATAAATAAAATGTTCAGCGAGCGCTATGAGTATATGTTTTTTTTTCATATGAATGAAGTAACTCATTAACTTGACTTTAATGTTAAAATAATAATATTTCTAAAGTAATTAAAAGGAAAATATTTGGTATTTAACTTTTTATGGATTTGGCTTATGATTTATAATCTTCAAATTATTAGCATTTATTTTTAAAAGAAAAATTAATTTATAATTTATGCCCTAATTAATTAATAATATAAAAAAGTTGATAATTTTAAAGCATCTAGAAATTAATATTTAATATTTTTAAATACTTAAAGTAAAATAGAAAAGAAGAAGATATAAATAAATTAAATAAAATGGCTAATTAAAAACAAAGAAAAAATATAAACTAATTTAAATTATTATAAATAACTCAATTTTATTGTAAAAAAATTATATCAAATATATGCAAGAAATTTGAATGATATACTTGATTATTTTAATCTAAAAAATATATGCAAAGCATATTCTTAGAGCTTTGTTATGCTAGAGATATTCTCAATAAATAATAAGCAAATTGAAGTTTATTATTTTATAATTTTTATATAATTGTATTTTTATAATATAATTAATTTTGCTAAGTATATTTATCTCATTTCGGTAGTTTATAGTTTACTTAGCATTTTTTTAACAGTCAAAATAAATAAAAAGTTCAGTGCTATGAGTATAAGTTTTTTTTTCTGCTAAAATGAAGTAACTCATTAGCTATCATAAACAAATTGCAATTTTATTATGTACTCTGTATAAAGTAAGGATTAAAAAAATTACATCAAATATATGCAAGAAATTGTAATGAAAAACTAGATTATTTTAATCTAAAAAATAAGAAGTAAGTATAAAGAGATATTCTTAGAGCTATATTATGCCAGAAATATTCTCAATAAATAATATATTGAAGAAATAAATGAAATTTCTAAGTAAATTGAAGTTTATTATATAAATAATATTTTTATAATAGTATTGTTATAATATAATTAATTTTGCTAAATTTATTCTTCTTATTTCAATAGTTTATAGTTTACTTAGCATTTTGTCAACAATAAAAATAAATAAAAAGTTTAGCGCTATGAGTAATAAGATATGACACGAAATGATGTAGATAGAAGTAACTCATTAGCTTGACTTTAATTATTATCTAATTTCAAGTTTTTAAATCAAATTTTCTTTCAATAAACATTTTTATGGGTTTTTTTAATTAATTATTATTTAGAATTTTAAATATTTTTACAATTTTTAAATGATAAATTTCACTTCTAAGAAATTATAATCATATTTTACATAAAGATAAATTAAGTCTCTATAAAGGAAAGTCCAGTTGAGTTCTATTAAGCATTTTGAAATTATAACCTATAAAAAAAAATACATAACTTATCAAATAAATATTTTTGGGTAGATGACTATCATAAAAATCATCATATGGAATTGTAAAATAAATAAATATAGCAATTGAAAAACTTTAAAAATTCTTTAGCATATTACATACAATACAAGTAAAAGAATAGTGAAAAAATTACAGTAAGAATGTATTGGTCCACAAAATCATTATGTGATTGTATTTAGTTTAACATAATAATGATTTGTGATTAAATTAAAACAATTATGTCACTTTGGAATACAAAAAATAATCATTGCTATTTATTAGCAACTATTTAAATAATATTTAGAAATAATCATAATTAAATTAAAGATTATGTATGTTTAAAAAATTTATTTTCTTATATATTTTGATTAATTAAATGAAAAATAATAAGAATGTCTTCAAAATACTTATTTAAAAATTTTGAACAAAAATTTAAAAAATTGTTTCTATTTATTTTTTAATTTGTTAAATTAGAAATATTAAAATATTTTTTGAGGCTATGCTCTATATATAATTTTCAACCCTATAAATATGATAGTTTTGAATTTATCTATATTGATTTAGTTGCTATTAAAATTAAAAATTAGGAAATTTATATCTGATTAAGCTAATTAGATTAAGAAATCAAAGATGGTAATCTATTTAGGTAATAAAATAAGAAATATTAATAAAATTTGGTATTACTGGGTGAGGTGAAATTCAATTTTACATAGATTTTATTTGATATTAGGTTGTATAATTAGTATTCTAATCGCTTGAATAAATGAATCACAATTTATGTAACTTTTTTTAATTGTATTATAATTAAATTATTTGGAAACAAAATCAAATATATTAATAATTAATTACAATGTTTGCTTACAAATAAATTTTCTTCTTTTTGATCAGCATTAAAATAAAACATAATATATTTTTTGCTAATGTTATTCACTATAAATGTTGTTAATTGACTAAATTATAAATAGTAAAAATAAGCAATTGTTACAAATAATCACATGTAACAGAGAATTTGTTATATAAATTTGTTTAATTTTATAATAAAATAAGCATTTTTTTTCTTTCTTTCTTTCTATTATATTTTGTTAATACCTTTTTTATTTATGGTGAATATTAAAATTTTAAAACTGTAACAAAATTTTTATAAAACAATCAAAATACTGTTTCAATATTATTTTAGTTAAAAATTTTTAAATACTGAATTCAATATAATTACTTGATTTACAGTTGGGAGTTTTAATTTTGTGATTGCTAATATCTATCTAATAAACAATTAATTATTTATCTTTTTCAGAATTGATAAGAAAATTAATAACAAATTAATTATATAACTTATTTGAATAATTAAATCAAATTTCAAAACACAATATATGAAAATAAAATAAATATATTTAACATTTCACTAACATTATTTAAAAAAAGAAATAAGCGATAGTAAAATATAGAATATCTGAATTATTATTAAACGTATAATTATATCATATATCAAATAATGATGTATAAAAATTAATTTTTAATTTTTAAAAGTTATTTATTAAATATTAAATTAATTATTTTAGATAAAAAATTTTAAATACTGAATTCAATATAATTACTTGATTTATTTACAGTTGGGAGTTTTAATTTTGTGATTCCCAATATCTATCTATCTAAGAAACAATTAATTATTTATCTTTTTCAGAATTGATAAGAATATTAATAATAAATTAATTATATAACTTATTTGAATAATTAAATCAAATTTCAAAACACAATATATGAAAATAAAATAAATATATTTAACATTTCACAAACATTATTTAAAAAAAGGAATAAGTGATAGTAAAATATAGAATATCTGAATTATTATTAAGCGTATAATTATAACATATATCAAATAATGATATATAAAAATTACTTTTTAATTTTTAAAAGTTATTTATTAAATATTAAATTAATTACATTCTATACACCAAATCAGATAATTTACTTATTTTTTACCTGAATTTTAGATATTTCTTTTATCAATAAAAAAATAATTATCATGTCTATTTTATTAGTTAAAAAGACCAAAAAGACAACTATGCAAAGAAAAAAGAATTAAATAATTACCATTATATACAAATAATTTAAATAGTTTTCAAATAGTTATCAGTGATAAAAATTGTATAAAAATTTTTTAATATTTTAATATTTATATGCCATAAAACCTTACTTAATTGGTATTTAACTAAGTGATTTTGCCATAAATTAACCATTTTTATAATAAATAAAAATAATATTCTAAGACATAAAGTATTTAAATTGCTAAAACGAAAGAATCATATTACACTTGATTAGAAAATTTTAAAATTATGGTAGAAACTTTAATTAATTTATCTAAGTTACAAATAATAACTAACTAACTAACTCATGTTTTAGATATTGTAAATTAATAGAAGAAGCAGTTTACATTATTAATAAAAATTTACACTGAAACGTCTTATTTGCTTAATGATAATAATAATCTCTTATAGATAGAAAAAAATATATTTATAATTATATAAAAATTTATATTAAAATATTTTTTAAGAAAATGCTTCATTCATACTTATTCAAACAGTAACCATATTTCAGTTTTAATATTAGATAAAGATATTTAAATCAAAAACATTTTATTAAATATCTTTTTCAATCAAGCAATTTTTATAAAAAAAAGCATTTAAAATTTAAAAGAAAATGCTTGTCAAATTTATTCAAATGAATTTTGTAAACTAAATTCTTCACTTTAACCTATTATCTTTATTACACAATTTGATTCTGAAAATTCAATATTAATTAATAACTTATTCAGAATTGATTAGAATTTTTAAGAAAAATTTAATTATATAACTTATTTATTAAATATATCTTAAAATACGATTTTCTTAATTAAAAACTAAATCATTCTTCAATTCGTATTTTTATTTTTGAAAAGTGAAACAATTATTTTTTGATTTGTTTTTCGATGTCATATTTTCAAGCAAAAATAAATAAACTCAATACATTTTTTTATATTACTGAAAAATAATAAAAGCTTTTTCACAGCATCTATAAATATTAATAACTTCGAGAAAACTTTTCCATTTATCATTATTTTAAGATATTTTAAAAAATAATTTTATAAAATTCCTATAATTAGTGTTTTTATTATTAGATGACTGACAATCATATTTGAACTCATATTTACTTTAAGTTTTGAAAAATAAAATAATTATTTTTACTTGTTTTGTTTTAAACAATCATAAATAAAATTGAAAAAATAAAAATTCACCTGTTTTAAGATTAGATCTAAGTAAATCATTTTGAAAGATTACAATTTAAAGAATTTGTAGGATTAATTTAATTATTTTTTGTAATTTGAATTTTTATCAAAATAATGTAGAAAAAATTATTTGTGTAAGTAAAATAGTGTTATCAGGTTAGATAATAATAATATTGCTATCAATATTTTCAGGTTAGAATAACTTTTTAATCTGATTACCATAATTATAGATTTTTGAATTGAATGTATTGTAATATTGAATACACGTTTGCATAAAGAAATAATTTAGCAAAATCTATGAGATTTTTAAGAATAATTAAAAATATTTTATATATCTCATAATAAAGAATATTTTTGTGATTATTTGCAGTAGCTAAATATAATTTTAGAAATCTATTTTGTAAAAAAAATTTTTTAATTTGTATAAAAGATAAGTGATTATTATATCTTTGATTTTTAAAAACAAATTGTTTATTAGATTATTCACCTAATTTGAAAGGAATGTTTAAATAAATAAAATCTAATTATAATATTGAAAGTTACAAATTCATCTTTAAATATTATTAGTGTTTCACAGTGTTTTGAAAATTAATAATCAAATTAAATAAAAAACATAAAAAATAATCTTAAATCAAATGAAAAACTTAAATTTCATAATTTTCATAAGTTGTATTTTGTTTTCAACTATAAAAGCCAATATTAAAGGAAGTTATATTGGTTGTGCTTATAATAACTAAAATTGTTCTAAATGTGGTTCAACTTCTGACATTTAGTAACTGTTTACCTATCTATAAGGAGCCTGTTATGTTACTGATTGTTCAAATATTGGAAATGCCAAGAATGGTTGGATTTGCTAATCTTGTTATAATGGCGATTAATAAGTTACAGCGGGTGAATATTTTGATGGTACAAACTGTGTTAATAATTGCCCTTAAAATTAATATGCAAGTTTTCTTACAAGTTATTAATGTCAAGTAGCAAACCCAGGTTAGGGAGTTACATGCAATCAAGGTTCTCAATAATGCGATGGATGTGGAAAAGATGGAGATTACACAAATTAATTTAATTATGATCAAGGAGATAATGTTTGTTACATTATGGATTGCTCTTCTAACGCATCTACATTTTTAAATGGTTATGTTTGTAACTCCTGTAGTACTGCTTCTGGAAGTGGAAATATTCCTAAAGGTAAATTTTATGATCATAAAACTTGCACAGATTCTTGTCCTGCAGGTTATAAAGCAGATTAATCTACTGGATTTGTTTGTTTAGCCCCACCTAATCCAGGTACTTAAGTTTAATGCTCTTAAGATTCATAAACTTGTAGTGGATGTGGAAATAATCCCGATACTCAAAACTTGTTTAATTATGTATCTTAGTAAAACTGCTCTGTTATTGATTGCCATTACTATGCAACTACATCTCTAAATGGTTGGATCTGTAAATCTTGTGCCCTTGCCACTGGAAGTGATAATATCCCATAAGGTGAATTCTATGACCCAAATGCTAATACTTGCGTTAAAAGTTGCCCAATTGGAACATCAGCAAGTGCTAATACTAATTACATTTGCAAACCACTTCCAGTAGCGGTTCCCTGCTCTAATGATTCTTCAACGTGTAAAGGATGTGGAAGCGATGCTACTGCATAAGGTTAATTCAATTTTGTGAGCGGAAATAATTGTATTGTTAATGATTGCACTTAGGTCGCTGTGTTTAATGGTTGGGTCTGTAATTCTTGTAACCCATTATTTATCAATACACCCATGTAAGGAAAATATTATAATGGTTAAGCCTGTGTAGAAAATTGCCCTCCTGGTTAATCAGCAAGTGCTGCTACTGGTTATACTTGTTAAGTAATGAATCCAGGGGTGCCGGTAGCATGTTCAAAAGATACATAGACCTGTGGAGGATGTGGATCAACAAACGATATTTAAAACTTATTCAGTAAATCTAAAGGTAATTCATGTTAAGTTAATGATTGCTCTTCCAACATAATTGGTTCTAATTTGAATGGTTGGATTTGTAATTCTTGTTAAAATGCTTCTGGTAGTGGTAATATTGCTGCAGGTTAATATTTTGATGGTAAAACTTGTGTAAAAAATTGCCCATCAGGATAACAAGCTTCTGCTGCTACTGGATTTGTTTGCTAATACCCTCCAAGTCCTGGAACTACTGTAGCCTGCTCTACTGATTCTTCAACTTGTGGAGGATGTGGAGCGACTAATGCGTTATAAAACTTATTTACTCATGGAAAAGGAAACCTATGTTCTGTCACTGATTGTAACTTGTCTGTAGTTGGATCTAATCTTAATGGTTGGGTTTGTAATTCTTGTTAAAATGCATCTGGAGGAGCTAATATTGCTGCTGGTTAATATTTTGATGGTAAAACTTGTGTAAAAAATTGCCCATCAGGATAACAAGCTTCTGCAGATACTGGATTTGTTTGCTAATACCCTCCTAGTCCTGGAGCTACTGTAGCCTGTTCTACTGATTCTTCAACTTGTGGAGGATGTGGAGCAACTAATACAATATAAAACTTATTTACTCATGGAAAAGGAAACCTATGTTCTGTAACAGATTGTAACTTATCTGTGGTAGGATCTAATCTTAATGGTTGGGTTTGTAACTCTTGTAGTTCAGCTTCTGGTAGTAATAATATTCCTGTAGGCTAATATTACGATGGAAAAACATGCGTAGCTAATTGTTCTAGTGGCCAAACAGCAACTGCAGATACTGGATATGTGTGTAAAACACTATCTAATCCTTCTTCAGGAAATAATAACTAATCTACTACATCCAATTCAAGTCTAATAAATTTCATTTTAGGCTTTGCTGCTATTCTAAATTTATTATTCTGATATTTTAGATTATATTAAAAAATAAATAGATTGTTTCACTTGTTAATATATTTATTTTTTTATTCATATGATAAACATTTTACAAATATTTTATAAATTATTATTTTTATCTTTAAATTTAAAAAAATAAATATATCTTTTATTAAATAAATTAAAACATTTAAATTTCATAAAAAAGTTTTATAATTTAATTATTATATTTTTATCTAATTTAAAGTAAATTAATGTTTAAAATAATAAATTTTGATAAACGTAAAAAATAAAAGGATAAATATGATATTTAATTAATAATAAACAAATCAGCTATTTAGCACTCAATATTCTAAAGAAATTTTTATATCTGAAAAAAGCTAAGCCAAATTTTATCTAAAAATTTCAAGTTTTTTATTTTAAATTAATTGATAAATTTATTTCAAAATAAAATTGAATTAAATAAAAATCTGAATAATAAATTATAAACTTACCTCTCAACATATATTTTCGAAGGGAGAAACCAAAAAATATAATTATAGAATAATTCATTCTTATTATTATATATATATGTGTGTGAAGTATCCTTGAGTATAGCCTTTTTCATGGCTACATACACGAATAATAACAAGTTATATTATTCTATAGTTCCCTCCTGTCACCCATATTGAGCATCTTTATGTTATTTTTATAATTTATACTATTTATATTATAGTTTAAAAATAAGAATATCTGTTATTGGTAAAATATAGTTTTAATAAAAAAAATAATTTCTGTAATTTATTTAATAATATTTTCAAAAATATTTAAGACTAAATATACAAATTTTCTTCAAAATAAACAAATACATTAAAAGAAGTTATTTTGAAATAATAAATATAAATTTTGTTTAAAAAATTAATTTTTATTTCCTAAATACTGAATTCAATATAATTAAATGATTTACAGTTGGGGGGTTTTAATTTTGTGATCCGCAATATGTTATAAAGTATATTATTTATCGTTTTCAGAATTGATAAGAAAATTAATAACTAATTTATTTTATAACTTATTTGAATAATTAAATCAAATTTCAAAACAGAGTATATTAATCTGAAATAATTATATTTACATCTCACTATCATTTTTCAAAGAAAAAAAAAAAATATATATAAAAATATAGAATATCCAAATTATTTATTAATAAAGGTAGAATTATAAATAAATTTTTATTTTACTTATATCAAATAATAATGTAAAAAAATAACTTTTTAATTATAAAAAGATATTTATATATTATTAAATTAATTCTATATGCCAAATCACAGATCAGCTAATTTGCTTATTTTTTACCTGAATTTTGGATATCTCTTTTATCAATTAAAAAAATAGTATAATGCTCATTTGCTTAGTTAAAAAAATCAAAAGAAAACTAAGTAAGGAAAAAAGAAATAATTACCATTATAATACATGAATATTAAAAAATAATTTAAATAGTTTTCTAACTAATAGTTATCAGTGATAAAACTTTATAAAAATTCTTTGAAATTTTAATATTTATATACCTTAAAATTCAACTTAATAGATATTTAATTAGTAAATGTTGTCATAAATTGAACATTTTTACTATAAATAAATCACACTCTAGATAGATATGAAATATATAAATTTCTAAAGCCTGAAGAATCATGTTACGCCTGATTTAAAAATTTTTCAATTAATGATAAAAACATCAATTTATTATTTTAAGTTACAAATAATAAGTAACTCTTGTTTTAGATATTGTAAATTGATGAGAAAGAAGGATCAGTTTACATTATTAATATAAATTTAAATTGAAACATCTTATCTGTTTGCTGTTATGATTAGAATAATCTCTATGGATTGAGAAAATAAAATTATTAATATATATTAAAAATATAATCTCAAATATTTATTCAGAAAACACTTTATTCATACTTATTCAAAAAATAACCATATTTTAATTTCTATATAAAATAAAGAAATTTAATAATATTTTATGAAATATCTTTTTTTATCAAACAATTTTTATATTATAAACATTTAAAATCTGTAAGAAAAGGCTTGTCAAATTGATTCAAATCAATTTTTTAAACTAATTTCTTCACTTTAGCCTATTATTTTAATTACACTATTTGATTCTGAAAATTCAATATTAATTAATAACTTATTCAGAATTGATTAGAATTTTTAAGAAAAATTTAATCAAATATATCTTCAAGTACAATTTTCTTAATTAAAAACTAATTCTTCAATTCGTATTTTTAAAAAGTGAAACAATTATTTTTTTGATTTGTTTTTCTCTATCAAGCTTTCAAGCAAAAAAACAAACAATAAAGTTTTTATTCAACATCTGTAAATATTAATAACTTAGAGCAATTTTTTTAATTTATCATTATTTTAAGATATTCTAAAATATAATTTTATGAAATTCATATTATGTGCTTTTATTATAAGATGGATGGCGATCATATTTTAATTCGAAAGACATATTAATTATCCTTAACATATAAAAATTCATCAATTTTTAGATTAGATCTAAGTAATTAATTGAAGGATTACATTTAGAATTTATAAGATTAATTTAATTATTTTTTGTAATTCAAATTCTTTCTAATAACAATTAAGGGAAAATTATTTATGTAAGCTAAAAAGAGTTATTAAGTTAATGTTAGTAATAATAATAATAATGCTACAAATATTTTCAGGTTAGTATAGCTCTGTAATCTGATTTCCTTAATTATAGTTACCGTAATTCATCAATATTAGTTCCTTGATTCGTATTAAATCGTACATACTCTAGTGAGGAATTCAACTTACATTTTTTTTTAATATTATATTTTAGTACAGATAATTATTTTGAATATTTAATAGTAGATAAATTTTGTTTTAGAAATATTTTTTGTATAAAAATAAAAATTTTTGAATTTTAAAAAAAAGATTTGCAATTATTGTATCTTATGATTTTTAAAAAATCAACTTTTTGATTAAATAATTTACCTGATTTAAAAGAAATATTTAAGAAATTAAAATCTAATTATAAAATTGACTGTTTCAAATTCATCATTAAATATTATTAGTGTTTCACAGTTTTTAGAAAATTAATAATTAAATTAACTAAAAAACATAAAAAATAATCTTATGTAAAATGAAAAACTTAAATTTCATAATTCTCATAAGCTATATTTCATTTTCTGCTATAAAAGCCATTATTTAAGGTGATGAAACTGATTGTTCTTATGATAACTAGAATTGCTCTGCATGTGGTTCAACTCCTGACATTTAGCAACTATTTACCTATAATTCAAATCAATCCTGTTATGTGACTGATTGTTTAACTATTGGAAATGCCAAGAATGGTTGGATTTGCTATTCTTGTTTTAATAGCATTTAATAAGTTACACCGGGTCCATTTTTTGATGGTACAAACTGTGTTAATGAGTGCCCTTAAGGTTAATAAGCAGGAGATTTTTCAAGTTATATATGTGAAGTAGTAAATAGTGGTTAGGGGGTTAATTGTGATCAAGGTGATCAAACTTGCAATGGATGTGGAAAAAACGTTTATTACGCTTACTAATTTAGATATAATAATAATGGAGATAATTTATGTTATGTTTTTGATTGCTCTCCTAACGCAGTTAAATTTTTAAATGGTTATGTTTGTAACTCCTGTAGTACAGCTCCTGGAAGTGGAAATATTCCAAAAGGTAAATTTTATGATCATAAAACTTGCACAGATACTTGCCCTCCAGGTTATAAAGCAGATTTATCAACTGGATTTGTTTGTTTAGCCCCGCCTAATCCAGGTACTTAAGTTTAATGCTCTTAAGATTCTTAAACTTGTAATGGATGCGGAATAAATCCTGATACTGTAAGCATGTTTAATTATGTATCTGAATAAAATTGTTCTGTTATTGATTGCCATTACTATGCATTTACATCTCTAAATGGTTGGATATGTAAATCTTGTGCCCTTGCCACTGGAAGTGATAATATCCTATAAGGTGAATTCTATGACCCAAATGCTAATACTTGCGTTAAAAACTGCCCAATTGGAACATCAGCAAGTGCTAATACTAATTACATTTGCACACCAGTTCCAGTAGCGGTTCCATGCTCTAATGATTCTTAAACGTGTAAAGGATGTGGAAGTGATGCTACTATATAAGGCTAATTCAATTTTATGAGCGGAAATAATTGTATTGTTTAAGATTGCACTTAGGTCACTAAGTTTAATGGTTGGGTCTGTAATTCTTGTAGCTTTGTTAATACCAATACACCTTTATAAGGAAAATATTATAATGGTTCAAGTTGTACAGACAATTGCCCTCCTGGTTAATCAGCAAGTGCAGCTACTGGGTATACTTGTTAAGTAATCAATCCAGGGGTGCCTGTAGCATGTTCAAAAGATGTATAGACCTGTGGAGGATGTGGATCAACAAGCGATATCTAAAACTTATTCACTAAATTAAAAGGTACTTCATGTTAAGTTACTGATTGCTTTTCCAACATAATTGGTTCTAATTTGAATGGCTGGATTTGTAATTCTTGTTAAAATGCTTCTGGTAGTGGTAATATTGCTGCAGGCTAATATTTTGATGGTAAAACTTGTGTGAAAAATTGTCCTATCGGTTAACAAGCATCTGCAGATACGGGATTTGTTTGCTAAAACCCTCCTAATCCTGGAGCTAATGTAGCCTGCTCTACTGATTCTTCAACTTGTGGAGGATGTGGAGTAACTAATGCCATATAAAATTTATTTACTCATGGAAAAGGAAACTTATGCTCTATCACTGATTGTAACTTGTCTGTGGTAGGATCTAATTTGAATGGTTGGGTTTGTAATTCTTGTTAAAATGCTTCTGGTAGTGGTAATATTGCTGCAGGCTAATATTTTGATGGTAAAACTTGTGTGAAAAATTGTTCTATCGGTTAACAAGCATCTGCAGATACGGGATTTGTTTGCTAAAACCCTCCTAATCCTGGAGCTACTGTAGCCTGCTCTACTGATTCTTCAACTTGTGGAGGATGTGGAGCAACTAATGTCATATAAAACTTATTTACTCATGGATAAGGAAACGTATGTTCTGTCACTGATTGTAAATTATTTGTAGTAGGATCTAATCTTAATGGTTGGGTTTGTAAATCTTGCAGTTTAGCTTCTGGTAGTAGTAATATTCCTGTAGGTTAATATTACGATGGAAAAACATGCGTAGCTGATTGTCCTAGTGGTCAATCAGCCACTGCAGATACTGGATATATGTGTAAAACATCATCTAATCCAGCTTCAGGAAATAATAACTAATCTACTACATCCGATACAAGTCTAATAATTTATATTTTAGGCTTTGCTAATATTCTAAATTTATTATTCTGATATTTTAGATATTTTAGATTCATTATAAAATAAATAGATTTTATCACTTATTAATATATTTATTTATTTATGTATTCATATAATATAAATATTTTATTAACCAATTTTTTTATTTTTTAATATTTAAAATATCTCTTTTATTATTTATTTTAAAACATTTAAATTTCACAAAAAATTTGAGAATTTAATCATAATAAATTTATCTAATTTAGAGTAAATTTATTTTTAAAATAATAAATTTTCATAAATTTAAATATCAAATAAAAGTATAAATATGATGTTTAATTAATAATAAATAAATCAACTATATTCTAAACAAATTTCTATCTCTGAAAAAGGATAATCTAAATCCCTTTAATCACTGATTTATTAAACATTTTAAAATTATTTTTTTTTCTAAAATCCAATTAATCTAATTTATAATACCCCGAAGTATAGCAAGATGCCATTCAAAAATTCCGTCATTTGGATGTCACTTATTTTGAAATATATTTTTTATTTATTTATTAAAAAATCTGATTTTTATAATTTATAATAGAATTATAATTAATTAATAATTTAATTTATTATAATTTAAAAAATACCGTAATGATCCAGACCTCGTCCCTCGTTATTCGGGAGAAACGAACGAGTTTTTAAAAATGTAAAAAAATTATTTATTTTGAAATTATAATAAATTAAATTATTAATTAATAATAATTTTATAATAAATATATATATATATATCAAATTTTTTAATAAATAAATAAATAAAAAAATCTATTTCATAAAAAGTGGCATGCAAATCATGAAATTTATGTATGGCAACTTGCTATATTAGAGATATTATAAATATTCCTAAAATTACAGAACTAAAACAGAAAAATCTACTTATAAACATTATTTTTATAAAATTTAAGAACATTAACTATTAGAATTTTTTCAAATAGGACTAAATAAATAACTAACCATATCTAATTCCTACTATATATATTTTTAAGCCTTTGTTTTAAATACAAATATTAAATTTAAATAGTGAAATTTAAATATATTTTTCTGTGATATCTCTTCATAAAACCAAATTATAAATTTATATTTGATAATTAATTAATTATTATATTTATTTGTTCTTTTTATCCATTTATAATTAATTAATAAATTAATCAAATTTAATAAATTGCTATTCAATATTTTTGAAAAATAAATAAATGATATAATAGATTAAAAAATATAACTAATTAGAAGAAGTAATTATTAATTTTTATATTAATATCCTTTAAATTTATTTTAATTAATAAAAAAAGTTTTTAAGGTCTTCATATTTACCTCATTAGATTCTCCATATTGATCTCAAGTATATTTAATTAAAAGATATTATTTTTTTTATTATTAATATATTTTGTATATTTAATTTTCAATTTTTTAAATAAATAATTTTTATAATAGAAATTA